GCAGAGTGCATCTGCGGTTAATGAATCCTTTTTAAACGAACCAAAGCTTGGGAGTGGAGTGGTTTAATCTGAAATTTAAATAGGCTTCAATATTTGTCTACTAAATAAATAAGCTCCTATACGGTTACAAATACATGGCATAAAATAAACTGAAACCAAAGGGTGAGCAAGAGCGTATAGGGCCGTGTGTGCTACTATAACACTGCTGCTGATGGTCTGGTGGTGCCCAGTGTGATGTTTTGTTTGTCTTTCTTTTTACTTAATCAAACACGAAGCACAACGTGTAACCAATGTAATGCAAATGAGGGAGGATAAAGTCCGGTAGTTCAACCCTAGCGTTTTTCCCTCATGTTTACCCATTCTCAGTAAAAATTTGCATCTGCTTTGCCCCCACTGTTTGCACAGTGGAAGTGGATGATGAAGGCGGCTCAGACGATGATGATAATGATGATGAGCAACTAATCATGGATGAATGTCGTATATTACGAGAGATGAAAGCTTAGGTCAGCGTGGTGATGATTGTTATAAAGCTGTTACGACTTGAGCGAGTTTGTGCAGTAGATTTTAAAAAGCTGCAATTTGTACTCGAAGCCATATTTATTTGGTGAACAATAAAGGATCGCAAATTGTTGTAAAGAAGCCAATTTGACGTTATGTGTGGGGCCCATGCACTTGTCCCGGTTTCATAGTAAGCGATAAAACGATGGAATAAAATTTCCTCGTCACGCATCATTAAATTGAGAAAGGTGCTGTGCAGAGCCACAAAAAAGTTTTGTAGTTTTTGAGTCAAACGCAATAAGTTTACGAGTACGTAGATAGATCGAGGGAGAGAAAGTTGGAAAGTGGTAATGGCGAATGGGATGAGCACAAACAAATGATAATGTTGATGATGTAATAACACCACTGCCACCATCGCAGCAGTCCACATAGTCCTCCGATAGCTGAACCCTTCTTCAATTCCCCTTCCTCTGCTGTTATTAAGATGCAACGCACCATCACATTATGCGATGCAACATTTATTCCCAGAACAAGGGTTTTCCCCAACAGCAGCAGCAGCACTACCTTCTGGTACATTTTATTTTATGCCACGTAGAGTAACTGCCTAGCCAACAACCACGACTGCCATCATATTCTTGGGTTTTATGGGGAAATCAGTTTCGTTTCGTTGAGTCGTTAAGCCAGTCAATTGTGAACGTGGGGGACGTAAACCCGGTAAACCAGAAAATCCGCAGTTAGTTTGTTTCCACACGTCTCCATTATATCTCATTATTATCCCTCCTCGTGATCCACTAGGGCTTTGCCATGATTATCATCCAGCCGACACATATGACGAAATATCTCCTTGGCTCTCTCCCTCTGGCCTGGAGAGACATCCAGCCATGTACGAATATGTGTGCGTAGTTACTTTGGGAAAGGCAGGTCAAGCAGCATGCATGATGTACTATGCATCATTTTGTCGGATTATGGGGTTTGAGGTCACGTGGAGAAAATAGAGCCCGTGTTGTTTAAGAGTTGCTAAACAGGGAGGGAGAAGCATATAGATATGCAATAATTGTTGCATGGAGAAAACCCAATTATTATTATTATTATTACGAGCAAATAAATACTTAATCATTTATTACTATACACGATGCATAGTTGAGTTTTTTTCTTGGATAACACTACTTATTCAAGTTTGTGTCGTATGTTATTATAAGAAAGGGCGTGATTTCAACTTATAAAACATTTTTGGTGTGCAGCACAGCCACCCATATTATTTTTGCATATTTTGAGTTCTTGCAATTTACAAACTAGAGGTAGGGCTTTTCTCTATACTTAAATTTAATGACATGTTTGAGTTCTCTATTATTTTGAACGTAGAAACTGACATTATCCCGGCCCCACCATCATTTATCCAGCTTCGAGTGGAGAGTAATTTGTGTAAGAATTGCCTGTTTAACTCTACTTTTTCAAACGCCGTCCTCATTTTATCTTATTTATCAAAATATCACTCACTCAAAAGGTATAGTTATCAAAAGTGGCGGTGGTGGTGGTAGGGCAAGCAATTTATGGTGACTGCATGTGATTGTGATATCGATCTGGAAGGAAAATTACAGGGTAGGTGGGAAAAGGAAAGGTATATGCGTAAAGTGTTGTTCTTGTTTTATGCCAACTCTTTAATTCCGCCAATGTTGCAAGTGGGTGGGTTTGATTGATGGCCTATTAGCAAAACGGAATCGGCAAGTATTAAACGGGTTATACATACATAGACTGGCAATAAATGGCAATATTGTACGTACCTATTGTAATAATTTGACAATGTCCCACCACCACCGCCGCACACGCAGTATCAATAACCCTGATTCTTTTGGCGGATGTTCACCATATCGTCATAAAATGACCATGTATGTATGTATGCATAGCGTATGGGCAACCCCTCTGCTTTTGGTTATTGAACGGTCGAAATGTAAACGCAGAGGGTATTTACAACAGTCCTAAGAACTCTGTAATAACACAAAGATTGGCTCCTTCTCGGGTATTTTCCGCTGGTGTTACTACTTTTCTTTGTATGTTTGCTTTTCTTTGTTCCATTCCCTGAAAATGCGGAGAAGAAATGCTTATTTCCTACTCTTCCTCCTTTTTTGACAGGGAGGCAGGCTGTGAGCAGGAGTAGAAGTTGGACAAATATTGACAAACGTCTCGGGACATGAGTGAATCGAAAAGACTTTGGCCTTAGCTGAATTGAACATCGGGTTGGTTTGGTTGGTTAGTTGACACAAGAACAAGAGTCTACGTGATTACTTTACTCATCTGCCTCCTGCCTGCCTTCAACTTCTGGGGTTAGAAGAGGGCTAGCTGAACATGGCCGTGTGTTGTTGTATGTACGACTATTGAGTGAGACTGCTGATAACATGATGATGCATGATGAGAAGAAAGTCATACCAGTCGGTATTTATTTGCTTTAAGCATTTCGATTCGCCTGCCTCGTCTTTTCTTTGCCTTATCGTCTTATTTTGTGTGGATTGGACAAACAAATAAATAGCAAGTCGTTTACATAAGACAACATGGCACAGGAGTAAAATAAGACGACGACGACGACGACAAAGAGAGCAGGCCGTCGTGTTGTTTGGTAGGGAAAACTTTTGCTGCTGTTGCGCACTCTACCGATATGGACAAGAGAAAGCGGTCGTTTTGTTCGTGTGCTGTTGGAGAGTAAATTGAATTAAAAGAGGTTTGTCGAGGAGCGAGCGAGATAATTATTCATGAGGGTCGATTCGACTGGAGAAAGCTCAATTTGGCGATAAAGCAGAGTGGGTGAGAGAAAGCAAGAAACGAGAGAGAGAGAGAAGTGAAGTTGGGTGGCTTGGTTGGTTGGTCTGGTCGGTGTTGGTTTTGGTAGTTGGTGGTGTTAAGGCTTTTGAGCTGAGCTGTTGTCGGGATTTATTGACCAAACTGTTCCCTCTGGGAGTCTAATTCCCCACTTCAGGATTAAGATGTTGGGTGGTGGTGTTGGTGAACTGGTGCGGAGAGAGCAGGGTGCAGCCCAACTCTTTTGCGGTTCATGCTTTAGTCCAAGTATCACAAAAAGTTGTCAGTTTAATGAATGAACATCTTTCACCAACGTATCTAAAACCTGAGCATTTTGGGCTCGAGAGTTATATCGAAAATGATGCCTTTTTTATTAAATCATAAACTCTGCTTTTTGAGAATAAGACACCACCCACCCTGCCCACACAGCCACAGATAAAAGCCATTGGCTCCAGCTGTGGTTCTTCTCTCTCTCCTTATTTTCCCAGTCTGTCGTCTGGCTCATTCCTTCCGTGCTACATTAGCTGGCGAAAAGAATCTTATAAAAGCAATGCTTATCCTGTGAGGTTATAGCCTTTCTCCACCACCACCGCCCCACCCAGCCCAACGTGTAGATATAACAGCTCTTGTGTAGAAAAGCTAAACCAATACATAAATCCCGGATCTGCTGTTTTATCTCTTTCTTCTCCCTTCCTCCTCCTCTCTTCTCTGTCCGGCAATCCCGCATATGCAGAATGAATGGCTTTGACTCTTAAATCGCTACACGTTTATAAGAAGATTGAGACGAGAAGTCTTCTTTTCAGAGGATGAAAGAGTCTGTATGCTCCTTTACTTGGTTTTTGAGCCCAAGTCTCGTGAGAATTGTGGAAGGCGAAGAAATCCGGCTTTCTTGGAAGATAAAAGAGGAAACATTCATTGTTATAAATACTTGGGAGAGGAAGGGAAAGCGATTTTATTCCCGGTGCTAAATAAATCATCATGCACTTTCTCTCCCACCACCTAAACAAACTGCAGGGATGATGAGAAAGTAAATGCTTTATTGTGTGTGTCCCTTCCTCTCTCTCTCTCTTCCGCTTTCCCCATTGGGAGTGAATTACAGGAGGGTGGCAAATTGTGATGGAATTCTCAGGATGAAAGTCTTGTTCTTCATCCTCCTCTCTCTCAGATTAATTTCCCAATTATGATTTGATCTCAAACTAAAATCTCTTTTAATCCTCAATCTCAATCAAACTAAAGCTTATGCAGCCAGCTGTATACATATTCTACACCAGCCCGATTGAGATTTAATTTGATTTCCTCTTGTAAATGATGGGATGGAGTTTCTCTTCTAATAATCTTAATCGTGAGGCTACCACACGAATCTAGTTTGGCGTCGCCCTTGTTGTTTGTTTTAAAAAGATTTGTTTTAAACTAGCTCGTAACTCGGAAGTATGAGTCTCAATGTTATCTAATTTCCCAAGTTTGAGTAATGATGAGGTTGGTGAGGGAGAAAGCGATAGTTCAGTCATGACTGTTGACACCTTCGCAATGCAATTTCTATTTAACAACGGTTATTTATTACCAATTGAGTATTTAATTAGAGAAGACGAGCAATTGAATTGGTTAATAATTACTGGTTATCAATCAATCATGATTATAGGTAGACACATGTATGTATAAATGTATGAACTTTTAGTTATAATGTTTAACTATTGAAAATTATTTAATTACAGACCGAGATTTCCAAACGATTGAATGCGATAATAGCCCAAATCCTTCCATTCTTATCACAAGAGCATCAAAATCAAGTAGCCACTGCTGTGGACAGAGCAAAACAAGTGACGATGACGGAACTCAACGCTATAATTGGGGTGAGTTTTCCATAAAACTACGTACAAAGTTGGGAACTAATAATTTATGCTGATAATACATATGTACGTACGTAAGTATTATCAATATGAATTGGCCGAAATTATTACCAACGACATTTGTCTAACTTCGATCGTCCAGTTCGAAGTCGTGCTTAGGTCGCCTCCGAGGAGGATATAAATTCGCGTACAGATGTTGTCAGTGATGTATGTGAAGGGTGGTGGGTGGGTGGGGTGAGGGATAGTGGAGTGGATTTCGGGAAGAGATTATATGGAATTGATTTGGGCACAAACTCGGGTGGACGGGGATTATTATTTGTTATGGATCGTTACTTGCTGGCCCTCTTAATAACACATAATTCCATCATAACGCTACCCATTAATACATCCCTTTATTATTATCTCTCATCCAGTCCCAGTATTTTAACTAGCAGAATTTGCGTGCCCCACACAGGCGACACAAAGCGAAATAATCCGTACTCGTGCACGTACTGGATGCTTATTGTGGTACTGATATATCTACAGTTCTGCTTCATTTAATCTTTTTGATAAACTTTTTTTTCCAAAGTGCATATTTTTTTACTAGAAACGTTTAAATGTGTGGAAATACATGATGTGTCAGATTTAATTACTGCTTTCGTTAAATATTTTTAAATTTTGTTTCAGCAGCAGCAACGTCCAGATCTCCCTAGACTTTTGGTAAGTTTTTGTTCGCCTGGCTCTGATTCCTGTTTTTTTTTATTTTTTTATTGGCAACATGGGTGATCTGGAATATTTTGAAATGTATAAAGTCGCTAATCGGAGTTTTCATACAGATTATGCATTACACTACTTTGAAACGTGATGCTTATTGACGATATTTTTTTATACATCAATATACTTTTTTCCTAATTACAGCAACAAATGCATGCGCAGCAACTTGGACCTGCAGCGGCTGCAGGTCACCCTCCTCTCCCCATGTTGCCACACCCAGGCTTGGGGCCCGGGTTGCCACCATCCTCGGCGGCCTCGCTCCTCGGTCTCACTGGGCTGGGTGGGGCCCCACACCCGCTCGCCATACTTAACGCCAAACATGATCTCCATCGGGGGGAGGACAAACAGCCAGCTTTGGAAGATCGTCATTCCAGCAAGGTGCGTTTTCCTTTACTAAACCCACTGCCGGCATCGATATCGTTTGTTGCACGTACATACACGTAAAGATTTCGTATACAGATTGCATGTGCATGCTCTTAAAGAATAATATTGTTCTTCAGCTTTCTTCAAAAGGCTTACCAAAGTTTTTAAACTTACATTATTGAAAAACCAATTACTGGCAGACTGGAAGGGCAAACACACTGTGCTTTCTTTTTTGCTCTGATGAATCCCTAATATTCACAGGATCCCGGACCACTTTACATTTCCTCTTACCCGCTTCGGAGGAAGAAAAAGGGAGAAATTTAATTAGAGAGAGTTTTGGTGAAGTAGAGAAGTTGAGTGTGAAAAGTGGTGTGATGAGGAAATTAGCATTGTCAAACAAAGCGATCCCTTCCTTTATGCTACCCAGAAGAGAGGAGTCGCAGTTGTAGTGGAAGTGTAGTTTCCCACCAAACTTGCCCGTTCACAATGCTTTCGTTTATTCTCAAAAAGGAGCCAAGACAAAGGGGAGACAAGAACAAAAGAAAAATTATTTTGTGACGTGCTGTGATTTCTCCTATACTTTTTGGTGTTTGGTATCACTAGGGATGGTAATCCGTATCCTAAATTAACCGATCCGTAGGATAGGATCGGATAAATACAGGATCGGATCGGATCGGATTTGCTCGCTTTAGGATCGGATCGGCTCCCGGTTCTACTCGAAATCCGATGCGATCCGATCCTAGGATCGTAGGATATCTTGATATGTGTGAGACACCTTGTGTCTAACTATGGAAAAACTTTACCAGCTGCTTTTCTTTATTTATTGGAACGGTTTTTGGTGACACGACCACATGGAGTACATTACCCGAACGAGCCGAATTATTTTATTATTTTCCACCACTTATTTTTATTTTGGCGTTTAAATTATTCCATTTCGTATGATTTAAACGCCAAAATAAAAATAACTGGTGTTAAATAATAACATAATTCGGCTCGTTCGGGTAATGTACGCCATGTGATGAACTCACCAAATGTGAAACGAGTTTACATCGGATGATCCGAGGATCCTGTGCGATCCTAGGATTTCATCGGTTCGGATCGGATTGTCTGATCCTCGGATCCTCTATCCGATCCGTGTGAAAATCCGATCCTATCCGAGTTTTTACGGTCCTAGGATAGGATCGGTTACGGATTACCATCACTAGGTATCACCAAGCTCAGAGAAAGAGGAGGAGGAGCAGGAGCAGCAAGTTTGCTTTCACTTTCATCAGTCTTGTCTTAATTTTGATGGAAAAGAATGCTCATTTAGAAATTCTTTTTCCGTAAAAGCAATATCGCTGCAGTAAAATGTTTGCAAACTTAAAAACATGAAATGAACGAACAACACAATATTTTAGATATATTTAGCATTATCAAATTGAATGTGAGAGTAGAAACTATAAGCACGTGTAGCTGACTAAAATAAAAATGTCGCTATACGCATAATAATAAAATCTTGTCAGGAGCGCCTTCTTCTTTTGTCCAATTTTTACAATTATTTGAAAACTGGAGTTTTCCTCCTTCATTTTTGCCTGATCAAAAGGTTTTCGCCTTTGCGATGCAGTCACATTCGGATGTCTCGTTCGAGTCAATCTGTGTCTTGCACTTGGCTGAACTTGGCTCCGGTACAAAAGATGAACAAAGGGCGAGAGAAGACGATGCAGGAGGATGAAGTGAGCGAGTGAGTGAGTGAAGTGAAAGTTGAGAGGCAGCCGGGAATAATTAGTGGGAACAACTTTTCTTTTATTGCTTTCATCTACACTACCGCCACCTCCTTCACTTCCCATCTTTCCCCTCTCACCCATTCTCTCTCTCGCTGCTTTCTCCACTTTTTCCTCCCTTGCGTGAAATGAGTCACGACGACGACGACGACGGTGGTGGTGGCGATGATGATGGATAATGCTAATGCAGCTAAACTCGGGCAGAGTTTTTTTTTATTTCCTCTCTTTTTAACTTTTAATTTATTTTATTCCATCTCAGCACTTGACAGTTAACTGGCAAATGTTCTATGTGATTAATTAATGATCAAGTTGAGATGACTGAGAGTCATTCATTATTAAAAATTATTTTAATAAAGACTGATTTAATCTTTTGCAGGGGGGCGATTCTGGCCGTGCTTCAGCATCCGACAGTGAAAAAGGATCTTACAAGAAGATGAAGCAGGAAGGGAGAAAGGTAAGCGAAGAAGAAAATGCACACTTTTCTCTCCAGGTGTTGCGACTATCATGAGAGCTCAATTCCATTACATGCTGATAGTTGGCCCTTGTTCGTGCTGGGTATCTTTAGCACTTTGATGTGGGGCTTAAATAAATTGCTCCTTAATTGAGTGACATGAATAAAATTATTGTGGACCGCGGCATTATATAAATAAGTACACTTCTACGTGGGTCCAACAACCCACCACCTTCAACAAAGCACCGTCATCGTAATTTAGTTCCGAATGGTTGACTTTGCTCGTGTGTTAGATAATTAAGATCAATTGTGTGGCTAATTTGGCAATTTTCTCTTCTTCTTATTACGTAAAAGTGTGGGTGTAGAAAGAATGTTGCGAGTCTGAGGAGTGGTACGCAAGTGACTGAGGAGAGCAAGACTTTTATTTAATGGGCGGTAAATGATGGAACAGAGAAAGGCCATTAAGGGACTTTTAACCCGATTAGGGCCACTTACCAACGCCATATTATAAATGAAGTGAGTACGGCTGAACATTCAGCTAAATATATCTATAAGAAGGCACATAATTACCCAACCGTGGTGCATGATCCAAGTTTCGAGACTTTTCTATATATAAGCCATCAACACGACGCTTGGTCGAGATTCATCTCCCCCGATGATTAAACTGATAGTTTAAAAAATGTTCTGAAACTCTGCCTCAAAAAATCATTCTGCCATTTCGAATATAAATGGGATGATTCTCACTTCACTTTGCGCGTTTTCCTGCGATGTAGATGTAAGCACGTTGGGAAAACCAACTATTCAAAGTTAACGGAGACCTAAAGTAAGATTAATTACGAAATGATGATAACAATGACTCTTGACTCCTCTTCTGTTCGTGCCATCGTCTTCCCCTACTTGACATTGTTTCCGCATTTTCGCCCACTCTATTTACTGGTAGAATCCTAAAGTGTATTCTTCATTTGAAATAATGAGCTTAATGAGCTAAATTAAAATTAAGTGGAGGGATTGGATTGGATGGGACGACTCAAGCTTTTCAAGTGTAGTAACTTTCTCACAGTTTCCTTTTTTTCTCAAACAGAGTGAGCAAAGTGACAATCTTAGTTATTTAAAAGGATTTTTTTTTTACTAAACTGGAACTTACGAATGAGGACAAAAAATAAAAGTGAGGAAGAAAAATTCAGATTTTGGTTCCAGCCGAGAAAGTTTTTGTCGAGTTTAGTTGAGCGGAACAAATTAGTGGAAAAAGTAAAGAAAAAGTCTCAAGTCAAATAGCAAACAAATGAGAAGAGGAGAGAGGAAAGGACTTTTCTTTCTTTCTTTCATCTCATCTCATCAGCTAAATAAATCTCCTTTTTTTATTCCGAGGGATGCAAAGCAAACGAAATATTTTTCCAAGTCAAGAGTATTTATTATACGAGCTTTCGCATTTATTGTGTCGTGCAAAATGTAGTGAGAAGCAGTCGATTAATGTTATAATTTTTCAAAGTATTTTTTCCCCAGTAGTGTGTGCACCACCCAATTTTTGAGTTTCTTTACCATTTTCGTCGTGTTGCACTTAATAACTTATGCAAGCACTAGAGTTGACAGTTGCTTCCTTCCACTTCCTCCCAAGTGACTTTCTCCTCTGATGCTGATGTTAATGCTAATCTCTCGGGAAATAAATCATCATTAGCGTGCTTTTCCACCAGACGAAAAAAGGATGTGCATGTACTGGCCTAGTAATTGTGAACAACTTTTTAATATTACTCGGATCACTGTGGTGGTGGCTGCGGATTAAAAAGTTTAGGACAAAGTTGAGAGCTTGTTGGACTTGAGTTTTCTTCTCCCCTTGCGCTCCTTACTTCACTTCTTAGCGAAGGGATAAAAGTCAAGTGTAGTGTAGGAACCATACGACGCAAATTAGGAAGGACAGAAAAAAAGTTGAGATTAATTTGGAACAGCGCGGATCCAGGCGTGCGTAAGTACATACAATCAAATTGTTTTCATGATGGCGAAACTTTCCTAAAGTGGGCGTGTTGTCTTATTTTTAAAGAATTTGTCACAAACATTTCTTGGAAAGGATATGAAGCACTCAAGTTAATTTTTATTTATTGTACGTATCAGAAGAAGGTGTTCAGGCCGAGGGAGGAGGAGGGCGTGATGCAACATGGGATAATAACATGTCGCCCATTTCCACCGTCCTTCTAGCTTGGCCTGACTCTCTCTCTCCCATTCTTTCTTTCTTCCTTCCGGCCTACCACGAGAGAATAATGTCGTCGTTTATGGCCCTGTTTAGATTTTAATGGAGCACTTGGTTCGCCCATTTGTTTGGCTCCGTGAGAGCTGTCGGCTGTCCATAAAAGAACCATTTACTTTCTCCCTCTTTCCAAACACTAAATCCACTTCAATCGCTTATGCTTAGGCAACAGCTTCCCACCGCCACGACCAAAAAGTAACAAATAAATACATCTTCCGCACCCACTTATTCTTCAACACATAATCTGTATCCCCATTCTACTGGTCAGAACATGATCGCAAGATCGAGATATATTTATGCCTTGTACATGCTCATTTTGCTCAACAAATAACGCAAGGCTTGGTTCAATTCAGTATGTATATACCAAAACAATACTCATGTGTACGTATCCTTGTAACCATTTAAAACTACTTATTTATCAGAGAAGAAATTTAGTGCGGAGAGTATATATTATTTGTTTTTATCGAGAATTGGATTTGGCTAATGTAGACATGGCGTGCTTGGAAAGATCACAAACTTTCTGCTGGTGAAAGTGCCTACGATGTGGGTCCGTACACATGATCAAACAACAATCAACAAACAAACAGTTCTCACGTTGTAGGCGGCTCGACGTTGAAATAATCTCGTCTGGCCCACCCTTCTGCCCAATTGAGGTGGACAAAAGCTGAGCTGATAGATTAACACTGCCAGCAAGGAAAGAAATCCCCCTTCGTACTTTCTAATCCATTTGAGAAAACAAACATGTGCTGGGAAAGAAGGAAACTCCTTTTTCAATTAGAGATCACGCCACTTAAGTCCACGTCACGTAAAATTTCACCTGAAATAAAAGAGGTGTGAAAATATAGAGTTTATTATTGCCAATTTTCGGGGGATCAGATTATGTATTGGCTCAAGGCTCATATTTATTTTTTATTTTTCCAAAATTCGTGCCAGGCTTTGAATATTATTTTGCATATGGTACCTTATCGCAACGTATTTATACGTATGCATGCATATGACATGGGTTTGTTTGATGGAGGAGTGTATGCAGTAGAAAGAAAGGGAAATAAAAGTGGTCAATATGGTGCTTTCTGTCTTGGACTTTTGTAATTTGGAATGTTGGTGGTGTTCCACTCTAAATGTATCCCTTGTCTGTTGCCTGGAATAAAAGATGACACGGCACGGCTACTACGGCACGGCCACGACCTCAGTAAAGGCGGACGTGATCTGATCTGATCCTCTTCTCAACCATCAAATAATTCTCAAGAAGACTCACTCCGTTAGCATTCTGCACGCGTTCGCCTTAAAAATCCTTTGCCTCAAGAAAAAAAAGTGGTCCGTCGTCCTGTGCATGCATACTTTCGTATTATATGAGATATGAAGTATATATTTGATCATCCGCCCTTTTAACATCATCCTTCCGTTTGGTGGGGGATGGATGGCATTCAACGATATGGTTTCAAAATTATAATGAGACACAATTTTCTGGCGAACAATTTTTATATCACTTTTTGAACTTGTAAGTTTTGAATTTCTGAAAGATTTTCCAAAAACAAAGATAAGCTGCATTACTCGGCCATGCTTGTTATGAAACCCGTGGGCAATTTTGTATTCCGATCCTTGCTCCTGTATAAGTAAGTTGGTTATTTATATATACTGACGTCTGCTGGAGAAAGTAAGTGTTTGTACATGCGGAAGGAAGACGGGAAGGGAAACGAGATGAAGTGAACCTTGTCCAGAGGTAAAGTAAAGATTGGATTGAGTTTTTGGTTTGGTTTGGTTGAGTTCACACTCCACAAAATGGATAAGATGTGAACATGGAGTCATATATACGTAAGTAGCAAAGCTGTTATTGAGAAGTTTTCCTCCTATTGCCTCCTCCGTCCATGCCACTGCTTTCACTTTCCTCATATTTGCCGGAAATTTTCCCCTGTGGCTCTAAATGATCTTGTAACAAATGAAATGAGGAGATCTACGTTACAGGTTACCCCCGGAAGCCCACCACAGCCTCCTCCTCCTCCTCGCTCGCCGCTTTTTGGCTGTTGACAGTAATAAAGAGAGATGGAAATTGGTGGAACTAAGTTGGAAACAATTTGGGCGGAGAAATGAATGAATAAATTGGGAATCAAGATGCACCACTGCGCGACGCCACTGCACCAGAGTAATAACAGTATTCGAACAGTGTAGTTGGTGTAAATTGGTGCTGTGGCTGCTTCATTAGCACTCACAAAGTTCCCATTCCCAAATTAATGGTTTTATCTCCACCGGGAATACCCTCGCCTTCCGTCTCACTCTCGCCCACTCAGCCTCTTCTTCCTCAGCCCTCCTTTTATGTGCAGAAACTTGCTTTACGAGAAATCTGCAATAAAATTTGGAAATTTATTTAGAAAATTATAGCACACATAAAAATGAGCAAAGTCATACATCTACGAAATCATGTTCATATGAAGTAAAACTACAACCAATACGTACGTACGTGTTGTATCATCGCACAAAGTTATAACTTTTTAGTCGGTCATGAATGGTAATGATAATTGCAGGAATGGCTTCTTATAGCTTGTTTATTACGATTGGAGATCATTTTAGGATTTTGTATGCAAAAAAGTAACCAACTGAGCCACCACCTGCAGGAGGATTATGCAAAGTAACGCGAGTAAATTGAGTTGCCTGACCCGAGACGTTGTAGCAGAATTATGATGGAGGAGAAGAAGAGAGAGATTTTATATCTTTTATATTACTCCGCCTATCTGCTCGCCCTCCCGTTTTTTATTTCTCCAAGGAATAAAGAAGTAGAAGACGAGAATGGGAGCGGTGCGGAGATTTCCCTTTTGAATACGTAATAAAACCCGGGTGGGTGGTTTATCCATCCGATTCCATGAAATGAAAGGGATTTCCTACTAGTTTTTTATGGGGCTCCAACGCACTCCAACCTGCCTCCGAACTCTGGAGAAAGCAGGGAAGGTATATAAAGTATTGCTTTGAGAGAGGGTAGGGTTCACCCATTTCGAGGAAAACTGTGTGTCTGCAGGATTTGAATCCGTCGTCATGAATTTATTCCGTGCTTCTTGCAAGTTCCCCCCGTGCTCTGGTGAGTCGTCTGTCTACTATGTCATTCCAGGGGATGTGGACGAGAGAGAAGCCAAGCCATGAAAAATTGAGTGGGGAAGTGGATTTCCTTCCTGTTCCTTTTTAGAAGCAGCCAGCCGGCCGGGATCTTTCTCGGCGAAGGAGAAGATCCAAAAATCTTGCAAATAATGTGATGCGCGTTTTCTTCTCCAGTCGACCGAATACAACAAAACCTCGTCCTCCTATCCGCCCCGTATAAATGCACATACACCGTTTACTTTCGGCAAATCTCAAAGAACGTTCAAAATATGTGTGCAAAAAAAGTTTATTTATTTATTTATTTTTTGGTTCATTATAATTTTAAAGTTTTTCTTTATTTGAATATTCTACACGTATCGAATCGTCGAAAGTGGTGGTGAAAGCATGTCTGAGAAGGTTGGAGGGATTGCAGTGAGGTTCCTGCGTCTGAGATGTATTATTGCTCCTGCTCTGCCCCAGGATGTTTTCGGATGTGGGATGTAGTTCAGAATGAGAATGAGATTGTGTCCTTTCTGTTTGTACAAGAGTAAAGTGAATGGAAATGTGTATTTTAACCAAGGGAAAAAGAACCCGACCATAACCAACCAACCGACCGGCCCGAACCCCCGGGGCAGTTGCTTTCTCTTCACTTCTCAAGTGAAAAAGTGAAAGCTCTCCACTTCTTCTTCTTTCCTCCAACAATAACAAATCGCTACACTCGGTCAACCATCACCTACCATTTCCTACTCCATTTTGACAAAATGTAGTTTGACGTGCTAGCGAGTTATGGTTGATTATTCTTTTAAAAAATGTGCATACTTTTGAAATCTTAAAATCATCATAGCAAATCATGGAAATGCTTCGAACGACGAGCAGAGGTGCTGAATCATGAGCAGAGTGAGAGATTTGTGGTGGATTGACTGACAGGGAAACAAATACGTTTGGTTTGTCGGTGGGAATAATCAGATGGAGAATCTCTCTGGGGAGCTCGAGAGGGTTGATGTGAAACCTGAAAATGCGTAAAATTCTCGCTTCCATGTTGGATGCCAATGCGACACTAAACAAGTGTTTGTTTTTTTGAGGGGCTATTCTCGTTTCACGTGTTTGAAAAAAAATGTTATTCTGAAAAGTGTGTTTTTCTGTTGGATTACGATGTATCAGTTCAGTAACTTAGTAACCTTCACCGCTCTGAAGGAAAAAAAGTGATGTGGTCTGATCTTTGATGGTTTTCTTGAGGAGGATTTTCCACCGGGCATTGATTCCCGATTCAGGATTTAAGGTTTAGTCCGACACATACGGAGCATCGCATCACTTATGCCAACCACGTCAGGCTTTTAACGATATCGCGTCTGCCTGTCTTCAGTTATTCTCCCCTCTCGCTCGCTCAGTATTCCGAATTTCCATCCGCATTTTATTTCATTTTATTCCCTTCACCCTCCGACCTCTGCTCCTTTCACCTCTCATGTTGTGACTGACTCCACCAAATTTCTGACTCGGCTCACGGCACAAATAAATCCGCTTCTTCTTCTCCACCATCCGCAGGGAGTAAGGTTAACTGAGCATGAAGCGTAAAGTAAAATCTGGTAAAGACGATGTGCTCCATCCTCATGCAAATCTTTTTTAAAACCCACGCCAATATTCGAGCAACTGTAATTTGGCAATTTTCTACTCTCCTTGTTGAATGAAATCGTATATTTTTTTTATTTTCCGAGCAACACTTTTTCCTTGCTCCTTCCACTTGGTCACGGGTGAATGAGGGAGAAACTAATTTAAATTTTGTGCATGCATCATCCCACCACCGCCACCAACGAGAATATCACCAATTGGGGTCACAGATTGGACTCTACATATGCAAAAGATGAGGTTTGGTCTCAATGGTTCAGAAGGTTTCACATGTTTTTGATTTGATTCACCGGAAGATTTTTTATGATTTTTTAATCAATTTCATGCATCTGTGAGCTCGTAAATTGCTAACGTATTACTGGAAGACGGGGTGATCGATAAATTTTACCCAATCTATATGGAATCTATTGGTTTGCATAAAATAATGGTAAATCAAGGTTTGGAAGGCTAAAAGTGAGTTGGTTGAAAATAAATTACGAGATATGCATACATACTTATAATTTGCACACAGACATTATGCATGCTTTGGTCTAATTATTATTTTTTCAAATTATAATGCCCGCTCCATTAGAACGCGTAATAAGTTACATACTCATTCGTACATAAGTACGTAGATATTTACCTATAAGGACGGTTTCAAAGTATGAAATGCAGTATGAAGGGCTGAGAGCGTCATAAATTGAGATGTAATCGATGATAACCCAGTGTCCTCGGACGGAGGAGTGGGAGCTGAATTAAAGCAGCGAGAGTTGAGGAGGGATATTTGATGATGGAAATATGGCATTGAGCTCGGTTATGAATACATACGACCTGCTTTAAATCTAATTTCCTTTCTAATAAATTGCAGAGAAACTCGCTCTCTCCCAGTGACCGAGACAGAGTGAGACCACGAAGCAGTCCGGACTCGGAGCCAAAGCGGCCCAAGAGGGAGGACAAACACGATGTAAGCCTCAAACTAGTTAATCAACATATTAACACTTGAACATCACTCGTCCTTTCATCCGCCTTTTTGGCCTAAGTAGCATCTACAATCGGATAAAAATATATAACCATCTTTTAAGAGAGTAGACGATTTGGTCCAAAAAATACATCCCACTGTGAAAAAATGAACGGAGAAAGCAACGGGTCCACTTGGTCGGTGGCTGGCTGGCTGTTATAAAATATCTTTCTCCCTCATTCCTGCCCTTTGCTCTCCTCAAGTCTGCATTCATTGGCCTCATTGAAGCCCACTCAGTCAGTCACCACCACCACTTTCTTGGCCGACTCAAAAAGTCTCTCCTTTTTGCTGACCACTCCGCCAGCTAGCGTAGGTAGACATGGAACAAATTGGACCTTTTATGGCCTGTACTACTTCCCGTTTTATATTATTATGGTCACTATGTGTTCCCTCCGGTTGCCCTCCACCTTCCTCTTCAATCACCAACGACGATATCAATCCTTTCACCCATAAAATGGAGGAGAAAGTCGACAAGTAAAAAAAAAAGTAAAAGTTTTTTCCCCGTCGCCAACCAACTCTCTGATTGCTTTAAGATGTGGCAGTAAATATTTCCACAAAAAAGGAGATTGTGCGACACATACTAATAATACATTCGTGGTGTCCAGAAACGGAGGGGAGTGAAAGAACAAGTTCCAATTTTTCAAATTGACATTTGTTTGCAAAAAATGACGTAGACTTATATTTCTTGTGGACGACGAGAGGAGAATAATTATTAAAGTATTAAATGGGTTTCTTCTTGGGCGATAAATGACTTTTTTTCTACCCCATCATCAGTTACAAATGTTTATTGCTATTTTGCAGTATTTCATTCATGACAATAAATTACGACAAGATAATGTAATTTCAGTACCAGTTTCAATCAAGATTCTAACCAATCCCATGAGCAGACAGAAACAGATTAAAAATGTAAAAATAATTGAATAGCAAATGCTGCCATTGAAATAAATGTGAACCTGGCTCGTTGTGACCTGTCTTAAATACATAATGCTCTTAAATACCATCCCTTCCCCTAATTGTAATTGGTGGGCAAAGAATTATCGACATTATGCAAATTGACGCATAATAACATTTCTCTCTCATAATTGCAGAGTGATGGTGAGAAGAGTGATCAGGACTTGGTTGTCGATGATACTAATGAGGTGAGTTTTTCATTTAATTATTATTCTACAAATGCTGTAGTTGTACAAATAAAGCTACAAATGGTGTGTTGTGCATGAGAAGAATGGAAAACATGCTCCGCTGTCCAGACGGCTTTATACATAAAAAGATGATCCAGTTTGACCACTTTTTACCCATAAAATAAACAAACAGAAAAATAATATTATGAAATGCATGAACGGCCATAACATTCAAACAACTAAAGCTGAACATCATTCCCTCCCACCGTGCAGGTTAATTGCCAATAAATTATGAATGAAGAGAAAAACAGAAAACCAGAAAACTATACATTATTTAACAAATCCCAACTTTTGCATATATCATTTGTATGGAGCAGGTTAAGACTTTGCTTGTGTAAGGATTATGGTTTGCTACTAATTATTGCCTTTTCTACTGCAATATTTTTGTGCCTATTCTGAAATTGGGAAAAAGCGTAGTTTTCTTAGTAGGCGGTGAAGATTTTTTTTATTAATTTGGGCATGATGATCGTATAGAAGAGAAAGGTAGGAGTAGAAGGCGAGTAATTAACACTGCATAACATTGAGGATGCGAGAAAGAGAGGTTATAGTTAATTACTCCCACTGTTGGTGGCTGGGTTTTATATGAGTTCAGTGGCTCATTCACTTGTCCCGTAATTTATTGAGTAATTAAAGCAGGCAGCTCATTCCAGATCCACCGGGGTGCATTCCACAGCAGGTTCTTCTAATTTAAGTCAATTCCACCCCTTTGATATGCTAGCTAGAGACCTTGGCACTCTGGAGCTGGGCTGGTTTCTCCAATCTACCTCGTTTACTTTAATTGCCTGTTTTTGGTGTAATTGAGAAATTGAGAAGGAACTCACATGACTCACTTATGCATACACATGAATGGGGACAAGCAAACGGCCTTGTTTCTGCAAAATCATAATAAATGTGCTTTAAATGCTGCCATTACAGGACCCACTCACACCTCCTCCGAATGGAAATGGGACAAGCTCTCCAAGAGAAAACGGGATTGACAAGAAAAATAATAAGGACCACAGTTTACCTCCACATAGGTATTAACTAATTCGCTATACATTTACATACGTAGATGCTAGAATCTCTCACCTTTCAAAAAATTAATATCATATAAGTGAAAAAATCTTGAATCTCTGTCGTCTGTAAAATTTCACAGTCCGCGGAGTGGGGGATCGTCTAATTCAAGCACACCCTCGAGTCACAAGAAGGACGATAAGCCCACCACTCCCACTGGGAAATCAACCACACCCAACTCGGGATCCCATTCGAGCTCGTCAAGTATCAAGCCTATGGCCCGTGCCACACCCTTGGGTAATTTACAATAGAGACAGACAGCTGTATTTAAAAACTAAACGATAGACTAATTAAAGTCCCCACTTAAATTATTTCTCCCCACTTTATTGTAGACCCTTTCTTTTTCCCAGGACCTGCCCCCGCATACCTCCACAACAGCATCAGTCCCTCTCTGAACAGCTATGCAAGACCTCCGTTGGTAAGTCCTTGGCACTTTGAGAACCCAGACAACTCCAAGTTTCAGTCTTTGATGAATATTATGCAGGGATATGATCCTCATTCCGCCATGAGAGGTGCCCTTGGTCCTGGGGGAATACCCGGCATAGGCATTCCCGGAGGCAAACCGTAAGTTCAATTAATGTTTGATTACCAGATACATATAATGCCACACGTTGTGTTGACATAAAATACATGATGATGGCACTTTTATGGTTTTTTCGTATGATCAATGTCAACTTTTTTCAGGGCTTATTCTTTTCACGTTTCTGCTGAAGGACAAATGCAGCCCGTACCTTTCCCTCCAGACGCCCTAGTCGGACCAGGTATCCCTCGCCATGCTCGACAAATCAACACTTTAGCCCACGGCGAAGTAGTTTGTGCAGTGACGATTAGCAACCCCACAAAATATGTGTATACTGGAGGCAAAGGATGTGTAAAAGTTTGGGACATTAGTCAACCTGGCTCGAAAACACCAGTGTCCCAATTGGACTGTCTGCAAAGGGACAATTATATCCGATCTGTGAAACTATTGCCGGATGGAAGGACGCTGATTGTGGGTGGGGAAGCAAGCAATTTGTCCATTTGGGATTTGGCTAGTCCTACCCCTCGTATTAAGGCTGAACTCAATTCCTCTGCTCCTGCCTGTTATGCACTTGCCATTTCTCCAGACTCGAAAGTATGTCAAAAAATGAAATCCCTCTTGACTCTGCTAAATAAGTATATAAAGTTATTATGCGAGTTATGCAATATGTTTTTCACTTGTGTGAAGGTGTGCTTCAGCTGCTGCAGTGACGGCAATATTGCCGTTTGGGATCTCCACAACCAAACCCTCGTGCGACAATTTCAAGGTCACACCGACGGTGCCAGTTGCATAGATATTTCTGCGGGTAATTTTCAGCTAAAAAAATGATATAGGTATCTTAAAATGAAACAAAAATGTGATAACGTTGCGACCCATAATTTTCGCAGATGGTTCGAAACTGTGGACGGGTGGGCTGGACAACACGGTTCGATCTTGGGATCTCAGAGAAGGTCGGCAACTTCAACAGCACGACTTCTCCTCCCAAATATTTTCCTTGGGCTACTGTCCAACTGGGGAGTGGCTCGCCGTTGGGATGGAGAATTCGAACGTCGAAGTGCTCCACTGCACCAAGCCCGACAAATACCAACTCCACCTGCACGACTCGTGCGTGCTTTCACTCAAATTTGCTGCGAACGGCAAGTGGTTTGTGAGCACTGGAAAAGACAACCTGCTAAATGCGTGGCGTCAGTAAGTTCAAAAATAAATGCATTGTTGACCTTTGTAATTTTAGTCATTATAATTACCATTAATTATGTTTCAGGCCGTATGGTGCGAGCATATTTCAAAGCAAAGAGTCGTCGTCTGTGTTGAGTGTGGATATTAGTACCGATGATAAGTACATTGTCACCGGAAGTGGAGACAAGAAGGCAAGTATTGTCTTATTCACGAAATTAACATTTTACTCGTGAAAAACTAATTATTACAATGTGTTTTTCTTCTTTTTACATTTCAGGCTACCGTCTATGAAGTTATTTACTAATAATATATTTGATACCTACCGTACAACCATGCAAGCTACATACATGAAACCAACCAACCACATATATGATGAACTAAATAAGAGGAATATTCAACGTTCAATACAACTATACATACATACAAGACTTTGTACTTGAATTGTTATAATTATTAAAAACATTTCGTGATGCTAAAAAATACCCAGAAACAAAAAAATGAAAGAAAACAACTCCCACAATTGCTCTGCGATATTTTTGTAGAATAGATTTTGTAAAAATCCGACAATCTGTAATCCAAAACTGGTCAGAATTTGTGAAACTTGTAGCTTTTTGTGTAACTTTAATTAATGGGACCTTCAGCATATACTACGTGCATACATATAATATAATTTTTGAGAAAGTCTGATTTTAGCTAACTTAATTTTGATGATTACGAATGATCATAAAAATGAATTATTATTGTTTTTATAAGATATGCATTTACAAGCTTGTTGTAATTTGGACATGACATGATACTCATGAATGCATAAGTCAAATTATTAAGTAGGCCGTGTAGATCGTAAACCAGGTTGGACATTTTGCATAACAAATAATACTTTTAAACTGTTCCCTTGCAGTAAAATTCATAATCTAATTTATGATACAAATTTAACATTGCTACAACATATGTATTTACATAAATAGTAAGAAATAAGGAAATTAAATAGTATAACCTTTCTTGATTTTTAATTAATTTCTAATTTATTTCTCACTACCGCTAGATTTTTATAACTTAATAATTAACCTTTAAAAAATTTCGAATTATCACAAATTGCTATGATATACTCAAATGTTTGCAAATGAGACGAATCAATGTCACCATTATTCCAAGAAAAAATAAATAATAAATTAATAGTTGAATTTGAAAAAAAATCTACAGCGTAATAACTTGAGATTCATACCGAGCCATGCACAACTAAATATGTATTCTGCATCAATTTCCCCATGCACTCTGGATGCAAAATGTTTTGTATCAATTGAGCAACTACTGGATCCCCTTAGCAAAAAATTAGGAGAACTTGGTCAAGCAGTAACCCAATGATGTACATATTTCTTATTTAGCTTCTCTACAAATGCATCCTTCATTACTTGATTTCAGTTCAACCACAACTGAAATTCACTCCACAGCGTGTACTACCGTTTCATCAATGAACTGCTTTTGATATTTCCACCGGCCAACATTAGGTGGCCATCTACTCTAAAATTCCTCGTATAACGATCCTCCACACGGTCTTCAATTCTGCCAGAATTTTGTAGGACGTTCACAACGCTCTCATTGGTTGTGTAAGCTAACGAGGAGCAAGAGGACCAATCGAGGAATCGCGTTGAATTGGATGCCGTAAGAGTTGAGTTTTTCTCTTGGGGTTGGCATCCATCCAGTGGTTTTAAGCTTTTCAGACCCTAACGGGCACATTGCTGCCTCGAAATCATGGAGTAAACAGACTTTGTCCCGGCCAAGCATTAGTATCCGTTTGGATTGCAGGAGGAACGCAGCATTTGTTGAACGGTTCGTTCCGAAATTTTACAAAATTTCAAATTTTTCCTGAAATCTTTACTTGTAGGGACAAACCCTGCAAGCCAAGCAGTTGGAAAGGGACGATACCTTGATCGGCGTGCATTAAACTGTGTATGGCAAAAAGTCACACAGTACACGAAACAAGTGACAAGTGAGTGAGACACTAACCTAGCATAAGAATAAACATTGGAACCGTTTCACAGGATTGGATATATGTACCTATACCCGAAAGAATAATTATATTGGATTACATCACACACATCACACTGACGGAACCAAATTGGTTAACCCGACATAGTGCTCCCAAACAATTGTTTAATACGGCTACAAAATTTTACCGGCATATTTAACGCAGACGTTATGGGAAAGTGAATTTTGTTTAATATTTATTGCTTGTGCTTGTCTAGGAGCTGAAGCTTGCATTTATTAATCGTTAAAGTGGAGTGGTGATAATAATAATTATTATAATTAATAAGTTGTGTTAAAAGTTCAACAACACATTCTTCGCCGTTAGTTTTGTCTCTCTGGATGCACTTACATACAAATAACGGAGGAGACTAATCAATTATTTGTTTACAAACATTACCCTAACTTTGTTCGTGTTGTTATCAATTGAAAGTAAAGTGGATAATTATTGTTATTGATTCGGCTATAAATACACAATAAATACAAGACGCCCAGCTATACACGACCAACACAGTTGTAATAATGCGACAGGTAATATTTCATGAAGTTTCATTGAGAACCTAGACTGAGTTTATGTACGCTGTTAATGCCGCATACCTACACACGTATGTACATGCACAATATCTCCGATATTACGAGTCTCAGAATATCCAATTCGTTGACCTTCTTTACGATTCACTAGCAAACAAATTACCACCGCGATGCCATTTCCATTTTCCAGGCTACTTACAATTCCACCGTTTCTCTTGTTATTGGTTCCGAGTATTTGATGGGATCCCGAGGTTTATCTCTCGTCAATGTCATGAAATATTTTCGATTTAACATGCGAAACTTGCAAGAAGAAACGGGAGATTGAGTGGTGACAATTTTTTCTGACTTTGAGTTTGAGATTACTTGGTTATTAACAACATGTATTTATACCAGGATACAAATGTATAAATTTGTATGCATATATATCTGGCTAGCATACGGATGAGCTAATAAATAGGTAGCAAAACAGGAGACAAGAAAATTGCAAGCAGATTGTAGTATTAAAAGAGTAGTTTTCATTTCCTGCGGTCTCGATTTCCTTAATCAATCATTCATGGCATCATCATCCCCGTGCATTTATCTACATATCCAGGCAGAGCACAACCTCAATAAATACCAACATGCAACACTGTGCAAACTTGTATTGCCTCACATTGGCATTTGCAATTTGACGAATTCTCAAGATAAGAAAGAGTGAATTCTAAATATGAAGGTATGTGTGCAGCTCCTCCGACTATTGTTGCAAGGTTTTATGGATATTATTATTCCATGATAGCAGAGAAGCAAATATTGAAATGCCGGTTGGTAATTTTGCTTATAAAGAGGAGCAGTTGTTGCAGTAATTCTCATCTTGCCTTCTCGTTCCATTCTTTGATCGTGGTGTCTCTCTGTTTAATATTTACCCACACCACATCTCTCTAGCTTTGTTTTCTGAACTCATCTCCGTGTAGAAATGGGCGTCGAGTTAATAAAGTAAATTGTGGCTGTGTGAAATACTTTTTGTCCATATCGCGTAGTAAGAAATTCCTTTTTAGAGGATGGTTGGTGAGACACTCTCAAAATATTTATTCTGACAACCAAGTGTTAACCAGCTGCTACCTTTCTTTTCCTTTTGTATGTGACTTTGTTTAGCAGATTCTCACATTCACGATTTATTTACACAGGTCATGTCATCTTCCCTCCTGTCCCATCATCACACATTATGCAGCATCATTTTCTCTGTGTATTTACACTCGTACATACATTTTCTTGTTTGGCTAATTGTGCATTATCAATAATTATAATACAATAAATGCACTATGCATAAGCGTACGTACGTACATATGTAGATCTACGGGGTAGTGGATAATTCGAGTTATTAATGAAATTAGTTAATTGATTAAATTAATGCTTCGCTACTTTATGAGAGAATGTGTCCGAGTGGAAAAAAGTTTACATACATGACTGGCTGCTAATTGATTGTAATTGTTAATTACCCCATTTTTATTTTCCTGTCAACCAACCACCAACCGAGTAGTTTTTCTCGAAACGGCTTTTTTTGGATTAAAGTACACCCCTGAAACACGCTTGGTTTGGTTTTACAATGTCGGTTTCTGAGATGTTGAAACCTTGAGTTGGAAATGGTATTGATTTCTCATGTTTTGCTCTTTTTGTGTTTGAAACAGTTGGAGGTAAAGGAGATCATCACACCACCACCACGTCTAAGACGAAATCGTATTAATAAATAAATACTGACTCAGTAAGAGACCCAAGAGCAAGACAAGAAGAGGAAAAGAAGAAGAACCCTCCGGTTTAGAGGAAACCTTCAAAACTTGACTCGATAGAATTGGATTAGTGTTTTTACGCAGAAGAAGAAACTTTTCTTCTTCTTCTCTCAGAGTTTGGTGGGTGAATTTGGTTCTTGGCTGGCTGGCTTGGCTTGTCTTGTCAGGAATTAAGCAAGGAAACCTTCTCTCAGACCACATCCTACCCTGGAATTGGATTGGTAGACTGGGAAGAAGAAGAAGAAGTTAAAGAATTATTAAACGTTTAGTTTGAGCATTTAACAACATTTTGGAAACATGTATCCGGCTCCGACGAGACATGGTCCTCCTGCTGGGGTAAGCAAAGCAACTACTTTTCTAAAGTTTCTCCCTCTGTCAAACGCCCATACATTAATACATACGTACTATTACGTACATTCGAATGAATGCTCATAAGAACATGAAGAACTAAGGCTTCGTCTATAGTTTGTAGTGGATTCACTTATCGTTACTGATACACGTACATACCATGCATACCCCGATTATTAATAAGGCCCCACTCGACTTCATCTCTGGAAAGCAAATTAACATCCCATGCTCCTATTACTATTATTGTTATTATTAAGCAGGAGCAGGGAGCGGAGAGAGAAATGGTCTGGAAGTACTTATAGCAGTTTCCCCCTAAATCAAATCTGTGCCTCGACAATGGCTGGACTCTGGGATTTTATTATCCAACTCATAACCCAAGTCCCTCAGGCACTTATCCCACTTCCGCATGTATTTAGAGAGAGTGGCAGGGACGACGAAGAAGCGGATTAGATTATTATACGAGGACACGACGACCCTCTCCACCACCGCCACTCCTCCTCCTCCAGAAGAAAAGGGCTGACGACGAGTAAAATAAAACTTTGTAAACAGTAAATTGTTCACTACGGACGGAACTCTTGAGGAGAGATGCAACCAGACCAGTCAGTCAGATGAGACCCTTCTTCGTATAAATATCACATCACCTCTCTCCCTTTCTCTCTCTCTCTCTGTCTCTCTAAAGGAGAATGCTCAAGAAGGAACACTTGGGAAAAGGTTCAAATGTTGACCTAAACCCTCGCTCTCGTATGGTTGTAAAAAACAAGGGATTCATTCCGCTCTGGTGAGAAATGCGATGCAATTTCCCAACCGACCGAAAGAAAAGAATCGATCGATACCTTTCGAGCTAGACTGGAGTTGTTGGGGTTGGCTCGTCTTCCTTATTCGGCCTTTTTACTTACGGCGTTTGGAGCTAGGCTGCTGGGAAGCATTTTCTTTAATCATCTCTTCTCTCCCTCCCAGCAAGAAAGCCCAACTCCCCACCACCGACGACGGAAAGATATAGTTTTACTTATTGTTCGTATATATATATACGCATAAGATCCATCGTAGTCGTAGTAGTGGAAGAGTCGTGGCTGGTAGTAGTAGAGGAGCATAATGGTAAAAAATACTCTGAGGCTTAAACATAAAGCAAACACTTGCTTCCTTTTACAACACCGCTTTAGTTAGTCCCTCCGTGTGGCGTGGCTTACCTTATTACGCGTTTAGTGGTTTTTATGGGAGATGCATTGTCCTCAGTCCGTGTTCTTCTTTAGCGTTTTACTCTCTTTTTTGCGAAACTTTGCTCATAAATTATTCAATATTTTGTTAAAAAAGTTTTGTTTAAAAATGTAGAATCCGTGTTGCCAATATCACACGTAGTACATACCAATGGTTAGGTTTGAGTTGTAATATGTACGGTCTGTGCATGTGCCTCAGGCAGGGTTTCGTTTACTTTAGCACTTCTTTCGCCATTTATTGACTATTTACTTTTCTCCTTCATTCATTTACTTTTCCATTTTGCTCGGTGCAATGCAGTTGTACATTGGAGGTAAAATATACGAGAGTGGTACACGACATATGCTACATTTATTTATTTATTATACTGCCACTACTACTCCTTTGACTAGGTTCAGACTTTATCCTTTCTGCGTGCCACATTTTATTCTGTTTGACTAGTTGGCCAGTGTCAATAATGGAGTTGGACTCGGTTTTTGTACCAATCTAATCCAGTAGCAATTACTCGACTGTGGCATCATTCCTGAATGTGCTGGCAACCCAATTGAGTTCAAATAATGATAAAAAGTGGCATTTGGCATATTAACACAAGTTCTCGTGGTGTTATTATCTTGTTCAATTTATGCCAAGTTTTCATTCCCACCTTCCTCCTCCTTGCATTCTTATTCCCGTGGTTTGCATTTTATGGCTTGATTGCGTTTTATTCTGACTTCTGTGTGAGCTTGGCTGCAACAAGGTTGAATCTTTTGGCTGATATTATCTAATAAATATTTTAATCAAATGCTGGCTAGTTTTACCCAACGCCTATTACGTATATGCCATATCATCGTGACTAAAAGGGCATAAAACTAGTTTGTTTTTCGTTCGTGTTTCGTTTAATAATTTGACGTCCAGTCACACAGTCGTATCACAACCAACGATCCACCAGATCTAGATTGATATTCATAAAAATCGCTTATCGCACCATCAGCATTTTTGTCGTAAGACCTGGTTCGTTGATATACGAGCAGAAGTAGTTTTATTGTCATCAAGTTACTCAGTGTCTCCTCAGACACAGACATTAATAAATGTATGTATGTATGTATGTATGTATGCCGGTGTCAATTATATGTTTTCGTGTTTGCCAGCTACATCATAATAATTAGCGATTAAACGGGTTATTTCTTTTAAAAGAAGCTAATAAATATTTGATGACTGTAAAAATTAACTTGAGATCATTATACGCAAACTTGGCGAGTTCGTGCAAGTTCCAAAAAAGCTCCCAGTTGTACCGAACAACAGCTCAATTAGGTTTGCTAATTCATTCTGAATGAATGATGCAAAAGTTATATGCGATGCATATTCCATTGTATGCTAATAAAGGGCTTAAAATAACTTGAGCTACATGTATATTTGGAGTCATTCAACACCTCTTGAAAAAATTGGGACCCATAAATTTGAAAATATTATCTGGATTTGGCTGGTTATTTATAAAACATTAAAACTTTAGCTCCCACTATACTTTAATTTGATATTTGTGTTGTGACTGTTGGGACTTAATTGAGACTGCATAATGGGTTCCTCCACTCAGAAATTGCTTACTTCTTCAGAGTCAATACATACATAAGTTGTGTCTATTCTTATCCTCTCGCAACTGCGGATACCTTAAAAAACAGCATCGTGATCATCTACCTAAGTATTTATTATTATCATTGTGAGTTGCTAATTATGCTGTTCATTCATATCCACTTTCCAACTACTGCATGCATGTACACATATTTGGATGAATTATTAATGAGGCCAAAGTCAACTCTTCTTATCGTGAGTGAACTCACTTGTACGTGTCAACCTTCATTACTCTTTAGTATAAAATATGTAAAATAACTAATGAAATGAATCGTATAATTTTGCAGGCACCTCCAGCAGGCAGCGGCCCAGTGAAGTTCACCATTGCGGAAACGCTGGAAAGAATTAAGGACGAGTTTAACTTTCTTCAATCGCAGTATCACGGGTGAGTTGAGACACATTAATTCATTTAGTTATGAAATCCATATTGTGCACAATACCATTCGTAAGCCAATTTAGACTTTCTTTTCAAACTTCGTCCAACTACAACTTTTGCATATTTCCAGTCAGTCCTCGGTACAATGAATAATATTAAAAATAAATAAGTTGACAATACTAAGCCAGACATAAGTTTCTTGTGTATTGGTTTGGCTTCACATATTGTAAGTAATCTCCACTTTGTCAATCAGCTCACTCCACCAGAAGTGAAAGTAACCTTTATCCAAAGAATGTATTTAAACTAACTCGAGCTCATTTATAAAAGCCGTCAAAAATAAAATGAGATGAATATGAAGCCCACAGTGGGCATAGAACCTGAAAAAATGAAAGCAATCATTCCTCGTCGTTTTCCTTGTACAGCGTGCCGTTCAAACTTCAGTCTCATTTCATTTCCTCAACTCACAATTTTTTCTTTCAACTTTCTTTTCATCTCATCTTATTCAAATTACTCGAGTGTGTACGTACTTGAGTCGTGGAGACCATATAAATATTCGAGGAGATGACGACTTTCCTTCCTCCGCATCTCGAGCCTTTCTCTCTTCAACGTATGTACGTTCGTACCTTGTATAAAATATATTCCTTGACTGCGTTTATTTCTCAACTCACTCTCAACTCGACAAGGAGCGAATTTGAATTGGGCTGAGAAAAGGAAATGAGAGAAAGGAGAGATATATGTGGATGGAGACAGAAAATGGTGATTTTTTTTACAATTCTGCAGCGCATGTTAACTCGAGTCTGCAATAATAGTTGGGCTGAACATGTTTATTTTAACATAGTAAAACAGTTTGCAAACGTTATTTATTTTTTTTGTCCACATCCATCTAACGCAAAGTTTACTTACTGGACCAATTCAGTCAGCGTTTTTTCTCCAAGTAAAATGCAGCCGAGGAGCTGCAGCGAGCTGTCGAGGATGTGTAACAAATTTTTGGTGGTTGTGAACGCCATTCATGAATAAGTCATAAGGAGTGAAATCTATGTACACAGTCGTCCAGATAGACTTGTTCATAGCAGGCAGGAGTTGGAAATAGATGTGCAGATAATGGGTAAATACTTGCTGGCCTCTTCTTGATCATCATGAAATTATGTCACCAAAAGGGGCTGAAATAATTCAGTTGGACAACCTACTCCGGTATTTTTTTTACAAGACCATTCGTTTATTATATTTATTTCCGCGAATTTTTTTGCAAGTTGCGTAAGCATCTCCGACTTATTTACGAGCATTCTCTCCATCGTCGAGTTGAAGTGAGACTTTTTTGTCTTATAAATATTTAGCCTTGTGCAGATTGCCTGGAGTCTTATGCAAATCATATACAATTTTCGCAGTGGGCTATACCTACAGCGATCTAGATAAGATGTGCGAATAAATTCCAGTGCAAATTCCAATTAAAATTGTTCAATAATATATACCCCGAATGCATAAATAGCTCAATGTTCAACTACCATTTTTCCTAGGAGGTTAGTGCATTCTTCTTAACCCACGACGACTCGTTGAAGATTTTACCATGTTTTTTATATCAAACCAATTTGTAAATTGAATGACATATGAAGTTCGGTGATAGCAAAATAATAATTGTATAAAGTAAGGCGTGTCTGCTTTTGTCTAATTTAATTATCGAAAAAAGGAAGAAGAGATCATTCCAGACTTAATTGTTACTCTTATTGCTGGCACAAATGTGTTTCACTTCTGTAAAAAAAAAAGTAGACTTTGTCCATGTTTGTGGTGAGAGTGAGCCAATAAGGTAGGAATTCCAGGAGAAGAAACGAGTTTACATTTCAGAGGATGCATACATTGAGGAGTAATAATAACAGAACAATAACGCCGTGATGGATTTGAGCGCTCCGGAGTTCAACGTCGTCATCTTCGTGGTTTGTCCATCTCTGGTTTTTTGTCTACTCACCAAATTTACTCAACTCCTCCAGTCAATTGTTGCATTGTTAAGTGAGTTTAGTTAGATAGTGATTTGAGATAGCTTGTTGATGGTGGTGGAGGTGGGCAAGCTCGAGAGAGGAGTACCTCCATCCATCGTCAGCAGCTCTCTAAAGCAGTCGACAAAAAATCTCTCTCAAGATTGGATTAGCATGTAAATTGTAATTGTATTGTGATGTAGTGTGCAGTACAATGTAAATGGTTTGGTCACTGCTTGGTATCTCTTTCTCCTGCGGTTATTGTTGTTGGAGGCCCACTGGAGTTATTAAACCCTCATCTTCCTCCTACACCAATGTTGCGGTATGTGTTGTGTATGTATCTATCCCTATGTTTGCGTGTCGTCTTGGTTGTTTCTCCTTATCCGACTGAATTGACACCTCTCTCGCTCTCAGCCTTATGTCTTACGCCGAGTTGGTCGAGGTTTAATGGAGAATTTATCCAACAGAAAGATTATCAAAGTTGAAAGTTTAATCATCCAAGGATCGTAATAAAATAATCCCTCCGAGATGATGATGATTTTAAGCACCAACATGTTTTTTTTGTTGTTAATGCGTATTAAATTACAAATAATGCAACTCTTTTAATGCAGCAGTAATGAGCTGTCGGTCAATTGAGTTGGATGCATGCATGCGGTGCCATACTCCATTTGAGGGTGGAGGGATGGTTATTGGATTGCCAAGCAAGATCACTTTTTTGCCTCGTATCTTGACGAGAAAAAATGGAAAAGAGCCGCAGTCGACTTGCTTCATTTGATTGCTTTCATGTCAAGCTCAACTGACTTGAATGTGTTTGTAAATGAAAAATAATAATTTTTAGCTGAATTATCATTTATCGCACTCTCATGCACACTCTCCAACTTGATCATTTAATCACAAAGAGTGCACCATCACTACTACTCGCGTAATGTTGTTTCATTCAAGATGCAAATTGAAATTGTATTCTGTGCTCGAGTTCTTTTTATGCCTTCTTATCCACCACCCGACACAGCTTTCTTGAACTCGAGAGAAGGGAACCAACCAAGGACAGGAAAGTCTGTGATGCGTTCCATAGTTCCATCACCAGCGTCATCGTCATCGCGTCTCCTTGTCTTGAGATAGCGTCACGGTCGGTATGGGCGGTCACAGCCGGGTGGAGCGTGACCTGCCTCTCTGGCGCTGGACGCAGCAGTTCACCAGCCAACTCGCTCCCACTTTTCCTCCTTCGTATTCCAGAGCAATCTTATTTTTATTCTTTCCTTCCTCCTTCCTGGCGTTCGTGGGCGGTTTGTTTGGCTTATGATACGATTTGACAATCTAAATACTTTTACTCCTCCTGCTACCCCCACCGCAGCGCCGCGACGATGTATCTGATGAGGCTCACTCTGTTTTGTTAATCTCCTCACAAGATCAATGCCGCATTGTTCCCTATTGTTTGTATGGACGAAATGTAACTCATCAAATGGAACAAGCAGGGGAACCAAGAAGGATTAGTTCGGCTTGGGTGATACGCTTGGGTGGTTTAGGTTGGTCCGTTTTCGTACAATTTTGCTGAAAAAAATGCACAACAGAGAAAAAGAGGCAGAGTAGCAGCCTTGTTCACTCCATGCAACCCATTTTTCACACAGGATGGCTTTGTTAAAGGGTTGTGATGTGTATTGCAAAATGAAGCATGGATGAGATACGCATAAACGGCAAAAAAAAGTTTCACACACTAATTTGAAGAGATGAGTCGCGGAAGCATGAACGAATCGAAAATGCGATGAGAAGTCCTTTATATAAATATCCAAAGTTGAGTTTGAAATTGTGCGAGTTCAAGTGGTTGTGGAAGTTGCGGTTGTGGTCAGGTCGTGGACGAGAGCTCGTGGTCTTTTCCTATCAAGAGACAGCTCGAGAAGGGGGAGACCGAGGAGAGAAGGCGAAACAGATAGTGCCAACGAACTAAAGTGCAAAGTACCAAACTAAATAGTACACGACATACGTAGGCCTTCCCCTTCTTGGACGATTCGTATATACGTAACTATGCATGAAACTGTTGACTGTCGCGGCGTGAGTTGAGTCTCCCAAACAAAGTTTCTTCCGAACTTTGTTTGAGAGGATTTAGTAAATTTGTCTGGAGAAAGTTCATCCGGTATTATGAGTACGATTATTGAATGCATGTTTCCATTTTTAATTATGTACATGAATTTTGTAGTTGTGCTTTGCATTTTATGGGGCAACAGCAAACTTGGGTTTTGAAAGCTAAATAGCTTGTTTGCTTTCTCCACTCTACGACTCGTGCATATTATCCATCCCCTGTTTGTGGATAGGATAGAGATATTTTCTCAGCCCAGAGGTGCTAGTGTTCATAGAAATCCACAAGGTGATGTAATGTTGATATCGAAACCTTCCAAACCATGAACCACGAAACAACCAAGGAACTAGACAAGCAAATTCCAGCCAAAACCAAGCCAAACCACCCCACCCACCTATCTGTCGTATTTAGGAGGTGAGTGTGTAAAACAACTATCGTCCTCATATTTTCCCTCGCTCCTCTGTGTGCTGCTGCGGTTTACTATGTTTCAAACCACCGAGTTGAAGCAGCAGAAACTGTCCTGGCTGTCCTAATCGTGTCGTGTCATTAGATTTATAAGACTAAACTAAACTCTAGATTCAGGCCTGTCCTGCGGTTGCGGTGTGTGTGGGGAGTGAATGGATGGATATCACTTCTCTCTCATCTCCTCTCGGTCTGGTTACACAGTCGTCGTCGTCCTCATCGTCATAGGTTGTAGTAGCCCTACCAGTGGTTTCGTGGTCGTTGTGGGCTTTCACGACGCACAAAATGCTAAAACTGAACTCAAACTCAATTGCATTTCCACTTCCAACAGAAATTTTCATCCTCAATCCTCAGAGGAGATTCCCTTGGCGTTGGTGTTGGTTTGGCTTCACTTTGTTTTTGCGGTTTTGTCTCCCTTCCTCATAAAGATGGCGAATGGAATGGATGGTTGGGGTCGATGTTGGTGATATTGTTACACATACAAAACTGGTGGATGAAAGGATTAGTGGGCAAATACATACTTGCACATATCTAAATGTTACGTCATTCATACGTGCATATACATAGTTTGGATAAGTAATGACAGGATTATTGTGGTTATTTTAATGCATATTTTTTTAGAATTTTGCAACGTTTGTAATTCTGCCAACTCAGAATGTTGTTGAGCAAAAAATGAGACGATTACTGACCTATTGCAGTCGTAGTTTAATGACATGTATTTAGCCAAAATTGTAACCAAATACTTGCGATTGAAGTGATACATACACAAACTGATATAAATAAATGTGCACTTACATATTTATTGATGTATGTAACAGCCATTTCGGAAGAGAACTCTAATAAATGGGCAAACTGGGCCTAATTTAATCATCTGCATAATTTACAACCTTACTGGCTTTCTTCTTCTTCACTTTACTAGGGCGCAAAAAATAAGGATTGCAACAGATATAATTTTAATGAATTCCCTAAACTATCATTTCAATAATTTGGTTGATTGGTGGTTTGCGCTAAAAAATTTGCAACTCAAGCTTTACCCTGCATCAATTCCTGTCGAGAATTAATTTCACGCATCACTGCATGATGAAGATGAAACAAGAAGACAATCAACTATGTGTATGTATGGATTCGTGACTTGCATCGTGTAGCATCATGCGAGCCGACCAAGAAGTTGATTGTGCTTACTGCTCACTCTTTTCGTCCGATTTGCCGAGATAAAAGTCAGATCACTTTTTAGTCGTGATGTAATATTAAAAATTTAGGTTTTTCACAAAACCCAACAACCGAGGTGTCTTGTCGTGATGTGATTTTACAGTGTGGGAAATATTCATGTGTAAATTATGATGCTCTGTCGTATAACTGGTTGTTATTTAGCTACTGGTTGGTCCACGCAGACGACGGCACAGTAAATATTCAACATGACAGACAGGACATTCAACTGCGGAAAATGCGGAACTTGTAAATTGAGTGAATAAATGGTTATGTTGATTGATGGGTAGTTTTAAATTATCTGCAGAGACGAACAACTTTGTTTCGTTGTACAAAAGTTAATAACAACGTGTAAACGTTTACCGGATTTTATTATAATTGTTTTAATTGACAGGTAATTAATTTCTAATGTAATTTGTTTGCTTCCAGGATCAAATTGGAGTGTGAGAAAATTTCATCAGAGAAGACCGAGATGCAAAGACATTATGTTATGGTAAGCACTTAAATAATCCTCGTTTTTCTTGGTTTAAGCCGGTCAACGGTTTTGGAGCATTCGCCTAGTTTACACAAATCTCTCGTGAAAAAATATTGGCAATAATCTTGATGCTTGTTATGACGCGAAATTCTCGAGTCGTTGTTTGTATGCACTTAAATAAGTTATATCTTCTGATTTTGTGTCAGTCACTTTCAAGAATAGTCATGAATGGATATTTCATTAAAGTTGAACTAAATTTTGCCTGTCAGTCAAACAATGAACCTGTGGTTGTAACATCAGCCGCCATTTAACGTTACATTTTTTGCATTGATACGTTAATTGCAAAGTTTGATAGCATCGTGATGGGTTGGCTGATTTTATTTGCGTTTGGCTTAATTGAAGTCATTGTGCTTGCAAAAATTTCACTGAATTTGTTACAATTTTAATTGCAACACACACCAGATAATTATAATGACCGAACTTTTACTATGTTAATTTGCACTGCCCAGTGTACACATGCATACAAATGCCGTATTTTTTGTCGTATGTACCATGTAGGAAATATGTACATGCGTGTATTCTTTATCGTATTCACGCTTCATTCTTTTGGGCGAGTCGTACAATTTCAATGAAATTCTCTACACATTACTATTATTTAGTAATGTCCACGAAATAATAACAAGCCCCCTATCTGTCAGATTGCTATCGTTTTTACATAGGTTTGTTTGTATCATCGTTTATAAACGGTACAGATAAGCACACGTATTGAGTTTTAAATTCATTGCGCTGAACGATTTTTTCATTTGATGAATGATGCGATCGTTTTTTTTTGTTTGATGAGGGTTTGATGACTCATTGTTTGATAATTTTATTGTTTTATGAGCTAGCCGGCTAATTAATTATGGGAGTTTTTTCTAATAAGATTCATAAAATGTAGTTTTAATTTAATATTTTAATAAAACTTATTGTGAGATGTGCAGGCGTCAATCAGTTAACACCGATACATATTTACATACATACGTGTGATTAATGCGTCACTTAATTCAAATTTATTCTTTATCTGCAAAAGTACTTACATGTATTTTCAGAACTATGGATAACGATATATGTGTCATACGGCTATTTAAATTACAGTGATAAAATTGTCACAGAATCTTTGCAGTTATCTATCATAAAGCTAATTGAGATTGTATTAAACATTTACTAATAAATGGATTTAATATATTGCAGTATTACGAGATGTCGTATGGCCTGAACGTTGAAATGCACAAACAGGTAAGAACTCATGCGTCACTAATTTTTACTAGATTATCCTTTTCAAAGGTGCCGAACTTGTTGATTGTTTGTATAATTATTGAGAGTAAATCAATATAATCAATACTTTATCAATACAAACCTTATCAAAATGTTCACACTACTGTCAAAAGAAACTTACCCCGACACCGACGGTTCTGGTTTCATGGAAAATTACAAGATTTGTACATGTATCTATTTAAGTAGGAACCGTTAATGCGATTGCACGTATGTATCACACTTTTCTGTTGATTTTGTTACCAGTGCGAAACTGCAATTTAAATTCTTGCTGTTCTTGTTACCTTCCTGTGGTGCTGGGATTATACAAGAATATGGCTGGTTGACTGGGGATGGTCCATCACCTTCCTCAAGATCATGAATCTAATAGCATGCATGCACTTCTTGAAATTGTTATGCAATAAGAAGTAGAGTATAACGAAAGATGGTTTGATATCAAGTTTTTTTTATCTCTTTGCTGATGAGAAGATTATTATTATTCGATATCTTGATTTAGATTTGATCGACGCATGAGTGATTTTGAATGACGCTGGTTAGATTCGCTCTTTCATTGCGTTCTTGCCGATGTGGTGGCTACTCTTATTTATTTACTTTCAAATTGGATTGTTCAATAAATAAGCGATGGTTCGATCGTCAGTCTTTCTTTTATCTCTCGGGAGTTGAAACCCAAAGAGAATTTGATACTATTTAGTTGCGGTTTTGTTTTTTCCTCTTCTGATCTAGTACCCATATCCCCTTATTATCCCCCAATCTATGAACGTATTTATGTGGTGAAACAAGACTTGACCAGCCTTTTATCGGATTACAGTCTTTGTTATGCAGAATGCACGCTGTGTAATTAAAATATGGTATTTCCAAGTCTTGACAGCTTCACTTGGTACAAATTGTTCAATATGGTGAAGATAAAATTTGTTATTGTCAATTATTGTGCGGGTTACTAGTTTCACCCGGATTGTGCATCTAGTAGATAAATATTCGGTGGTCGAGAAAACTTACCAGTTTCTAACCATAGAGCTCAAATCACCGTCAATGTTAAGAAAACTACACAAAGAAATCGACAAGTTTTTGAACCTTTTAGGTGATGTTTAAAATAAGTAATTTTCACATCTTATTGAAACCCCGCAAAATTCAGGCCAGATTAGGAGTTACTTTAACAAGTAGTTTGAGGTTCAGTTTTATTACTCTCATTTACGATTCAATTTTGTATTAATATCATACCCATGAAACAAAAATAATACGAATGTGCTTCTACTTATTCTAGTTGTGGTGATAGTTTGAAACACCTTATCTTGGGCGATTTAGAAGATCGCATGCATAGTGACAATTTAGTAATTCAATTCCGGGTTTTGGTGGTGGTGGTGATTATCCACGCCACGCTTTGGTGCCTTCTCGATATACCTACCGGTCTTTTATCTCATGTCATGACACATCTCTCTCGCCCACCATAAAACTGAATAAAATAAAGGGTGGGTGAGTGAGTTATGTTGTCGTAGCTTAGTGAATGAATATAATGACACAGAATTTTATTTTATTTGTCCCTCTGTGTGAGCCCAACTGTTGTATCTACATGTGTACACGTATAACTAAACGAGTACACCTTTTCTGGCGTATTAAGCAGAATACGGGGTAGACCAGCGAGGGTGATCCGAATCTTTGTTACGTTCATATCAGCCATCGCCTATCTACATGCACAATGCAGACGCCATGACAAACTCGTCGTAACGATATCACGATCAATGTCATTTCTACTTTAGCTGTTCGTGCCTCCCACCCATTGTCATGAACGCCATGCATTTTTATTTCCTTCCTCTACACGACCAATATATATGCATGCATGCGAATGGAAGCTAAGAATTGGATTAATGGGAAAAGAAATTGAATGCAACATGCACTTATTACTGATAACTAGATTTATTATCATGTCGGGTGCAAAAAGCTAAACTTTGTACGCAAAGGACTTCAACGTTAAAATTCACTCGTTAATATAATCTCATTTCATCCTCCAAGTAGGCAAAGGTCATAAATAAGATTGGGGTGCAGAAGTCAAATCACCAGAAATCGCAATAACACGCCGAATTTGGTTTTATTTTGATTGATTTATATGGGTTGTCTGCTCCTCATGCCCATCAAGGAGCCAGGACGACGACATCATCATCATCTTGCTTGATCTACTGTTTCATTATTATCAACCACCAAATGTAAATGTGCTTACCCTTCTGTTTTCGACCAGACGTCCCAAGATTCCATATTTAGCTTTCCGAGAGAGATCCAACCAAGCCAAGTCTGGGATGAGGATTAACTTTTCTTTGTTGAGGCGTCAATCCACACCCCACCACGCAAAGCACTCCAAGCAGAGCGTCATGTTCATGACCATGTTGAACACGAGTAAACTTTTCTTTTTACGACGATATAGACGAACATGAAATACATAAAGTTAACCAGTAGTGACCACGAGTATGTGTTATTATGCTTCCACCATGCACCGCTTCTTAATATGGGTACCAAAGAGTATGCACGTTTTTTGCTCCTCATTTTTGGTAAGAATTTCTAAATAATATGCTCAAGATGTATGCAAATTTAGCAGAGTAGAGAAACAGGGCACAATGGGCAGGGTCGAGTCCGGCCCCCTTGGTTTGTTTGGATTTCTTTTGGATTCCGACCCTTCCAATTCTTATGTGTTGTCGTCGGCTATTATGAGTTGCTCTTGTTTTCATGGTGTTTCATTGTACATTGTAAATGTGTCCGAGTGGTTGGTGCCATATGGATGGATGGATGGGCAAGTAATTGTGATTCCGGGAAGGAAACTGAAAAGGGACTCTGAAAGGAACCCAAGGGCTCTTCCATAGTTTCTTGCTCCCCTCACTTTCCTCCTATGTACATATGCATTGTAACCTGATGCTCAAATTCCCATAAGGCAACAACATGAATGCAATCAACCCTACCAGGCCCTTGAACCGTTTTATAATAGTTGATAAAGAGCAGTAACCAACGAGCCAGGGAGTAAAGTCAGTCGTCGTTTTAGAGGCTGTATTATTATTAGTTGAGGGAACCCTTAATTTAGGAAGGAAACCGGGACCTTATTATTCAGGGTCTTTTATGCTGCAAATGTATATGTTTGATACTGCACCCTTCGTTCTGCTCGTGTTAGTCACGGTTGTTAATGGAACCATGGGATGGATATAATTCGTCATTCATGGGGAACGACGAGAGGACAAGACAGGAAATTAGTTAAATCGTCCCTTTATGCTTTTTAGGCCGAAATAATCCTGCTTCTGCTGCTCCTTAAAGATGCTGCATGGACCTTTGCGGTCTGCTTACTTATCTCCACTCTACGCAGTGAATCTCTTCAACCTGGGGAAGAGGGAAGTGAAAACTAAAACCTCCGGAAATTGTTTTAGGTTTAGAATAAACCACGAAAAATACATTTCCGTATGCATTTTTCCGTTTAAATATCCACTCCAGAATTTGGGAGCGGAGTACATTACCGAGCTATTCATGTGTTGTTTATATTGTTGTAAAATTGATAAACAGCTGAAAATGATATTATGTACATCCAGTCAAAGATTAAATATAAATTATGCACGACAATGTTTTTGTGATTGTTGGATCAATGAAAAGTCAATAAGTCGAATGGACGTGCGTGCAGCCATATCAGTTGAGGCTACGTATACGAGTGTATTTATTAAAATGCTGAAAGTTTTATGGCCACATTTACTTTCGAAGCAGTAACAATTGCACCAGAGAAGTATAAAAAAGGAAGAACAACACTTATTTAATTATTGTGATGTTTGTTACTTATAAGCAGTTTATTGTAGGCGGAGATGCAAGTTTTTACAGAGGAAAGTAATCACTCATTCATTTGTCAAGAGAAAGTGTGATAATTTCTCATTTTTCTACCCCATTTCGTCTCCGTACATTTACTTTTTACAGCTCATTGGTTCCAAATTCTGAACCGGAAATTCTTTATTTATTATACATTTGATATCCATGAACAAGTCATGTCAACCAGAGTAGAAGTGTACCCCAAATCCCTCCGGCTGGGTGGAAAGCCCAGTGGTCCAACGGTTGAAAACTTTGTGAGCCATTCAGAAACCTTAATCCCCAATTGTATCGTCTCCTTCTCTTCTAGTAGTAGTACCCACTACACACATAACCTACATACAATGCCTCATCATCATCATCATCATTCAGACCCCTCGTTCTATTGAGCCCTTGATTTTTAAAACGTTACAAATAAAACAGGAATCAGATGAAATGATCCAACTCGTAGGTCCTCATTTTTTCAAGTTTTTAACATTTAGAGTTTGGTTGAACAAATGCCTTCTGGTCGGTGAGACAAGGGTGAGGGTTTGCGTATGAAAAAGGGTCTTTTGTGATCCCCATTCTCCATTTTAATAAATAGAACGGCATGAAAGAGACCCTCCATCCATCCGCATCCTCATAGATCCCTCTGGTCATCAGTTCATTCCTAATGTAATAATATCTCATTTCACTCGCTCGCTCACCCTCCTTCATCCCCAGGCCACTCATGAATAATCACCAGAAATCAAGGTGGCAGTTGCAGTTGCCAACGTGCGTGTCATTGTTGTGTGTCGCCGTCCCGTCCTCGTTGGTTCTTTCGTGGATTCAAGTCACTGGGGTAGCACAAGGGCTCGACGGACCCTTCGACTTCCTCATCGAATCATCTCACATCTCCTCTGGCTTAGAACAATGTAGTAAATCGTATCCCGAGGAAAATCAAGCAACAATTGCGCAATTTTCTTTTCCCTTTCCTTCAACGAGAACGTACATTTTCTCCGTGTCCAACTGTTTTATGACCGTGTCACGACCCAGCCCAAAAGGGATTTATTTATTCTATTCGTTGTTAGTTAAGGTCTTTCTCCACACTCCATTTTTTACGCTGTGCATATATCCATCAAACATCCCTCGAGAGCACACAGGACCAAGTTGCATGGGGTGCAGTAGTGGTGGTAGTGTTACCCATCCATTGTGTGAGAAGGCATTATCATTATTATTCCATCTGTGTGAATAAGGAAGGAATTGGGGAGAGGGAGTCGGACCCTAATTTTTTTCTGGATTGGACTGGGAGGGGAATTTGTTCGGTGTGTTGTGTTCATGAATCTCATCTCTTCATCATAATCATCAGATCATCCCCGGCGTTCTGTGCCCGAGAACCACGCTCCACTGGTCATTCTCTTTCCCCACTTTTACATAATCCAAACAAGCCATCGTCTATACCCACCCTCCAACGAAGCCATGCACTGCAGCAGGGCCACGCTATAGGGTAAACACTTTGTGGAATTTTTGAAGGGTGAAACACACAAGGGACGGGGAAAGAGGCTTAATTGAGAAACGTTTATTGGTTGTGGGATGTGTAAGGGTAATGACAAGAATTAAAATACATGCATTTTTCTTGATGACTGGTCTGAAGTGTAGGGAAAAGATTTGTCAATTCATGATTTGGAGGTGGACGGATGCATCTGTGTATAAAAGATTACTATGATGAGAAGCGGTGTAAATAAGTGGCATGTTTTAGTTAGGGAACATACTGACCGTTGTACCTTTTCCTGAAACTGGATCTGAAACCCTGTGCATGAGCGACTCATCTCATCAATAGGGTCATATCGCACATGACATTTCCTAACAAGACCTCGATTTAATTGTTAGGCCTTATTTCTTGGAAACACATTTGACGCCACAACCACACTTTACTGAACCTGTTGTGAGTAGTTAAAGATCTGTTGAGCAGGTCGGGCATGAATTATAGTGTGGTCATCATCATCCAAGTAGAAAGTGTCAAATCTCAAGTGTTCTTTCTCGTCAAAACACCACCATCCATGGTCATTGTAGTCTCCAGTCATATACTTTTTCATCCTTGGTTGCGTTGCTGTTGAGTTGATTACCTAAAATTGAGGGTTTATGGGGAGCAGTAAAGTAAATTAAATATTTAGGACGGGTAGAAGCAGGAGCAACCCTTTTCCCCTTGTCCACTAATCCTCAACAAAGCCAAAAGGGTCCTTAGTGTGGCATAGGGGAATATAAGGGAGGAACGTCGGTCCTTCAAATGAATGGGCTGGTGCTGCTGGTCTGCTGCTTAATAAAGGTTTTGAGGGTTGATTTTCCTCAGATTGAGAGTGAGTGACGGCAAATTGATATTCAGTCACTCTTTTCTATTTCGGACCACGGAACATTAGCAGCATATGGTCTTCCCACACATTTTAGACGACCAAGCGTGTGGTGGGCAGAAGGGGTCAAAATTTCCTCAAAAATATATAGTCCACGAGATATTCGAGGCTTTCGGCGTACTGTGGCAATACTAATAATCATGAAGCTAAGATTTTGATTACATACTCATCTCATTGATTTTCGATTGTGTAATCAAGTAAGTTGGTGAGCAAACAGACGATGGGGTGAAGCTAAAGTGAATCCAAATGAGTAAAAGTGATGGAACATGAACATCCGACAAAACCAAGAACGCTGGCTTGTTTGTTGTAGGTAAAGGGGGGACGACGACGATGGCGATGATGGGTGGCTAGCTGGTGGCATGTTGCTTGGTGTGGTTTTGTTTGAATTGGACATGTTTACTTTATTATTAGCCGAGCCAATGTTGATTGTGCTGTGCAAACAAGTCAAATGGCGATGTTTCCTCCTCCTCCTCCCATGCAGCAACGTTTCAGTTTAGTTAGTGTACATAGATTCTACTCATTTCATTTCATACCAGAGATGATCCAACAACATCCAACCAATCTTGGTATTAAATAAACAGATCTCTGCTTGGTTCACTTAACGTGAGTTGAGATAAATAAATCAATATTGAAATGTTATCCGAACACGGATTGGGATTGGATGCTAAAGATGATAGGCAAGTGGATTAATGAACACAACTTTTAAGAATTATGTGGCAAAGTTGTTGTTCAAAAGATGTTGTAAGTTGTAAATTCAGTTTATGAAAATTACCGATTTTTAAAAATTTTATGGCTCATTGTTTGCTTTCTATCTACGCCAACTTTACTGGAAAGTTTTTACAACGTACACATCCATCCATCCATCCATCCAGCCAAACATTATATGCATACTGACATTATTGCTATCTATTCCTATCAATGTTTAACCAGGAAAGAGAAATATTTACAGATCCCAATTTTGTTTAAACTCTGCATCGTGAAATTTTTCATGCATTTCTCCATCAATTTAGATATTATATAACTAAATTAAATTTTACGTAAACAAATGCATATCTTTCCTTGATACCTTGTAGTTTAGAGAATAAAATTACAGAATAACTGTTACAGACTTTCTGTGGATTTATCATTCTTATCAATAAATGTTTAGGATGTGTTGCTTTTATAAAAGGTTCATGCAAGCAAATAGATCGGTCTTATCCGGACGGTTTATAAATATGGTTATCATCAATCAATCAACTAAAACTTGTGTGACGTTAACATGTTCGGTTGAGTTGACAATGTAATTAGTGCTCTATATTCCAATTAGTGAAGGGCGGACGAGATTAGTTTTAATTGATTTGAATTGTAAATGAATCTTAGTACCGCGTTTACTGCATCCAAACCACTTAAGCTTATCCATGTGATGACTGGCATAATCAAGGTTAGGTTAAATAGGTTACGATTGCGTGGGGTATGAACTTGAAATTACTAGAAATCTGAAAAGTTCACAAGTTTTACGGTCAATAAATTACTTGTTTCCTAGCTGTGCAGTTTTCATAAACGAACTAACTGTGCGATGATGATTATGCTTTCCGTAATAAATATATTGTATGTAAAGCTTTCGAGTCGTAGTTGTTTTATTACCTTACAAGCAATCTATGTAGATCTAACAAATGAAATGACGTGACACAAAATGAGTCAACTTGTGTGAACCAGAAAAGTCATGAGACGCAGTTATCAGTGTATCAAGTTGTCAGGACCAGGAGTCAATTTGCATCAGCATTAATATTCCATTAGAATATGGTACTCAGATTGCAGTGTGGTGTTGGTGGTGGTTAATTGAAACTGGGAAAATTCCGACCGGTTTTGTTCTCGTCTCGTTTTTTTTTGTGTTGTACGATTATGTTGGATAATTTAAAAATGTAGTTTTTAGACTGCGCCACCATGAGACTCGTACCTGAATCATGTTTAATTTAAAGCTGATTCAATGAATAGTTAGCTGAATAATGAGCTGATTAGTGGCCAATCAATGAATTTATTGAAACTTGTAACATGATCGTGCACTCGAAGAACAATGAAATGTAAACCATTTTAAAAATCACATCGAATTGTTGTCTTGTTTTCGCTTGAAATTATAATATCATTCTGCTCCCTTGTTTACTCACTTAAAGTTAATCGCTAAACCGGTACTCACTCAATACTTGATGTGCTGTAAAAAAATCACGTAATAGCTTCCATGTGATAAGTATCTCTGCGTCTGTCTATTTGGCGATGACGACTTGGTTGACTTTGTCGTCGAGTGGAGGTTGACGTCCGAATACATGTTTTCAGTTGTCTCTTGCACAACTCACTTGATTACCTTTTCCAGATCGCTACATATTCCTCAAGTATTTACATATTCGTTAATATTGATAACTTAATACCTCTGATTTAATAATTACCCCACTTGTTTCTTGAAGTCGCGTAAACACTTTTGTATAAAAATATGTATGCACAGTAAGCAGTTATTGTTAACCGGATTGACCTCTTTTATCAAACTCTCTGTAACCTGAAGATGAATGAACTACGTAATGTACACTTTACATACTTGCACATACAGCATAATTTAAAATTAATAATTCATTGCACTTCCCGTCAAATTACGTAGTTTGTTTTGCAGTACTTTATTTATGACTTGATTATTTGCTAATTAATTCGCATGTTTCTGTGTCTAACAGAGTTATATTTCATCCGAGTGGATTAATGGGATTCTGTCAATTTAATTGTCACTTTTTCGCAGACGAAGACGGCTTAAGGGATTAGTTCGTATTCGCTTCCACTCTGTTTCGTATTTGAGAAGAGCGTGTGAGAACGTGTTGTAATTGTTATTAATACAAAAACTTGTGGTGTCAATGTCAGTCTAAAAGTTGTGATATGCACTTTATGTTATATTTGCAAAGAAGAATGCGTATAATTATTATGATTATTCACCCAGTGGAATAATATTTACAAGCTATTTATCTAGTGCAATATCAGCATTTTTTAAATTCTGTCGGTCGTTCTGCTGTACAAGCAAGAAAAGAGTGCGGATATAATTAATTATGCTTCAACAATTAGTTCCCCCCAGATCCAGACCTTGTTTTATTTCATCAACTTTGAACTTGCATCGACGTAATCCCATCCAACCAAGTCAACAAATCATTTCGTTTTGTTATTTCTACAATGTTCGTGTTTTATGTAATTTGGCTTTGAGCTCGACAAAGTTATTATTTTTGCATACCTTAGCATATTTTTGCATGTTATTTATACCGTGTAAAGAGGAAGTGAGTAAACATTTTGATGATTGCATCAAATGACAAATTGACAACATTGTTTTTCTACACATTTTTAGCCATGGAATTTCTTAAATGCATGAGTGTATGTAACACCAACGATACTTTTCGGCGATCAAGTTAACAATGTACAAGGCGTCTTAATTATAATTTGAATATATTCCATAATTTGTATACATTTAAATATACACAGATTATACTCGTCTATTTAATTGAGACTAATTGAGTTGAGACTACTAAAATGTATGATTAATTCTACCGATGGTTCAATAAAAAAAACTGGATTCCTGAAACATGGGATTTGAAGCTGTCGGTGTCTGAAGTTCGTTTCGAATGGCTTTTTATTTATTTCGTCAATGAACAGTGAATCACACATGTACAAAATAATTCGTCTTCTGATACTTAATTATAGTTCATATAATAATTTTCTGTTTTGTTTTTCTTATTACAGACGGAAGTTGCAAAAAGACTTAATGCCATCATTGCCCAAATCCTCCCGTTCTTACAACAAGAGGTAAGCGTCTTTCATCCTTTCGCTAATTGGATTACAATTGTGGACAATCAAGTAATTGATTTATTGGGCAATTAAGTATTTTTATAATTTTATTGCCATCCATGTATTCAACGATACGTCAGAGATCCTACGACTTGTCTGTAAATTGACTAATCCAATCATTGTCTCGATTGGATTTGTGCGAAAGTTATGACACAAAAAATACTTTAAAATTAGATGGAAATCCCATTACTCTGATTCGTGTTCGTATATTGACATTTTCACCAAGCGTAATCACGATTCCTTTGAAAACATTTTTTTCTTCTGCCAACTTGATACATTTTTTGACCAACTTTGATGATTTGAATGAAGTTTGTAATGAAGGAGTGAAGATAGCAAACTCAATTCCAGCCGAGTTTTTTAGACTCCAAATAAAATAAGTTTATCAGAGGACACAAACAAGTCCGGATTTCATATTGTTACAATAATAACCAGTTGTTTGTGTTTATAATATATTCTCAAGGCTTAAAAAATCTATGATAATACGAAATACTTTTTGCAACAGCAGCATGGAGCCAACTTATCTTCATTTCTTTCTTTTGTTATTTTTTAGCACCAGCAGCAAGTAGCTACCGCAGTGGAACGGGCCAAGCAAGTCACCATGACCGAACTCAACGCAATAATTGGGGTGAGTAATTTTAAGATTTATGCTGAATATGATTTTTTAATCGTGTGAGTCGCTTCTAAATATTTTACGGCTGAGCTTTCTTCAGTGAAAGTACAAGCAGGACGACGACGACGATAAACGCTACAATTTTTCATGCCGATTTATTATTTTTGCAGCAGCAACAGCAAGGGCTTCAACAATTATTGGTAAGTAGAAATGTGGTCAAATTTTCAAAATTGTATCAAATGGGTAAATCATTAAGCCGTATTTACGAATAAAGTTGGATTATTGACTGCAAAGTCATTTCCACTATGTATGAATAGGCCATTGCATTATTTTTTTTATTTGACTGTGGCGACAAATTACTAACTTGCAAACCCAAACTGACTTTTAATCAATATTTTATCATTTGTAATACCTGTCTGGTAGCAAAGAGGACATGAGTATGGTGGTATGCACACTTGTAGATACACAAGTATAAATTCTTCGCGTGCTTTGAATTTTAATCCTCAGCCCTAGTTTGTTTGTGGTATATTGATCTTTTCATGAGCGTGAACTTGCAAATAAATTATTTTTGCTGCGCCTCTAGAAATTTTAATTTTAGTCCCGATAAAGAATGGGTAAGAAAATTTAGTGTTTTTCTTGCTATCATTTTCCAAATAGAATGTTACTCAAATCATTAGATACGGTTTGTAGTTCTCGACTCAAGAATTTTAATTCGGGTGAATGTAAATTGGATTGATGAATGAGTCACAGTTGTGCCACAGCTAGAAAAAAAGGTTCCAACTTGCCAAAAGCATGTGCCGGCTTGCACACTACTTTTTCATATCATCATCCTAAATGGCAATTCCATGGAGGGGATCGTTTATTCAATCCATTTGTTTGGTAGGCATTAGATTTGTGACCCTTTTTCCCAGTTCGTAATATTGGTTTCGTTATTGTCCAATCTGATTGAATTTTTATTTAATTCATTTTGTACCTAAATATAGCGTTCAGTAAGTAAACGAAGCCATTAGACCATCGTTAGCATAGAACTTTGCATTTTATGATGATTTAAGTCCTCGATCTAATTTGGTGAAAAGCTTATATTAATAAAACTCTATGGTGAAAAGTTTGTGACTTTGATATAAAACCAGGATCGACCTCACTCGAATTCGGCATTACCACCCATCGATGAATTCGACAGACAACGGGAGAGGAAAGGCATGGCACCAAATGAGATTATTTCATGTTGATCCCCAACGCTAATGTACAAGAGCAACAAGAACGGAGGGGGACTAAATGTCAAGCAGGAGTGCTAAGTAACGGATGGAAATGGAAAGGCATTTACTCGGAAATTGATTAGGGCTTATTGAATTATGACTGAGAGTGACTGACTGACTGACTGAGCAGGATTAGCGTGAAAACTGCAGTTACATCGTCTGGTTGTTTCTCAGAAAGATAACATGAAGAGTCATTTGGCTTTGTTTAATTGGGGTTTGGTCCCCCACACACCATTTGATGTGACCTTTCCTCGACGACTCAACTATTCCTTGTTACCGCTAAAAGTTAATTATTGTTTCTTTTTCTTTCTTAAAGTTGGGTGCTGGTGGCGGAGCTCCGGGTTCAGCCCCCCATCCTGGAGGACCGGGAGGCATTCCGCTTGGTCACCACTTAGCAGCTGCCGGTAATTACAAATTCTTACGCATAAAGGATACCGTCCCTTGACACGCGTTTATTTGAACAGGTCTTCCGCCAATGCCTGGGGCCCCTTTGATCGGCTTCCCTCCAAGCGGCCTTCCACCCTCAGTGTCTGTCGCGGGTCCTCATCCACCCCCACCTGGACACCACCCGGGAGGACTCCCTCTCCCCCACCCACTCTCCATCAAGTCAGAACCCAGAGATGAGCATGGTAGCAACAAACATTCTGAGGATATGAGAAATGTAAGTGAAAATTAAAGTACAAAACTACAAATCAATTTATTCGTGGAAAGTTATAGTTTAATTCCTTTTTGTCATTTTGTAGAGAAACTCGCTGTCCCCAATGGAGCAACGAGAGAGAGAAAGGGAACAGCGTGAAAGGGAACGAGAGCGAGAAAGGCGAATGAGGTCACCACCGTCCGAATCTGACGGTGGACATGACTCACACAAGAGGCGAAAGGAGGAAATCAACAAACAGAATGCTCACGACAGGGACCGCAATAATGGTGATGACAGTGACGGCGAACGAAGTGACCAAGATTTGGTTGTAGATGTTGCAAATGAGGTAATCAATCGTAAAAATATTAATCTATGATTAGAAGAGCTACACATACAATAAATATTATTCACTGAATTGAATTGTTTTCCAGGATCACGGATCACCCAGAGCCAATGGGGACACGAAAGAAGAAAATTTCGGACCCCGCAGTTCTGAACGACCGAGGAGTCGAAGCGGCTCCTCGTCCAGTCGGTCTACTCCCTCCTTGAAAATTAAAGATGTTAGCCGAGCACACATTTTTTGTTAAAACCTCGATCAAAAAGTGCATTCTTGTGTTAAGCATGACATTTAATTGAATGAACTAAAATATTTAGGGAGAAAATTCTACAACTCCCAATTCAAAGTCTGTGACCCCCACGCCTGGTTCTGGACCCCGTCCATCCATGCCCTACCCTTATTCTCCTGCTGCTGGTATTCGACCCGGCGATGCCATCCCTCCCGGCTACCCGCCTCCAGGTCTCCATAACGGAGGAAATGGCGGATACGCTCGCCCAATGGTAGGTCTTGCAAGAGTGAAACTCTAGAATATCTGGTTGATTTATTATTTATTATTATTCAAATTATTATTATCCATCCACATCGATATTATGTACAGATCAAGTTAATCATCGGCAGTTGCATACTTGTAAATTCCCATGCATACAAAAATGTGTACAAGCACATGAGACGATCCTCTTCTCATTCTATCACATAAAAATGTGCGTAGTAAAGGTTTAAAAACATGCAACCTTTAAAATTCTTTAAAATTAGGATTAATTGGAGGGTCCGGCCGATCATGGCAGTCAACGCGATGGCCGGAGGCTTACGAGTTGAACATTTTTTCATACGAAAGTTGAGTAATGGGTTTAATGAATATTATTTACAAGGGGAAATAGATTGCCGGTGTTCCCTTGTTGCTGTTCGTGTATGTACAATTTACAATCACCCTAAAATTGATGGGAACTCAGCTTCACTTTTCATGGACTCACTCGGCTCCTCTCCAAAAACATGTTTCCAATTTTTGAACACGTCGTCTTTTAAACCATCTCCTACATTTTACACAACGTGTATACTTTGTAAATTGCTGGTAGGGTGTAGTTGTTTCTCAGTGAGTGAGTCTCGCAGTTTTTTCATATTAATGTGTAACGACCTAACGTGTAATCAACTCAACATTAAATTAAGGGAGGCTTGAGATTGAAAAAAAACGCAGAAAAGAAAAACTTTTCGTGCGTAGTATGGAAAATGCATACGTTTGTACTTCTTCACCTCCTTTGCAGATTTATTTAGTTCTCAACCAACAGAGTAATTAGTACTTATGACAAATATGTAACACTTGTAATGTTCGAGTAATGTGCGAAACTAACCTGCTCAAAAATTATTGCGTGATGGATATAAAAAATCAACTATTGTGTTTTTAGGGGTTTGACCACCCGGGTGCATCGTCTCGAGGATCTCAATTACCTCCAAATGGAAACGGATTACCAACATTACCTGGGGGGAAGCCGTAAGTGCTATAAAGTATAATTGACCACAATTAGTTAGTAATTTGTTAATTACTGTTGTATTGTCATCCTAGGGCATATTCCTTCCACGTATCCGCCGAGGGTAAGATGCAGCCCGTACCCTTCCCTCCAGACGCCCTAGTCGGACCAGGTAGTGCAGTTCCAATCTTTCGTAAACAATTTCAGGATGTGTACTAATTCTAGGAAGTATTTCAGGAATCCCTCGCCATGCTCGACAAATCAATACCTTAACTCATGGTGAAGTGGTTTGTGCAGTGACCATCAGCAACCCCACAAAATATGTGTATACTGGAGGCAAAGGATGTGTGAAAGTTTGGGACATTAGTCAACCTGGCTCAAAAACACCAGTGTCCCAATTGGACTGTCTGCAGAAAGACAATTACATCCGGTCCGTCAAACTATTGCCAGACGGAAGAACTTTGATTGTGGGCGGGGAAGCAAGCACTATTTCTATTTGGGATCTAGGAGGTGTGGGGCAGCCTAGAATTAAGGGAGAGTTGCCCTCCTCCGCTCCTGCCTGTTATGCACTTGCCATTTCTCCAGACTCGAAAGTATGTCAAAAAATGAAATCCCTCTTGACTCTGCTAAATAAGTCTATAAAGTTATTATGCGAGTTATGCAACATGTTTTTCATCTGTGTTAAGGTGTGCTTCAGCTGCTGCAGTGACGGCAATATTGCCGTTTGGGATCTCCACAACCAAACCCTCGTGCGACAATTTCAAGGTCACACCGACGGTGCCAGTTGCATAGATATTTCTGCGGGTAATTTTCAGCTAAAAAAATGATATAGGTATCTTAAAATGAAACAAAAATGTGATAACGTTGCGACCCATAATTTTCGCAGATGGTTCGAAACTGTGGACGGGTGGGCTGGACAACACGGTTCGATCTTGGGATCTCAGAGAAGGTCGGCAACTTCAACAGCACGACTTCTCCTCCCAAATATTTTCCTTGGGCTACTGTCCAACTGGGGAGTGGCTCGCCGTTGGGATGGAGAATTCGAACGTCGAAGTGCTCCACTGCACCAAGCCCGACAAATACCAACTCCACCTGCACGACTCGTGCGTGCTTTCACTCAAATTTGCTGCGAACGGCAAGTGGTTTGTGAGCACTGGGAAAGACAACCTGCTAAACGCGTGGCGTCAGTAAGTTCAAAATGAATGCACTATTTTTTACCTTCGCAATTCTAGTTTTTAATTATTTATATCTAATAATTACCATTAATTATGTTTCAGGCCGTATGGTGCGAGCATATTTCAAAGCAAAGAGTCGTCTTCTGTACTATCTTGTGATATCAGTACCGATGATAAGTACATTGTCACCGGCTCTGGAGACAAGAAGGCAAGTGTTTGTTTGATATAATACTTATTATTATATAACCTCATTGTTCGCTTGAAAAGAAAATAAGAACATGTTTTTATTGGTTTTGCAGGCGACAGTCTACGAAGTTATTTACTAAGACTAAAATTATACATGGACTACAACCAACTACATATACATAGTTCGAACAACGTTGTTCACTAAAACACAAGACTTACCTTATTAAATATCTACCTGTTTGCTGTAGGTTGTTTTTATTAGATTATAGATTTTAATGTCTGAATTTTTATAATCGAGTTATAATTTTAGACCATCTTCCAGACAGTATGCATGTACTTTGTGGGGTGGTCCGACTACTCATAAATAGAGAGATGGCCAGACCAGTAGACTTCCAGACAGGACTTTATGACTCTAAAATTGTAGTGTTTTTTAATGTTAAGCATTGTCTGATTAATTTGTCGGGGTTTCATAATTAATTTTCCACTTTGCATTTTTGTTACATTATATTCCGTGTTTTTTGGATTGGACTTGAATTCTGAGCTGTAACTTAGGTGTATTCGAATATTGAGCAAAATAATACTTTTTCATACAAGTTCAAAATATTCAATAAGCAAATGAGCATTTGTTTACGCATAATTTTAGTGGAAAAGTACAATTTTTGCTAGTAGAAATATTTGTAAATAATATAAAATTTGCGGGTAATGTAATGAAACTTGCATGAAAAGATGCAGAAATTCAAATAATTTTATAACTCAATTAAGGGTTTTTTTCTGCTGCTGATAACGTATAAGGTGATCCATATTAGATTTAGTTTTAATCAAGCATGAATAATGCCTATGATGGAGTTTTAATGGATTCTTAAACATTGTTCAGTAATAACCGAGCATGATGACAAAACAATAATATGAAATAGGTGTACGCACTCTTCACATTTTAATACTTGGTTACTCTCAATATGCTCTTGTCATCCGATGCATTTCAAATAATTAAGTATCCTGCTCTTCTTCAATAAGTACTGCTACGCTGCCTAAGCTAAGGAAGAATAAAAATAATTAATTTAAAACCCGTTACAATATTATCCGACGGGGTCTTTTTAGCTTTGATGAAATTATACCACTAGAAAGCATAGTAATATTTAAATTAGTCGTAGGTAAGAAACATATTGTGAACTTTTAAAATTCTGATGATGATTCAGGAAAATGAATAAATGTTGCTATTTATAAATAAGCGTGGTCCTCAGAATTATTTATGACTCGCCCCCTATACATGTGCAGATATCTACGTGCCTATGTTGATACATATGTAGGTTATCCTGATCTTTGTTAATAATAATGATCTTAAATGTGGCTAACTGTCGGGCATGTTCTTAATTACTGGCATTTAATGCGAATTGAATAATACATGGCAAATTATGTCCTCTGTTACACACGAGCTATGCAGTGAAGGCATAAAAAATCAAGTTCATATCTATTACGATGACATGGATGGCTGAAGTACACACAATACAACTCTGACTACCAAAGTTATACATATTACGCTGAATGAAAGTAAACATGCAGTGATTCAAAGCGTGAAGTCTGGAACATATTTTTTCTATACTTTTTAGAGCCGAGCCTTTTATTTGCACCGCTATAAAAATAAAACGAAAGCAAACGCCAAAATAAAATACTACAAGGTTAAACAAAACAAAGAATGCTAAACTCGTTCACTTGATGACAGATAAATGCGCTAAAAAGCGTAGTAAATACAAGTTGCTTCTCTTCTCTTGTCTTGGTGAATTTTTTAAATCCAAATTTCACACAGAATTTCAAGTTTGAGAAAATCTCATAAATAACCAATTTTATTACAAGTTAGGCTTTACGTTAATTAATTTTGTATTTGACAAATTCGTTATCACATTACCACAAATTCAACCTCGACTCAAGATCGTTAAAAAATCGTTGCCCATACATAAATCTGCAAAATGGAGATGGAAGTAACCTCTCGAGTTTAAACAAAAAACGACCTTCAGAAAATTACACAAAACCAAAACCGCATCTGTGTACGAGTCAAGTGTGAGAATTACATGCAAGACCCAGCTTAGGATTAAACTAATCTCTCTCAAATGAGAATAATGAGATGCACCGCATTCTTGCTTACTTAAATATAAATACTTGAACACTTGGGTTTTAAATTAGCATGGTCTTTGTTATCCTCCACGTACTATGCACCACTTGCTATGTTTGTATACCCATGATTGGTTGGTAAGATTTGATAATTTGGTCCTACATGTAGTCGTGTAGTCGTATCGTTTTAATATGTTCTTGTTGATCATCCACTGTGCAATTGGTTCTATGGCTGTGCTCCACTCATATTTATGCAGATCGTCCTTTTTTACACGATGGCTAATTTGGGCCTAGCTTAATTTATGATGGCTAATACAGTACTATCAGCAACAACACCCTATTTCATTGTTTTGCAAGAGTGAATTACCATCAAATGGATTGGGTGGACCTGGTTCTGCCAAGTCGCACGTGTTTTAAGAGTAACATGCCGCATTTTGTTATGCTTTATGCCTTATACACGCATGATAGCAATAATAGCAAATACTAATAAAAAACGTGTTACAAAAGAAGGATGCGTAATTGAAAGTGTTGCAGTAAATATTTATTTCGGATTGCATCGCTAGTAGGTGCTGGTTAGTCCTTCTAAATACTGCTTGGCGTGTAAATTCTTTACAACAATTGAGTAAAATTCTTAAATACGGAGACTTTGCAGAGCAGAATTATATATATTGAGCGTACTCACCTCAACCTTCGCATATCTCGCATATCTCGCAAATTGAGCATAGCAACATAACTTGCGAAGTTTTGCGAGATATGCGAGATTTCGCAAAAAATTTGCTGGAAAACCATGGGATTTTTTTCCGCAAATTTACCCAGCAATTGAGCATGTCCTTATTTCGCAAAATTATTTCGCAAACTCATCTCATCATCTCCAGCAGGAGAAATTTTTTTTTTTTTTAAGCGGGTATTATTTATTATTAACATAAACATTGATAAACAGGAGAAATTAAAGAAATCCATGGAAACAATACCAAAATTGGTGGTTTTCAATAGATTTGCGAGATTAGAGAGATTTGCGAACTCATATTTTGCGAATCCCCTCACTAAATGAGTTGCGATGCGAAATAAGAAGTTGTCGTGAGTACGCCCATTATATAAATTAAGTAATTAACATTTCTGACTTGGCTTCGGTTTTTCGGTGTTCAAATACATATTGAAGTATAAAAAAGTACAGTGCACGTGGTTATCGAAATTCCCAGTTTCTTCAAATTGTTTAGGAATTTGTTTATAAGAGGGTTGAATTAATGTGAATAATTAAAATTGTTTGAACTGATAACTGGAGCTTTAATCCTGGTAAGTAGAACATTGTTTAAAGGTAGTTAAATTATAATCCATCGCTGCATGCACATATCTTCACAAAGAGCATAAGGTACGAAAAGCATAATACGTTTTCCGTATACAACATCATTAACAATACGGTATGCACATATGTACATACGTACTACATATCGTATTTTTATTATCCTGATTAAATTGCAAATTTCTCTGTTATTCATGGAGGACTCGTTTCAAAGTAGTTATTTACTGTTGTTTAAATCAAAGCAATGCCAACTAATGGTGAATTAGAGTTAACCATGCCATTTAGCACTTTTATGCAGTATCCGGTATCCTCGTAAACTTTAGCCACCAAATAAACTACAGTCAACAGTGAATCGTAAACAAATAGTATTATTTTTAGTGGACAGCTAGTACATCACATGAAAATAAGATCATGGATCACGATCCTACAATTTTTTGTCTACTTGAAAATATAAAACCTTGAACTGATCCTGGCCCACAATAAGGCGTGTGTCTTGTCTCATGACTGGGAGTGAATAAGATAAGATTGAGGACTGGATGAGTGAACAAATATATGTAACTAATAAATAAATAAATATAAATATACGCCAAATTTATATTTGCAATCAGAAATTTAAAATTCAAGGGATCACACCGACAAGTGTTTGAGAAATTTATATCAAGTCAGGCATGAGAATCGCGCTTTATTTTTACACCAACTTCACCTTAAATAGTTTTTTATTAATGAAACTTAATAAATATAGAGGAGTATAAATTTTTAAATCGGTCATGCCATCCATGTACCCAACAAAACAAGCAGACAAACATTTCTGCTCAAGGACGTTGTCCTTTGTAGTGATCTAAGCATCACGAAAACGAAATTATTTCACGAGCAAATAAGTCGACGGGATATTATTATTACGTCGGTGGTGTAGAAAGGAGGACGGATTACGTAGAGTGTCGCAACAGTTTTTGAGCTATTTTCTGTAAGTTCACATTTCGTGTAACCTTCTTCAATAGGATTAATACTTCGACGTCATTGGATTTCAAATGCTCTCCTCACTCTATAGTTAAATAGACAAACATCATTGTATTGCTTCAGAGACTGCACATACTGTAAAACAAGTGGAGCTGTAACGCTGCTTTGAAGTCGTAACTGCAATTTTAAGAGTGAAAATATTTGTTCCATACTTTGAAATGCATGGCTGAAATAACCTGCAGTATTTTTCAGCACGAAATCCATAATCGGAATTCTTAAACCTTTCAAGTATTTACCACCAGTAGTAACAATATTTAAGCCGAAAATGATTTTGGCCGTTTTTCATTTACAGTCAGTAATGCCACACGGAAAATACAGCATCGCGAAAAAATGGAAAAATAAAAAACCTTAATTTCTGGTTGGAAATCAGAATTTTGACCATACCTCCAAAACACTTAGCCCAAAGTCTATTTTATAATAAAGATCATTAGCCGAGAAGTAAATAATACAAATTTTAACCGAGAGCTCGATGAACTTTTCATGAATTAAATTATCATATTTTTGGGCTAATTGTAAGCAACAAGTCATATCCTACAGTGTCCTTTCATGTCCTATCAGTCGCTATTTACTAAATTATTCTCCGCAGTAATAAATGTCCATTTACACTTAAAAATCATGAATGAGTTTGACGAGTAGCTTGTCTCACAGCGAATATTTATACGTACAGTGATCACAGTGGTCGCAGTGTAGAGGATGAATTTTCCTGGATGTCTCCTAAACATGCATTATTATTACACATATTAAAGTCAGGATACCGGATGTCATACTTTTTAGGCATGCACAGTTACAATTATTTAATTCAAGTCAATCCATTTAAGCAAGTCCGTCCGTTAACTGCTGATTCGTTCTCGTATGTATTTAGTACATTTCCACGTTTTCAACGCATTTAACAATATTACATCAGCGCAGCCCCCCTATTGTACTTCTTGGTAGGAACATATTTAAGACCAGCTGCTGATTTACTTGTGCAATTTAGTTATTCTACTTTGTCCTGTATTCTATTTATTTAATGTAAATAGTCACCACACGCATCGAGAGAGGTTTGTTTGGCTCACTCAATTTTACTTTACTTTCAGATTCATTCGAATGAATATGCATCACGAATTGGTGGTTAGTTAGTGGGTGGAGTTTTTATTTATATGCCACGTTTTCATCATTACATTACACAAATTTATCACCGCATAGGAGATTATTATGTAGCAGCAATAGCAATATATAGGCTATTGTGTATCCTTTTTGCCATAATGAGGCTACGAAAATTCACCTCACAATTAAAAGTGCAGATTGCATACACAAACTCATCTAATAGAAATTATCCACAATTTTTTTTGCATGTATGTTATTTACATACAAACCTATATCCTTCAACATACTACTTCATTTATGCTTCATGTGTAGGTATACAAAATTATAAGTCCGTGGAGCTCGAATCCACGACCCCGAAATTACGAGCCTCTGACGGATGCATAAAATTTTGACCTGGTTGATTAAATTGATTCGCGTCAAAAAGCAGTTACGCACATTCCTGATGACTTGTTGATAACCAGAAATACCAGGAATATGACTTGTTCTTATTATAGTCACAAGCGCTGGAAGGAAAAGGAATCTGCTGGCTGGAGCTGGAGCAAAAGGTTAATGGTAAAATTTTTAGGTCAGATTTTTATCAGTCAATTGCATTAATTCGGTATACTCATGTAGGATAAATTGGACGAGTCAAGTATGTATCACTAAAACTTTGAGAGAATGATTGGAGATATTGTAATATGTCATGCGTACTTTATCATGAGGTATGTACATATGCACTACAACATGACGAGATCGGCAATCTGCAGAGCCTGTATCCTGCTATCTTTCAATTCTGTGACTACCTCATGTCAATTTAATTGGAGTTGGAGGTTAACCCAACGCAAAATTAGTTTAACTGCGTCGTTAAATACGGTTGAATGATTTACTGATATGTTGCAATTTAGTTGGGATAAACTTCAAATTACATTTATGTGCAATTGCATATCCACACAGACTGATGTGACCAATGTACGATAATGATGATGCCGTTTTTGGAAGTAATTCAGTGATGACTTTTAACCCTCTTTTTTGACAAATTCTTCATATAACCTCAATCAGTAAGATGGGTAAATAATTTTATAAAAGGGGGTTTAGCATAACTTTCAGTAGCTTCCGTTTGTGCGTTATTATTTGTACTTATGTCCAACTAACTAATGCTAATAATGCATGCAGGGTGCCTGAAATTGGTTCTTTGTAACTTTACAGATACATGTGTGCACAATTTCCCACAACGCACAACTTATAGACCGCAATGACTTTGATAATTTATTTATTTAAAAAATAATAAGAACATTTATGACATAACAGCAGTATAAACATCTTGCAATAAATGTGCCACGTGTATTTATTTCTGGGAATGAGGACAGACAAAAGGAGATGACACTTGCTTTATGATTAAAGTATGAAGATAATAATTTCTTAATCTTGTGTTTATTATAACCGTTAACCGCTTTCAATATCGAATATGGAAGAAGCGTGTAAAAATGATTTTTTTCCTACAAACACATATTTATTAGATGCATACATGCATATGTACATACGTGCTTTATATTGGACCATACATTGATTAACAAAATGCCCAAATATTATATTCAACACGAAAATGTAAAAATCGATTCTTTTAGTACTGATGATGAATGAGCTTTTATGATTAAATGCAACATTTATTAATATCAGTAAAGTTTTGGAATCGGACGATACGGATTAAAATATGGATTCAAAGTAAACTCTTTGCTTTGCTAATACCAGCAAGATAAAATTGTCAATCTTTGATTTCTGTGTTATCAAACACAGACAGACGAAGGTTATCAAGGTTGTGTATATTTGCATAGTCTAGTTCAAATAAGAGTATCACCCACGATTTACGGGGGGCATCTCTTTGGGACTCAAAATGTTCATGAGCAATAATGAGCTATGTCAAAGACATCAACATCCGATCCAAAGAGCTTGACCAATCTTCTAGGTACGTATTATATGCACATACATAACTTATAAATATTTAGAATATGTAGTTTCGACCGGAGTAGTCAAGTCAGTTACAGATTTGAAATATCAGCAGCTTTAATATAGGTAAAAATAAATAATGTCAAATGTAACTTCTGGGGAATAAGTGGTATGTATGCGCATATAAATATGCATAATAGTGATTTTAACTGATTAACTTGATGACTTGATCATGCAACTCAAGGAAGAAGTTGCGAAAATTCTTTGACAAGATCTTCAATTTTTAGTGTGTTACACACTAAAAAGTCTAGAAGACTTGGCTTCATACCCATGTTGTACCAATTATTCTCGTATATAAGAAATGGGTAAAAGAAGTACAATGTTATAAAATATAAGAAATACATTTTTCTAAAGGAAAGTAATAATTACAAAACTGAATGGTGTGCTTTTTTTATCGTCCTTACTTAACTTTCCGAGAATGATATGTCAGCCACCAATTTATACGAAAACACAGTCAACTGTCAGAGTTCCCAAGAACTGGCGTTACTTACATAAGCTAAACTTTTCCTGGGAATATTTCCCATGAAATTCTAAAGTTGCAAGTTTAAGATAAAAAATGATTACATTCCTGCTCATAAGGTTTGGTTTGGTAAATATTTGTGAATAATAAGCAAGTTCATGTTCATGTTAATATTTTCGATTTCAAGTATTCTAAGTACAAGCCTATATAAGTTTTGTTTAATCCAAATTAAAGAAACTATGAAAATAATTCAGGTAGATACACAATACACATACATGATGAGGAGCAGCTACCGATAGTCAATAATTGAACGTTTTGTAGTTCGCCGTAATTTTGGCGTAAGCAGAGTGAAATTTCTACTATGCAAACCTTGTACATATACATTACATACATACGCTCATTTTCAGAAATTCACCGCCGCGAGAAAACAGATTTACGGATGATTAGCTACCAACACATAGGTTCAATTATGTACATAGGGATTTATGTGACGATTGAAAGTAGAAGGTGAGACAGAACAAATCTCTCTAGATTTTTCTGTTTGTTTGCTACACTTTCTTGCATATTTTCCCTGATGATTTCAACACGTCTAGGGTTTTCTTATTTTTTTGCGACTAACAAGGGAAAAACCTCCTTGCTGATATTTTCATTTTTGAAACATTAACCACATACTAAACTAAAATAAACAAACTAACCTGTGGATGAGAAAAGTACATGAGATTCAAAACAAATCGTAATTTGTAAACCAAAAATTAGCTAGAATTTCTATTTGTCTGTGCGGATGGATTTAGCAGAGGATATTTTTTCTGAGTCATCATCAACTCTATTATTTCATGTGAAGTTAAACTTAATTCTGAACATGAAGTCTGAATCAAACCGAAAAAAAAACATTTTCGTATGACATCAGTAAAAACAAAAAATAAAAACAGTTCGAATCGTATTTATTTTAACGTGGTATTTCCTGCCAAAAACCGAAAACTACATAACACGAGTTCTACGAACTAGGAATAGTACCTTTGTTATGTCATGAATATTTGGCACAGTTTTAGCAATAAGCATGGCATCCATCAGCCAATTCACACTTTTGTATATCGCATGAGCATACATATATCCGCATATATAAGTACATATCCGATTCCTTTGTTCAGTTTCCAACTTTAAAGATTCGTCATACAAAATTCAACAAACTCATCTCGACAAACAAATACTGGGAACGTCCCAAACCAACCATGTATCATGTAGGTATTTATGTGAGGATGCTATCAGTTACTGTTGAATTGAAAGATAATCTCGCATTGTCACACACCATATAATACGAAATACCGGTGACTTCTGTATAATTAAGCCATAACGAAAATGACTGCTCTCTTTACTTGGTGGGCTATATTTTAAAGTAATCAATCACAAACTAAAAGTGAGCACATCTCCAAACGCTGTTTTTCATCTGCATGGACAAGTATACATCATGCATGAGACAAAACAAACTTGTAGACGGTATACATGCATAAATTTACGTGAACATCACACCAGAAAGATGTGTTATTAAGTATTCATCATGTTGTGAGGGTACAATACCACCAATTCAGCCCCCATCACAACATTATCATCACCAGTTCATTACTTAAGCGTCTCTTTAGCAGTAATTCACGTTATTGTTGTGAACGTATGCAATGCTATATTAAATCCATCCTCCTCTCCATCCATCCCAAGCACACATAGAACCAAACGCATGCTAATAATAATACAAGAACTTTGTATGTTTGCAGTGTTTGAATGCCAAGAGCCATAATTTCATCGTTCCTTTATACCATACCAACATTGCTACGACTATGTGCCCCAGCAACAAAATGCTGGATGGAGCTACTACGAACGACTACTATTCCATGCCTGTCTGTAGCGTCAACTATGCTCATTCTGGATCTTAGCTTGGAGCAGAAAGCATATTGAAAACTGTCCCACTTTCTCTACTTCATACTTTGGATGGAATACTTACGTAACCACGTATAGAAATACGGAGAAGACTGAAAGTGAACCTTTTTGGGAAGGCCGTTGTGATTTGTATTGTTGTTTGCACATTTCCTAAACGTTGTAGAAAAATTATAAACCCTCGAGAAAAGATTGGGGTTTAAACGAATTTAGAAAAAGTGGAGTTATAATAATAACTCGAGGAATAATAATAATACTCAAGTAACGCGTAAACCTTGGCGGACAATCCGTGATAAGGACTGACAAGTGAGTGTACAATAACAAATAAAGAGAACCACGTATTGCAACAAATTTGTTTTGGATAAGGTGTGGTTTGTTCTTGCTCCATATTTGAACATACACATAAATTCTGTTATTGATCAATCAAACCCAAAATAAAATCAGCTGGACGGTTGTGATCTTGGTTGTACATCTTTTTGTATTTAACAAGGTGATGAATAATGGAGAACCAAATTTTTGACGCTGCATCGCATGGAAAGCTTTCGCTGATTAAGGTGAGGTTTACATAAAATGTGTAATAGAGTTTATCCTTTTATTTAATAAAAACGTGTTGGAAAAGTGCGTAGTTCATTATTGTGATGTTGTACATGAAATTATCAATATTGATCATTTGACAATGAAATTGTATCGTGTGTGCCCAAGATGCCGATGATAGCTCAATAATTTACGACAAAGATGCATCTTTTCAACCTTGTGAGATTTGAATTTTGCAATCTCTGTGCACAAGTATTGGTACATGACACAGATGAAACAAGTGAAAAAAATCTGGTCTGTAGCGACTTGAACTTGTAGTGAATATTTAAGAAGTATATATAATCGTGTAGCTACATATTTTATGCGAGTCAGCGATGTGCAATATTGGTGAGAGGAGCAAAATTATCAAATTCTCATGATTGCTTACTATTCGTATCGTAAGTAGGAGAAGACGGCGGAGTGCAATAGTGGCTAATTATTTGGTTACCCATGATGTGACGTGTGTATAAAATAAAGTGACCTAAAGGGTAGTTCGATGCATGGGTGTAATCATGTTAGCAAATTGTTGTCTTTGATTATTGTAGGCACGTCAACGAAATACACAAATAATTTCATGAGGGTGTATATGTACATACTTGTGCTTCTTGTAGTTATTTAGAACTGGTTATGTAGTTTTAAATGCATGTGTAGCTACATATATGTAATGCTATAATAGTGATCTTGACTTTGGCATCTTGACATTTGATTATTCGTATTAGCATTTACTTTCGATTTTTAAGCAGAATTACGCAAGCATTTATTAAGCAAGCGGGCGGGCATGTTTTATTTGTATTTTGGTTAAAAGGTTATTTTAAAAGATCTGACTAATGAGATTTTGGAGATTTTTAATTAATTTTTGAAAATGGGTGTTACTATTTCATGGCTTCAGCTTGAGTATAAGATGAGTTTATCAGTGGATTGGTCGTCCCAGAATCATAATCTCAATTTCATTTACTATCTAATCTCTTATCTAGATTGGCAAGTCGGTTGTGGGCACACTTATGATTAAATTTACAATTTACTTAGTGGAGAGGGATCCATCATCCGCGGTCAATATATCATTTATTATGGAGGGTAAATATGTATGTATAATGCACAAGTACGAATATAGCTTACAAACGCATTATCAATTGCATAACCAAATCAGGACACCAGCGAGTTGTTCAATTGAAACACATATAAATAAAGAATGACATTGGTTTGAAATTGCGCAAAGATTGATCTTTACCTTCAATAACTTCAAATCAAGAGCTCACATAAAATGCGAACCAGTTTTTATTTTCAACTTCTTTTGTCATTTCTGTATGTATCATACTTTTGCGAATGTCGTGGTCATGTCATGTGCTTGTGAAACTGCATAATTTTTTTCTACAACCTTTCTATTTTCAAATCCTCTGAATTGGAGGTTGGAAGAATGCACAATTAATAATATAAAGTCCATAATGTCACACGAGTCACCTCTCATCTGCACCTTTACATGTCGTACATGTATCTACATATTATGTGTAAAATTGTTAATGTGTGCTAGTACAGTAGTTAATGATGTAGTTAAAAATGTAACTAAAGGCGTAATTTACTCTTCAACGACGCAATGTTATTCGACGTACTTGAAATTGTATATTCTATTTCTACCTATTTTTAGCTATGTTATATTATCTTAGCCTAATTTCCTTGCCTTGAATTGCTCAGCTAATAACGTGCATTTGTTGTTCTTTTTTGTCAGGACGTCTTAGAAAAACGACCAAAGTCGGAGAGGATTCACTTGCTGTCAAGCAAGGGTGCCGCAGGAGAAACCCCACTAATATTGGGTACTATTGTCAATTAAAAAAACAAGTGCAATGCAGTAATTCATTTTTTTAATTCGTTTTTAATTTTCTAGCATGCCGTAATGGACATTATGATGTCGCTGAGTATTTGATAAAAAATTGTGGCGCAGATTTGGAGTTGGTGGGATCTGGTAAGATTTTCATATTTTATTTTAAGAGTATATTTGACATAAAAATACAATTCATGCAATCGTACTTATTGTGCAATTTGCACAAGATAAAATTATCCTTTCAATGCTCACATCACATATGTACAACTATCTGCAAATGCCACTAATATGTTGGACTGGCTTTTGTCGTCGTCATCCATCAGTACCATTTGTTTGGCGTCGAAGCAAGTATGCAAACAACAACAACAATTAACTTTATTTAACCTGTTTTTCCTCGCGTCGTCACGTGGTCTTGATTTTGCGTGGTTAAGTCTCGAATATGTTTTTTTAAGATAGAATCATTTGTGTTTCGGGTACGTATGCACATTCCAATATAGTTTTGATGTAAACTCCAAATTCAAAGAAGCTGAATAACAAACTACTTTAGGTTAGGCCACTTAAAGGTATCAATTAGAAGTCTTCATCAATAGCGTTGAAGTATTGACCTATGTATAGGTAGTATAGTAGGAAGGAACCAAAACGGAGTTCCCATTCTCTCTTCTAAATTTTTTGTGGAAACGAGGAAGAATTGGCATTTCATGCTGAAGATATTTGTCCAGGATATCCAGCAATGCACATCCTTGTATCTTGATATCATGTTTGCCGCATGTGGTTACCAATACCAGAACACAAGTACATATGTCTGTATATTGTACGTGGAAATTATGTCCAGTCTGGCGAACTGAATGAGGAAATGTAGCTACTTCCACTGCCCTATTAGCAGCAATTGCGTTTAGTATGTCTGGTGCTTGAATAAATTATTGCGGAAGGATAGGTTTATCTACATCTCACAAAAACAAGAACTTGAACTTCTTTCTTTGTTGGCGTGGGCTTTGTTTCATCATCTAAAATTTTTATTCTTTAAGCTTATTTTCTTACGTAGTACAACGAAGTAATTTGACAACTCGCATGCACAAGTGTTTCTGCGTAAAAAATATAGTTTGAGACACAAGCAGCAGTTAACCAATCGGTCACTTCCACATTTAATTGAGCTATTATTGACAAGAGATCATTGTACAATGTACAAATCATGACATGTTTGAGTTTACAAAAATTGATTTAAATTTCCATACGACTTTTTCTTGAACAACATACCGAAATTTATGAATTTTTTCCTTGTAATCAGCAGCATGTACTTGACGAGTTGCAAAATTGTATAACTTGTTAATAGTAATTTCCTAAATTGTCTTCATAAGAAGTCGATAAACCTCCAAATAAGAATTGGTGGTGCGACAAGATTTATTTTGGGTCACGGTTAAATATACAGCGAAGAGGCGAAGCTGGCCAGCATGGGAATTGTGATGAGTTTAATACAATATTCGCAATATAACAAAAATTAATTTAAATAGCCATTTGAGCTGGTTTAGAGTAAGTAAATGTATTACAAGTGTAGGGGAAGAGGCTAACACTACGGATGATATGGCAAATCCATTTTCTGACGATGTGTAGGCCTACATATATATTATAAGGCTGAATTTGCAAAAATGCACAAGTTGCATGCAGTCCCTGATAACTTCTTTTTTGCCACTAATTATGTGGTTCTGCTTGGTCAGATAGGAAGGGAAGGATGCTTAAAAGACACACATGCAGAAGCAGAGCAAGATCAGGTGAAGGTTAAAATGGAATATTAAATGTTTCTTGACACGGTTGTTTAACTGGAAGTCAATTGTACCTTATTTTATACACACATGCAATTATATGCTTTTTTCAAATATCCTACAAGTTTCTGGTGATAGTTGTTCTCGCTACGGCAAGGAGGGTCGGACCTCTCTCAACTTTTTTTGTGTGCATAATATCTTGCACACCATTTCATTTATGAAGAATTCCTGATGCATATATTCTATGCTGTCATGCATTCAACATAATTAATAAAACCAAGAATTTTTGAATTTTTGAAATTTTTGATTATATGTGCATCATATGTGCAATGTATATTTCGACACATGTTCCTAATTATATTATATTCAACCGATAAGTTTTGTTCAACCAAGTGAACCAAGACGGCGAGAAGGACCTGGTGATAAACCATCTACAACTGTGTGTTTTACGCGTTATTTCCATCACCCACATAACATTTATGATACTACGATAACAAACAAACAGTGAGGTCAATGATTCGGATTTTGTAAATGCTTTCCTTATCTGCGTGCCAACGACGATGCAGAGAAAGGAAGATAGGCATTTATTAGATTCTTAAACATGTGGCTTATTCTTATCCGAAACACGTGGTAGTGATCGTCATATGCAACATCATGTCATGATCATCGTAATACGGTAGTTCTTCCGTATGTACATATTATACTGTCAATTGGAGTCCCATTTAAGAACGCGCAACTTTCGTTGGTTCCATTCAACTGTACATATTTTTAGCATTCGAAATGATTTCACACAGTGTGACTTGTGAGGTGTATGTACATACATCCATTGTTAATCAAAGCCGGCTGTCAACAATAACTGTATTGGATGGGTTTGTGGTTTTGGCTAAAAATTCACCCATGAAACCCTTGTTCTAAACTTACGCCAGACTTCTTGCCACCTAAAGAATTATCAGTTAACTTCATTTGACAACATTTCTGGTCTGTTGGCTAATGCTCACTTCCCATATTAAAAGGTTTGTATTCATTCAACTCCGGAAATAAATACCGAGATTAATGTTCTTGGCATTCGTTCACTTTTTCATCTCTCGGTTTTGTCGTCTTGTGAGTGACCTGTAAATATATTGCTGCACCACCCGACTTCCTCATCGTGTCAACGCTCTTGTCCTACTCAAGCGATTCAAAACTTTGCTGGACTGTACGGTCGAGCTTCACCGTCAACAAGTCAAGCAGCCAACTAACTGAACCGACGGTTCTTCCTTTCTTCGGTCTGGCCGAGTAACGACACGTCTTTATAAATAAACCCAATAACGCCAACTCGGAAGTGCATCTTTTAACAAGAAACCAGGACTATGAACTTTTTAACGAAAGTGAAATCTGACATGATTCTATGCTTTAAAATACATTGCTCTATTTCTGGCACTGGTCCGAATTTTGTTGTGTCCATGAGGTCTGCATATGTACATGTTACATCATAGGCAAACTACATAATTACATACAAAAGTAAGCTGCGTTGTAAATTTTTCAGTATGATGTTTGAATGCAGAATTGAATTTCCTGTGGGTGTAAGCACTTTGTAAGAAATAGTCAAAACAATATTAGTGATAAGCCAAGATAATGCAGGCCAAATCAAATTATCAGTTCAGAGGTTTTAGATGACTAATTAGTTAATGCTGGATGCCTTAATCAGCACAAGAGTTGATAACCTAGGTGTAGATCAGTAATTGCGTAATTTCTGTAAATGCCACATATTGGAGCAACTTGCATAAAACTACGAGTGAATGAATTGGTGATCATCCGCTTTTGTCCTCTGAATGTGTCGTTAGGAAAGTTCATAGTAGTTCAAGTTGAGTATGAAAAATGCTCTAAAATTGTTTCCTAAATGCGTAATAAGCCAACCTCCTTAAGTATTAATGTACTTACGATGTTACGATCGATGCTCTCCACTCCATTGTTCTTATGGTTGGCGTTTATGTATGCTCTTATATAACCTTTTGTGGTTAAGGGTTATTGATTGAATAAAGCGACAAGCTTTAGCCAAGATGCTAATATGAATGTAATATTGTGATGCTTTTTTTAGTGATTTTTGACGGGGAAACAATTGAAGGAGTTCCGCCTCTGTGGTAATAATAATAAAATTCATTTTGATAAATCTATCTCCAAACATAGCCGGTCACGTTTTATAAATTGTCATCTTCATTTTTAGGTGTGCTGCAGCAGCAGGTAAATTAGTGTCAACTTGGTCCAGCACCTGTTCAGAGTCACATATTTCGATTGTATCACTCAGGTAATCTCAAGATAGTGGATCTCTTAGTACAAAACGGTGCAAATGTTAACTCCACAACACGGACAAACTCCACGCCACTGAGGGCAGGTGAGTACATACACACGTACTTATTATCGCTGAAAATTATATTGAATAATACTGAATAATTTGTTTCAGCTTGTTTCGACGGCAGAAGCGACGTAAGTGAAACCTGAAAAAATACTCTTAACCCTCGTCATATAATCTAATGTATTTTTTTTTAAATCTAAGGTTGTTAAGTATCTAGTCAAAGCTGGAGCAGGTGAGTATCTAGTTTTTGTTAGTTATTATTTATTAATCCTCAAAATTTGACGTTTTGGTAATTTTTGCCAGATATTGAGATTCCAAATCGACACGGACACACTTGTTTAATGATAGCTTGTTACAAGAACCATTATTTCATCGCAAAGTAAGTTTTTTTAACTAGCTAGCTTCTTAGTTATTTTAACTTATTCTTAACTTGTAACAAAAATTAATAAATTATCAACTTAATTTACAAAGGTACTTGCTGCAGCAAGGAGCAGATATCAACAGAAAAAGCGTCAAAGCAAATACAGCTCTCCATGACTGTGCAGGTAAGCAAGCCATAAGTAAATGTATGACTATGATTATAATTATATGTACGTATATGTATTTTAGAATCCGGAGCGTTGGCCATTTTGAAATTGTTGTTATCAAAGGGGGCCAAGTTTGATTTAGACTCGTATGGAATGAGTCCTATTTTGGCTGCTTCGGTGGCAGGTAATATAAAATCAATAGCTTTGCATACGCATAGAAATATTTCTTACATACGCTATGATTTCCAGTACAATTATGATTAAGCAGTTTATGGAAATTTCGGCTTCTATACATTTTTATATCAAAATAACAAAGTTTGATTCTAATTTAGGAAATGCCAACATTGTTGAGTACCTACTGAGTGTCCCTGACTTGGTAATGATAAAAGATAAGATTGCTGCGCTTGAACTACTTGGCGCTACCTTCGTGGATAATAAAAAAGATATGACTGGCGCACTTGGGTTCTGGAGGCGAGCGATGGAACTGAGGTAAATTATTTTTAAAACATGACTGTTTCTAAATTCTAATAAACTTGAACTGTCCGATTAATACAACAGAATTAATTAAGGTTGGTTTGCTGTCACAATAATTCTATGCACAACTTGAACGCTTTATGTCAATCATATTAATAATTCCCCAGCTTGAGATGACCTTCCTGGTACAGATCTTTATCATGCAGCACAATTTAGAGCAGGGAATGCGATAATAAGTCTTTTTGGGCAAGAGTATTTACCTTTTAAAAACGATTTGGCCAAAAATTCAATGACACGTATAATGTCAAAATTATGTTCAAACATTGTGTATCTTAAATTCAAAGTACATGTTTTTGGTACAAGAGCAAACATTACCTCTTGATTATAGTGCATATTCTTCTTGAGTTTGTTGCTACCTATTGATATCAGAGTATTAAGTTACAATTGACTAAAATAAAAGTAAGTTCTTAATTTCTTCCAGGTATCGAAATGGGCAACTAATTTACCCTAAACCTCTGAGAACGGTTCCAGTTTATGAAGGAAGAAAAGAGGTGGACAGCTTAGATGAATTGGAAGAACTGATTTCTGATCCAGATGAAATGAGAATGCAGGTATTAGATACATAGATCAAGTTGTATTTTAGTATGTAATTTATATTTATATGTCATTAAGGGCATCTACATAATTGTCCCAAATTCTATTACTTAAATATAAATTAATTTAATTTCTTTAGTCCTTGATGGTTCGTGAGCGCGTGCTTGGGCCTGCACACCCGGGTATTATGCTTAATAATAATATCTAATACACATGTAATTATGTATCGTAATTATGATTATTTTGATTGCTAGATACCTCATATTACATTCGGTACCGAGGTAATTCAATCATACATGCTTATCCTGCTTATCAACTACGAACTCAACAGACTGTTTGTTTTTAGGAGCGGTATTTGCTGATGCTGGAGAATTTAATCGATGCGTCGAGCTATGGTTTTATGCTCTTAATATGCAGCAGGTACTTGACTTTAATTAACTTGAATTAGCCTTGAAAATACATGACATAATAACTTGTACCCACATTTCGCAGCGTATTCTTGAACCTCTGAGTCCCCTGGTAAGAATATTCTTTAAAATTACAGCATATGAAAACCAAAATATTTATACATAATCGGTTTGAACCAGAACGAGATAGTGTCATGAAAGCTTATTTTTTTATGCGCATAATTTTGTCTCAGACCCAGGGATCACTTCTCTCATTTGCCGAACTATTCTGGTTTATGATGGGAGATAAGAAAAATACGTTCTTCCCTGTGCCCGTACTCAGATTTGAAGATGCTTACATGGTCTTTTGCAAATCTGTACAAGAGGTAAAAAGACTCTTCTCTGTAGACTCTGATGAAGAATTTATTGACATACATTTACCGTCAAGTGTTGCTGTCTGTCTCATCGCCTTCATTCGATTACATATACACTTTGGCTGATTTGGTTGGATTTTCCAGATATCACTTGCTCATTTGCCATATAAAGTGTAAATGTTAGCAAAGATTTTTTATGATTCGATGCGACAGTTTTTTGTCGAGGATAGATAATTAAATTATGTCGGCGCCATCCTCGAGACAAGTTCTTCGTATCATCTTACATTGTGATAAGTTATTTTTAAATTATAGATTGAAGCTGCAATGAAATGTGGCGAGAACAACGTTGGAATTGATAAGGTCCGTGATGCACCTGTATTTCACCGTTTGCTCGTCATTACACTGCAGATTTGTTCTGTACTCCTCGCTGTGGACAAGACTCCAGAAGAAGATTACAAATTTAGAAAGGTATATATATATTATCGTGATATATTGGTAACGATTGAGATCTAATGACGTTTTTAATCGGAATGTAGACTGCATATCATCTAGTGAAGATGGGCGCGCGAGGAACTGGAGGCTGGTCATTGCTTCACATTGCTTCGTCAAATGACTCTACAGTTGGACGTTTTTCCATGAAAATTTTCCCATCGATTAAGGTGACCAGATTACAATTTCTTAAAATTATTAAAAACTTAATATATGTATATTCTGCTTTGTAGACTATTGAATTCCTATCGAGCGTCGGAGGGGATCTCACAGAGCGTGATGACGAAGGCAATACACCTCTCCATTTAGTGGCAGAAGCAAAATCTTGTTCGGCTGAATTAGTTAAATCTCTGCTCAACTGTGGTGCTCACTTAGATGAAGTGAACAATGCAAAAGAGACATTTGAAACATTATCAAAAGAGCCGCTTCACAGTTTGGTCGATCCGATCCGATACCAGAGTCTGAAATGCTTGGCGGCGCGCGTCGTTTCACAAAATCAATTACAGGGATGTTTGCCTGCAGAACTCTTGTCGTTCATCAAGCGTCACTAAGAAAATTTTGATTCAGATTCACCTTCGTTTTTAAGATTTGAGTTGAAATTAAGTCAATTTTATGCAAGCATGCAAATTGGGGAGATAAGACATATATCGTATGCATACTACCTATCGTACAGTGTGAAAAAAGAATAATTGTTACCGCAATACCACATACATATTTATGTACATATACACGGCGATGCCCGATGGCTAATCATCTTCTACAATATATATTTTAAACTTTGAAATTTTTGATTTCTGAAGTGAATTTCTCACATGAAAATTCATGACTTGATTGGTGGCGTGGCATGATTGATTTTTTGATGATTGATCATAGCGAACCCCATCATAACTACATAAGTGTGATGTGAACTCATAAGGTGTACAATGTAAATATGTAGGGAATGTATATTGTACTATTCTCGCAACCAAATTTTGTTTTAATTTATTACGCTTGGTTTCATGTTGTCATATTGTTGTGAGCATTGCAAATACAATACTGTTTGAATTCAGTCCCCACTACTGATAGATTAAAATACGTTTGTGGTAACAATTCTACTCATCTTAGGTATAAGAAATGTGATAACTAAACTAATATTCGTAAGGACACCTTACTTCGTTCGTGTTTGTTTTAGTACAATAGTGCAGCTCAGCCATTTCTACTAGGCTACACATATTTTAGGCTATTAAATAAGTATATGCGTATTACCTTACTACAACTGAACGTCTTGATATTATCACGCACGGTTATATATCAGCTTTTCTCGAGTAGTTCAACCTTGTTCTTACATTTTGTATCAAGTCATTTATAATTTTTAATACGATTTCTTAAGCTTTTCAATCCGTTTTTATCCCAGCGTCCTCCTTGTTTAAGAAGCTGTTTATGTTCTTGGATAATCACTATAAAATCTTAATCTGGCCCGTGGAATAAAATATGTATGTATGAAGGGTTTACATAATTAATAGTAATCGAATCACAGTCATTTACGCATCACAAAAAATGACTTTACTTCCGTGTTGATTGCAAACAAGTTTATTACCGATATTATATAACCAATATGTGATAATTCCTGTGTAGAAAGAAACTTGACAAGAGACCTTGCCATGTAATGAATATTTATTTAAAATTTAAATACTTAAAATCAATTCTTGGACAGCTTCAAAAAAATTACTAAACCGCTTAAAAACTAAGTATGTAAATTAATAGAATTATTAACTACTCTCAGTACAACAGAACATTAGAGTAATTTGAGTGACGGGGACGTACAGATAAAATAGAGGAAGGTATATTGATGCTAATACCTTGTGCCAGATTGTGAACAAAAACTCTACCTGAATGAAATTGTATTACGCAAAATAAAGTCTACTGAATGAAAAGTCAAACATAGTTGTATCGAATTATTGTTTCAACTTTTTTATTTAGTGGATCAATTGTTGATTATAATTAATCAATCTGTCATGCACCTACATTATGGTCCCACCAAGTGTTTATTTGTTGGGCTAAATTTGCTTGTAGTACAGTATCGCCAAAAATATAAGTAGTCGAACGAATACAAAGCATTTTTAACTCATGCTTGGATAAATTTGGGACCAGTTGAACAAATTTTTTGTATTCCTGGCTTAAGTTTGAGTTGAAGACACCACAATCATCCGTCTGCAAAAAATAGAATTACATAAAATAAAATGCGCGTAAAAATAATTTACACACACAGCAAGATGAACGTTGTCTTACGCAAATAGTGAATGGAATATTATCATCATGAAGCAGTTTAACATAATGTTGTTCTAACGTTGGACTAACCCCACTGATTAGGTTCGAGGTTATGCAGGCCTCTGTAAAATAATAAAATTGTTGGTATAGAATGCATAAGATGAGCCAGCTTGGAGTACAAATTATTTATAGATAAAAACACACCCATACAAATGCCACTGTCTTTCAGAATTTTCCATAATTCTTCAGTCCCACCAGTAGAAGGGTGTAGATACTGCCCGTGCGCGACACGATTGGCCCCGTGTTCCAGAAATAGTTTGGTCTCATTCTCATTTATGACCTACGTAGTTACAAAATACCTGGTTTAATTGTACATGCGCGCATGGCAATCTTTTGGAGAATTAATACATCATATTGCCATTGTTTGAACATAGTTAAGTAAGTACGTACTTCTGGAAGGTGAACACTAACACGTTGGCCCATCTTTTTAGAAAAATTGAGTGCAAACAAAATTGACTTTGTATCTCCTGTATTTGGATTTCCACAAAGGTCCAATCCAACTACAATTTCAGGCTCCAAATTCATGTACAATTGTGCCAAGCAGACATTCTCCAAATAATTTCGAGCAGAATTTCCGCGGTCGATGGAAATGAGCAGCTTAACAATAATTGGAAGTTTATCTTCTTCAACACAATGCCTACAAATTCAGAAATATTACCATAAATAGTATGTCATTGTGTTGGTTGGTTTTAGACGGCAGTTACTTAATAGCCTTGATAACTGTCTCAATATAAATCTGTTTCGAAGGAATGTCATGAATTTTTTTCGGTGTTGTCCGCAATTCTAGGTAGATAACGTTATCCTTCACGAAATTGTGTATTACTTCACATGTTGCTTGGAATAGAATTTCCGGAGTTTGAATAACTTGATGAATTTTAGCGAAAGCTTTCCAGCATCTGAAAAAAATGAAGCACCTGAGTTAAGTATATTTCTGCTGAGTAAATTTCCCTATCAATGATGGTTCCTTTCTCTTCATAAAAGTACTGCATCCCGAAACAAATCGAAACACATTATAGATATAAAATACTCGAAAGCATAAACGGAGAAAATTTGTGCTTGGTGAATGTCAACCCATTTCACACGCAATTTCCTACTGCCGAAATCTGATTCATATCATACTCGGACAAGCTTGGCTTCCCATCCAATTCCAACCGAACCTTCGGCATGAGGGAAGATTTTATGTTATTTGTAGAATGTGAATCATCCTCCTCGTCTTCGCCAGTACGATCCGTCTTTTTGAGCCTTTTTTCTGTGGGAATACAGTCGTCATCATGCCTGTTGTTATCGGTGGAGTCGCAAGGTGTCGATAAACTATTTTGTAGTTTTAACTTTCGAATAATGGAATCACTAATTGACCCATTAAGATGAGCATGTAGTTCCTAGTAAAACAATTCCGGGACACCCCGTTTGTTAGTATAGCACTCATCTTGGTGGAATGATTGACAATTTCATGCAATGGAATGATCGAATCATTTGAATGTGTTTGAGATAAGTGAATTGACCTCACCACTTTTGGCATCAACTCGCAGATCTGCTCAATTGTCAAGTCTTTTTTTGAATTTGCCATTAGTTCTCTTATTGTAGGATATGATTCCGAGTAAGAGTCACTCAAAACGTATGGATTACCAGTTGTAATAATTTACTCTGAATTTATTAAAATTTGGTTAGAATTTATTTTGTTGTGGTCTTCACAATTTCAATGAATGGATGTTGGTTTATATCCTTGCAACAAAATACAGTTGGAGAAATGGGGTGAAGGTAGAACGATGTTGTTATGTCTAACCCACTAATTTAGCAATTTATCCAACCAATCAAATAGATGAAGGAAAATTGACCATTTAGTGGTGTCGAAGAAAATTAAACTGACGTTGCTATTTTTAACTTGAAGAATCGTGTATGAACCCCAAAACTGCATGAGTACGGTGAGTGGAGCAGGTTTGCAGGCTAATTTGACCGATAATTACCAAAATTTTCCCCTTTTCTTATATCATTTGTGCCTATTTCTGCGTTTGCTGATCATTAAAAAATGTATTGTCATACATGTATAATCCAAGTGTTGCTTGTTTGTTGAGTTGACTGAGGAGAAGTGCTCACCTCGGAACGTCTGTGAATTGTGTAGAAAGCACTTAATTACCGTTTTAGTACCTGAAATAAAATTGGACCCCGCTCACGACCACCACTGTACGACAATAAACAACTAAATATTTAAATCATCACATTAGGACAAAAAGCGCAGGGCAAGATTTTGCGGAAACCCAGTCACGTACTTACAATATTTGGCATGTCCACGAACGAGGCCACCTCTGTTGAACTGAAATCTTATCCAAACTTCTTCCAATACTATTCAAACTGTTGAATATCTGATGAAAGTTCCAATTCCATCCTTTTATCAAGAACATCCTTTTATTCTTAAAACGAAATCCGTGATAAATTACAATAAAACGTGAAAACAGTCAAACATCTGTTTTCTGTCCATCCACCCATCATCCACCAAAAATCTATCCTTGGATTAGATTATGACGAAAAACGAGAAAGTAGCCCAGGAAGGACAATTTCAATAGATTTTTTAATTAATTCTGCCATTTGAGAGAAATAACCTATTTTTCCTCCTCATTACAATGTTTAGAGCTATGAGCATTTAATCTTTATTGTAAAACCAAAATGAATCAACCATCTCAACAAGAATTGTAGAAACAACTTCAGATTTAAAAACATAATATCCATTAATTTACGAATTATCAAAAGTACTAGAGACATAACGAACGTGTGACGTGTAATAAGTGTTTTTAACAAGCCTATAAATCCCTTGTTCAGCCCCTACAGTACAAGCTAAACTATAAGCTAAACCTTTCCTGCATATAGAGCAATCAAGTGAATACGTTTAAACGTATCAATTTAAATATTTACAAATTAAATATAAAAAAAAACTCTAATTTGAAGTAGTAGAATTACGTTGGAGGAGGAATCTGATAAATGTTACACAAAAAATTTAGAGATGTAAGGAACGGACCGCCGCCGACGAAGGTGTGAGGAAGAACATCATACCCTTGGAATCCTGTTAGTGGAACGAACGAATAATGAATTTAAAAATCAACAGTTATCAAATGTCCCAGCCTTATCCTTTAAGTGTTTTCGAGAAATTATTGAAATTATTCCCATTGTGACGAATTTTCCATTCTAATAGGAGGAAATTTTTCTTCGTGAGTATATAGGAAAAACTGATAATGTAGTAATAGTGATTCGAACACTTCTCTTCTCAAAACCCTACCCAAGACAATCATAGCATCAACAACAACCATCAACAATGTGCATTCAACCCCTTTGAATTTCCATTGCATAGTTGTAATGTTAAGGTCGAGTATTATACAGATCTATGGGTCGAGCTCAGAGCTTCACCACGGAGCTTCACCACGGAGCTTCACCACGGAGCTTGACAAGATCGCCTTTGAATATAAGTGGACAGAGGTTGGACAACAGAACGAAGAACACTTCCCATCCCCTAGAATAAATTAAATTGAGATGTGTAAATTTGCCTACCTTTTCACACTCTACAGGAATCGAACTTCCACAATACGACCGTCCACACGAGATTGATCAAAAACTTTGACGGCTGTTAAGGAATAAATATAATTGATTTATATATCAGTATCAGATGTGCACAATTTTTTGAGTTTCCTGTAGTTGAAGATGTCTAACATTTTTTTATAGTTTAGCTTTTCGTTATGCCATATCAATATGGTAGATAATTAGATTAGTTTTGTTACCTCGCTCAGCATCTCGTTCTTGTGCGAATCGTACGATTCCAGTGTTTTTATCACGCATTTCAGCAAAAACAACTTCTCCGCATTCCCTGAATTTAGTTTTCAGCATTTGCCAAGTACAGGATGGAGGCAACTATATAGTAAGAACAGTAACAATTAACAATAGCTCAAAAAAGAATACTACTTTATAATAAAATTAAAAAAAATACTTTTCTTACGTTTGCAACTATTACAGTATTAGACGGAGTGCCGCTATTTCCACCTCCACCACCCCCAGCACTTCCTGAAGTTCCATTGTTAAACTGTTGTTTTTCTCGTTGGTAAGCAGTATTATAATTCGTACTAGGGGTCGAATAGACGGAAGTCGGGTAGCCATATTCGTAACCAGGATTAGCATTTTGTACGCCACCTTGATTCCTGTAACAGAATAAATAAATTCCACGTGAATAATCCGAGTGTTTATGCAAAAAAATACAAATGAATGTTTAGCAACAATAAGGTAACCACCACCGTAGCTTGACTTACGTTTGAAATGGTGAAGGTTGAGCTTGTGACCCAGCTGCGGTCCCAATATTAGCCCCAGACATGCCACTTGCTCCACCTCCCATCATACCCATTGTGCCACCTTGAGAACTTTGAATGCTTCCCATCCCTACACCAGAATTTTGTAGTGCAGCTGCAATGTTTCCTGCATTGCTAGCATTAGCAAATTGGTTCTGTACGGCATTCATAGCCCCCATTGGCCCAATTCCAGCAGCAACTCCAAAGGCATTCGATAAAGCGGCGGCGGCAGCAGCGTTGTTCGACATATCCATGGATGTCTGATTTGCCATTAATGAGGCCAGGCTTCCCATCGTAGGATTCATATTCATAGCTGCTACAATTGGGGTGGATAAGTTGGTGGCTACTCCGAGTGTTCCATTGTTACCAACTCCTGAAGTACTGCTGACTGCATTTTTTGCCACGCTTACTGCAAAACACAGTAGTATTATAATCTAAACAATTCCAACTACTCTATTTGATTGTAAATCTAGCTTACTTGCAACATCCACCAAAGGTTGACCATTCATTCCCAGTCCCATTCCAATGCCTTTTAGTCCTTCTGGTAACTTATTCTTGGCCAAATCGGAAAGCGGGTCTGCAAGTCTGTCCATTTTTACATGGATCCGTCGCTCATACAGTTGCTGATTATTCAACATAGCTGGAAGAATTTGTGAAGAACACAGTTACACGATATAATTGTGTACCATCAAACATTAAACTTTTTAAAAGTTGTTCATACAGATAGCTTGTACAGCTTCCACGGGATGTTCAAACTCGATGACGCAATGACCACGACTTTTACCATCCTTGTCCTAGATAACATCATGCATTTAATTTGGGATTGTTAAGTTAAAATAAGAGCATGTACATAAGGCAAACACGCAATGCACACCTTATTCAACTCAACATCTAAAACTCTTCCAGCCAAACGGAAGACTTCTTTGAGTTTTTTCTCATCGACTCGAAAATCCAACTGTAAATAACGACAATTCGTTACATCGTTAAAAGTATTATACAATTGATATTTGGCCTAATTGTATCCTATTCAAGTAATTTCTTTGAGCCTGCTACTCTGGTGACTTACATTGCTGACGAACACCCGAGAAATTAGTGGTCCCTCAATTCCTAAGGATTCCAAAAACTGCCTAAAAAACAAACGAATGAAAAACACAATTTAACTTCCATAACCATGAAGAATATTGGGTTCCTCATTTATGGTGAGGACTGGGAGCAGGAATATTTGCATAAAAAAAAGTCAAGAACGTGACAGGAAATGTCTCAGAGACTAAAGGTTAAGTAAGTGGTTATAATATAAGGAGATAGTTCCGATGTTTATTGTAAAACTGGACATACCCACTCAGTCCATAAGTATTGCCATATTTCCAGTTGCCACCACCAGCCTGGTTGGCTAGAGCATTCGAACGATCCCATTCACCTCGCTCACCACCACGGTCACGTTCCCTGGAACGCTCCCTTCCTCCTCCGCCGCCAGCTCGATTCTCATCCCGTTTACCACCTTGTTGTTGTGTTCCTGTAACAATACGTCCAGACTTGTCCCTCTCAACATCGTAATCCTGTAGAAGGCGCAAATAAAAGAGCAAGATTATAATAATTAATCTGTTTAAATTCAATTACACTCATTAACGGGTATCACTTACTTCTTTTACAACAATTTTTCTTCCACCTAGTTCAAATCGGTGCATCTTATCGATAGCTTTTTTGGCCGAGGGTGGATTTTCAAATTCAATGATTCCACATCCCCGTGGCTTGTCTGTTTCGTCACTAAACAATTCCACAAACGCGACTTCGCCAACTGCGTATATTAAATAGCCAGTCAATCAATGTAAAAACTGTTGACTGTACAACAAGCATATTACAGAAATACAAATATGCATACCCTCTTTTCGAAACAAGTCTTTAATGTCCTGCCACCTCGAGTCGTAGGGAATGTTGGAAATATAAACCCGCTTGTCCGCTAATCTAGCTCCAGCCGGGCGGTCGCCTGACCGGTCACGACCTCGAGAAGACCGCGACCGCGATCTCTCCGCACTCACACGTTCCCTCTTCACCTCTCGAGATCGTCTTTCCATCATAAGAATCAAGGTGCAAGGTCCGTCGGTCCTCTCACGAAAAAATATTGATATCTGTAAATAATGCGTATGTTTATTTACTTGTGACCTCATCGTTGAAATATTTTAGTGTTTTTTTTTATTTTTCCATAAAAAAACTTTTGTAATTAATAATTTTACAAAGATTGAATTAAACAGTGAAATTAATCATCGTACCTATAAATTTGTTATGCACTCAAACAGACTTCCTCTTAATTTCCTTTAGATAACTGTGAACCGTGTGAAGTAATTGCTACTTTAGTTTAGTTAGTGAGAATAGGCAGGAAGGGAGTCAGAATCTCGGTTGAACGGGAAGAGAGCCGACTGTTTGTTGCTGCCACCTGAGTCAAAACAGCTTGCCCGGGATGTTCAATGGGCTGGGGAAATGTGCAGAGAAAGTCCACATTCCGGTGTACTTGAGAATCTCAACTTGAGAATCTCAACTTGAGATTCACATTTTTAGGTGACTCAATTGCATCATGGGTGCAAAACACTTTGTTGATTGAAGTCACATTGGGGGATGACCAGTATGTTGCTAATTAATGCTATGTACTGGTAAGAAATGTAGGTAAAAGTAAGATGTCACATAGAATTAGGCTTTTGGTGTTGGTTGGGGGAGTAGAAAAATCTCAAGTTTCTCTTTCAGATATCCAGAGAGGAGAAACAAGGTGCGAGTGAGAATAATCTCACGTGAGATGCATTTCATATCAATACATACAATAAGTGTTTTATACGTAGGTTAAACTATGGCAAATTTTATTATAACTTCTTCGCTGTTGGAATGCTAGAATATTACGCAGGTTTTATTAAACACAAGTGCATGTACAAGTGGGCATTTTCCCCTCTGAACTTCCAGTCACTGCTGCAGGGAAAGACTGGCCCCCTCCACTTTGTTGGCCATTGTGCTGATTGTAATTGTTTCCCTGTTGTTGATAACTCCCCTGCTGTTGTTGGTGGTTGTTTTGTGACTGCTGTTGTTGCTGACCTGGTTGAGGTGGATCAGTATCATTGGGTCCCAGCCCTCGGTAAACATTTCCTCCGAGATCATGTGTGGCACATTCCTTTGGAAAGCTAGCCCCATTGGCTACATTCCCCGAAAATGAGTTGTCACATCCAGTTACGTACATCCCATGGTTCGCTACGTTGCCCGTGAAATTATATTTCGAACCCTTCACATCTACTCGTCCATTTGCCACATTGCCGTCCTAGATATACGTACAATTGTATAAATGGCTATGTGATGATGGAATACGATATATGTATATACCAAAAATCCACAACAAGTATTTTCTTCCAGGGTAATTGAAGGTGCTTGTATATTTACAGAGTTGTAGAAGAGTTGGTTGTTATCCGCCTCAATGATAATCCCACCTGACGCCTCGGAGATTACGACGCTCTTCATTTTATTATGTTGCCCTTTGACGACGATTCCTTGTCCCACCTGCATATTTATTATAACCAAGTCTCTCAGAAATTCTTACACGTGCCTTCTGCGTACACAGCTGGATAACTTTTGGTGTAAATCAGCTAATTACCTTTTGGATGACAACATGTTCAACGTTGTTCTCGTTACCCTCGACAAGTACTGCGATATTTGCCTCTTTGATGTAGATGCTTTTTAGAGTCCACTTGTTGCCTCGAAGGGTGAACCCCGTTCCTTCGCTGACAATTGTGGAGTTGGCGTCGCCCGTCACCGTCACCGGCCCGTCCCCAGAAGCCACGTAATCCCCTTCGTAAACTCCACTAGCCAGTTGGATGGTGTCCCCAGGTCGTGCTCCATCAAGTGCGGACTGAAGTTCTGCGGAACTTGAGACTTTCTTGATGGCTCCTTCGACTTGCCCAAGGGAGCTGACCAAAGCAATGAAGAAACTTGTAGCCAACACGGTTCTCATGTTTCGTGGGTTTAACGATAAATACACACAACTTTATTGTTCTTCTTGCATGAGCTTCTAAGTCGTAACTGAGCAGATTCCTGGGGAATGATTGTTAAGTATTCTAGCAGTCTTGGAAGATGCATCATCGTTCGTTTGCTGGAATGGATTTAGGGAATTTTGTCAAGGCCAAGAATGCCATGCACATATTTATTTACGAGGTGGTAATAACGTGAAATTTTTAGTTGTCGCATTGAGTAAATGGGTAAATTTATTATTTTGTTATGCGTACTCATGTCTGCGCAAAAAACTATAACTTGTGTACGTATTTGTATGACCATTGGCCAACTATGAAAATACTAAGGACATTAGCTCATGCATTTCCAGACACACCTCGAGTTTTCACAATTAATTGCTGGAATATGTAGGTGAGGAGTGTTGATAATTTGTCACGACACCTTATTTTTGCAAAGAGAATGAGGAAGATGACTTCACACACGGATGATGAAGATCCAATCCAGAATTGTAGACGCAAGCTGGAGTGTAGCAGAAACATGTAATATGCAAAGCGAATCAGATTGAAGGTCTTTTCACCCATTGAATTAAAGCACTTTAACAATTACACATGTAGATATATAGCTTTGCATGCTTCTTGTCGTCTTTATTTCAACATGCTTCGTTGTTGTTTCAAAGTGCAGCGTATAAATTGAATGTTGAGATAAACTTACCATTCATAATTTGCTTCTTATTCGATTACACATACAACATATGTATGTTAGCATTTGAAATAAGTACATCTTGATATAGCGAAATTGGTCAAACTGATGATTAAACGAGGTCGGATGAGTGACAAAACTTTGCATATCCATTATTGATTGAGTTTTTACCGATTGATAAATTTGCATCGTGAAATTAAATGGTCACGCAATAATAAGTATATGGTTTGGGTGATTTTAAGTGATTGTTTAAAATATACCATTATTTACACTTAATTTTTCCCAAAAGTACTTTTACCACTCGTATTTTGTGTCCCCCAGGAATTGTGTAGAAACAAAAAACTTTTCTTTTTTTAAGTAAAGCCATGAACTCCGTTGAGTTATGTACCTACATAGGTATGTATGACATACATTGTGCATGTGTACATATTTATGTACACATATGTGTATACCCGTCCGTCGTTGGATTCTGTCACTCAAACTCAGGCTTGTCATGCAAAGAAGACAGGCTGAGGCTAATTTCGCAAAAGGTGGTTGCAGAATTAATGGATCACTGTCCACAATTGAGGATACAATACACTGTTCATAAGCCAATTTCTTTGAAGCTACAAGTTTCTAGCTCAATTTATAAATGTAAATGTTACACAAAATTTCTCCTCGTAGTCATACATATCTCGAGAGATGGATTATACTGAATTTGATTGAGCCATAGTTTGGATGTGGAAAAAGCGTGTTACCTGTGCACCTGTAGCTTATATATGTAGGTTTCAGACATCCAAAACTACAGGAGTAGTATTTTATCCTTAAAAATGAATGACTGACTGAAAATTTACTCTGCAGATTCGAATATATTTTTGTTCCTTTTGCAAAATAAAGGGTAAAATTTCGTTTTGTCACGCAGTTTTTTGAAGAATAATGTTGTGTAGTGGGAAAATGCATGCAATTTGGTATAATTGCCGTAAAAGTAAAATTCACGTATATTTAATTGAATGTGCACGATTCATACCCTCAATGACTTTTACCGAGATTCCAAGAATCTTACATGGAACCAGTTTGAAATATAATATTCGTTAATGTCGCGTGCGTGGTTTTGACATCACAAAAGATGTGTTGGTGTACTTACTGAGACTTACTCCCTGGTCCTTGGCAGCAGAGATGAAACTTGCATTATCAGAGTTAATCGTCTAACGATAAGTAAAGATGTACTAAATAATGTAATTAAGTACTTCGGTGTATTTTTGTAAGTTTGTTACTGTAAGCTTTTGATACTCATTCAGAATGATTTACTAAGTTTGGGGTTTGCTATGCTAATTTTTGAAGGCCAAAATATGATACAAAAGGGATAAATGTGAACGTTTTACTTTTGTTTGAGTTTAAAGTCTTAATATGTCACCTTGATTCTATTAATTCTCATTTCAAATTTCTGTTCAATCATTCTTCTCATGCATCTTTGAGTACATGTTTATTATGCAGCATCCATTATCGAAATTTATTTTATGTCCATACATGTATACGACTATCAGTATTCTTGCAAAACAGGTATATGTACATAGGCGAAACAAGGATATGTCACGTTGTAGATTAGTGATAAATTCTCCAAAATGTTGCCTTCTTTATAGTTTTATTCAAAATTGTCAGTTGAAACATAGCTAATATAAATGACAAATGAAATATTTATCTAAATTTTATTAGGTTACATCTTTACTGTCTCTAGCTTCTATATTGCATGGTTGATTGTTGACGAAGTTATGATGTGGCAATATATTTATTTACAACATGAAATGGACTACAAATTATGTGTACATATTGCGCGTAGGTACTTACGAGTATTTGTTTTAGGTTGAAACTAGTTTTACAACTATGTCGTCTACTACTTTATATACATTATATTTTTATATTTCTAGTCGTAACGAAATATTTTCTTAGCTAACATGCCAAGTGCATAGGTTATAGTTCATAACTTTGTAAATAATAGTAAGAGAAAATAAGTTATACAATAAAATATTTTCTTACCCATCGATACATACAGAAACATATCAATTGTGAAAATTTGATCTTGTCAACTTTAAGATGCCCTCACTTGTGTATACATTTATACGTAAATATACAGAGCACATATCAGCTATCAAAGTATCACTTTGTACTATAGCTTTCAATGCAACTTTGTTAACTTGTATAATTAGCATTGCATTCAGTTATGTTCATACGGTCCAGTACAAATTACTTTTGTCATCTTTTCGGACATACGATGAAAAAATACTAAACAATCCTTGTTTCAACTCGGAAACAATGCTTACGTGAATTGGTCTTGAAGTGGTCCACGTGTTTGATTCTTATTGGGGGGAGTAATTCAGTAGTCAAGCCACACACTCATACGCCTACAATGCATTGCAACAAATATTTGCATTGAAATATGCTTCCACTTTGTTTACCAATAAAGTCCTACTTCATTGACGCAATTACAAGTTTAACGCACTGTCTAATGACTGCACAGAAGGAGTAATCAAGAGTTATGCCTTCAAGGAATACAATAATAATAATAATAATAATAATGCTAAAGTATATCACAGATCACACGTAAATAAGTCATCGCTCCAAATGCGAGGTGACGTACAAGTCCTGAATACAAATGAAGTATAAATCATCCATTGGTTATGATATAGTGCAATATGAGCATAAACTTGGAAATTTGGTAGTACACACCTCTTTTAAATGGGATCGAATGCAATTAAATAGTACTCGTTTTGAAATATAAATTTCAAAATTTCGATAAAAAAAGTGTCCTAATTTTTAATGAGGTGCATCAAAATGTTTTTTAAGGATGCACTTGTTGCTGAATAATACGCAACTTATTAGCCAGCATTAACATTATGTACGTATTGTGAACGCATAGTCAGTTGATGTTGATTAATCTACATATAAGTACATCAACCGGATTTTGATGTTGTTTTTGTTAAAATGACCATATACTTTGTATGCAATTGCACTTTAACTCATGCCAACAGGACCAAACTGGATTTCGCTGCAGAGACGCTATTAATATTGCTAATTGTAAAAGATAAGCACCATCTCGTTATTTTTGTTCTCGGTCCAAAAAACTATTATATTTAATTGAATTAGGGATTATTTTTTATTAGATATATAAGCATGTTGCTTTTGTGTTTTTTACGTGTACATCAATTTCTTACAGATTCTGATACCTTGGTTTACTAATTAGCAATTAATAAACCTTTGCCTTAAATATGATTGAATCCAATGAAAGAGCATTTATATAACTAACGAACATGTTATTGGCACTTGCATGCATACATATGCACGCCTACACTTCTAGATTGTTTGTTTATTTTGTAGCAAAAAGCTACAATATTACATAGAGATCTGATTCTTCGCAAGTGGCTAACATTCCTTCAGGTACATGCGTACGTTGATAAACACATTGATTTCATGACGGAATTGAAAATCGACGCCTGTGAAACAGAAACGATCAATAAAGCAATATATTATCTAACCATGATGCATACGAAAAAACTTGATTTTTAAATGAGTGTGCAATCTTGAAATCTTGAATTAAATGCAATTCTGCTAATTCAATAGAAACGTATGCATTATTTATTATGTAACAGTCATCGGTAACAGCGGCAATTCGAGTGCATTGCGTTCAATTGACACCGCTTCTTTTTTATCCGATACACTAAAAACATTTGGATTATTTTGAAGAGAACTAGAACTAGGCAAACTGCTAACGGTGACGTTGACCAAATGGTTTGGCAACATGAGATTCAGACTTTTGTCAACCTCCACTTGTTGAAATAACAAACAAGAATGCTTCTAGAATTTTAATTTTCTTATTGTTAGATGTATATGCTACCTGTATTGTAATTGACTACATACGAAATGACACTAGCTCACATCAAGAAGTACGTATACACATACTTACCAAAATAAATTTATGCTTTTATTTCTCAGCATGAAAGTTTTTGGCCACGGAAGTAAAAATAAACATGTGGAATAGGAATAAAAATGATACAAAAGAGATAAAATTTGACCACCGGTCAAATTCATAAATATGTCTGCCAGTTTTACAATAAATTGCTTATCATGGCATATTTGCATATAATACAAAGTGCATTAATGCTAAAATTTTAACAGCAGGTTATGCATCAAACTCGGGTTTCTAATAATTTACTGAAATTAACGTTAAGACTACTGGGAACTATATGGAGGATGCATGATTGGTAAAAATATTGATCATTGCAGAGTATATGCTACAAATGAATAGCTACATATTACCTCATTAAAAAATTAATTAATAGTCAAAAAGATGACATGTAATGCTTACTGCCGGTTATATAACTTACTTTTGACATCAAATCGTCTACATACGTAAAGATAAAAGTAAATGAAAAAGTTGTTATGATAATACACACATATGTATGCGCATATACAGTATTTTTGCAAAAAATTACCCACTGGGTCATCATTTTCATTTGTAACAGGCGAGTAATAGTCGCAATCCATAATAGTGAACTAAATAACAAATCTTGAGCCAAACGGAATGCATTTTCAACTTATTCACTTCCACTCTGATTGTGGAAGTATGATACCACACAACAGTACATATGTACGCCATTAAATAATAGAATATTAAAATCGGATCACGTACTACAAGAAATAGACAAAGAGTTGCATATCTATATGGTCTCCCTAGATGTACATATGTGCATACACTGAATTTATCCTATAATAATATATCTGTCCATAATCATCGAGTACCTTAATTACAATTACTGCAGTTTTGCACATTTTGTGCTGAATAACACCTCCCCATTCAGATCAAGTATAAATATCCGCGTGGAGCACACCCTCAACCATCAATCTCATTTCAACTGTTCCGCAGTACAGTTCATCAATTAAACAACCAAACCTTCCTTCTTCATCAAAATGAACAAGTTCATGGTAAGTTTTCTGAAAAAAAGACAAACCGAAAAATTCTGAATATCTTTGGACACATGATTTACACATTTGCACTTTTAGATCGTCCTTGTCTTGGCCGCCCTTGTGGCTGTTGCCTCCTGCGGGTATCTCGGCGGGTATTACGGAGGTCTCGGAGGATATGGTCTTGGTGGGGGGTGGGGTGGATATGGTCTTGGTGGGGGGTGGGGTGGATACGGACTTGGTGGGGGATGGGGGGGTTATGGTCTTGGGGGAGGATGGGGGGGTTATTACCGAGGTGGATACGGTGAGGATATAATCTGCATACGAGTAGACAATTGTGCACGTTCTTAACATTTTCGCTGTAATTTTCTAGGTGGTGGTTATGGATATCGCGGATTCAGATCCTATGGATGGGGTTGGTAGATTGTCACCAGTTCAAATCTAGCTTAAATCTGTCATTTGAAATTTTACTTTCCCAAAGAGTTTAATTATATTAAGGAATTTGTAATCTCATCTAATGCCAAAGCCACCCTGTGATTGTTAACTAATTGTTTACGTGGTAAAAACCACCAACGAATGTTGAATAAACCCCTAGTATTGGTCCTAGTAGAAAAGTCGTAAATATCAATGCAATGGGTTCATTTCTTCAAATCATACCAGCTCATGCACAAGCACAGTAGCGTTTGTGTACCTTTGCCGGATAACAATTAGCTACCCGATCAACAAAAATTATTACTTTTGCGTCAAAGTAACGCATCCATGGTGAAAATTTTTAACAAACAAAAAAAGGCGTGATTATTGCATAAATTTTGTGCTAAGTTTGGTGTGCACCGTGAGACACGCTAAATTTGCATTAAAAAACTGTAACCTATGGTTGAAAAATTATTGCACCCAAACGTGCTGAGATATTGCGTAAAAATACCGCACCAATATCTCGTCAATACCCACATTACATGAGGCGTTAAAATCATGCAATTTATACGCAATGAATGGTGGGTGCGAAGAGACAGGCAACGCGCGAGAGTTTGAATCTAAGAGAAGCGTGGTATTTCCTTTTCTCTCCCACCCTCGCAGTCTCGTAAATTCCCTGTTAATTTAATTCCCTGTTAATTTATCTGTTGTCTTAATGTCGCCAAAAAAATATTACATAATTGAATTCCCCCCTGATAAATACAATTCAGTGCCTGTGGAGCTTGTTCTAAGTCACTGGGTTATCCCCGCAGAGAAAGTTTGTCTCTGGCCACCAAACTCTGGGCCAAGTATTAGAAATTTGATAAAAAAGGGCACTGCTATTCCTGATGTCAAGTGGGGAAGAGTTAGCTACGCCAGGATTATTGGGAGTTACGGTAAATAGCTATTTAATTCAAATTATGAGAAGTCATTCCAATTATTTTACATTTACTAACAAATATCATTATTTTAGATGATTATGAAGTTGCGACAAAAAAACTTCAAGTAGCCGAGGACACTTCCAACTTGGAAAGTGAAACAGAACCAGAAAGCAGATTAAGGAGCAAGAAGATAATTCCCGATATTCAGCCCAGCAGCACACGAGGGGATGTAACGTCTTCATCCGATGAGGAGGATAGCGACGCGAACAAAAACAGTCCTCCGTCTGGCTCACTTCTGGATAATTTGGAGCTGGGTAGGCTTATAATACTGCCACAAATATTTTATACTAATCATTATGGTGATGCTTTTTAGACCCACCATTGAGCATTCCTGAAATAATTCCCGAAACTGAAGAGCAAAGCAATCTACAAGTAGGAAATCAAGTTGAAACTGGAGACACCTCTTTTGTTGTTGTAAATTCGCAGGAGTTAAATGATTTACGGCTGTTGATTTCAAGTTAGTACAAGCAAAATAATTTTATTAAAATTGATGTATTATGTTAACGCTTTGTAATCACGTTGCAGGGACAACGCAAAGTGTGCTAACTTTGTTGGAAAAGCAGGCTGAAGACATTAAAGACATTAAGGCTTTACTGATTAATGTGAAACAAAGGCCGGATGGTAGGAAGGCTCCCAATTTCAGTGCCATTCCAAAATTACCCCTCGACAACGAGGTAGCACTGGCGGAGTTTGAATCTTGGCTCGAGGTGGATTCAAATCGCGAATTACTGGTACGATTTAATCGAGATATTTTACATGCATAATTAAACTTTAATGTTTTTTCTTATATTTGATACTAGGTTGAATATTTGGCATTTTCAACTGCGACACAGATCGAGGCGAGCACTAGAAAAATCTTGAAAAAATTATTTACGAATGAATTTGGCAGGCGAATTAATTTTACGGGTAAAGGAAACAAGACATCGATGAAAAACCTAAAACTATTGGAAGTCGTAAAAGGTGCTAAAATATATTCTAAAATGAAGAAAATTTTCTAATTGTTGGTCTCTATTTAATGTTTAATTGGATTGCAAATTTCAGAAACCGTGCGAAGCGTCTTTACAGTTGAGTCCGCTCCCGATCCCAAAAATCCCAGCGGCCGTATTCCCACCGATGATATAATTCAAACTACAGCAATGAATTGGTTTCGTTCTTCAAAAAGTAGGTGCAACGACGACGCTCCCTCGGGAATTGCATCATAATCATGGATCGAGATGGAAAATCACCGAGAAACATTAGGCGAATAATTGCAAAACGGGTTAGAGAGAATCTCACTCGTGCAAAAAACATACCTGCTATTAGTAATAATCTTGCAAATTTAGATATATGTGATTCTGTAGTTGAGGATAGCGATTCAGGTAGTAATATTAGCAATAATGATAGAAGCAGTAATGTTATCCATAATAGTGACGAGCCATTAGTTTCCGATTCACTAAGCGACAATGGTGTAGTAGAAAATAATAGGAATATTTTAGATTTAACACGGGACTTGAGGGACTGGTCGCTTCGACATAACATAACGGGAGTAGCTTTAAACGATCTTCTACGCATATTTAACTTTTATCAAGAATTTAGATTTCTTCCATTGGATAGTAGGACATTGCTTAAAAACTCAATTCAATACTCTATGAAAACTATCGGTCAGGGTCAATATGCACACTTTGATGTTATTCAAAATATAAAACGGCAAATAGATTCCAATTGTATTCTTGCTTCTGGTAGCGAAATTAAATTAAACCTTATATTTAGTTTTGATGGATTGCCCATTTCTAAGAGTAACAGTAACCAGTTTTGGCCAATTCAAGCAAAGTGTGAAGAAAGTACGTACGGCGTATTTGTCGTGGGTTTATTTTATGGCAAGACAAAACCAGAAAGTATTGACGAATACTTGATGGATTTGATAGCAGAGTTAAAAAGTTTGCGAGTTGGGATTAGTTACAATAATTTGAAAATATTTTGTAAGGTTTCAAAAATAATAGCTAATGCGCCAGCCAGGAGTTTTTTAAAGCAATGTAAAAGTCATAATGCATACAATGGATGCGAGAAATGTATAGATCCAGGTTTCTGGAAGGGACGTGTAATTTTCAGAACATTCGATAGTCCACTTAGGACAGATCAAGATTTTTATGTTCAAAAAGATAAACACCACCATGTAGGCATTTCCCCGTTTACGGAGCTTAAAATTTTGATGATTTCTTCGGTTCCTCTTGACTACATGCACCTCATTTGCTTAGGTGTGGTTAGAAAACTATTAAGAAGTTGGGTAAAAGGTCCATTGCCATTTAAATTATCTTCTCGTGATATTTCAACTTTATCAAGTAAATTAGTATTATTTTCGCATAGTTGCCCTAAAGAATTTTGTCGTACGCCGAGGTCAGTAAAAGAGTTAGATATGTGGAAAGCGACAGAGTTTAGAACTTTTCTTCTTTATACAGGACCCGTCGCTTTAAAAGGATTATTGTCGCCGAAAAAGTATACACATTTTTTAAATCTTTGCGTAGCAGTCACGATTCTTATAACTACCAAGGCGCAAGCAAATAATTGGAACGATTATGCACGACAGCTTTTATTGAAGTTTGTTAAAAATGTTCCCAATTTATATGAAGAAGAGTTCTTATCATATAATATGCATTCTCTTATACATATTAGTGATGACGCTTTAAAGCATGGCCCGTTAGATTCTTTTAGTGCTTTCGATTTCGAAAATAATATGCAAGTAATAAAGCGCTTGCTACGAGCTCACTATATACCTTTTGAGCAAACTGTGAATCGCACTGCTGAGAGAGAAAATCATAAGTACCAGTCCCCTGTGAATTTAAATAGACACTGTATTATAAAATCGAACGGAAAGGATCGTTGTTTTATATTAAAGGATGGGAAAGTAGTTGTTATAAGTAGTATAAGTAAAGATAAAAAACATATAAATTGTAGAAAATTCAAACACTCGGACAACTTGTTCACTTGTCCGTGTGAAAGTAAAATTTTAGGAATAATTAAAGTTAGCAAATTATCAAATAGCGTAACCATAATAGGTATTAATGATATTGATAAGAAATGTTGGTTACTCCCGTCGGATAAAATAGATGAAAACATTTGCATTCCCTTGTATAATGTAACAATATAATTTTTGTTATGAAATAAATGATTTTGATAAAAATTAATAATTCGTGTTATTTGACTGCAGTAATTGCATGGAGTTTAACTGCAAGTTTTGCATCAAATTATTCGTTTCTTTTGCGCAATATTCTATGCTATAAATTGCATTAATTTGACGGTTATTTCTACGCAATATTCTTGAGGCTAAATTGCATGAATATGACTGTCAATTCTATGCAATATTGACAGTTTATTTTACGTTAAATATCTAGTATCTTTTCACGGATTTTTGCCGGCCATCAGTTGCTGCAATTTAACTGTATCACTTTTCCGTAAAAGTGATAGCTTTTGTTGATCGGGTATGTACGAGCCAGATAGAGTCAAGATTACATGAAACTAAAATTCGCAAGCTCTACATAATATTTTGGTATTTACTTTCACTACATATTTAGTTTGGACACTAAACAAAGAGCATCATTGCTTAAATAAGTAAATATGTATATAAATAGAGATTCTATGTAGTTTGCAAGTAATATATCCATTTGCTTTTATCCTTTCTAACGTATTTCAATTAAATATATAAATCCGACTTGAATTCCCATTTGAAGAGAAATCCACGTATCTAGAGCTGCTTAATTCCAGAGCTTTTCGCACTGAGACAAACAATATCCGGTGAGGAGAAAGTTCAAATAAAGGATTATAACAAAGGCGTTTATTTAACCCTGACGTTCTATCTACGAGTCTGATCCAAAATTAGACGAGATTCCGGAAGGAAATTCACCCTCACCACCGCAAGGAGAAAACGGACTCAAATATAGTCTGCCGGGTATTGTTACACAGTACGTATAAACATATATACGTATGTGCATAGATACTTACACACGCCACTGAACAAGGTTTTGCATATGAAAATTAAATACAATTAGGATGAAGCATTAATTTAATGAATGGTGCTTTCATACAGTTATGAACCTTGGTTAGCGAGAAGGTGAACATAAATTGAATAAATTCACCCAGTTCCATTTCTCTCGAAAGTTGTGAACTTTTTGCAATACTACAGTTTTAATTACCTTTCTACTAAATCTATAGTGCCACTCATTTCATCTCAACCAGTGTGGGCCATATATTCTACATATCTATGTACATATTTTGCCTCATATTTATATTCAATATGTACAATTTGAACTTCTTACGATCAGTTAAAAATTTACAAGTTTCAAGTCAATCTCTAACAGACTTATTCCAAACCCGACAGACATGCCGACGGCTAAATAAGCCTCTATAAGTGACTACCTTTACTACTGGATGCTAACATACTCTCCAAAATATTATAATATTATATATGCATATATGCATGTAACCTTAAAATATGTGTACGTTTCACATTTAATGCTATTTAGCAATGGACTAATTATAATAATTTCATGTACATATACGTATGAGTGAGTTATTTAATTTCTTATTCAAACCCTGATTATACCTCTAGTTGGATCTAGTATGTTCCAACGCATGTAAATTTACCCCAATATGTTGGCTACATGAAGGCTACACGTGTGTGTCTAATGCAATTTCAGTTGAACTCTAGTCTTTGAAAAATAAAACAAAAAAACAGTTTTGCATATATCAATCTTCATACCTTTCACGTGTTTTAAATACTTGTCGTCTTGCTGTGACTGGGATTCCTTTCAGCAGCGACTGTCGGCCCAGTCGTCGTGATGACGGTCGGTCTAGAAGAAAACTTGCTGCAACCACCGCTCACTTTCTCCAAATAGCACACGCTCTGAACTTGAACTGGTGGTGACGGGGAATGCGGTGGACCGTTGGTTCTCTGTTTGGTTGCCATATTCTCAAGTTGGATTTCAACCCTGGTGGAATTATTTTTCAAAGTGGATTTTCGAAAGTGCGAGGACATTGTGCAGGCGGCAGAAGCGGACGGCATTGGGCCATTTCCGTATGAATTTCCTCGGACAGTTTGACTTGCTTTTCTCGAACTATTGGAGTGGAATACCCCGTAAACCAGAGGATTTGCACATGAGTTGGCCACGACCATGATAAAAAGTCCCTCCTGAATGTTTGGATGCACGTTTTCGGCCGATGTGCGATCGACAACATGCCTGAATACAACGTAAAATTAAACACTTACTTTCATGGTCAGAATTAGAGTACAAAATGCGACTAGAATAAAACTCCAAAAACTGTAATATACGAATTTCTTGTGAAAAGCATTTCTTAAAGAATTGAATAATGGGCATATACGGCATAATCATCCTACATATATGAAAATGAACAACTGCGTCGATGGTGGGCCACGAATATTTCTCTTATAAATGAATATGCAAATATATTTCGCTAAGGTATAGTTTAAGGTATAGTTTAAAATACTTGTGTAGCCTTGATTATTCTTAAAATTCAATTAGGGTCACTCCACGAGTTATGGTAATGGACCTAATATCGAAAATCGATTTTTTTGAAATCCTTCAAGTTTGTGATAGAGGACCTTAAAATATGCAGAAAAATCATTTCCCCCGAATTTTTGAGGTTTCAATGTGGCTGCTAGGAGTGGGTGTGGCTTCCGTTGAGATACCACCTTTTCGCAGCCGCTATTGCACGCAGGGACTCCAAATTTCACACCAAGCTACCATTGGCCAATACAATAGCGGGTCTTTTTCTCTTTTTTGGAAATTTGGTCATGGTGACCGTTTTAGTTCAAAATGTGCGTTATGTCGAATTTTTTCTTAAATCGTCTCACATAACCCCATAAATGGGGCATCGTTAGATAGGCATAGGCAAGAGGATTCAGAATATATATACTTTGTCCGGCATATAGCTGCCCCCTGACCTTCCAGAAGCAGTAGAATGAGAATTTTCATTGCTTCCAGATTTTAACACAGTAGCAGATTTGCGAGCTAACAGAAATGGATGGGACAAACACAAAAATATTTGTCAGCCTCAGGAAGACTGGGGAGTGGTCGTACACCCTACAAAGTATATATATTCTTAATCCTCTTGCCGAGACCTTACCAACGATACCCCAGTTATGGGGTGATTTGAGACTTTGACTTTTCGGAGAAATTTGACGTGTTGTGAATCTTGACCTAAAAACGGTCACCGTGACCTAATTTCCAAAAAAGAGAAAAAGACCCGCAATTGTATTGGCCCATGGTAGCTTGATGTGAAATTTCGAGTCCCTGCGTGCAATAGCCGCTGCGAAAAGGTGGTATCTCAACGGAAGCCACATCCACTCCTAGCTGCCACATTGAAACCTCAAAAATTCGGGGAAAATGATTTTTCTGCATATATTAAGGTCCTCTATCACATACTTGAAGGATTTCAAAAAAATCGATTTTCGACATCAGGTCCATTACCATAACTCATGGAGTAACCCATTACAAAATATAAAATTCGTCCACTCAGGAAAGCCTCAGTCCAGGAAATGCAAACAGGATATAGCATAAAAATTGTATCAACCGTGCGGTGCATTGATAACGGAGTGAAGAGGACGGCACACAATATGCGATCTCCTGTTTTAACAGGTTTGAAACACTGGGACATGAGGAGCCTGTCCCAATGGAACAATCCAATTTATTTGATTTTATGTGCTTTGAGTGAGAGAGTGATGAACGGGGAAGCCGAGTGGAGAATTATAATTAGGGTTTTAGCCCACTTTCTCCGTGAATGGCGACGAATTCCGTTTAACAAAAATTCGTTCGCAGATATGTCTCACTCATCACTCACGGTAAAAACTCTGTTCGACTTGAATTTCTCTGAGCCTGTATTTATGTACTTCGTTAGTGTGCCTGATTCACAGGACGAGCCTTTATAATATACTTATTAATTATACTTTGATTAAATTATGGAAGTAAACATTAATATAATTACGGGAAGAGACGTAACATGACGGAAATGACTTTTTCATACTGTATGCAATGCCAATGCCTTGATGGGACTAAATATTGTATGTCACACGTCAAACAAGATGTGAATTGACTGCTCTAAATACTGACTGAGGATGAGTGCAACACGATGAACAAGAAAGTTTACAACAGTTTAGGTTACATCTTCAAACTCGTGTGTGTAACACGAGGTGGACAAAGAGATATGTATGTATGAATCTACGAGAAATAGCACAAGATTCGACTTCAAAGATGGCAAGGACTCTTATTGCACGAGGACTTGCATCTAGTTTGGTATACTTTGTTTGAACAATAAACATCCCAAGGGTACTTATGTTGGATCTCCCTCATCATAAAACAAAGACTGGTTCTGGTCCTTTGATATTTATCTATCAACCAGTTTCATTTTTAATGCTCTTTGTGTATGTACTACAAACCTCCGTTCAGATATACCTAATAATAATGATTGCCTTACTCACATACATCCACGCAAAAACAAAACAAAACAGTAAACTTATAACCAATTGAGAAAATAAAAATAGATTTGATTGCTATTTGTTTTTGCTTACCAAGCCGTCATAACAATGTATGGTGACCAGCAAATGATGAATACTGCAACAATTGTGAAGGTTAACTTAAGAGCTCGTATTTTTGCTCTGTCCATTACGGTCTGATCGCTGCGGCGAAGGGACTCTTTACCTTAAAGACAAAATGGTAAAGCATTTAGAAAGCATTAGAGAAATACGTGAAATGCACGAATCAAGAGAACTTAATAATTTTAAGTGCATCCATCAAGTATCTAATCTGATGAGAAGTATGTATGTGCAATGGAGGAAATGACGTGCAAAATATTCACCTCTGGATGTTTCATTTTCCATCGTGAGCGTGTAGATGATGTTTCCATACGAGTAGAGGATGAAGAGAAAGGGGAGAAAGTACATGAAGCAGATGGAGAGAATTGTGTTGGTCTTTTCCGCAAGATCGGCCTCCGTGGTACACTGAGTGAATTTGGAATATATTGGATGGGTCTTCACATCAAAGACGAAACACTGAAATTTTGTAAGTCACTACATTGTTTTAAAAGTTTAAAATAGTAAGAGAAAGTCATAACATGCTCTTTTTAGCCAAATTCGTCACATTCTGATGAGTTTTTAAAGTCATAATTAATGGGTTTTATCGGTTTTCCATATATGTAACATTGAACTTAAAGATATTCTTACTCCATACAATTGCAAATCACAAATTATCTGTTAGGTAGGTGCATATCACTTGAAACGTCTCGTTCTCATGCCATAAAATATTTTATTTAAAATCGCATTTAGTTACGATGATCTGCAGACGAGAAAACATATGTGCATAAATTACAATCCTTGGAGGGTAGCACAACTTCATGACAATCTCGCTGGATTATATTTATTCTTGCTACGTCAAGTTTCGCAATTTTTCTTTCGCTCTCTATTTTTTGTTTAGGTTCACTCTACCATGATTTATTTGACAATGGAGTGTTACAAAGCATACCAAAAATGAAATTCTTCATTGTTTTCGTAGAAGACGGCAGCGAATTAGGTCATAATAAAACAATAAATTAAAGCCTAGCGAACTTGAAGGGGAGCAAAGAAAATCGTCCCAGATAATATTTGGTCGTATGCATAAAAAACCAATGATTTCTTACTGCTAAATTTTGAGCCAGAAAGAAATATACTTATCAGACGAATTTTAAAGTAGGATCATTTACTATTTTATTCACAAGTCCATTATATTGAATATTGCAAGATGAAAATTGCCAGCCTTCTTATGCAACACTATTGGATAATTGTCGCATATCCTCTTCTCACTAAAACTTATCTAATGGTTATTTAGGTTCCTCGAGACCTTCGCATTCAGACATGCAGACATTATGATTACAGAAGCCCTGAAGAGGGGTAAAAATTTGAGGCTAAAAATAAACTTTCCTATCATCCTTTTACCAGCATCATACCACGATATTCAATTATGCTTCGATTTGCACCCCACCACGAGAAACGAATGATGCACATACATATTATTCAATTTGCTATGTAATGGGGACAAATAAGTTAAATTTGAGAATCGTTACAAACCTACATCTTTTACTTAATTTCTAAACATATATGCAAGTTGGTTCAATCATTTCCATATTGTTAAGCATTATCTAACGTTATCGATTCTTAAATAAGACGTGACTTAAACAGATTGCTGTTTGTTCAAAATTATTTTCAGGCCAAAATTTGTCCAAATTTGGATATCTTTTTGCATATGTACTTATGTACATATACTGATACATAGGAATATAATGTTATATTCTTATTTAGGCAAGCTGAACTACCAATGCCTTGCCTGAATATCAGTAAATACATATATGCTTAAAGTACTGCACTATGTGAGTTGTTCATTGTGACGTTTTCAAATTGAAATGGAGTTAAAGGATAGAGGTGGCTGAAAAGCCGATATTACAGGCTCGGCAAAAATTGGATTGCTGGTATAGGATTTCACATATTGATAGATGTTTGTGCGCACGAGATTGTGACAACCAGCGGAATTTCAACAAAGAACTGCTTTCCAAGGAATATCTGCTGGAGGAGACCCTCATACAAATGCCATAACAATACATGTGCCAAGGATAAGAGAACCTTATGCGCAAATATGTACATACATATATGTGCATGTATATGGAAGCTTTTACCAAAAGGTATTAGAACCACACTCTTCAAAGTTGATTGTGTAATAGATAAATACAACGCTCGAATGATGATATGGTTTGATTCATTGCACAATGAACCATATGAATCTAAGTTTGGGTATAATATTACAGAAGTATTAATAAAGCTGGATTCTAAAGAGAGAAACTAATAAACCGTTACAACGAATGTAACCAAGGGGTGAAAGAACTGTTTCATACGTTAAAATGAATTTCCTGCTAAATTGACATATATATGCCTTATGACCTTTAGATGACCTCTGAGGTCAAAATGAAGGTCACCATTGAATTCAACGTTGAAAAATAGTTGAAAAATGACGTGTCACATGCCAAAACAACACGTGACACTTTTTCGTCACTGTGACGACGTCATCGTCACAGGTGACGTCCAAGTGTAAAATGACATGAATTTTCGAATTCCTCGTTGAAAAACGGTTAAAAACGATGTGTCACATGTCAAAACTGACACGTGACACTTTTTCGTCACTTTTCGTCACTGTGACGACATCATCGTCACAGGTGACGATGTCACAGTGTCCATCTTCGAACTCGTCCTATCCATTGACGTTAGGAGTTTATGTTCAAAATTGAAAGTGTCTATGTCTTTTCGTTCAAAAGTTATCGGAGCTACGGACAGACGGACAGACAGACAGACAGACAGACGGACATAACGATCTTATAAAGGGCTTTCACCCCTTAATAACGAATAGTTGAAACAAAAGGTGCATATCGATGACACCCACTAATCCAGTTATTCAGGTTTAACTTTTCGCATGACCATTGGAAATCAACGTCAAAATATTCAGTTCTTGACTTGTTCTTTATTTAAGGTTTTCACCATTAAATTACTAATTGTTCCTGTGCTCCTCCCCGTCAGACACACGATTCACATGCAACATTGTCGAAACAATAAATGCGTAAATTAGGCTACTCAAGAATTACAAATGGTTTACCTGAGGGATCGCCAGCAATGCAGCCGAAATCCATGCGATGCTGAGAAGTAATTTCACACGTTTGGAAGCATTGACAACTTTCAAGGGATGAAGCACAGCATAATAACGATCCACTGTCAGACATATCAGGACCAGCGAACTCAAGTATAGACTGAAAGCTCGACAGAATTGCAGAAATTTACCTGGTAAATAATTTAATAAACTTGTTTTACATTGTTTCAATAAGAATTTACTACTAAACTCGGTGTACATAAAATCATGTGTATGTACACATATTCATAAATGTAAGTATTGGTACTTTACAGAATAACACAAACTCGTCATACAATACCAAGTTAATGAGCTTTGATGGCCATGCAACAAAGTTGCTCAACTCGGCAATAAGAATAAGACTATCCCTACTTATCAAGTACTTATGTATGCAGTGAGTGTGGAGCAGTTGCAAAGTACGAAAGCAGGTCGCAAACTTCCACACACATCTCAGTTCTCCAGATAAAAAAAAAGTGTTAGGACAATCTTCTGATTTCTTTTAAGACATCCATTAGTGTGACTTCAGCCAAAAACTCGATTGAGATTTTGAGAAAATGCTTTGATTTATTAGATGGTATATACATATGATTTTTGGAAATCCTTGATAATCGTAAGTCATGCAAGACAGTGATTACATCTCCTGGGAGAGATTTTCCAAACTTTGCAGAATCAAATAAAGATTAAAAGTTATCTGAAAGGGATGAAAACGTAAACTTACACAGGACTCGGCCAGCATACCACCCAATGCTGATTCTCCACCCAATCTCAACTGCTACAACAAACAATACGACGAGGAGGTCAGCAACACATAAGTTCATTAGGAGCATGTTCATGGGGGTGCATCTTATGCGGATACGCCGACAAACGGCATAGAACTCGAGCAGATTTCCCACTGAGGCTAAAATGAACACGACGAAATATGTGATGATCCAGGGCCAGGCGAATGGTGAGATTTCCGTGTACTCTGCAGGAAGTCGGCATTTATAAAACCACCCCCACCCCCACCCAAATTCACCCCCACCCCCACCTAAATCCACCCCCACCCCCATCAAATCCACCCCCACCCCCATCCCCCATCCACCCTTACCCCCACCCCCATCCACCTCCACCCCCACCCCCATCCACACCCACCCCCACCCCCATCCACACCCACCCCCACCCCCACCCCCATCCACCCCCACCCTCCCCCCAATCCCCCCCACCTAAATCCACCCCCACCCCCATCCACCTCCACCCCCACCCCCACCCCCATCCACCCCCACCCCCACCCCCATCCACCCCCACCCCCACCTAAATCCACCCCCACCCCCATCAAATCCACCCCCACCCCCACCCCTACCCCCATCCTACCCTAGCTACCTAGGTTCTAGCTACCCTAGCTACCTAGGTTCTATCTAGCCTAGCTAGCTAGGTTTGCTAGCTCAGCCTTCCAGGCTTTCCGCGTACCTAGTTGATCTAACCTAACCTGCTCGCTTGGATTTGATGGGGGTGGGGGTGGATTTGGGTGGGGGTGGGGGTGGTTTTATAAATGCCGGCAGGAAGTTGAAGAGCTTCTCGTGACTGATTGCCCAATTCGATTGAATTCAAATGGAGTGTGCTGTCAAACACTGTTTGGGAGAGTTTCTTGATTTCAGTTATTAACGTTGTAGGGTCATCAATGGTAAAATTATTCTCGTAATTCTCAAAGTTGAGCTCTGGACTGGGTCCCAAGTGCAGGAGAGAAGAACCACTTTGACGGCTGAGTTCGTCGAGTTTGTCTGACGCGTTGGAGAATTTCAAAGACATTGTTCCCGTTATTGGGTGAGACCGAATCAATTGATAGGTTAGAACGTAATTGGTTTTTTTTATCTAACAAATAAACTGTAATGAGGTGATTGTGTGAGTGAGCTGGGATACCACTTTCTCCAACTTTCTGCGGGGAGCGTGAGACCTGCACTGGAGAAAGTGAGCAAACGACTCTGTCTTTTATCTGTGTACCATAATAATCCTACCGAGGTGACGCATTCGTCCGCCTTCTTCTGCCCCCGTTTGATGCTCCCCATTCCTTAAATCTTCAATGGCAGGGCACCAAACGGAACTAATGGGCAGAAAGACGCATGTATTATTGTTCATTGGTACAGAAAATCAAGGATAACATTGGGTTTTAATTTCGTCTCAAGACCTGGCCAAATTGTACTATCGCTATGCTAAGGAGCCCGAAGTATCACAAGTTTCCCAAGTATTCTGCATGTAATGAATGAGAACTTGATTAATTCTTTTAAAACTGTAGTGCATATCACTGTTCATATCCCTTTTCTTCAGGCAATTTTAGTCCGAGTCTTGTACATAAATTAAGCTAAAAAAATGTATAGTTATTGGTACGTGTGAATGAGTGGTCTCTAATATAGCAATTTCAATTTGCGAGTGTACAAAGTACAACAACAAAAATGCTCAGATTTGTTAAATAACGCACATAATGTTAAATTATAAAATGCGGCCTTGCATTGTTCACTTACTACATACGAGTTAAAGGAAATGTTTATTGAACCTAAATAAAATACAGCTCCCGTTAAACGTAGACTTTTGATTACTAATAGAGTAATCTACATTAGGCTTGAGTTAAAGTATACATAAATACGTAAAAGAATGTGTATGCATGTTTTTCCTTGTTTGAAAGAAATATTGTAAAAGGTACTAGTGGTGAGTACGCACGCTTTTTGAGTTTGGTGGCGTGGCGTATGATGCCGCATTTATTTTTTCCACTGGTATTATTCGGATCGGAATTTGTATTTTTCTTCCCCCTTATTTTGTGGTATGGAGGAGCTTCATATGCTGCAGGTTTGTAGTTTGCATTCGAATTTTTAATTGAAAATCAAAATTGACCAGAATTCCACCACGCAGAGTCGTCAGCATTTATGTCTTCTATCATGTCCAGTATTTTTGCGAAAGAGGTCCCGGAAATGTCTCTTCCGGCAACACTCCCAGAATCCAGTACCAGCAAATTTAAAGAGACGACGACGACGACGACGACGAGTCGGCCCAAGAAATATGCGATACGACGCAGGGTTGTCAAAGTCATTACCACGACGGAGGAGGAGGAAACAGACTGTAAAAGTCGTGGCGGAAGTCCTTGCATGAGTGATGACCAGTGCTGTCTGGGCAAGTGCAGTCCTCTGGGGCGTTGCCCCACAGCCGCCCAACTTTTTGACGCCGCGGCCATCACTCTCAAGAAGGAAAAAGACAAACACATTTCACAGAAAGCCAAAGAAAACTAAAATCAGTCAGGCTGATGAGCAAAATATTAGAAAGTGACAATTAACTAAATCCATTTTGTAAAAATCTCCTTTATAGACACAAGAAAGTTATTAAAATTGATGATTACGGGATATACATAACTTTGACATTAGAATATTAGAGTTGCATAATTTATCTATAAATAATCAACAAGTCTAATGGCTTCATGGCTTGCTCTTTGATGTTGACCAAATAGCGACGAGAATAATGCATGATTGTCAAATACGGGGAAACTGCGCGTTCGGTAGCCCGGAAAAGTTTTGGATGATTTGCAGGTCTCAAACTTCTCATTTACATCAAAGCATGCAATCAGTCAGAAGTCAGGACACAGAAGGGCTTCTGCAGTGCTGATGCTTTGTGATCAGCGGTTATCAGCAAACTGATTGCATTAAATAGGAAAATATTTGTCTATCGGTAATCTTCACTTCAACAGGTCGGTCGGCTTGTGTATTTTCGTATATTGATAAAAACGCTATTTTATTGTATACATACCTCCATAATGCTAAATAACAAAGCATACAACGTTTGAACTTGACAAAAACTTATGTATTTTCATACTTATTTTTATTCAGGTTGACTTACAATTCATACTTATTGTGATGGCCATGTTTGGAAAGTATGGACGCTGGGCCTTTACCTCCCTTGGCGCTGCATCCGCAGTTGTCGTCGTCGCCAAGTGTGCCAGCCGTTTGGATGATTCTAATAATGAAAGTAGTGGCAACAGGGTTCACATTCGACCACCTGATTATGCACCTACAACGAAATGGGACACCAATTGGGATAGGTAAAGTAACACTGATAAGGACAACAATTTTAAGCCACAAGAACCACATGTTTCTAAATTTGATGATGTTGATATTAATCCGTAATTAAAACATTGCATATACTGATTGAATTGTGGTAACGTGACATTTAATTCCTTAAACTCTATTTGTGCAGGTCAGATCCTCGGTTTCTTAAGCATAAAGTATGGTCAGATGAATCCAAGAAATCCACGAACGATGATTCTAACATAAAATTCCCTACTGCAAGGAGAAACATTTTCTTGATAAGACATGGACAATACAATCAAAAGGGTGACGACGATGATTGTCACACTCTTACTAAAATTGGAGAAGAACAAGCCCTTCTGCTGGGGAAAAAAATGGCAGCCTCCGGAATCAAATTCACATCCATTCTTTCCTCAGGAATGACGCGAGCAATTCAAACGTCAGAACTAATGTTAAAAGAAATGAAAAATGAATACCCTGGTTTGATTCTCGAGAAAAAAGATCCCCTTCTCAACGAAGGCCCTCCCTGTATACCGGAGCCTCCCTACCGCAACAAAGAACTGTGGGATCCTGATTTCAATGTGACTTATTTTATTAAAAAATTTACAGATTAAATAGACGGATTGATTTACAGAAATTCAAAACATTTTAAGGAATTTTATGCTGAAGGAGCAAGGATAGAGGCAGCCTTCCGTCGCTATTTCCATCGAGCGGATCTTGATCAGGTTGGATCTTATTTTAGTACAGGTGACAGGCTGTGTAGACTGAAAAGTTTTAAATCTGATCAATTTTTTCAGAAGGATGATTCTTTTGAGATTATTGTCTGTCATGCTAACGTGATCAGATATTTCACAATGAGGTTCGTATACCATATAGAACATGAATATTGACATATGTATATTTGTAAAATAGATTTGGGGTATAGTTCTATAATAGGATTTCTATATTATGAACTATATATATTTTTATAATGGGATTTCTATTATTCTAAACATATTTCAGAGCAATGCAATTTCCACCAGAAGCATGGCTAAGGATCAGTCTAGACCACACTAGCATAACTCGGATTTCTTTGTTACCAAATGGGGATGTTATCCTCCGAGGACTCGGAGACAGCGGCCATCTTCCTCCCGATAAAACGACTGCTTAATAATATGTTACAATATCACAATATTGTACTTGGTGCACTATCAAAATAACTAAAATCACTTTAATGACGCTTGGCAGACCTGATAAATTAAAGAGAATTATGGACTCTTTATGATTTACATTTTGTTATAGAAAACTGGAACAAGTTGAATTATATACGATTCATCTAAACTAACAATTTAATCTTACATATATATTTGTCATCGTAAATCATGTCAAATTATATTCATGTGAAAACTTATTCACAAAATCTACAAATAAGAAGTTATATTTTCAGATGAGACTGTAACGCAATTTCAGTAACTAATTTACGCGAAATCATTTTCTAAGAAGACGGAACCGAATAACCGAATGGTCCTATTTGGTATACCATGCATATACGGTAATTATGTATGTAAGAACCAGACATAGTTAAACAAGTTAAAATTATAAGCTGCTTTAAAGGGGCATATATAAAATTTTAAAAAATTTAATGTTTCTATTAATATTTTATGCATCATGTTGCACGGACGAATGAATGTAAATATTATCGTGTGAATACATATTTGAAATGTATGTCATTAATTTATAGCCTACCGATTTCATGTATGAATCAACTGATTTCCTTTCTTCAAACCAGAGAGGAACTTCAATGGATATAACCTGGTGATATGCACATAGAATAGAAAATTTATAAACCGTATTGCTATTTTTCACATGAGTGAGTACCTTTATATGAACGCGATCCCAAGGAATTGTTTTGAGCACGGACAGCTCCGCCCCCTCGATATCCAAACTAAAGTAGTCGACCGTGGTGATATTGATAGCTTTTAGCAATGAAAATACTGGGAAGCATTTTGTCGTGAAAGAGACATTTTCCCCAAACCCCAGCCGTGTCATGAGATCGTCATTGTTAGGACGAAACATGTCCATCTGCAAGAAATATTAAATCATAATTCAAATTATAAAATCAAGTTGCTCAGTCACAAAGCAATATATTTTGTAGTTTCCTTTGTGGGCCAAGTGACTCCGGAGAGGCAGATGGGAGCAATCCAGACGTATCGACCTCGCGTCCTGAGTTTGGCCAGAGGAAGTGGTTCAACAAGCAGCCCCGTCCAGCCGTGGCGCAGCTCCAACGCCAACGTATTCGAGTACAGCTCTCCATCGTTCCCTCCACATTCGATGAAAAATCCGTCCTTCTGATTTAATTCTTTATGCATTACTTAAATTTATCTGTCTGCACGTTGATCATCATCAAATTGCGCTGCAATGCATTACTTCGAATTAAACAAGTTAATTTGCATATTTAGTACCATTTCGCCAAGTAATTTGAAGACATATCTGTAAATTTCTTCTTGTTGAGCTGGTTCTTTGTGAGGATTTTTCAAACTCAGGACAACAGCTTCTGTTTGAGCTGGTGGTGGAATTAGCACTCTGTGGCGTATGTAATTGAGCAGGCGATCATCGTCTTGTTGCAATTGAGTGTTTCCAATAAACTCTTCTTCAAATTCTGTTGGTCTGTTTTTTAGTCGTAATAAAAAATTAAGAGAAAACTTATTGTTATTCTTTATCAATTCTATTGGCACAGTCTTATAGTCTTACTCAAGATTAGAAGGAGAAAGTGTAGATGCTTCTTTTAGTGGGCCCACACCGTTGTTGATAACCTCATTTTTGGAAATGGAATAAATTGCCAAACTGCAGGCGAAGACATAAACGATTACAATTCCAATGATTAAGCTTTCTACTTTTAATACTTTTCCGAAATTCTGTCTATATTTCATTTTGGTAACTATTTTTATTATTGGATGACCTACAAGTAGATCGATTTTAAAGTAAATCAAACATTCATCAACTTGGTTTTGCACAAGGTCCTGAATTTTACTTAGTTACGTGTCTACATAAGGTTAGCTCAATTGATGGTAAATTTTGTGACCGAGAGCTTGGGACGAGTTTGGGATTATTGTGGGGAAAAAATTTGTTGTTACGTGAAGTTAAGGTAATTTTATAAAGTAATGATGATGATTTCTGGTGGTGGTGGTGGGGAAAATTGATGATTTCTTGAGCACATTTGATTATGGTAATGATAACGAAAGTGTAAATTTTAGAAAAACAAGTTTATGCATGCAACTACAATACAATTTGCCTACAAACTTATAGGCAGCATAATTAATACACTTTGAACGTAAATATGATTAAATTAGCGTATAAGAGTTCAAAATTGAATTGATCATCTCCAGATCAGCTTTGGCTGGGTCGGGAGGAAGCTCAAACTCTTCTTCGCCATCCCTAAATTCTTCATCTTCTTCATCCGAACGATCAATGCGTCCACGTGCGTTATTTATGAACGCCAACCGTTTCCTTTCCCCATTAACGTACGACGCGTCCTCATCTTTTAAATTAAGATGGCGAACTCGTAGCAGGGTGCGGAATTTTGCATACGTAGACAACACTTTCTTTGGTACAGTTACAGTTACATACCTTTTTGGACTCAAGGGCCGTTTTACATTCTTGAATCTCCGATTTTAGTCTGGAAATTTCAATATGAAGCTGCAGTTCTAGTAATTAACATCAAATATGTATTATGTAAATTAGAGTTCGAAAAATAATTTATAGTGGTAATAAATACCATTATTTGAGGTGACATCGCTATTTATTGCGACGTTCGCCACGGTTTGTTGAATTTCTGTGCCACCCATTTCCATTCGATCCAATTCAATACATATGGGTGCGCCCATGTCAATCCGCATACGATCCGTATCAGGCAGTTGTGTCTCACCTTTAATGCATCGAAATTATAAGTAATTTTATTATAATAAATAATCCAATTATAATACCAGTTGGACTGTTCCACAGATTCAGAGTTGGTATTGCAATTGACTTTAAGACTGGGGCACCTCCTTTAGCTTTTATTCCGGTGACCTGACCTGCTACATAATCATTTGAAGAGAAATGACGGCTGCAAACCCCGAAGTTGTCAATTTTAAGGGATGATGTTCCAATTGTTCTGGAAATCCAAGTGGTCCGGAGGAGAGCATGTTTCGCATTGGGAAATGCGTGGACTTTATGAGAAGGCTTTCCTTTTCTGTTTGGACAACTTGAAATTACGCAATTTCTCCCCATTGTCTTTTTATATTAAAAACGATAGACGACAACGTGCTCAAGAAATGTGTTAAAAACTCATCAATTTTCCCCACCACCACCACCAGAAATCATCATCATTACTTTATAAAATTACCTTAACTTCACGTAACAACAAATTTTTTCCCCACAATAATCCCAAACTCGTCCCAAGCTCTCGGTCACAAAATTTACCATCAAATGAGCTAACCTTATGTAGACACGTAACTAAGTAAAATTCAGGACCTTGGTTTTGCATAAAAATTTTGGACACTACTTGTGTCAACAAGAATCTATTGGAATGTAGTCATGGAAATATTGCATGCAAATAATTGGCGAATTGAGTGCAAATCGATGATGCATTTTCACATAATTCCCCAAGAGATGGGTTGAAATACCGTTACTTGCGTATTTAGGCCACGGTTGCTTGACAATAAGTATCTTAGCAGTGTAATACGGTTGCGACAAATGAAGCATTTCGAAAAAAAAATCATTTTTGAAATCGTTGGTACTTTTGCGATGGTAAAAAGTACAAAAAAGTACCAACGAGTTTGACCTCGAATAACTTTTCAATAGGCAGAGATAGGGACTTACTTCTCAAGGATGAAATCATCCTAATTTTTAGCTTGATTTTTTAAGCTAAAAATCTCGAGTGCACTATTTCGGAAAATTAAAACGTTTATTTCGAAGAATATCTCTAAAATTTAAGTTTTTCAGGAATTTTACAGTCAATTCTTATCTCACAAAATTCTATAATATACCAAAATGATCGTATGATCTAGACCGATCGATTGACACCCCACTGGAGGGTGTGAGATAATTTGATCCAGATTTGACCTAGGGGGTCATCTCAATCCTCCAACTTAGCAACGGTCCACTCACACCATTTTTATAGTACATAATAATTTCTTCAAAAATGAAAATTTGTGTTGGAAACAATTCATTTGTCGCAACATGGTTAGAAGTGTAAAGTTGTCAAGCAATATTGTATTTAGGCTTATCTGCGCATGCTTATGTTTTAAGAAATTGATGCATTTATGTAAGATGCCATGACATAACCGCAATAAATCTTTCATATTTAATTATTTATTATACCTGAACTGAAGCATAATCACCCCACATTATCAACCATAACGTTACTGGCTATATAATATTTTATTGATAACTAGTAATAATAATTTTCCAAACAGGAAAGGTATGATAATATTTGATATTTTTCATTGCCAGTACTTTCATGAAATTGTTCAACTGTATACAATTTCATACATAATTTACGTCACATAGGAGTTTACATATAATATTGAGGACTCTGAAAGTCATGTCATCTTCTACACAATTCATAGATATTCCGATAAGTGTAGGGTATATATATGCATATACATGCGTAACATGTTAGCTACAAACTACATTAGCATTCAGAATTCTACGTAAAAACGATAAATAATCAGTATCAGTGCAGTTTGACAACTCATCGCCATCATCAGTATATATAGTCAGATGTATATTACATATACACCCATGCATAAATGTCATATAAACAGAATTCTAAACCCGGTTAATATCGAAGTTCAATAAAGTTCATTAGTCACCTTAATTAATATTTTACCAAAACAATGAACAAAATGACAACAATAAATTCAATTTAATTTTTCGCCTTCCCAAATATTAATAAAATAAATTCTTGGCATTACTATTCCGCTTCTTATGTGATGCTACCTATTTCCAGGGCATAGGAATGGTTTTCCAGTGAAGCGGAATCGGCTCTGATGGATTCGCCATTTTGATCTCATCCTGCATCATCTTGTCCAATGGGTTGTACGTCGGTGGTGACCCCATCCCAGAATCCGACGATGTGCTAGACAGTCGCTGGCGCAGAATGCTGTGATATCCTATGCATACATAAAATAAATTGGTACAGAAAGCCAGTTTGAAACACAATTTTCTGAAATTTGATAAGGAAATGCAAACTTACCACCGTACGCCTTGGTATCGTCGTGTTCTTTATTGTGATGACTTCCGTGTTCCTACAAATAAATACAGGATTCCATGAAACTGCAAAATTACGCAAGTCTTTTCGATTTAAAATATTCACTTACCATTGTGATTCTTTTGTAATACTCTAAATCTTCTTACTCCAAAATATACAGAGTTAATTTGACAAATTCAAAGTTTTTTCACCGTAAGGTTGGACACGACCAAAAATAGTTACAGAAAAGCCGACTACGCAGTAGGATAAATTCTTGTATGAGAAGACTATTTCACCAACGCCCGAATGTGCACTGGGCTGAACGGTGAGAGTTGTTGATGTTTTCATCCAACTCCAACTACGCAGTTCTTGCTCATAGGGTCACCTTGCCCTTTGTGCAATAACATCCTGACTGGGTTACTTGGTTTTCATTCCTCCTCCTCCGCACGGCCAGCAGGGATTCACTTTCATGCCTTGCAGTCGAAGACGGCTATATTTTCAACGCCATTAAATAAGTAAATAGCCTGATAAAGCATTATATGAATTGGGCAATACTTGCGTTGTTTTCATGGGACGATCGCTGGACCAACCACGATGCATAGTGAAGTGACTGATGTTATTCACCTGACGGAAATCTGTGTGTCATGTCACTGTGTGTAGCGGAGCTTGAATTTCTTGACATGCATTATCAAGACTGAAATTAGACCGGTGCATTCCTTCTTCGATTAGCAACAAAATGCAGTCATATTCATATCATGAATCATTTGTGCGTGAGTTAGTTCATGTTATTCATATTCTGTGGTTCATGTATTGACTCACGTAACATTGCAAAATATATGCTTGGATTTTGGCAACGAGATGCTTTCTTTTATCCCAACTCTCAAGGCCTTCTCTACGTAAACATATTTGTTCCGTGCTTGTTTGCACGCATAGACACTGTACAATAACACTTTTAATGAAACTTTAACTTTAATGGCACTTTACATATCTATTGCCATTATTATTCAGGTTATCGTGATCTAATTTGGTTAAAACAATAAAATTGCATAGTTATTTATTGTTATTTATCTATCATGCGATAAAACACAAAAATCATAAGAAATTCAAAGCGTACTTATTTATAAGCGATAAGCACATCATTACTTTTAGTACTATAAATACATCAAACCAATAATCATCAATCACGAATCGTATTCATGAGGTTATCTTAGACAAGCATGCATGATAAGATTATCTATGTTATGTCATAATTGAAAAATTGTTATAAATATTATGTCAACACTTCAATCACGAACTTGTAGCTGTACTTAAAAAGTGTCAGGTTTAGAAATTAAAATAATGCCGGCTGCCTTTTAAGAATTGTCACCAACAATATGAAACTGATTTTCGAAATTTTAGTTGTTCTGTCTGTTACCGGCAGTTATGGACAGAACACATGTAACATATATTGCGATGGGAGGAATCCGGATTTGTCGATAGATACTCGGGTCATTCTGTCCACGGAATTGTTCGGAAGGCAAATCTCACTTTACATTTCGGATGCAGACAACATGGGTTTCGCCGAGATTTCAAATGGCGACCCGACTGACTTAATCTGGTTGGATCGGTCATGGGACGGAGGGATCTCTTGGACCGGTAAATTAGGCGAGGTCACAATTCCCACGGGCTCAAGGTGTCATATATTTATTAATTCCGAATGAGTTTACGTAAACGCAAGATAAATTTTCATACAAAATTTGTTAACTATTTAGGTCTACGAATACAATGTTGTACAATGTGGACAATCCTGCAGATAGGCAAATTGGTGCCTTGAGAGCATGTGGTCAGCCAGGTATGCGCGTGACTTTTCTGGTCGATATACATATGTGTATAGCGGATCAATTTCGACTATGATGATATTACGCACTCATTCTTAAACCCTGGACATAATTTACAGGCAACCGTGACGTAATTGCATGCACTGGGTGGGCACGTTCCTCCGTGTCTGCAGGAACACCTGTCGATGCCGCAGCGACGGCTCTCATGCAGTTCTACGATGGGACCCTTTGGCCGACGACAGGTTGGTGGAATGGGGCGAATTGTCTGCAAGCCATCATTGATTACATTAAGGTCACGGGCAACAGAAACTACTTGTATGTCGTGGACGAAGTTTTCGAGAAGAACAAGGACTTGCATGACGGCAATTTTACTAATGAGGTTTCTCTATTCTATTTTTTACCCATTTTCAGGATTTAATTTTTGTTATTATCACTGTAGTACATTGATGACACACTTTGGTGGGGATTGGCTTGGGTGGGGGCGTATGACATCACAGGTTCTCGTCTCTATATTTGTTGCAAGGAAAATAATTGCTCACCAAGATAACACTTATTTAATGTGTGCAATAGGGGACAATAAATACTTGGAAATGGCCAAAGTTGACTCGGATTACAGCTACCTGTACAAAGATGACGTTTGTGGGGGTGGTTTGTGGTGGAAAACGGACAGAAATTACAAGAATGCAATTCCTAACGAGCTATTCATCAAGTTAGCTGCATCACTTCACAATAGGATTCCTGGGGATACAATGTACCTCAATCAAGCGGTGGAAGTCGTCGAGTGGTTTAAAATGAGTGGAATGATCAATGCGGAAAACTTAATTAATGATGGACTGACTTCAGACTGTAGAAACAATGGGCAGGTAATGATGATGCATATAAAGGGAATAAGTATGTATAAGTTGATTTAATTCAACTCTAATGATAAGACCATGCACGTTCTCACAGGTGACATGGTCCTATAATCAGGGTGTCATCCTAGGTGGATTGGTCGAGTTAGCGATAGCATCGGGCGATCCTGATGGATCATACATCAAATTAGCAACTGACATTACAAATGCAGTTATTCAAAGCTCCAACCTCAACCCCAATGGGATATTGTACGAATATGGATGCGAAGGAGGTGGTGGTGATTGCGGTGGGGACGGACCTTCATTCAAGGGGATTTTTACAAGGAATCTTGGCGAACTTGACCGATATCTTCCAAATAGACCCTACAAGTCATGGTTGGAAGCACAAGCGGCTTCAAATTGGAACAATAATAGAAACAGCTTGAACCAATTTGGTGTCCATTGGTCAGGTCCATTTGATAGAGCAAACGGTGCAAACCAACACAGCGCGTTCGAAGCATTTACAGCAGCAGTTTAAAATTAAAGATACCCAGAATAATACCACAAAAACAATTTTAAATAGACACATTTGTAATAATAAAATTGTACTTCATTAATAAATTACAGACACATATATACTTACGTTGATTTATATTTACAACGGGTTTCAATATAAAAATCCATTCACATAAAAACAAGAGAAATTAAGAACATTAGAAACTTTAAAAACATTTACTTCGGCTTTGTCTCTTGATCTGTAACTGTCCTGATGTATACACAATTTTCCGGCATTGGGTTTGGGGTCTCATCCTGTTCATATAAATATGAACACGCAATAGCGAGCATCGTGCCTAATAAAATATTAAATAACCTTATCATTTTATTATGTCATTATATTTTCTTGGGGCACAATCTTAACGCACCACAACTGCTAAATGCGAGCGAGGCAATGCCGGTAGGATATCGGTGAAATTGACACAATCGTTTCTTGTTGAATCCGTCCCAAACGTTAACATATCCATCCGAGCCTCCCGTGGCAAATGTACTGTGTTCCTCGTGAAAGCTATGAATGGCACAATGAATTTAATTTATATTTTTCCCGACAGCTTGTACTCAGTATGTCAGCAATTTTCTATTATTTGTACCTTATCGCGTTAACTGGATAAATGTTTTCAACTGATTGCTCTTTAATCCTGTGACATTTGAAAGCGTATTTTTTCTTTTGTACTTCAGGGTTTTGATCAAAATATTCAACAGCTACTCTTCCTTCAATACTACTCAAGACGTATCCCTACATAGATTGTGTCGTAATTAAATCAACAATAGTAACATTCTATATTTCACACAACCAATGAAAGATATATTGTATATTGTACACACTTGTTTGTTTGGAAAGATTGAGATTTTTCTTGTTTGATATTTCAGCAACGAATCTCGTTGTTGTAATGGCGTCTCCATATTTCTTAAATCCCATACAATAATTCTCCTTGCACTCGTTCCAACAATCAAAATTTCGTCTTTAACACTCATAGTGTATACCTACATATTCGTAAAATTAATTAAACTATATAATATGTGTCTTCGTTACAAATGCTGTATATTTTATTTTTTATTCCAACAAACCTCGTCGATTTGTGAGTGTTGGCTAACAGGATCTCTCTTTCTAGGGTCCCATATTTTAACAAAAGAATCCCAACCTCCAGAAACTAAAATGTCTCGATCGTGACTATATTCGACCGAGCGAACAGAGTCTTCATGACTTCCGATTTGTTCAACTGAAAACAACGAGGCATGCAATTGCAATGTAATTGTAATGAGGTAAATATAACTACTGTATAATGAACAGGATTATCTTCAACTTGAACATTTAATTTTGAGTATTAGTTTATGAAATTAATACCGATAGGTTACAAAAATTATAACTGCAGTTGGATACGAACACGAATGATTATTTTAATTTTATACTCACTATTTTCATTTTGCAAGTCATATCCAAGAATTTGACCATCCAGCCCTAAAAATTATCGCACATCCATTATATGATGAACCAAATATATCATAACTAGTGTATATTAAAAACCTGCAGTGTAAATGGTTCCTCCCTCTTTCTGAAAATTAAAAATAAAATAAGACTGGACATCCTGATAGTTTGAAGTTGAAATTTTCAACTAATCGCCATTGTTGATTATTTGAAAGACAAACCTTGAAAACAAAATCAAGTACAGGTTTTGCATTGTGAGAAAACTTGTGTTTGACAGTACTGGTTTGGGAATCGTACAAACGAACGTTGGTATCCCAAGAGGAAACGCTGTAATATAAGAACACATTTAAACAATAAAACGTATTTTATCCTTATTCTATGCGTTGTATAATAAATTAAGCTAATTGAAAGTTACCCTAAAAGCTGTGGATTGGTGGGAGAAAACCGGACTGTAGAAATTCCGTCTTCGGGTGGATTCTTTAATTTGTACTCGGAACGAATTTCCCCCATGTTGTTGTTGAACAAGAACAATACAAAAATAGTATTAACAAAACAAGGTGCAAGAATAATACCTTCAAATAATTTCAGATATCTGCAATATGCTTCACACTCCAGTTTCAAGAGTCCATGGGACAATTTAGATGACACTATAATTAAAACAAAAATTAATCTGTAAACAAGCGAACGAGAAAAATAGGGTTTTAAATAAAATCCCTACCAAGTGTGAGTGTGAAGTAAAGTAAAAGTCGGATGTTGTCAACGGAAGAATTGTAGTGCCGGTGGTGGTTCCCTCGTCATTATTCAAGGCAGGATTTAGCCGTGGTAAGTAGAAAAGTGAAAGTAGAAAAGAAAGCGTAAAGATCATACCATTTTTGTGTTGTGCAATTTGCAAGATCTACAAAAGACAAATAGTAGTACCATTCAAATTTTTGTCGCTATATTCACACAATATTTGATAATATGTAAACAAGCCCATATATGTTACATATTATGCAGAATTAGCTCATCAAGAGGAACGTTGCATAACAAACATAACACAAAAGTGTAATTCAGGATTTTGATGGTGGTGGTAAAATATTTACTGTCTTTATTGCGCGTCACGCGGAAATCATATACCGGAATCATGTGCCTACGGTTGATAAGTATAACTGGAAAATAACTCGTGATCAACAGAAAAACATTGAATTTTTGTGCACACAACAATGAGATATGCATAATGAAACGACCGAATGATGATGTCAAAAGTCAATATACTCAACTCAGACTTTCATATTCGATAAGTCATCTTTTTGGACCACATTGACACAACCATGACTCAAACTCAAATGATTTTCAGGTTTTCAACAAACAATTATGCAGTACATACGCGTCTTCAATGATCATTGGGGCTTTCACATTGTTAAATCATTTGTGCACAAGGGTGGTTGGTTATTTTAATAGACTTTACCAATGCATGCAATATATACAAAAGCAAAAGCATATATAAGGCAATTGTCTGTTCCGAAATGATTCATTCCATTTCCATAAGCAGTTCGATTCAGCACAATTCGGGGTTGCTGCATATTCTTCTCGGCTATTCACGACCTTGAGTGAACATACTGACAGACTCGGTGAATTAACAAAGCAGCACAAAGTTTTTCATGTAGTATTTGTCCTTGTTATTAGTCAGAGATTGTTTTAGGCCAACAATTTTTTATCAATACTCGGTGGACAATCCCAGTTTGAATTGACAGATCTCGTGAATAACAGTTTGAAGAGTTGAATAGTTGTCAATTCGTTACTTGTGTCCTGTGATTTAAGTAGATCTCATCAAAAAATAATGGCGACAACAGGAGTTCATCAACACACAATTTACTTTGTTAGACAGTAAGTTATCAGGCAAATCTTGATTGTGAAATATTACTATGTAGTACTTTTCATAATAACATTATTCTATAATCTCCGGTAAGTGGTCAATGTCGAGGAAACGTGACAGGAGAGACGCTGACTCCAGACCAGGATGTGATCACTGATTTTGGGAGGAAACAAGTCAGACCTCACAAAGATTGATTATTGCATTTTTAATGAATTCATTACTGAGCTCAAATATTTTGTAGGCAGATGCATTGGGAAATCATCTTAAATCGGTAGAGTTCACTCAAGCCTACGCCAGTAATTACCAAAGAGCAATTGAGACAGCGAAATGTGTTTTGGACAAATGTGATGAGCCGTGCACCAGTTTGTTGAAAATGGACAGCAGAATAAGAGAACGGGTATATATGATTGTATTATAGTAAGAATTAACGAATTATGCCACCTCATCTCAATAATCTTTTTATTAGGACTTGGGTGAACTTGTTGGGCTTCCCACCAAGGAAATTATTAAAAAAACAATAGCAAAGTTGGCCGAGGGTCAAAAATTCAACTCAATTGAGATTCCTGGAGGGGAATCAGTGGCAGAGTATGTCGGTCGACAGGAGAGTTTCTTTAAGGTAGCAACTCCCTATATAAGTAACTTTGCCTTGCATACTTAGACATTTAAATGGAGACGAATTGACGATAATCATAACGTGGAGTCATAATCTGCGAAATATTTATTCCAGGAACTGTTTGACTCTCTGAAATCATCTTCCAAACCAGAAAGGGTGTTGGTGGTGTCTCACGGGTTGCTCATACGTCGGTTCCTCGTGGGGCTCAATGACGGCAGCTTTCCCGACCTCTGCGTAGTGTCCAACTGGGAAAAGAAATGCGGCTCCGTCGTGGAAAATACTTGCTGCACAATTTTCAATTTAGAATTTCCTTCGGGAAATGAAAAGCCTGTCCTCACATTTGAGAAGATTCATGACAAGGAACATTTGAAGCAACTAAAGGCAGATAACAACAATGCGGAAGTCGATCATGCTGCTAACAAAAGCACTTTTAACGTGTCACATGAAGAAAAAGTAAAGTTCTTTGGGGAAGTGATGAAAATACCTGGAGCTAAGGAAGAGTTGAGTGGATGTGTTCAGGTGTAATAAGCATTAAATGATTTTTCTGTGGGATTATTATAACGATTAATACAAATAAATATTAAAATACATTTTTAAACCATATTGTGATGGAGCATGTCTGAACAATCTCTAGCAGTATGCAATTCTCCTGTCCTGTATTTGTACTATTAAGTTCTTTCTTATTTGCGTGCATAAAGTTATCGGATGTTCCCGAAACTTTTCCGGGTTTTTGCTATTCCCTGCTGATCCAATATTCACTGCATGTTTGTGAAATGTGAAACCAACCTGTCAAAATAGTTGGTAACGGAACCTGCAGCAGGTTGGTTGGATATTTAGTACAGGTCGAAAAAGTTTTAAATCTGACCAATTTTTTCCAAACAACAAGTTTATGTTACCGACCATTTCTGCAACCAACCGGTTTTCTTACACATATCTCAATTCTTATGGTCCAAATAATACTATGCAGAGGGAGAGAATTAGCACTCAAACGGGTCTAACCAAGCAAGAACAAAAATATTTGATCTTTCAATCTGCTTCATAATGTTTGTAAACTGATGCAGGACCCTATCGGGGTTTGTGATTTTATAGTGAAATTCGCCATTTTGAAGTAATTACATATTTATGGTTGCATTGCATCAAGAGGAGTGTACTAAAATATTAAAATTGACGTGGTGATTCTCGTTTAATAATAAACCACCGAACCGACACATTTACATCCTTTAAACACGAGGCTATATCCTCAACACATTAAACCTCGGTAGATGTACGCTTTTTAATACAACGTATAGTTTCACAATTCTCCTTCTCGGTGTTCAACGAGGTGTCCTTCAACTCTCATCTTCTCTACCTGAGAGCTTCCACCAACTGACCAAAGGCAAGTATAAAAACTTTTATGCTGTATGAATGATAAAATAAGTACTACATGGAAAATACAGTAGCAGTGACTGACGAGGTATATGAACGTAGCAATAATAATCATCCCCGTCTTATTTGTTATTAAACCTAAATAGCTAGTAAACCCGAACTCAAATAACGAACATCTCCTCTCCTCTTGATAATATCGCTGGATTTCACAAACCAACAATTGCATGCGTTTTGTTCATTTAAAGCATTCAAGAGACTGAGTTGTCCAGCCCAAGTCCAATCTACAGTAAAGCACGGATGAGGTGTGCGAATTTTTACGTGTTGTTGGACAGAATATTTCGTGAATGAACGAGACCATAAAACAAAGGGTAATGAGTTGCAAACAAATCTAAACAACTGATCCTGAGAACTGACAGTATTGCGAGTAATTGCGAGGAGTAGTAGTTAGTCTAATAAAAATTCTGTGCATACTAGTTGTGTTTAATTGTGTATCGTGTTACATGGCATTTTTATTGTGCTATTTTTTGCAATGAAATGGAGGTTGAGTTAAGAAGCACTAATAAATTGGTTTTTTATGATTGATTTATTTATATGTCTTTATTTGATGAATTTGCAGATTTTTGCATAATCTCGTAGCAGTCTTCAATATAGACCGGCCCTGAGAATTCCCATCCCACATAATTTTCTACCACCCAATCCTAAGCTAAACTGAATCTGCAAGCAGAGTACTATGAATGGCTGAGTAACTGACTGACCGAGCTGACCTGAAATGTTTCCATAGATTGACCGGATTGGAGGTAGGAAAAAACTGTCGTTCGTATGGGATACATTTTAACCTGGCTTAACTATAAAGGTTTCAGTGGGCATCTTCTGGGTCGCGTCGGACCAGGACTCAGGGTCCCAATAGTCCCTGGGAGGTAACGCAAATTCCGGAAAATTTGCAAAAAAGTATGACTAAAGGCCAACAAAGTGACATCATTGACGTAATGCTTGGCCAAGTGAATAATGACGATCTAGTGCAATCGACGATTCGATTTGGGAAGGAGGGTGGAGCCGATGGTTTTCAATTACGTGAAAATTCGACATCAAAGTATTATTGGGTTCTGAGTAAGTGAAGTTTAAAATGTGGGCAGTAAAGTGTGCCTACATATATATAGAATTTTTAATAATAAGTGCATGGATCTGATTCAGGCTTCCTGGATGTTGACATTGACTACGCCCGGTGGTTGGGATGGCTATTTACACCGTTTGTCGTGGTCTTTGTACTCCCAGCTTTTATTCTCATATTTCTGTATCTCAGTTCCCTATTCTTGTATATTTATAAATGGCACAGGTACGGTTAAAGCTGTTCAATCATTTGTTACGAAAAATCATGAAAACATGTACAGGTTTAGTGATTTGTCCTTTTTTCTTGTATAGACATCGACTGCTTGATGCATATGGTCGAGACTTTTGGGAGGCAGCACGAAAAACTCTGGCAGCCTTGTGGGACGCACAAGGTAACATTGAGAATTAGATTGAAATTTTAAAAAAATCTCAAAATTAATTATTTGCATACGTGTGGAACATCACATGCAATTTATATCAACACTGATATATCAACCTGGGGTCTTTTCTTGTTCCAGGGTGGCTTTGGCATGGCTATGAAGTTGATGGTATTGATAATATCCCCACGGATGGTCCCGCTTTAATTGTGTATTACCACGGTGCAATACCAATCGATTTGTATTATTTAATGTCCAAGTACATTTTATACAAAGGAAGACTAATACGATGTGTAGGAGATAGGTTCCTATTCAAAATTCCAGGTGTGATTAAAAAAATTAAGATATTCAATACTTTAACACGTTAAAATATTTATATATAACAATACAATTAGTATGTTATTTATGATTCGTTTTATAGGATGGTCGCTTTTAATGGAAGCCTTTAAAGGTAAATAATCGAATGAAACAGAACGGCATGCACATTAATTCCAACAAATAAATGATATATTACGATAACTGTCTTAACAGTTATCCCTGGGACGGTGCAAAGTTGTACAAATATCTTGAAAGAAGGACATGTGCTAGCAATTGCTCCTGGAGGTAGGTTGGGTGGCTATGTACTATTTAAGGTGCAAGCTAATATTGATTTCATAAACACGACTTGGTTCGACACTATTATAGTCACCGAGTATAACAGTCCTCCATATGCACATTTTAAACTATTATGTGATACCAAATCAATGACTGAACCGTTCAACCAAAAATTTTTGTATGGTTTCAGGAGTATACGAAGCTCAATTTGGAAATAGCAATTACCCACTTTTATGGAAAAGTCGAGTTGGTTTTGCCAGAGTAGCCTTAGATGCCAAAGTGGTACGTGATGTGCAATTTTATGTATTGTATGATATTAATGCTTTCAAATTTTATATTTTTAAATGCAGCCTATAATTCCAATGTTTACAAAAAACATTCGCGAAGGGTATCGGTCTCTATCCTTCGGTTATAGAATTTGGAAATGGTTATACGCAAAAACCCATTTGCCGTTGGTCCCTATTTATGGGTTCTTCCCTGTGAAGATGAAGACTTACCTCGGAAAGTACGGCTTAATTCCGTTTAATTAATATTTTTATTGCGTTGTAATTTACTGAAAACAGCGTTTCTCATTTGGGTTTCAGGCCAATTCCATACGACCCTGACCAGACTCCAGAGACGCTTTCTGTCCTTGTACGAATTTAAGCTGATATATAGTTATTATATAACATTATCTGTATATGTATTTATGTTTGTACTCTTGTTTCTGAAGAATTAATAAATTTTTGTACATCTTTTTCAGATTTCTCAGTCCATCGAGATCATGATCAAAGAACATCAACGCCGTCCAGGAAGTGTGTTGCATGCACTGATTGAAAGGTTTCATGACTCGTCGCCTGGAAAAACTGTGTGACCCTTGTGAACTATAATTCTGTCTGACAAACTGTTAGATAGGTTAAAGGATATAATTTAAGTGTACCAAATATTAAAGACCTCGATCCAATCTCGAGGAGGGAGCACCACAGAGGTGTTTCGACTTGCCAATCATACCGATGCAATCCATGACACAGAATCTCTCATTTTTGTTTATTTAATATCTTATGCAACTATAAGTCAGGACGGTCACGAGGCGTATAAAAATAACTCATGGTCAAACCATTCTCAAAACTAATGCATACATGATATAATTAGCTTGATTATATAAATATATACAAGTTACCTTCAGATAATCAAGTTACGATATATTCCAGTATTTTCAAACCTGACTGGAACCAAATCTACGTTTTTGTAAGGCAATTTATTTGAAAGATTTCCGCTGACGTCATAGTCAAATGAAATGATTTTTTGGTGTACTAACAGTAGTTTCGCTTGGTGCATGGTTATAAAACTTAAATCACTAAAATTAATTGATTATTTTGACCTGAAATTATTTTAAACGATTTCTGTGATACACCAGTGGTAATAATTTAAAATTGGGTATTAAACGTAATTGGTTTTGATTTGTGGCTTTAAATGTAATAGTAAATATTTCTAGATATAGTAATAATAAATAAATGATTATCACTCCCCCTTCAAGAGTGGATTTCTTGTCTGCCTGATCTCATCACATTATTCGTTCGCCCATATTTTGCCTTGTGAATTAAGTAGCAACGTTCTTTTCCGATTGTTGTCGTATTAAGGTACAACGGCACTTTTGTATTATAATCGTACGAAAAATGAGAGTACTGAGTGGTGATGAAAGAAACAGGAGGCAGGGGTCGTATGCCTTGTTTTTTTTCATCGTCCATTTACGCAATGGTACTTCGTTTGCGGCATTTATAATTCCACCTCACCCCCACCCAAATCCACAATTTTTATGGGGCAACGTGAGATACCTTGGGGCAAAGTGAGATTTTATTTATATTGGGGTATTGTTCGTTTTTTAGCGAGCGAAGCGAGCAGGTTAGGTTAGATCAACTATTGCGGTGAATCGAAGTCAACCGGATGGATTCAGGCCCGCTTTGAGCTTAAATAACGCCCACTCTGAGATATTAAAAAAAGTGCCGTAGCCTTATCAAACTCCGTTTCACGTTACTGAGTTCATCACGTTGAGTATATTAGCCGAATCAGCTGAATTATCCTATTAATTAACACTATTTTATTTTATTTTGACGTAAAAATCATTCAATTACTCAAATTCTTCACACAAATTGAATAATGTGAACGCCAAAATAAAATAAGCTATTGTAAAATAATAGGATAACTCGGCTTTCTCGGCTAATGTAATCGAAGCTGGGGATTCATGAGAAGGCCTCCATGCCACGGCACTGGTCGTTCATCTCACTCACGTGCTCAACAGGACGAGCAAGAGCGGAAGATTTTTTATCCGGTTGACTTCGATTCACCGCAATAGGTACGAGAAAAGTGTGGAATGCTTAGCTAGCTAGTCTAGGTAGCTCTACTAGTTAACTAGTTAGGCTAGGTAGCTCTACTAGCTGGCTAGGCTAGGTAGCTCTGCTAGCTGGCTAGGCTAGGTAGCTCTGCTAGCTGGCTAGGCTAGGTAGCTCTGCTAGCTGGCTAGGCTAGGTAGCTCTGCTAGGTAGCTCTGCTAGGTAGCTCTGCTAGCTGGCTAGGCTAGGTAGCTCTAGCAACAACAGCAGGAGCAGCATGAACAACAAGGCCAACAACAAGAGCAACAAGGTCAACAGGACGTTCCACTCGGCCTTTTTGATGAAGTGTTGAAACATGTGTTCAGAATGGATCTTCAGACAGCCGCAAGGTCACTTGTTACTGATATTTTCGACACAAATGGACTTGATACAAATCAAATTAACAATCTCATGACACACTGGGACAAATGATATTTTTCCCAGAAACCAAGCTCCCACCAGCACAGGAAATGTACGTAAAGCAAACTTTGCTTAAACATGGATACGAGATAGTATTCAATCCTGCAATTCCATGTGTCACCAACACTGCCACCGGATACAAATATGGATTAGCTGTTGCACATTTGGAGGATATCATCGCTGACAACATAAATGTCCCTTTGACTCATCCCAACAAACCTTTTCCACTAAACCCGGAAAGAATAATGATCACCAGGATGGAAACCAGTTTAATAAAGAATGAACCAATAATCTTTATAAACATTTACTATCCTTCAAGTAGTTCAGACCCATACCGTAAACAAGGACGCGAAAATTGGATCCAAACAGTTCGATTTTTCTGTCAAGAATTTCAAAATCAACATGTTGTACTTTTTGGAGATTTTAATATGCAAAAGTCAAGTTTGTGCAACAACAAAAAATCTGATGAACGTGCCAAAAGTTTCGACAAAATGCAGCAAGTCTTCGTAGAATTTGAATATACAAATGTTTGTGAGAGTCTCTGGAAGAATAACGTGTGGACCAGATTTGGTAAAATGAATGGAAAAGTGTTCACATCGAGATTAGATTATGTAGTGGTCTCGAAGAAGATGATCGACTTCAATTACACTATATCCCCATTATACGATACAATAGAACCATCTATTAGTGACCACGTATCGATTGAATGTTGTATTTCAAAAGCAACAATTAATAAGCCTTCTATCGCTTCCCAGAAAAAAATGACGATACCAATACCGGTTCTCGAAGGTGCCAAGAAAGTGCATAGGTGCCTATTCCTGCTGACGACCCAAAACCAATCTGTTTGTGGACATACTTTTACAAGTAATGCTGATCTGGTAGACCACATTCGAAGGCACAATGAGGAAAAAAACTACAAATGCACACATGAAGGTTGTGAGTCAGCTTTTGTTTCAAAAACTGAGTTGGTCAGGCACATTCGAAGACATGTTGGTGAAAAACCTCACAAATGCACACATGAAGGTTGTAATTCTGCTTTTGTTTCAAAAGGAGAACTGGACAGACATATCTGTACACATGCTGATGAAAAACCTTACAAGTGTACATATCCTGGTTGTAAAGTTGGATTCAACGATAAAAGTCGCCTTCTCCCCCATATGCGAAGACACACGGAAGACAAACGTCACAAATGTACACACAAAGGTTGTGAGTATGCCTCTGTATCAAAATCTGAACTTAACGCACATATGCGATCACATACTGGAGAAAAACCTTACAAGTGCCAAAATTGTGATGCTGCCTTTGTCAGCAAATCAAAATTGAACAGACACCAATAACTTCATTGCTCGTTCCGGGGATCTAAAAATTAAAATTATTTATCTATTAAAATAAAAATATAAACATGTAGTTTTATTGATAATGGAACAATATTATTAAGATCATTAAATATTAGAGGAATATTATTTGCTTCAATAAAATGCGCAGTAAATTTTGAATAGATGGATGAACTGTTTGCATGCACTTTTACCATGACCTCTCCATTTTTTCATTCGCTTCACCGCCACCACCAGAAATTTCTCTCATTTTCTGTAATTATTAGGATAAAATAAGTAGTGATGTAATAAGTATAACACTAATAATATAAAATATAGCTTGAAAAAGTAAAAAGTTCTAAGGTGAGGAAGTGCTATTAAAAGTATTAAACAAGCTCCCTCCGCCACCCAGATAATTTTACTTCGCCTGGGCTGTCTATCGCATGCAAAATATCGGTTGTAAATAAAAATATGCAGGTCATAAAAAAGTCGCTCATAGAGTCACCTAACAAATCTAAAAACAATGGTGGTCTTGCATTGTATAGTATACTAGTGTATAAGCCCGTCTCCCACCGGGCGACGGGCTCATTTGATTTTCATGAAAATTAAGTGGGATTGTTCATAATTCCACCGAATTTTTATTTGTTGTATCTATATTATTTGCTGAAAAGTCTGTTGGCAAGGGAAGTGAAACTCTCTCCACTTCCGCTTCCGTCACGGAAAATTACTTTCACTTCCATTGCAGACAAACATTTTCAGCTTATAATATAGGATAATATCGTTTAATATAATATAGTTTAAAATATAATTTAAATATAGTTTATAATATAGTTTAAAATATCGGTTTATCAGTACAACGAGCACGATGTCGAGCTAGTTATACAAATAATTAATAAATATTTAGGGACGGATGAACCATATGTAATATGGTTCATAATAATTAGCACCAAATTATCATAATTGCTAATAATAATAATGATACCCTTACCACCCAGCAATGTTGATCTGGATATTAACCAATTCAAAAGTTAACTTTGGATCAAGAAATTAATTCTAATTCTTATTTTCTTACGTGACGCCGAAACATTATTGTCGATATTTTGCATGCGATAGACAGCCCAGGCGAAGTAAAATTATCTGGGTGGCGGAGGGAGCTTGTTTAATACTTTTAATAGCACTTCCTCACCTTAGAACTTTTTACTTTTTCAAGCTATATTTTATTTAATTCTTTTTTAGGTTTGAATTTTAAAAGCAAATATAGAACATAACCATTATTACACGCTATTTGCAACGAAACATTTACACTGTTAGTCTTGCGCATATCGTAACCGATTTTTTAAAAGTGCCAGTTGATAGGTGTCGGTTCCGATATGCCTAACCGACTCAAATTTGCTCTTCGACTTAGAAAACCATTTGTGACAATTTCTAAAAGGTATGGGTGACTTCAAAGGGTCCCTCCACATAAAAAGTTTCCCAATTTCAGTTCATATTCTTCCATTAGGTGCGACTAGAAAACGCTGTACCAAATTACAACTCGATTGGATGAGTTTCAAAAATCGGTATGGGTCATCCCCTATGGTCCGTCCAGATAAAAATTTTACAATTTTACTTCATATTATTTCATTAGAAACCATTATCAACCTGTGTACCAAATTTCAGGTTTGTATGATAATTTTGAAATCTGGTGCATAGCACCCCGCTAACATAGATGACCCCTACGGGTCAACCATTTGACCGATTTCTCCCCCCATCGAACGTTTCCTAGCTTTGTCCGATATGCATATCGTAAAATTGTCGTGTTCACGGACGGACATGACGGTCCCATAAGTCCGGGCACGGGCTAAGACTATAAACTACTCCATAGCGAGGGTGTAACTATATAGTTACTATATAGCAACCACTCGGAAATCTTCGTTATAGGGAAAAGTCGCTGGTTTCTGAACCAATCGACCCAATTCTTGTTTCCCCTTATAGTAAAGTGGGGGCCATCTTTCATAAATTTAAATACCCGGCTATGTAGATAGTCTCCTTCATACTGTAATTGCGAAACGCAACCATTCACCACCATCAAAACTTTTTTCTGGGAGGTCATATCGAAAAATCCCTTAGGATAGCACTAGATTAGGTCCGTAATTGATTTTTCGGTCTCTTTATTTTTTTCTCTAAAACGCACCCCCTTGGCTGTAGGAGGCGGTCAAGGTTTTCGAAGGGGGTGGTGAATGCATACTAAGGTGTAACTGTAACTATAGTTTTTTTTACCTCACCTTAGAATAACATAGAATAGAATGAATCAATGGACCATGGACCATTTTTCAGGTGGTCCATCTATGGACCATGGACCAATTTATTGCAAGCTATGCCACGGACAACAAGAATGCTTATGCACCCTGGTCGTAACCTTATAGATTGATAAAGTGTCAAATAATCTTGTGATAAAATGTCAAATCACGATTGCTTGACATTTAGTGCCTAGTTACCCTTAAGGGAGACTAACGTACCTAGATACTTAAAGTCAAGCAATCGTGATGTCAAATAATATTGTGTCATTAAGGGCCTGGGGGAAGTTGCTTAGAAATCACGCCAAGTTTGACAATAAAATTCAGCAATGCGCAAGAGGGCACATTTTTCAAATTATGTTTAATGTGTTAATCATATCTTCAGGTTTAACTTACATTTTTTTGACAATGTGCCCTCTTGCGCAGTGGAGATATTTGGTCATAAAGAGAGCACAAATTGGCTTAGAATTGCAAAATTGATGGCATGAATTGCATTTTGAGTATCCATGGAACAAAATAAAACAACTTTTTTCAAAAAACTTGAGGGGAAAGTTATCAAATCAAAGTTTTTGAACGTGAGTTGTGAACCGTATTCATTTTTTCCTTTCATAATTCTGAGCGCATTACAAGTTTTCGAGTCATTTGCCCGTATTTTTGAGTTGTTCTTCAAGTTTAATGGTTCTACTTAGTTTGGCGTCCTGTTGCAGTATTTTGGTGACCTGTGTCAAATTCAAGCGTTGCGTTCCCGTATTTTGGCGTCTAGTTAGATGGATAGAATGAGAGAATACCAGTACTGCGCCTTCAAATCCGTAGGCTTATGTTTGAAGAGATTAGGAGCAAAAGACCAAAAGTATGCCCTGAACCAGCCTCATTTGTTTATGAACCTGATGGAATTTTTGGGTGAAAAATGGGACAGTTTGGATAAGAATGGTTCAATTTGCTCAAAATGTCATATGAAGGTGAGATGATAATTAATAAATTTCATCTATGACCTTCTGCAAAGTGATCTTCAAAAAAACATTGAAAACGAAAAGAGTCAAGCTGTCCTGAATGGAGACGTAGTGAAAGTAGAGGGTCAAGAGGTTCCTTTTATCACTGTGATTGTTGACGCAGGCTGGGCAAAAAGAAGTTACGGCCACTCGTACAATTCCAATGCTGGCTGTGGAGTAATTATTGGAGCCAGGACAAATAAAATTCTCTTCGTAGGTACTAGAGTTAGAACCTGTGTCATCTGCGATAGACATAACAGTGACGATGACATCCCAAAAGATCACGTCTGCCACAAAAATTGGTAAGTTGTTAGTATAATTGGCCATAAATCAGAATGATTTTGACCATTTTTCCAAATAGGAATGACTCGGCGCAATCCATGGAGGCAGATATCATTGTCGCAGGATTTCGCGAAAGTTATGAGAAGCACGGCGTACTCTACCGTTACGTCATTGGCGATGCAGATTCGTCCGTTTACTCACGCCTTCAATCTCAAATTGTTTATCCAGGGAGATTGCCGATTTTGAAGATTGATTGTTCAAATCACGCAGTAAGAGGACTGAATTCCAAGATTTTCTCAATTACCAACAATACTTCTCACGCAAAAGAAGGGAGGGATTTGATTAAAAAGCACATCAATAGGTATGCACGTACATATAAACTTTAGAAAAATTAAGATGACCGTTAGTACTGAGTAACTTGCTTAGGTTTGGGAAGGATGTACGCTCGGCAATAACTTACAACGCCAACAATCGAAGCTCTGATGACCCCCTCACGAAAACTTCCGCTAAAACTTTGGCGGATGACATTACCAATGTTTTGGCTCACATTTATGGAGACCACTCAAACTGTAAAAGTTACTTTTGCAAGAAAGGAGGAAGCGAAGAGTTTTCAAAATTCAGATCAACCACGGCAGGAAAAGAATTGATTGAGTGCTTTGGAAGGCTGGCAACTAGGTCCCCACGCCTAATATTTGATGTCACGAGTAACTACGCGGAATCATTCATGGCCCTAGCTGCTAAATCAATTTCAGGGAAGAGAATAAATTTTGCACAAAGAGGTGCGTACGGTCGTAGAATTCAAGCTGCAGCTCTTGCCTACAACAATGGAGGATTCTGGCTACTCTCAAATATTAATTCAGACAAACCTGTACGGTCACATATATGGAGACAAGCCAAGTCGTATTTTTCTGCTAAAAAAGACCCCAGAAAGCGAGCAAGAACAGGACCATTTGGAAGATGTAAAACCAAAAATTCCACCGTCGAGGATACCCAGAATTATGGACCCGAGGCACTGCAAGGGCGTCTGACCGATGAGGAAATTGCCATAGCTGTAGATAAACTTGTCAAAGACCTTCACGTTTCAGAACAACGACAACGAGAAAAGATCCAAAATGAAACGGTGGGGCAGACTTTCAATGATGAATGGAAATCGCAGCGCAGAAATCGACTGACCGCAAGCAATGCCGGAAAGATTTTCAAGATGCGTGACTGCACTTCAAACAGGAATATACTACAACATATTCTGTACCCCAAGGATCTCAGTCACAATGACAATATTTTGCGTGGTATCAATCTAGAACCAAAGGCAAAATCATTTTATGCAGCTAAGAACAAAATTGAAGTAGCAGAGTGTGGCCTCTTCATTTCACACGAATATGGATTTCTCGCTTCATCCCCTGATCTTGCGGTTGGAAACAATGGGATAGCGGAAATGAAATGTACGAACTGCAAGCCAGATCAGATCCCGTTGAGGCCCGACAAGTTTCTCATTAGAGATGCGGAAGGAAGTCTGAAGTTGAACAGGAAGCACAATTATTTTTACCAAGTTGTAATGCAACTACATACTGCCGATAAAGATTTTTGTGACTTTTGTGTATATTATGAAGACCCGGAGTCAAATTCCCCATATTTCTTTCAAGAACGAGTTTGGAGAAATGATGAAACGCTAGCCGTGTGGAAGTGCATGAAAGAGAAACTTGTCAAGTTCTACCTCATGGATATGGCTCAAGAAATTGTGGACCCCATATTCCCAACTCAGAACCGATTTAGGGAACCGGAGTACCGCGTTCAATATATTGATGCAGCGAAAGAGAAGAGAACAAAGAAAATTCGTTAGAAATTAAATTCGTTTTTGATAAAAGTCTAAAATAAATGTTATAAGTATGAGTACGAATGTGAGTGTGAGTTCTACTTGATTAGTCAGTAAATCTAGCATTAGAAACGAGCTTATATGTAGTGTGGATATGAAGTAATAAGTATTTATGTGTAGAAGTAGAATATGTGTGCAGTAGTATATAAATATGTGTAGTGTGAGTGCATAAATAAATTACATGAAAATTGTATAAATAATGAAGTCACAATAAATAATCAAAATAATAAATATTCAAAATCATCATAAATAAAATAATATTAATACTAAAAGACTAAAAAGAGAGACATATAGGAAATACACATTTTAAAAAAAACCCCAATAAGTGGGGGTGGGTGCGGTATTCGAACTCATCACAGCCCGATGCTCTACACATACCCCTTCGCCTCGTACAGAGACTAAGCTACTGGGCTACAAGGGCAGTGAGCAAAAGACACTGCAAGAGACGCTGGATTTATGTGAATGCCTGATCACTCACATAATCATCATGCTCACATCTCACCTCATCTCACTGCATGCATAAATAATCTTGTTCCCATATGCATATTGAAATCAAATGCATGGGACAACATCAATTTTTTGCACAAAAATACCTAACAATTATTGTTCCTAACATAAAATCAATTTTCGAAAAGTAAATCTTCCCCCGCCCCCTTAATTATGGAGGCAATGCATTTGTCTCAACGTGGGGAGATGTTTAATTGTCACATAATAAGGAATACATTTTAATGAATGAATAAATTATGGTTCAACTCCAGGGCGCATAAACTTTTTGTTGTCCGTGGTTTCTCTTAAGGGGGTGATGCAGGGATGAGCATTTTTTCATAAAAATTAAAAGTTCGGGAATTGCATGCAATTTTCACATGAATTTGGTTGTCAACCACATATTAGAAATGAAATAAATAAATCTTATCTTGGTCTTCATCTCTGAAGATGAGGAATAAAGTTCGACGATTGATAAGATCCGTCAAGTAGATAACCGGTGGGGGCCATATGGGTCGGGTGAAGCCCGTGGTGCAGAATATTATCATTTGTAAAATTCGGTTGACAACCAAATTCATGGGGAAATTGCATGCAATTCCCGAACTTTTAATTTTTTTATTTTTTTGAAAAAATGCTCATCCCTGCATCACCCCCTTAAGAGAAACCACGGACAACAAAAAAGTTTATGCGCCCTGGTTCAACTCGGATAAGTTCCACGTCAAAGATGAGTCTCTTCCTGATCTCATCACTTTCCATTCTTCGTTCGCTCATATTTTGCCTTCTGAATTGTAGGGTGACCATATTTGTCCTGACTAAAACCGGGACATTTTTTGGCAAACAAATTTTTCCATAATATCTAGTACTTGGCGAAAAAATTTGCCATAATATCTAGTGCTTGGCGAAAAAATTTGCCATAATATCTAGTGCATGGCGATTCAGGTATCACCGAATTTTGAGAATGAGCCAGGAAAGGAAATCAAGTAAATATTACATGCATTTTATGCACTAAAATGTACTTTTTCATCAATATTTTGGTTAAAAAGTGAAGTAATTTAATTTTTCCCGATGATTTAAAAAACCGGGACACTTTATCAAAACCGGGACATTTTCGGGACGCCGGGACAAGGTTTGAAAAGCAGGACATGTCCCGGCTAAACCGGGACGGATGGTCACCCTACTGAATTGCTCCTCAATTTGCCTCCTCAATGAATAAGATGTTCGTTTCCGATTGTTGTCGTATTAAGATTTATTTCAACACTTGAAACTCATACACTACAAAATTTGTAACAGGACCGAATTTTTCATGTAACTTCCATATAATTGTAGTAAAAAAGAAGCAATTATTTTTTCACAAAGAAATGTATACGAACTTGAAATAGTTTGCAGAGATACTTTAAACTGACATACAAGTCTCGTCATAAATTGTTTGGTTTTTCTACTAGTAATACATTATTGAATATTGACTTAATTTGGTTCTTCAGAAAAACGGTATAAGAAAACATAATTTGACAAATGAATAAAGTAATTGCCTTTTGAAATTAAATACATATAGTATAGTTTTTAATGAATGAATAAAGTAGGTGTTGTAATCTTATGGCTCAACTCGGATAAGTTCAACGTCAAAGATAAGCGTCGAATTTCCGGGTATAACTCCGGGATGCCCACGTGATCCGTAAGCGTAGTCTGGGCTGCACGTTAATTTTGCTCGTTGGCCGACGCTCAGCTGGTATAATTGGTAAAAAATTACAAGAGGGTAAGAATAAAGCAATGCATTCTCCCCCTTGAATAATAATTAATAACCAGCCGTACCTGAGCTACGCCTTCGTCCCATCCTTTGATGACTTCGCCCTGACCAATCTTGAACTTGAAAGGGCTTCCCCGGTCCCTGGAGGAATCTAAAAGTGCATGATAATGATGGTAGGAGATTACACTTTACGTCATATTTTATCCAGCATTATTGTTTTTTGAATTAATTTACCAAATTTCTTCCCATCTGTGAATGTTCCAGTGTAGTGAACGACAACGGTCTGGCCAGACTTGGGGAAAGTACGCCCTACAATTGACACAAAAATGGATTTTCAATGTAGAAAGACAGTTTTATAGTTGATTGAGATATTATGCTATTGTCATCTTTCCAATGAAGATACTGTTACAAGTTTGAGATAATTGAATCGGGAAAAAGTAATTTACCATCCCCTGGACTGATGCTCTCAATATCCACGCCCATTTCGAGTATTTGGTGAAGGTCGAAAGGTCACGAAATTATATTTCTTTGCGAGAGGAATGGGTTTGGTATGGTTTCCAGCAGAAGATGGATGTTGGATTGGTTCGATTGACATCACACTCAAAGCACCCAAGCAACCGGCGTACAGGGCCGTAATGCCATTATCATGGATACCATGATAAGCAGTGGAATACGAAAACCTAGATTCCAGGCGAAAAATGTGCTACAATGATTTTCTGAACTTTGTCAATAGTATGTAAAAAAATTGTGGTATTGCTACTTTTCAGTTATGTAATACGCCCTGATTTTACCATAATTTCACATTGGACACTTGGGAATTTGGCACAAAATTCAATTCTTATATGAGACGACAAACATACACAAATCAGTTTTTCTGACTCAGATTTCACATTTGTAAAAACTCAGTTGTTCATTGGTAATCTTCTGGATTCGCTAATTTAAAGTTTAACTGTCTTCTGTAAGCTGATTTGTTTATCTTCTTGTTATCTACAAGAAATGTTTGCAGGACTGAATTCCAGCTTAGGATCTCCTCCAGGAGCGATGGGTGAGTCACCCTCAGACAATCTAGAATTATAAATCAATCTGTAATTTATATTTCCATAAATAATAAATCTTACAGATAATCGTCCCGAGCTGTACGAGGAGGTCAAGCTGTACAGAAATGCGAGGGATCGTGAAAAATTCGACAATATGGCGGATCTCTTCTCCATCCTGACGACGTTGCAACAGTTGGAGAAGGCCTACATCAGGGACTGCGTCAAACCCAAAGAGTACACCTCCGCTTGTTCCAAACTCCTAGTCCAGTTCAAAGCCGCCTTTAAACTTGTCCAGGGTTACGAGGATTGTCCAAATATTGAAGCCTTCGTCAGGATGTATAAGGTACAGCTCAAATGATATTATGTATTACCCGTTATTAAATTCAAGCTAAGAGAATGTCAGATGTAGGAATAATAAGTATGCTATATGACAAGAATTAGTAATTTAATTACTGTGTCTGTGATGTTTAGCTGGATTGTCCTGCAGCACTTCAACGGATAAAAGAAGACAGACCAATAACTATTAGGGATGATAAAGGCAATACGAGCAAATGTATTGCGGACATTGTTGCTGTAGGTATTTTTTAAATTTGTCTGAGTGGGTGGATACCGGTGTCGTCTTTAGGCTAAAATTGTTGAAATTGTATATTTTCAGCTATTCATTACACTTATGGACAAAGTAAGACTGGATCTTCGAGCAATGGATCAACTACAACCCGATCTTAGAGACCTCATGGAGACTATGAACCGCTTGAGTATTCTTCCTAGCGATTTTGAAGGAAAAGAAAAGGTCCAAGGTTGGGTGGATACGTTTGCCAAAATGTCTGCTTCTGACGAACTTTCAGAGGAACAGGCTAGACAACTAACTCATGATTTGGAAGGATCGTACAATGCCTTTAACCGCTTGCTCCACCAAGAGGACTAATAAAAACTAATTTAGTCCCCTCGTCAATATATTTCGTTCGAAACCAGACTGCGTAAACTTATTTGTTTATCGATGACCCTCTATTCCTTGCTATACTTGGCTTGTATCGCAATTATAAATATACATATGTTGTGTACATTCTAATTATTTAATTATTTATGATTAATCAAAATTGTGATAAATCACAATCATAATGAAAGCGATTTTCTTGTGTACATACGTCTGATAAATACCTGTGCCCATATAGTTTTCTAATACGTTTTCTTTCTCGTCTCTTTTGTAAATTACATGATTGCTGAATAATACGTACGCCATAATATGTTACCACCTTCTGTAGTAAATTGGATTTCAAAACAATCTGATTTAGTCTTAGTTTTGCTTTCTAGACGGTCGATTCGAAAATTCATTTATCAATCAATGTAAGAATTAAAGAAATACATGCACACGCATATATGTTTTAGCATATCATTGGTGATATTTATTGTAACACTGAAAACGTCTGAGGACGTCTGTCACTTTCTCCGTGTGAAATAAATGTTGCGAAAGTTTATTCATACCTCTATTTGGCAAGATGGTGGAATGAATGAAGATTATCGAGCAGAACAACTCAAATATCTAATAAAAGGAGGTATGCACATACATATGTACATGTATCGGTATTAGGCAAGTATCAGTCCTCGGTGCCACACACCATGCATGGGTTGGAAACCTTTTTTATCCAGAAGTCTAGTACGCTTTCCCCAATAATATCATGTCCAATACTTCCGTGCCACTTGGCTTTCTGGCTACGAACGAATAAACTCGTAATCACGAGAACTGGGAAGAAAGCCTGAATGGAGATGAAAATAATCCAAATAAATACTTGCTGACTTGCAACAAAATCATTTAGTCGCGAACATACATATCTGTAGTGCAACAAAGGATGTCTAGCCAAATAAGAATCAATAGAATGTAATCATAGTAATTTTATCCAAGGTATCAGATGCACGGGTCGATATATAAATAATATGGAATTTTTGTTACATGTTTATTATGCAGTGCAGGCGGCGTCATGAAAATCATTCTACACAAAACAAAAGATCAGTAAACAGACTTGGGGACAGCATAATATTTTAATTTGTGGGTACTTATAAGAGCATAATTTGACCAGCATGGGAGAGAGTAATGTGAGTGAAAGTGGTAACATACAGGTATTGCAATTTTGTGTTCCCATTTCGTTCCTATCTCCTGCCAACCAGCATGGGCGACGGACCGACGGACCGACAACCTCTGTGCTGCGGCTGGTTCGCCCAGAGTCTCAAGTTCCCGGGAGACAAACACACGACTACACTTTAGTACTTTACTTTTCATACGTATTTCCGAGAGTTGCTTTCTCCTCATCACTTTCTTCCTCCCCTTCGCCCGTGCAATCAACGACGACCTCCAGTCGCCTGCTCTGCTGCACACTCACAAGAACGAACCACTTTCTCAAACCCCTTCAAAGCGTCTTCTCCTTTCTTCTGCTCACCATGCGGCAAGAAGGAGGCAGTGAAAGTGAAATGAAGTATGAACTTGTTGAGGAGATGGAACCAAACTCACTAATCCTCAATAATCATATATCTCCACTTTCTCCCCTCACGGCCTGACCTTCAATCATCTCCTGCTCCCACTATTGCCACTATTGGACTTGGAGATGAGGAAATAAGTCACAACATGTGCATGAGGACTTGGGCTGATCATCATTGTCGACCCTTTCCACTCTGCCCTTTACCCTAATAGAGGATAAAATCACAAACTACACGTCTCGTACCAGTCGTATTTATTTGGTTTATTGACTCATCAGCTCATACAAACTCGTCGTCTTTCCTGCAACATACAACACTTCTTACTAAATACTTAGAATATGGCGACGAATCGACTCTGATTCATTACTATTTTCATTAATATCACTGAATTAGCTTAAAATTAACTAAGCAAATGCGGTAATTAGATTTCAATACTTCAATAATCCTCTCTCAAAGCAAATAAAGCAGGAAGTTTGTTCTGTAAAGAAAATTATGAAATGAAGAAGGGTAGCAACTAGCAAGATCGCGTTCTTCATTTAAGAGGCAACATGAGACTAGCGACCTGACTCATGCCCAACGACTATTCATCTTGTAGATACAACTTCATCGGCATGATACCATTACAGTCATTTCATTAATGTGTTACTTATACATAATTTACAGTAGTTCCTTTTATTGGTTGCGTAGACGTGTGTAATTTAAATGGGAATAGAATCACAAATAATTAATTATGCTAGGATCAAGTGGGATTTCCATTCTTTTCTGTCGGACAGAATGATCATTATCAGCGAGTTTCCAATTTTCTGGACCTTCTCCCTTGTTTGGGGTAATACGTGGAGGTGGAGGAGACGAACTACAGCAAGAAGGCACGAATGGGTAGGTGTCTTCCGACTCGGACTCTGAGGAATAATGCTGTTCTTTTTGATGACGAGATGAATTGAGGTAACATTGGAACGGTTCGGCAGGAGGATTTCCGTTGTCTCCTGACCAACCTCCAAAGGTGTGATTTTTGTTGGTGGTCGGCTGCAGTAGCGATAAGTCTTGGAGCGATGGTCTCTTTAATGGTGCCTCAGTCATAGTGAATATTTGAAACGAATGGGAAGCAATATTTTCCGGATTTGAATTATAACGATGCTCTATACAAAAAAAACATGACTCAAAAGGTTCATAAACAAATTGGCACAAACAAAACGTGTGTATGTATGTATTTAATTAGAAATATAAATGTACCCTGATCTTGATTTTGCATTTGATGAAAATTTGCTGGAGGATATGTGATATTGTGCACATGCTGTACTGCCGACCGACCCGAGGATCCAGATAATGTGATGTCAGTGAGGTACTGTTGTTGAGCAAGTGTACTGCCCGTGTTATTTGAACTGGTATTGCCAGTAGTACAACCAGTGTCCGTTGTAGTAGGTGCACCACCACGTAAGCGCGTCCCCACCGAGTCCCCACACAGCGGAGTTAAGCTAACTCGAAGTGCCCCTTGACAAATGGGACATTCGATCATGGCACACGGGTGTCGACATCCTCCCCACGATCTGGCAGATCTTTCCGTAGTCAGATGAGACGACGATTGGGTGAATGTAGTTGATTTTGTAGTGGTAGGACTTTGAGAAGCAGTGCACGTGTCCACTTGGGGAGAAAATTGAATATGACTTGCACGACCTTCTTCCACGCAAGAATTATTAGGAGTTGACTGTGCTCGCCTATCAGCTGGAGGCCCTTCGGATCCACAGCTGTCGACAAATTGTGGGTGTGGTGGAGGAATCAGGTGCATTTCTCGCATTTGCCCAGGAGGCAGAGTTGGTGTGGCAGGTTTGATCACAACCTTGGGCTGTTGGATATGCGTCCCTTGAGTATTTGGTGGACCTTGAGAAGTTATCCTTTCAAAATTTGCACTTGTTGTGCAAGGGGCGGAACACTGGCCTACGTTATTATTTAATACCACCAGTTACACTTATACATTCATCGCTAATTGACTGGCAGCAATAAACAAAAATTATTGGTACCTTCGCCTGGTCGTTGGTTCATATCATTATTTCTTGGTGGAGCGGGTGCGTCTTGATTTGATGCAGCAGGGCAGGTATGACCTGAGGGTGGTGGTGCTGGTCTGCCTGCAAGGGCAGCTAGCGCAGAGCGTTGTGCTTGCAGTATTGCTTGACGATCGCGACAATACTTGAGTCGCCGGTCCCTTATCTCGGTGGCGAATCGGAGCATCCCCTGAATTGTGTCATCTTCATAGTCGAAGACTAATGTCTCCAGCCTTTCGGTCGAATGGTCGTTCATCCTTTGTTATGATGCATTACGCTCTGTGCATGTAAATGTGGAATTGACTGTTTTTATTCCTAATGTAATATTGTCACAATTAAAGTCTATTAAAATATTAAATAATTGGAACTTTTGGTCTAATTTGGAAATAAAATTATCCATAAATCATGGGTTGCTACCGACGCACATTTAAAGGGGAAATTACAAACAGCGCAAAAAAATAGATCACTTCTATAGCTACTGTGATGTAACGGCAATCTCGGAACCATACCCGAAACCAGCAGCAGGTTTCGCAATTGACAATTTGTATTTTATTATTATTTATTTTAAATAAAGGATGCATGATTGTGTGTGCATCAAAAGCAATTACCTACAAAGAGAAAGTAGAGAAAGATATCGTGAAAAAAATATAGTTCCATCATTACAAAGTTCAAGGCTAACTCAAACCGATGGCAAGTTAAGTCGAGAGATCATGCAACAAGTTTTGCAATCACTTTTGAAATGAACGCACTTCTGACTCGAACATGTTTTATTAGTGGTTCTATTTACTAATGTTTATGCCAATCTTTCTGGTGGTTCATCACTTTCAGTAAATGCTTAAATATGATTACTGCTTTACGAGAACCTTACGTCCAGATCTGAGCATGTTGAGACATATATCATTAATTTAGTTCGGCTTCGTGCTCTTGTGATTGCGAGGAGAGGACAATGAGAAATAACGGGGGAGTTAGCGAGTTAGTGGACAATTAAGTTCTAAATTCCCTTATCCTTCCAGGCCACCTAGGAAAGAATGCATGTGCATGTTTCATAAACCCTGAAAAACTGCCTTCAACAGCCCTCTAAGATTATCTGCACAGAACGACGACGACGACCAAATAATGCATGTAATATCACCGCCCTGGTTGTGTGTGCAACTTATGTTTCGTGTAAAAGTTGCTTGGCCAGTAGTTTTGCTGCTGGCATGCTTTCGAGAGTATTGGGCAAAAGCGGAGAGCTAAGGAGTGTATTTTCCTAAGTGCATTTATTGAGTATTTCCTGTAGCCCCAGTCCCTAGTCTGTTTCTCAACTCAACTCGATCCGCAACACAATCACGGCACAATACAATCCAAATGTTTGTCACACGATTCAGACGCCGTTCCTGCTGGTCATTTCATTCCTAGAACCACGCTCTGCTTGCCCATCGCTTGTTCTCCACATTGGGGTGCAGACCACAAAGTTCAGTGGGGGTAGTGATACCAATCATACAGTGGCAGACCGTTTATGGTGACTGACTTGACTCAAATACCTATAAACTCTCCATACAATTATCGCCATACATAATCATCGTCGTACTGCAACTTACATATATTTCTCCACCCGAGATGTGTAGATGAGACATATAGACATATGTACATACGTGCTGTATAGCAAGTCGGTGGGGGCATTTTCAGTGATCTGACTTGGAAACTAATTGTTTTCTTCTAAAAAAACATACCCCGTGTTGGGGTATTCCCAGATTCGTCTCAAAATTTACTCCGAGAGACTGATTGTAAGACGAAGCTGTTGTTTAATCTCCTCAAGTTGAACAATGTCGATAAATACGAGTGTCAAAATCAGAGTGAGGTCAAAGTAAGTATGCAATTGACAGTATTGTACGCGAGATTTGCTATCTCAGTCATTGCTGCCCAAGTTCTCATCAGAGTCTAGTTTTCACTGCTAGATATCCAAACCTCCCAGATCTCATCCATGCTTTTGGGATCAGATTAGTTAACAACATCAACGGAGACAAGAACCAAGCACCACTTTATTTATGGGCAAGTGAAAAAGAAGCGAGCGGAGTTGGGACGGTTTGGTTAGTTATCGCTCGTGGCGGATAATAATCAGTGATTTTCTTTCATGAAGTGGACAGTCATTGGTGTGTAATTGGCTCATCGTTGCTAATTATATTGTTTTCAAGTGGCCCATTCATAGTGGAAATTAAGAGAATAGGAGCAGAGTGCGAGAGAAAGAAAGCAGAGAGAAAAAGCAAGAAGGGCGGACGGACCGACCACAATTCACCTGTTCACTTTTACACTTTATGCAGCTCAAGTGGCAGAAGGAATGAAGTAGGAATGAAGAAGAACCAATTTTCCATCATCATCAACATCACATCACATCAGCCTCCTCATTCACCTGCTGCTCCTGCTGAAAAGTAACCGACAGAGAACACGCTTAAATAATAAAAGAGCAATACTATGAAATGAGATAAAATAAATAGTGAAAGAGTTTCTGAACCTTTTGCGTCATCATTCACCTCATTCAATTCAAACTTTAACTAAACCAACTAAACACACCACTCACCACCAAACACACGAGCACTATCACAATCATCCGTGATAGCTGCTTCTGCTGACTACTGGCAGAAGCAATAAGTAGCTCCCAAAGACGAGGAGGTAGTATTTAGTAAAGTAGTGGAGGAGTCAATTGACGGCCTCGTTGCTTCGTTGGGCTCTCCTCGTATGTATGATATCGTACACATAGGCACGAGTAATAAATTTCACTTCCCTGTACAATACCGTACAAATGGGAGGATGATGGCGAGATGATGCGTACGTAAGTCAAGCGTGTTTTATTAATGGTAAGAACAAGAAGAAGGTAAAACTGCCAAATAAAATCCCGACAGTAGTGGAAGCTCACATTTATAACTACATAGTGAACTGTGCCAGCTCCTCGTGAAACAGTGCTGAGAACAAACGTCAAGTCTTAACCACCTATAAAATAAATGTAACAGTGAGTTTCTAAATGTGTATGTGATGATGAAGCACATATGTGCAAGACTAATGTGAAAACAATAAAAACATTAAATATTGCAACCACTTGCACCAAACAACCCCTGCGACTTTGTTGCACTTTTATGAATTTCTGCAAGAGTGTGCACAGGCTGAAAACTTACAAGGTGAAAATTATTTACCATACCTCACAAAATATGACTTTTTTGTGCACCATAAAATGCATTCTCTGGAAGATCAGCCCCACCAAAATAACTTTTGAATCTCTAATGTAACGTGAAATTCCTCTCCTGCCGTTCTTTGGCAAAACCAGGGAATTAGGCGTACAGAGAAAGGGTCCGAGTTTGTGTTGGTTTGGCTGGTTGGCTTAGCACCGTTTTGAGTGGTGCTGAGAGTGGTCTTCTTATCCAAAGGATTTTTCGGATCAATTTATTTCCTATTTGTAAGATATGAAATCTCATAAGATTGCTTTTCATTGTGAATTGTGCTGAAATATTTTGACGGAAGAGGCTCAGATTGTGATAGAGTGGTGCTGCTGGTGATAATACCTAAGCGGATTTTTGGCATTCCATTTATATATATAAATCCGTGTTATTCCTCTTCTTCTTGTGCGGACGAGCGACAAACCTGCTAACAACACAACTTATGCTTGTGGTTTACAGTGATACCATTCGAGACACGAACGCACATCCCTCAAATCAAATCAAAAGTTTCTGCTAGAATTACTGCACAAGCAAAAAGCCTCTTGCCCATCGTCCGGTCATCATTAGGCTCGAGCTGGCTATAGGGTTGAACTTGGTGAAAGCACGACTTAATGGAAAATGAAAATGATTTGTTCAATTTAATTCCAATAAAAGTGGGATCATTTTCCAGGAATAATTGAGTTTCCAACTATTTCAATCTCATATAACGTTAATACTAATAATAATAAGGTAACACAAAACCCTGAGGCATGTGTACCCTAAAAAAGGGTATAAGAGCGACACCATCATCAGTCTAGACAGTCCCAATCAGGGTGAAAGCAGGAGAGATAGTAACACGGATTTTTGCCAGGAACCTCTCAAACTAGGGAAAAAAGTGAACAAGTTTTTTGTAGTGCAACATCAGATTGTATCATCGTCACCAGTCCACAACGTAGCGCTGGCTGGCTGGTGGCTGCGGTGGTATTGTATCACTGGTGGTTTGTTTGGGGTGGTGGTATGGTTTCAAGTCCAGCAGCAGCGTCAGAAGAGGAGCAGACACTGCATGAGACCCAGTATTTTGCCATGGTTCTGTCGGCGGAGGTGAATTTAGCACAGTAAACCGAGTCAAGGAGAAGAAGGAGGCGAGGTCCTATTTGCCAAAGTAGGGACTTGCACTCGGATGAGTGAGAGTGAAAAGTGAGCAGTTTGTGAGCTCCTCAGGGGTTGATTCCTTAGAGCCGTGGGGAAAGTGAGAATCGTAACGAATCTGACTCTATCCCAACCTCGTGAAGAAAACAGACTTGTCCGAAAACACAGTGAACCCTTGCAACTCTTTCCTCCGAGGAAAGTGAGACACTCGTCTAAACACGTACGTACCTCTTATGTAAAGATATTTCCGTATATTTACAAAGCATTTTGAGATTGATTGTGCATAAATGTGGGTGACAATGTGTAATTTCTGACCAGCATACGTGCATGCATATTCATGAAGACCAAATAATAATGGTTCGACGATGCGACATACATGACTCTCCCTTTGATTGTTACACACAGTTTCTGTCTGTGTGTGATATTCCTCCTGGTCTTGGTTCCGTGGCTGCTTTTGGCCGTCTGCTTTGAGTTTGGAGTGAATTTGGATTTGGGATTGGAGGAGTGATTTGGCGTGAAGGGAAACCAGGTGAAGGGATCTCTTTTAATCGAAATGGGATTTGCATACAGGGAGCGTGGTCCTCCTCCCCACATGAAAACGTCCAGTCAGCGGAAAAGTATCAATAAATCGGTTCGCTGCTTCTCAGCCCCCTCTACAACAACCACCACTCATCCTCAGCCTGCATGGGCTCACAACTTTCAAATTCGACAAACTCTCCTAGACTTCTAGAGTTTTATTCATTCGACGCACTCCTGTACCATCCATTGCTCCACCTCAATTTGTATTGATTGATGATTGATTCGTTGATTCGAATTGTGTTGTACGAAAACACAACGTGCAGAAGACATGTGTACAAGTCAGAAGAATGAGAATTTTCGCAAGGCATGAAAACGGCCTATTTTAGCTTCTTTATTAGTGTTTTGGGGAGAGAAGAGCGAGAAATTCTCAAAATTTAATAAACATGAAAGTAATTACCACCAAATGATACTCACTTTGCTAACTCAGCCAAAAAATTTATAAATTCTCATTGCAGATTCCTGACAAAATGAGAAATTTGCTCATGAATCGTGCAGCCATACGGGAAGTAGATCGACATTAAACTTTCGCATCATCATTTGAACACACATCATACTTATTATTTAATATCTGTGCGGTATAATTAATTGTCCTGCAAATTAACGTTTTGATCACGTTTATTAGACAATTTAAGGAAATTTGCATTCTTCCTTTTAACTTTTCCCCTGTGACATGTTCCATGCCACATGACCATAACAAGTTTTTTTTAAACTCATGGGTAAGGAAAAGCAGGGAAAATATGTACGAACCACGCGTACACACATTGTTAGGTAGAAATGGAGACGAAGAACAGTCAATTTTTTAGCAGCAGCAGACATCTGGCCTTCCCATTTCCAAGCATCAGCCCCACAACACATTTGAGATTAGTTTATCCCTAATTGATGCACTTCTGCACTGTCTGCATTAAGATAACCACGGTGGGCGTCTTGTTGGTGGTCAAATATAAAACATATTCTCCTAAGAGGTTCAATGAAACTTGCAACCTCATTCTCATTAGTTGTCCGTTTCTCTTTGCAGCATACACATGTGCATTTCGACAAACTATTATATAAAATAAACATCTACTGGTCGAGTACGCTGGTCGAGTAGTTGTACCAGTAGTCGGGCGATGCAGTTTGCAGTACCAGCAGATTTGTCCGAGATTTGTCTGGTCCAGTTATTCCAGTTAAATCTATAAAATAAAATCTTATGGGCAAAGTCACTCATGCAAATCGACCAAAGTTTGCAAAAAGTCTGGTGGATATCAACAGCTAACTTTTCTCGGCGAGGAACCAATTACCCGATTCCGCACCTTGTTCATCTTCATTCTTCAGCTTTCATGTATGAAAAAGATGTATGATGGGAGAGTAAGCAAGGAATACGTTCACAGGTTTTACCCACAAATACATGCATACGACAAAGTTCATTAAACGAAATCCATGAACATTAATTCTCGAGCATTTCCTCAAATTTTGCAAAGTATGAGGCAAAAACTATGCTATTGTAAGAAAACTATGGTGGTACGTATATTTGGACTCTCCTTGAATGAATTTTCCAACTTTTTAAAAATAAAGGAAATAATAATGGAATTGCAAGTAGCATATTGCATTCGGTACGAGTTCATATTAAAGAAAAGTAGATAATATGGAGCAGGATATCAAAGAAAGTTATTCGGCAAAGTTGTGATTTGCCCAACTGGCAAGTTTTTTTACATCCTTTTTTTCATCTTGTCCCCTCCAGGCAGGTGTGTTTGGGGTCTTGGAAGACAGGGGAACATAAGACGACAACGACGACGACCGTGGAGATCGGCTGGCCATCGCATGCAATGGAACTGATTGAGAATCCCCTTGCCCAGGTCGTGGACGCCAATAATCATACCACAACCAAGTACAAGGCAAGGGATGGACGCATCTCACAGTCTCAAAGTCACTCCAGTATTGCCAATGATAGATCCCCTTCAGGTAAGCCGAAATCCTATCCATGGTTTGATTTGTGCTTAGTCTTCCATGTATGTGCCTATGTGCCCTGGAAGATCTTTGACGACCTAGTTTCAGCCTTATTAGTGACGAAGCCATCATAATGCTCTGCTAAATTTGACTTGTTGGGATTAGCAGATCATACGTCGTCCGATATAATATGTACACACACAGCATTAATATTGTCCTTCAGACAAGATCAAAACCCACAAAACGAATCATCTATATTTCACTGCTCCATTAAATTAAATTAGAATTAAAGACTCTTCCAGCTCACCACCACTCAATATACATTCCAACACGATTTACATTTTCTACCAGGAATTCTATAGATCTTTGCATTGATCAGGGAGGATCAAGGAATTTCCAGGATTTCGTCGTAACACTGTGTACGTGCACACCAATAACAGCATACAAAACTAATGAATGATAACCAGCGACAAGTTTGGAGAAGTTTTTTAATATTTCAATAAACACAAGTTTTTGTGTGCAGATAATAAATCATAAAAATATACGGGAATTTTTATATTGACTATTTCGAAGAGAATTTTTCTAGCCTTCGATCCATAACAGCAGCAGCAGCAGGAGTAGCAGGATCCTTATTGTCGCATGATTTATAATTCGTTTCAAGACACAAACCTCTTAAGACGCTTTATTCCCCTTCACATACACGCTCATTAACCTGCCCAAGCACACTGATGGGACTGCCCGGACACTCAGCCATTCATGGTGGTCAAGTGGATTGACACACGGAATGAGTGGGTATACGTAGCGTCGTGTCGAGGGGATCCTTTGATACTACTCAATTGTGAATTGAAATTGAATTTACTTGAGCACACGGACGAAATCAATAAAAGTGTCACGTTCGTACTCTTCCTGTCTGGCATTTAACCCAGAGATCTGCTCGGGATTTGGGAATTCCTGTTGAGAAAGAAGTTGTAAGAACGCGCCCCGACAAGACGACGTATGTACCTAATCCTAAGCACTTCCATGTGTGTGTACTTCTATGGTCTGGCCAGTTTCTTCGCGAGCCATGTCCAAGTGTCATAGACCGGCTTTCTGGTCTGAATTATCAGAAAAAAATGTGATTTTTAATGGACGAGCTTTTGCACAAATTGTTGTTTTTTTAATTTAAGAGAGCCTATGCCTTCATTTAATGGGATGCTTATTTTACCATCACCATAAATACATCTTGTTTACTTGCCCAGACTAGTTCGCTTTTACCACATACATTTATATTCTGTTGTTTTATACTAAATGGTTGCAATGCACAATGCATACATGTAAATATGCATAGTAGAAGATGGATTATTCGTCGTAAACCCAAATAATTTGTATAAATAAACAGAATACGCGAATAGATGGATGTTTGTATATTCCTCCATGAAATCAATATTGACTTGATTGATTGACAGGCGGAAGCAATTTCCTGGCCAAGTCACCAGGGTCCAGTCGGAGGGACAGCGGCGGTGGCGACGGAGCTGGTAGTTTGCCCTCAGATCCACTTCTAACTCGATCACAACCGTCGCCAGAGTCCCACAAGTCACACCCACTCCAGTCACACATCCTCCTCAACTTTACACGCTCGTCCCATCCAGGTAAGCCACATTCCTTGCATATTTGCCACGGTCTCATTATAAAAGTCGATTTATTTATGGTCCGCAATTCTGCTGTTTAAAGAGGGCTTGAGAGAAACAAAAATCTCAAGTCGCATCGCATCGTGGGTATCCTTATGCCCAGACCTCATTGAACTACATCACTTGACATGTTGTTCGTATTGCATTGCGTCCGCACAATTTTGCCTCCTTGTCGTACTGAGAAGACAATGCAAGGATGAGTCGTAAAAGTGTGTTTAGGGTGTGCATTTCTCTTCGACCGGCATGTGGTAGTGTCATAAAACAACAAAACACACCTCAAATTCATTAAATGCAAATGCAAAAATATAACAAGCAAAGTTAAAAATCTACCAAATTTGAGGTTGAATTAACTGATACTTGAAAACAGGTGAAACTGCTTAGCTGAAGACCCGTCGCAACATAACAACATAACAATGCAAAGCGACAAATTGAAGGCAAAGATGCGATGCGAGTTTTATCTTCAATCTACTTTAACATATTTATTTCACCAATTTGCACTTTTTGCAACAGAGTAATGTTTGCAAAATTAGCAGTGTCAACAGGTAATGTTTAAATTGTGAGATGAAAAAGACTGAACAAAAAACTTTTCTGGTGGAGATTCTCTCCATATCATGCTTACATGTTTGTCAAATGCAACAACGAGTTCCATCCGAGACCAAGTCATACATCCGTAGCTACATATACGTAGATGCAAACAGAGTCGCCTTTTGTTGAGTCGTTGTGCATTAATTTACGAGTGAGTTGAGGAATACGTCGTAAAAGTCAAGACTTGGTCTGAAATGCACAAGTTTAAAAAGACAACATAAAGACAACAACACGAGCTAAAATGTAAAATCATGTAAACGAGCCGACGACTCTTGTGAATTATGAGACGACAAAAGGTGCTCTTTGTATCTGCTACGAATGAAATGGGCAATAAAAGATGAAAGCGAAGCAGTCATAAGAATTATTAGTGAGGTAACGTTAACGTAATACGCCTCATTGAAAAACACTTTGCAAAGAAAACAGCCTCGATGTGTAAATTATTAAAGTCTTGATTCAACTTTCATCGAGTTGTTTTTGGTCGTTTCCAACTAACTTTAATGAGTGTCTCATCAAAAGAACAGTAATTAACAGGTCCGCATATGACGCTCAAGAAATTAGCAAAATTGTATATTTTGCAGAATCTTTAAATTCATGACATCGTTGAACTAAAATGTAATGCGTCTGCAGATCGAAAAATGTTTTTAGCTGAAAACTAGATACTTAAAAGATGCTAATTTGGTGAACAACTAGAATGAAGTTGCGAAGAAATGTAAGAAAAATATATTTCTTTTGTACGGTAGACTTTAATACTTTAATTATTTTTTAACAACTAAACCACCAACTCTGGAATTATTCTAATTGTTAAGTTATTTTAATTCCTCCATAAATTAACAGAAAAATTAGTTGTAAATGGGGAATGCATTATTTGAGTCTAGGTAGATGCAAGGGATCCACCTTTAATGTTGGTACATATTTATAGAGAGGTACATAAATAATATGTAGGTTGGTCGACTTGGATGATTTTCAATATTTTGGACCCGTGTCTTTTCTCCCGTGCATTTATTTTATTAGCCACAACAGTTGGTCTACATTCGAAGTCTAGATTCAAGTAGAGAAACAGAGTATGCCATTTAGCTAGTTGAGTTAATAAAAATTTAATTTGTGTTTGACTGTTAGACATGAATATGGCATTCACCAAGACGTTTCGGAATTGAAGAATGCATACAATGCGTCTTGCTATAAATCAGTTTGCTTGTCACCGACTAATCAAAATAGAACAGAAATCATTATATAGTCTGCTCAAACATGCAATCTTGACGAAATAAGAAGCGCATCAATATTGTATCACGTTCATCTTGGAAATCGTTTTTGGAGCTTTTTTGTTAACAAGTGGAATTTAATGTGTTTAAGATTTGTTTTATTCGATTTTAATTGACAATCTGCCCATCTTGGTTTTAGTGGGTCAATGGAAAATTTAGGAATTAATAGTTTTTTTTGCGTCTTCAACTTATGCCTTTGTCCTTGGTTCTTGTCCTCAGATGGGGACGATCCTGGGGGGAAAAGTGAGATGAGACTCACTTCCACTAGCGTTTGTTCGAGGGAGGGTGGGGACGTGGTCGTCGTGGCGCACCGCACCAGCAGCCCTTCCAATCCCTCCCACAACGCCAACCTCCCCCTCCAGTCGCAAGTCGAGGACCGTGAAACGTGGTCACAAGGTACATAAACTCCAAATTTGTACTTGCAACGTCGGACATATTGAACTCGATCAACTCTAAAATGCTTCGCACACCTATGGCCAATTTAAAACTTTCTCTTCCGTCTTTTTCAGGGCTGGACTTTCTCCTTTCCATTATTGGCTTTGCAGTTGATCTCGCCAATGTTTGGCGCTTCCCGTATTTTTGTTACAAGAACGGAGGTGGTAAGTTACAAATTCAATTCTTTAATTTAATTCTTCATGGGTGCTCATCCTCAGTAGTATATGCTACACATGCGAAACCTGCAAAAATTTGAACAATTTTGCCGTGATCATGTATACGTAAATTATATTGAAATGTTCATTTAATTTTCTAAACATCTATGAAGGGCTACACTGGGTAGTAATATCCACAAAATATGAAATTTTCAAAAAAAATTCTACATATTTTCTCTTTCAATCATCATTTCTCATTTCCTAATGTTGGACGGAGAAAGTTTTAAGATAAAACTTCATATTATTTTATGTTTGCCGTACAAAGTGAAAAACTAAGCTATATAGTTAATGCAATATTTGACTTGTATTGTTTGCTATCAAAAGTGAACTCTCATTTCTGCTAAAAGTATCAATTTTTTGAAGGTTAGATGGCAACTCAAACATGCGTGGGTTGGAAGAACCCTTGTTTAAATTAATGTTTGGTTAGTTATAAAAGTGAATAAATGCTTGGATGATTTTTCGTCTTATGTTTGATAACCACGCTCTTCAACGTTACACGATCTGCACAGTATCCAATCCAATGATGGCAGGCAATAAAATTGACAGAAATGGATGTTCATTGATATGGAAGTGAAGAATTAGAGTGACTTGAAAGGTTGGCAAATATCCCGGTTGGCGAATCTTTGCAAATGAATAAATACAATAAATAAGTAACCTTATAAAACCTCCTTGAAATCTAAAGGTCAAAATCTTTGATTACTGGTGTAGTAGGAGCAGAAGAGGCTGCCACTTTCACCTAAAAGCTGAAAGATGAAAAGTGATGGACTGAACTCATTTTTTCAGGTGCTTTCCTCATCCCTTATTTTTTGATGCTTGCATTGAGTGCTATTCCCGTGTTCTACATGGAGCTTCTCCTGGGACAATTCATTCGTCAAGGTAAAAGGACATTAGCATGTATATAGAAAAGTAACAAGACCAGTCACAATTATATTTAGTCAGGTGAAAACATCAGCCTGTTAAAAAATTAGAAAATGTCACCATAAAAAATTATCTTTAGGTTCACCTAACTCCTTAAGGAAAATTTATCAAGAACTACTTGTACTTTTCGTATTTTGTTTTGATTGTGGTGTAAAATGATCATGTCAATATTGAAAGAAATAGAATTGAAATGGGCAGAATATGCAGAACCTGAATATATATGTTCTATAATCCTGTAATTTTGTTGTGTCCTTATGTTCTGATGTCAAGGTCCCATATCCATGTGGAAAATCTGTCCTTTGTTCAAAGGTAATCCGGAATTGAGTACTAATTATTGAATTTATTGAACCACAATGATCCATTTCATATATAAAATGAAAAGGTGAAATTTTACACAAGTACACAAATAGGTCAAACTCGGCCACTGTTTTAGGCGACGTCCTCACTATTATTACTAATAGCATTTAGTAGTGACTAAATCAAATCTCGTCTGATACAAAAAATCAGCATTTTGGGGAATTCCGATATTTGTACAGAAAACAATATCAGTACCACCAGGGGATACTTCCTACTTGGAGGTCAACTTAGGTTCATCGACGAGTGTCTTAAAGGTGAAAGATGAGAACGACGGCCAGGAAACGAAGATGTGTGTGCATCTTTTCCTGACTCTCAATTTTCACACCATTGCACCAGCAGCAGCCTAAACGCGAGACTAAACTTTCTTTTCCTGGCAAATAATAAAACGATTTTATTGCTGTGCTGTCAATCGTACTGTCAACTGGAAGTGTTGACACTTAAGTCGAGCGTGAACTAAATGGACAAAGATTATCCATCACGCAGATATACATATAGAGGTCACCTTTCCTGGCCTATCGACCTTTGACAATATATGTACATGCATGACCATGAACAGAAAACGGAAATTCTATGATTTTGGGTGACCTATGCACACGATGGAATTATTGAAAGCATCATTCGATATCATGTTACTTATTTACTTATTGCTCATGCGGGCCGTGTACTTTGTCTCAATCGTTGTTTTGAATACTTGTTTAAATCCGCAGGTATTGGTTACTGTGCGGTCACAGTTTCCTACTTTGTGAGCTTTTATTACAACACGATCATGGGATGGTCCCTGCACTTCACCATCAACTCGTTCACCTCCCCACTCCCATGGACCACATGTAATAATTCTTGGAACACGGAGAATTGCTTCATCCCCGAAGCCGTCCTCGTTCATGACGACGACAACTCGACGTCTCTTATCCTGGGCGATGAAAATTACCCCCCTGACAACCTCTCGCTCTCACAAATGAGCAACTGGCACAATGAAAACTCTGACCTGGCCAGGTCGAGTAGAAGGGTCGTTTACCGTCCACCCAACGCAACTTCACCGGCTTCTGAGTACTTCAGGTATCAACGCTTTCTTGATGAACAAAAACAGCATAATTCGCCGTTTATACACAAATACCATATATCACTTTGACTTGAGACTATACGGTTTGTGTATCTTAAATAGGAACAGCGTGTTAGAAATGGGGTCACATGACATTGGTAACTTGATTTTTGATGGTGTTTTATGAAAATTATCAGATTATCCATTGTCTAAGAACTAACTATGCACAACAACAGATAATTTGGGCCTCCCAAAAATGGACTTGCTGTTGTGTCTTGCAGCTATCTACATCTTCCTATTTCTGATATTGCTGAAAAGGTATTGGATCGAGATATGTGTTTATGGGCAAATAACCCTTTGAGAACATGGAAAATATATTTATGCATGTCTAACGATACTGACGCAAGAAATGTATTCATCTTTTATTAATCCTCTCTTTACAAACAAGTTTTGAGATTTCCGTGCATCTCTGCCATAAAATTAAAATCCGTGTTAAAATATGATACAAGATGACACATTTGAGGAGATCATTGTCTGGATGGCTAATGCAAGAACTCCACCGATTGCTAAAATTTCTAATAATAATTAATTATTTGCAGCATTCGCTCTACTGGGAAGGTGGTTTGGGTGACCGCGACGATGCCCTATTTCGTGTTGAGTATTCTCCTGGTGCGAGGTCTCATGCTCGAAGGAGGTAAATAATCAAAGGATACCAACTGTTGATGATAATTATTCCTGCAGCCTATTAAATAGTTGGGGTTCTGTAATATTTCACTGAAATAAGACGTCATCATGGGCATTGGGTCTCAAAAGGAATTAAGATTTTCGCTGATTACATTATTTCTGATGCATTATTTCTCATCTTTAATTGCTAGAATTATCACGGAACATGAACATAAGCACACATAATAATATGCATGTTAAGATTTGAAATATTACGTTTACATATTCACATATTTGATTTTCTCTCTACATTAAGGTTTAATTTTTTTTTGCAATGCAAGAAATATGCATAAAATACCCCTTGTGACCACAGGCTTTAAACCTTGGTCGGGCATTCGCCTATCTAGCAATGTTTCTTGCCCGGGCACAGGATACCCCTGCCCGACCAAGGTTTATTCTCTGGTGACCAATAGTACTATGCATCATCATTGTGAAATAATCTAATTTGTCCCACTCATACAACCCGAAAGATGCACACCTACCTCAATTTTCCTTTCCCGTGAAGATACTAGTAGACATGCCATGCAACAATAATGGTCACGATTACTTGTCACTTAATTAATAAGTAAATATACATATGCATTAATTTAGGTGCGTAAATGCTGCTATGAAATACGTGCCTTTTCAAAAAATCCTTGCTTCTTTATGTTAAATTTTACGATTTATGTTACAAATATTTTCAGCGTCTGACGGAATTTATTATTACTTGGTTCCAAATATGACAAAACTACGGGAAGTGGAGGTCAGTAGAAAATCTTGCTAAATTATTACTGGTTTGGTATGCTTTAATCATGTAACAAAAATTTCATGAGCTTTGATGAAAAGAGCGTTCTTTTCCTCACAAAGGTTTGGAGTGATGCTGCCAAACAGATTTTTTTCTCGTCTGGTGCTGGATTTGGTGTTCATCTGACTTACGCCAGTTATAACAACTTTCACAATAATTGTTTCAGGTAATTGATTAAAAAAGTGATACCAACAAAGACAACATCATTTTCATCATGCTTGATAAAAATGATTTCTAATTATGCGTTTAGAGATTGCATGGTGACCTCGATGGTAAGGTTTTATGACAATTTTATTACGCGTCCTTCTCATTCGTCCCATTAAACTTTTAATTAAAAATACTGAGTATTCGTACATAAATAATAGCCACAGTGAGTCTCAGTATCAAGATAATTCTTCTTTCTTTCCTACGAAGATCCACCATTTTGTCCCGATCTCAACGTTACAAATTATTATAACATGATCGAGGTATTCATTTTTGTAGGTCAACTGCTTCACCAGTATTTTCGCAGGGTTTGTAATTTTCACTTTCCTCGGATCCATGGCCTACCGACAAGGTCGACCCAGTAAGTAGACATAAATTCGCATCTAAATACTTTCTATTGTGTATGTTGATATATTTCATGATATATATTTCTAAATTACTAAAAGAGCACAAATAAGTACAGAATTAGTAAATACATACATGCTTAGAACAGTAAATAATAATTGATTGGAGTTCAAATAGAGTTTTCGTTATCTTTCAATAATTATTTGCACTCTGGCTGTTTGTATGTAAATCTACAAGCATTTATATATTTTTTATTCTTTTCAGTTGAAGAAGTTGTCAATGTTGGTAAGTTGGAGTAAATAATAAATAATTCCGTTGTAAGATTTGGACAAAAGAAATTGTCATTTCAGGTCCTGGATTGGTATTTGAGGTTTACCCTGAAGCTGTGGGAAGTCTCCCAGGAGCCAATTTCTGGTCGCTAATTTTCTTTCTCGCTCTCTTGTCGCTGGGTTTGGATAGTGCTGTACGTTGATTAACCAGACACATACCTTTAATTTATTTGCTTATACCTGTGAATACATGCACTTCCGGTGAAAGGACTTTGAAGTGTGGTGCTAATTATCTTTGTGTCTGTAATCCCTATTCTGTCCTGTGACAGATGGGCGGAATAGAATGCGTCGTGACCGGGATCACTGACGAGTTTAAAGCCTGGTTCAAGCGATGGAAGTTTGGACGAGAAGTGTTCACGTTCTTTATTGTTTTCATTTCCTTCCTCATCTCTATCATTAATGTCACTCGGGTAATTTCTCAAGAGTGAGACCCATGTCCCACTCATCATTCTCAATTCGTTGTCCCAATTTTACAACAATTGTTCATGTAAATACGTTCGCAGGGAGGCATGTACACCTTCATCTTCTTCGACACGTATGCTGCAGGCAGCTCCCTATTATTTGCCGTTGTTTTTGAGGTTCTTGTCGTCTCGTGGGTGTATGGTGAGTCGAAAACAATTAAACTGACTTCCCCCATTATCCCCAACTCGGCATTAATTTTCCTTTGTCTTGAACAATTGGACAGGATTGGACCAATTTTGCAAAGATGCAGAGTCCATGTTGGGATTTGCACCGGGAATATATTGGAAAATCTGCTGGAAGTATATTAGCCCATTGTTAATTAGTGTAAATTACTAATAATTATTAAAACTATTACATATGTACTATACAAAAATAAGCCAAATCACACAATAAGTATGTATTTGTGACTTGTCTAGGTGATTATAGTTTTGGATCTGAGCACAGCCCTTCCCTTAACTTATGACGGCTACTTGTATCCAACTTGGGCTCAAAACATGGGATATATTTTTACCTTTATTCCAATTACTCTGGTGCCAATTATTGCACTTCGAGAATTCTTCAAGTTTCCTGGAAATTGCAAATCGGTATTGCTTGCATATTTTAAGCAACTCGATAATTCCTGTGTAATAAATTGTTGATTTTATGTGCAGAAACTATCCTATGCCATTACCCCAACAAATGAGCATCCTGCTATTAAAAATGAGGGTTACGTCAAAAGGTTCATGTCGTCACATTGGGTTGGACAACGACGTGGGCATACGACCTAAGCATAAATCCACACTTTACTTCCGGTCTTACGAACAATTACAAGACAAAAAAAATCAATGAAAAGGTGTGTGTACAGGTACATGTGCAATTTTACGAAAGGTATTTACGTAATTTTCCATTATCTTTGTGATCTTTTACATACAATTAATTTCTTTAGAAAATGTATTTCATGCTTCTGTATTGTGGAAAATGGAGGCGATAACTGGTCAACAAACAAACAACTGGTGGACTGGTCCTCCTCGTTCAACTTTTGGCCCAAAGTACTTTTACGTTGAAGTTTTTCATTGTTTAATTCAACCACCATCGTTCATACAGTTTAGCTAGCTTAGCATTATACTTGTTACGTGTGGCATATTTGTAGAAGATGTCCGTATGGTTGAACCAGCTACATCGTAGTTTTAGGTTTCCTCAAGACCTGTATCCAATATTTACCTTCCCGTTCGTGCAGGGACGCCAAACATACGCCAAAACTGTTCAACTTAATCGATTAAGGGTTTGCATAAAAACTGCAGTAATCTATGTGCAATATTCAAAGTACATGATGGTTTTTAACATTTTTGACGTTTTCAATTTTCAATATTTGATATTTATTTTACTCGAATTATTGCCATAATTATTGTAATGTGTGCAGTACAAATGCGTAGCGTATTATAGATACATAGGTAAACATAATATATATGTCCACGCTCTACATGATTTACCAGCTACAAGTCGCCAGGTAAAAAATTCAACTTGTATTATTCTTGCCATATATTAGAATATATATCTTGAGAAAGGATTATTGTAGTCGTGAAGTAGACATAATTGTAGGCACGTAGATCTAGAAACTTTAGTCTAGTAATTGCGGCTTACAAGGGCCATTCCTCCTCGTCCCTTGCATAACTAGTTACCTCAACTAAGAAATTAATAGGTTGTATTTAAGCTAAATGTGTCTACAAATTGTTCAAAGCAGAAATACTCCAACAAAATTTTAAGCATGTTGGATCGCCCTACTAAATAAATTGGTTCTTCTTAATTATTCTCAGGATAGTCCGGGTTGTTTTATACCTATGTTTATTTTCAATATTTTCTACATGTAATTTGTGGTCAATCATGCTTTGTCCAATCTCAGTGACCTCAGTTTTTCAGTGTCAAATACTCCTGGCTTGAGAAGGAGTGAATATGAAGTTTATAGTAGTAAAGTAAAAGAGAGTATTACATAAATATAACAAATCATGATATGCATGCAAATCCTGACTTTAAGAATTTATGAATTACCAAGATGATCGTATCCAAAACGTGTCAAATTTATAAAATTATAGAAATGTCTATGTCTAATTGGTGCAGTTCTACCAATTTGTCAGTACCTGCAAAAATAATTGGTGCATGCATAGTTTACTTAATTTGTAGAAATTGACATTACTCATGGTAAGCTAATTATGTATCTTGCTTCAAGGCTTGAATAAAAGTGTTTTTTAATTAAAGTTCACTTGTTAATAATTGCAGAATGAATGTCAAAACATGCGAGCTTCCAAATCCTCCAACAGAGAGATTCGTTTACCAGTATCATTTTCTCATGAAAATTCATCACGTTAAAGCACAAATCTTCACCCTCCACTGACCACTTATTACAAAAAATAATAAAAGTTGCAGGCATCATTTTACGGTAAAGATTAAAGCGTCGCACTTTCTCCTTTCCTACCCAACCGAACTTGATCCAATGGAAGAGACGCAGTCAATTTCACGCTTTTGTAGCCCCAATATCCTGCGCTTTATTATGAGATATCATTTTAAATGATTTAATGAAGGAACGATGCTGGTCATCCTTCCCATGAGCAGAAGCAGACGTGTTGTGTGCTTCACTTTAACCACCTCGCATCCAACCGTGACGAGTGTGGTAAAGTCTTGGTCCGATTTTATTGCCCTTACTTTCTCTCTCCCGAAGATGTGGAGAAAGTGATTTGGCAGATGCTGGCCTTACTCGCATTACTTACTCACTTGCAATATTGGGCTTGATCTCCTGCTCGTCGGAATATATTCAGAGCCTTCCTGTCATTCGCAAATAAATACCAATGGCTCATTTATACTTCACAACTCTATCAGTTTTGGCTATCGTATCATTCTCTGCCCAGCGTTCTGTTTCGAGAACTTGGAGTAATTTGTCATGTTGTACGATTAATTGTCATATGTATATCCAACGGAATGTTCATCATAAAGATCAACCAATGTCCATTATCTTTTTTATTATACTATATTGTCTTTAAGGACGAACGCCAATGTCACCGTACTGATTAAAGTAAGTAAAATGCAGAGAGTGATCATACTGATTAGTTTTTTTAAATCATTCCAATTATTCCAGTAGAAAAACGTGATTTCAACAAAGAACTACGTAGTTCTTTGTTGAAATCACGTAAAACGTACGTTTTAAAGGGAAACTGTAAAATTTAATCTACCTAAAATCCTATTTATCAAAATGACTGATGATGAGTTAAAAGTATAAATAAGTAAAGCAAATAAACTTCGCTGGTTCATAAATTAAGGGACAAATACACGTACCTTTAGTTTGGGAATTAGTAATCTGACGATCTTGATAATTTTCAGGCTAATAATATTATAATCTTTCCTTGTACATAATGCGTATTATGTATAACACACACGGAATTTAGGATTAGCTCTATGTATTTACGAATCATAATATCTGAGCGTACATACATACATAATAAATAAATAAACAAACTTCATCCGCAGTCCGTCCGTTCAAAACTGTATTAGGATAATTTGCTTTTAAACGGGTTTTCCTTCCCGATGATGTTAGCGATGGGCCGCTGAGATTGACCTCTCCATATTTTGCACACAAACACCTCAAACGATTAGACCATACGTACATAGCTACACACACCTTCGGGAATTGTATTCCATTCCAATATAATTTTTGAGATATGCACCATGGGAAAATATTAAAATTCAAGTTTCACTCAAGGCCAGTATGAAATGCAGGAACAAAGTCAGTCATCAACTAGCATTACCAACCCTGACATTGCAAAATCTATATAATCCGCATGCCTTCGTATTATATGCAGATTCATTGAAAACCCAGTTTTTGTGCAAGTATGTACTTCCCACTACATAATTGTGTGAACTTATCGTGAGCAAACTTGTTAAGTTGCTTTATGAAACTGTTCAGTGTAGAAACCGTTTTCGTCCTGGCCAATTATGCGCTGACAATCTCAAAGGAAACATTGATACAGAAAATTCTTCTTAAAAATGAAGTTGGCTATATTTTTACCGATTTTTGGAGTGTTTCTCTTTTCAAACTTAAGATATTCAAGTGCATTCCCAACGGAGAAGGACGCTGATTATGATGAGAATAAACTCGGAGAAGATGGATTCGGAGGGTTTGGGAGTGCAGGTATTAAGAATATTTATTATTCACTAATACATAGGTTGAAAATACACAATATTAATAACCTGGTATGGGACCGATTTTATAACGAAAGCACTAGCGTGTATTATTGTCCTGCATGAAATAATGTATCCTAATCATGGCGTTAAGAAATATAAAAACGAAGCTGTTAGATATTCTGCTGGTCCAATAAATAATTGGACAACTTCAAGCATCGAGACAAATTTTCCCATTCCATTAGCAGTTACCCTTCTTTCATACAATAGGAATAAATTTATTCGTGACTTATGTAAAATCCGAGTATTCATAAACCACCAATTTCCTTCCCTGCTAAATCGTTTATCTTCCAATTTATTTCAGAAATAATGCCCGGTCGAGACTTGTCAGAACAAGAATTGAAAAACATCATTTATATTGCGATGCAAGATATTTTGGAAAGCAATAAGCAATACATGTCGAAAGCCATGCCCAATGATTCCAACAAACTGTCCAGGAATAAGCGTTTCATACTTGCACCATTTACCAGAAATGGCACAACTGTCAACAGCGTAGGAAATGGTGCCAATTTTTGGCAAGGGTGGGCACAACGACGCCGTCAGCGGATTGAACGGAGGAGACAGCGATGGAGAAATTTCCAACAGCGCCAACAAGCGTTTTTCCGAACGTTGGGACGCCAAGGAGCTGTGAACCCACAAACAGTGGTGCAGACCACGATCTCCCCAGTTGGGCCAATCAACACAGGTCATCGAATTATTTTAAGCAGCAATAATGCTGTGAATCCCACATCAGCACCAACGCAAGCCTCCAATATTTAGTTACAAGTGATAACTCAATGTTTTAATAACTGAATATAATTTCAAAACACAGTTTGACTGCTTACATAAGTTATAAATATAGGAATAAAGTATTTAATACAGTTTAAATATTTCTTATATTTACATAATGTGGCATACAAATAATCATATGTATCACTTTAAGTATTTCAAAATTAGTTCTTTTGGATCAGACCGAACAGTTGTAGCAATTGCAAGAAGAGGTTCACGATATCGCCAAATAACATGAGGCATGCAAATAGCCAGTCAGCTTCTTCCAATTGGTACTTTCGTCCCCCAACGATCAGTTGCAGGTCGTAGAGAATGAACTGTTGATTTGTGAATAAGGTTGAGTGAAACTGGATACAATGCATGAATGAAGAACAATTGCATCGTTGCACTAACCACAGTTAAAAGAACGATGAATAGGACACAAAGCACAATGGCCACCACCCGCATGGTTTCTCGGTCACTTTGTGAGACAATGAGAATTATTCCTGCCATGAGGGACGCAAGGACGAGGGCAAGAGAACCGCAAAGCAGCAAAATTCCCCATCCGGTGATGTCAATCTATGTTTAACGATGGAATTTGAGGAAATCAATAATTTGGAAAGTAAATAAGCTTGAAATATTTTACCGGAGTAAGAGCTGTAATAACGACGATAATTAATAAAATAAGGACGGTTGAGGACAGCGCATAAAGGATCACATCCTGACTGTACGATATTGTTATAAAAGCACAAAAAACTGAGAGGCAAATTGTCTGGAAGCGTGAATACAAAATATCATTTAGTCACAGTTTTTAACAATTTTAAACAACTAAATAGAATGGGTTTTTTATGTTATAAACTGCTTTAAATTTTATACCCCAAATACTAAAATGCTGATGTTTAAAGGTCTGGGTGGGCCGCGACCAACCTGACAACATCCTACAGCAATGTTGATCATAATCCAAAATATTCTGCAACATACACATCATTGCATACATGTATGTAGATACATGTATGTGATAAGAGCCATAATGCACTAATTATAAAAAATCAATTTGCTGTATCGTACCCTGCAATGAATGCGATAAAGTAATTCTTGTGAATCCATAATTTTGTTGGCTTCCTGAAACAAACGCTGATCAGAATTTCATTGGAGATAAGCATGTGAATTTTAGATGCTCACGACGATAAGACGCAGCCAGCAGTGAGGGATGCACACACGAGCAATTGAAGCATCACAACGCTCAACACTTTTCTAACGAACGCCATTCGTCGAGACTTCGTCGAGAACGCCCGCATCGCTGGAACGTCATCTTCTTCGACGTAAATGGTGGAATATTGTGGTGCCTGTTGTTGGGGGTAGATTTCCATTTCCCTTGGGTACGACATGATAGCTTTGTGGTCAATTGACTTGATTTGTGTTTTGCTAAATTCAATTAGACTTGAAATATTTATCTTGATCGCTTTAAGATTTGTTGGCTAAATGTGTACAGATATATGATCATCACTTATATATGTGCTTTATGTATGTACATATGTACGCATGAGCTTCGATATGCATACTCTGCGAATACAATAAATTTATAATCTCAATGAATAAACCAATAGCATTCTTCTATAATTTAAAATTTTTAGTTTCATTTGTACAATTTAGTTCGACGTACCAATTACGCTTAGCAACTCTAAGATATGGCTGCAAAATGAAACTGGTGAATCTTGACTGAGTAATCTTGTGAGTAATATTCTGGATAGGTCAGTCGTCGTATAATATTTTTGAAAAATATTTACATATGAATATTGAAAAACAAGTGTACTCATCCTACACTTTGTTGAAACATAAGGATTCTTGGCAAGCAGCAATACAAGTAGATAATCCCAGTAGCAATGTTCATACTTTATTTGTCCATTCGATCAATGTACACATATTCACAACAAAATAAACATCCATGTCCACTGTCTTACATCAAACTATTTAGTCATTTAAACATTTGGCGAACTTCTCGAAAGGTGAGGCGTTGAGTGGCTCTAGAGTAGTCATTCTCCCACCGGGTGCAACTCTGACTATCTTCACTATTTCGAAGCACACATCGAGGTGGGTGTTCTTCATCTAGGAGTAAAAGGAATTCATGAGTCTCATTTTTCCCTCTCAATTTATATGATTTCAAAATACAAAATACAAACAATGTCTTTAAGCATTACCGATGCATTGCATCCTTAATACGTTAAAATAGAAATTTCCCATAAGCTCTGCCGTCGGATTAGTGGACGAAGCCTGCTTCAGACAGTCGTAAAATGCAGCATCACATTCACAATGAGACCTGAAAAATAGGACAATTCAGCCATGCAGATAAGTAGATATATTTCCGAGCAAGATAAACCAAGGAATCTGACTCACTTTGTGTAAAAGCTCCAGTTAACAAGGTTATATGCAGCTCGAAATGCTAACACCTTTCTTGGGCACAGGTCATGAGATCTATGGACAAAACCATATAAAGCAAATAAAACAACGATCAGTACGAATTACACGCAAAACATACAAAATCCCAAAGTTTTTAAATATAAAGTTTGGAATTTGCATGAAATCTCAAAAGTAAAAGTACCAAATAAAAATCACGATTGTGTTACCTGCAACACTTGTCGAGATCTTTTTCTGGGCCCAAGTCATTCCATCCGTCGGCAACATCTTTCACGCCGCACCACTTTGTTCCTGGCAGAATTCCTATATTCCACATGTTAGATTTACTTTGAACAATAGATTCGAATGGATCAAGAGGTTGTGATCGCCCATCATCTCTGTCATCAAGGGCTTGGCAGGATCGAATAATGTTTAACATTTGGTTGAAGTTGGTTTTTTCAATCAATTTATTTTGCTTGGCCAATTTTTCCAATGCCTCCTGCTGCTCTGATGGTTTGCTGGTAAGAATGAATTCTTGTTTTACATAGTTTGCCATCTTATTAACCTGCATTTGTCACACTCACTTGACCTCCAGCATCTCGCAACGTGTTACATTGCCGTACAAGTCGGTGAAAAGCGTGGCTATCGTTTCACCGTCATGATAATTGATTTCAATCGGAGGTTGAATCAAGTCGTCATCTGGCAGAACCGTGTTGCCTTTATCAAACTCACTCGGTGGAGATTGTCCGTAACCACCTCCCGCATTTGCAGGAAAGCTGGAATAAGAGAATGAAATCATTTTTTGGATGATTTGCAAAAAAGAGCAATACTAGATTCCATACATATGTTCAACAAAATCGTTAATTTCAGTAATTTGGTCATTTTAAGTATGTTTCACGTGAGGTAGTCACTTAATGACAGGGACTCTTTCAGTGCGCAATTTTTACCTCAAGGCAATTCCGATTTTTTGTTACGCGAGGGCATGGTTGGAGAAATTAAGAAACAATGCACGATCCAAACTCCAAGGTTGTGGAAAACACCACACAATGAATGAATGAATGAATGAGAATGTGCACGAATCTCACTTTTCTAGCTTCGACATGAGAGGTATATGAAAAAATACTGATAATGCAACAAGATTGTACGTAAACAACTCTTTAAGATTTTGTTTTCATACACAAGAGACAAGATGTACGAGATGAGAAAAAACGACTACTCGTAAGAGAATGGGCTGTGGCAACTATGTGTTTAAGTACCAATTTTCGTAGAAGTTGAATCTACGCAAACGAATCGTCATGATATTTTATGACAATTAAGTCAACCCATTAGAGGAACAATGTGTTTTGCAGACTTTACATTTGAGGCTGTATAATTATAAAGAATTGTTTAGTTATTAATTAGTTCTTACTGAAAGGAACTGTTATGCGTACATATGCAGTTGTTTCACTCTATATATACTACAATTGTTTCTTTGTTGGTGGACATAAAATGATCTGCGGACAATTTTCTTGGGTTAGATTTAGTTGAGATAAAACTTACTAAATTGTGGAGGAAATTACACTATAAGGACCCTTTTCGGTTTGGGTAGCGTTGTGGGAGGGGCTGCCACCACCAAATTGGCTGTTTCCGAGGTCATAATTGTTTGATTTAGAACTACGCCACTGCCCGACTGGAAGGATATTGTTGGAAGGACTTTGGAAGTTGGGCAAAGTTTGTATGGCTGCATTGTTTGGAACACCGCTAAATAAAGATTTAAGGACTTAATTGTAAGTTACATAACGAAGAGAAAAACACTCCTCTTCGTTGAATCCAATTTATAATTTCGACCCAGGAAAATTTTGTAGTTTAAAACTATATTAATAGTTCATTTAAATTAAAGCTGTATAAATTGTTATTTGATGTTAATGTTATAACAAATGGGGCCATTTCAACTGTGAAATGATAGAAATTTAAATTCTACAATGCCATGTATTTCACACTGGTATTTTGGGTTTAAAGATAATACGTTTTAAAAGCGAAGACGTGAGGTTACCTTAGCATAGATGAGACTGCATACAAAAATGATGCTGCTGAAGTCAACAAGTTAACAACGGGCATCTTTACTCAATTTAAATGGCACAATTGATATCACTCGCTATTATTTGACCTGTTGTGTCACCTCTGACCATTTGTCTGATATAATGCGTGTAAATTAAAGCTTTATTTTGTTTATAAGTTGTTATCTTCCTTTTCACTTATACATGTATGTATTCCAACTTATTACGCGTAGAAAGTTGCCGTAGAGTAAGAAGTATCTTAAAAAAATCAAGTCATTAATATGCATTAATGTTCCATTCTTTGTTTGTGATCTTGAATTCTGATTCAAAGAAACAAAGTTGAGATTTGCTTCCAAACTCCTCTAGAACTCGTAGCTTTCGCAATTTGAGTGTGACTAGATTTATTCTTTCGTAGTATTCTTAAGGAAATTTTAGTTGAACAGGTTAGATATTTTTGGATAATCGTAAAAGTTGAATCCAAGTGATCCGTTGGAATGACGTATCCTCAATATTATTATTTTTAGCAAATTCATACGGATTACATAAAATATACCTACGTACGTAATACAGTTTGCGTTGACATTGGCTTAATTCCGCTTTTGTAAATGAATTAAAATGTATTCCATTTTTTGTCATGAAGACATATGCACTTTGAGAGTTAATTAATTATTCATCAACATGTGGTTTTTAGCATTTATCCTGGCTTTGAGGTAATTTAATGTAGATACAGTTTCGCTATCAGAGCACGTTAAATACAAAAAAATCTAGACGCCACTAATATTTCATTGAAACTACTACATGTATGTGTAAGAGCCTTTTATCGAACTAATCCACCAAGTTTCACATATCTCACGAATAATATTGAGGCAGCACAACACAAGGAAAAAAATAGAGATTTCACTTTCACAACTTGCACATACCAATCACCTTTTGTAGGGTGAGGTTACTGATGCTTTGGGTCTATAAGATCACCAATAACGTCACATTCTATTGACGAATACCCCTCACATCATATTTAATTTAATATGCAATACAACTTTTTATGAAACACATAACACGGTCAAGAACTTAAAATAGTCATTGTGACAATAACAAAATATGGAAACAATAGCACGACCACGATTTCCAATTCCACATTTTTCCACAGATTATGTGCTTAAAAAATATCCAAACTGCTAAAAGACTGTACAATTACAGTTCCTTTGCCACTGTTGCATCTTCCTTCCTGCAGATTCTTCTCAAGTTCACAAACTCATGATCCAATGTCACACCAATCTAAGGTTTAATTCAAGTGTGCGAAATTTGTAGCGTGTAGCTTGAAGTACAAATCCTGTTATTTTTTTACCTTTTCAACAAATTTAGGGATGAGACGCACTGACAATAGAACTATTCTAAAAGTGAGACAAATACGCCGGTGTGTAACTAAACTAACTAGTGATCGACTAATGTGCTTTATCAGACAAGGATTGTTTTGTCTCGCTGAGCAGCACGTTAATGCGACTGTAAATTTCTTTTCAATTTTCCTTTAAAATGTATAAGGAAAGCTGCGAATATCAGTGGTAAGGAAGCACAAGGATGGCATAATTGGGGGTGTGTGGTATACATGCATGGTATTTGCTAGTTAAGCAAAATACATTAAATACAAAGGAAAAGATGAAGGTAGCGTTCTTGCAGAATCCTCATCACTTGTTCACTCTCCAATATAATTCTAGGTCATCTATGCAATCTTGCTCATTGCTGCCCCACATCCACCTCTTAGCACCACGAGCACATCTCTCCTTTCGCAAAGAGATCCACCAGACCCCACCTGTCTCACTCGCTCAGATTGCTGACAATTCCTCCAAACGCTTCTTTAAGTCTCACAAATGGTAGCGAATTGTATGGTTAGCAGGTCCGCTGAATCTTGTTATTATTGTTATTCTAGGTAGCTGCAGTTGCAGGCAGTGAGTCAGTAGGATGGGTTTTATTGGTTTGGTTTGCTTTTGAGCATTTTTACACAAACAAACCTTATGCACCTGCTCATTGTCGCCTGTGCGTAATACATATCACCAGTTAATGAATAAGCAAACAACCTATAACACCGCCATGAAATGATGGGAGATTGTTTTTGTTTACTTAATGATATTTTCCAAATTGGGCAAATGAGACAAGAAGGATCAATGATATAGATGTTTAGGCTTGTTCTTTTTCTGGTATTGGTTTTATATTTTAAAATGCTACATTCATGGCAAATTTCACGCGTCAGTTAAATTCATCCTCATTCTGCCATTTTTCTCAAGATGATAAAAATTTTATGGCACACAGGATGCATTGTGCACATTAGTTAGGATTGTCAAGATATTTCAAATAAATGTGAAGTCTTACTTTATTAAAGAAGTTGTCACTATTTAATAAAATTCATAACGACAAGAGATAAAACGAAATGTATAAAATAAAGTTTTGACTCAGTAAACAGTAAAAGATCACATGGTTTAATTTTACAGCTACTAGTTAGCACAGGAAGTTGGTTGGCTTCTACATGTCCCATCAACCAATAACGATTGGAATATCCGTCCTATTTTTATAGATTTTACTGAATAGAAAAAAGATGTAAAGTTCCAGTAGACGTCATTAAATTTAACCAAGAGCTCCAATATTGCAATTCTGAAACAAATGCATTTTAATTCCTTGATGAGCCATTAAAAATAAAATTATTCAAACCTACAGCTTTTTCAGCAAAGTCTCCAATTGTATTCTGCATGCACTGCGTAAATTCTCCATAACTTTCGCAGTATGGCTGATCTTTATCCAGCTTGGACCCTACAATGAATACACAGGTATCAATTAAATCTGTACTTGTGTGCATAAGTACCAATTATGGGATAATAACAATGGGCAATAAAATTGCTAACCGTGATCTGAAAGGCAGTCTTCAACTAAGACGTGTCCAATTTCATGTGCATCCTCTAATTATCATTTAAAAATCATCATTATATATCATTCCTGTCAACATATTAGCACTTTTGTGTCATTTTTACCTGGGATCATCTCATCCATGAAACCTTGAACAGTTTCCTTTGTGACAATGCCCTCATCAGTCAGCTTGAAGAATACAATTTCATTGTAAATCATTGCAAATTTATGGTCAGTTTTCTTAAAATTACCAAATGCATCTTATCCAGGGCACACTTGATGATACACTATTTAAAAAATAAACATCACCTCATTTGCACAATTCAAGCTTTGTTATGGTGTTAAAGACACTTACACTCATTTTCTTTTCAAACTCTTCCTTGGTACTGTTTGCTTTAAAATTAATATAATTTTTTTTTCTTTTAAAGCAGAGTTACATAAATAAATATAACATTTTAGTTTCGAAATACCTTTTACTTCTTTTGTGCATTGACCAAACAGTTTTATGCTGCGGATTAAATTAAGTTATTTGAACAAAGAAGGTAAATTTAAGACTCGGAATTATGAAACTTACGTCTTTTTCGCAATCCTGCCCATCACCTTCTTGCAGTCGTACAGTTGTAATTTTTCCACCTTCAAGAAATGAATTGATTCGCACAAAAATTAATTCTTAAACTCAAAGTTTATTAAAGAAAACAATTGTGATCATACATCTTCCACTCCAGAGGATTTCTCAATGGTTAGCGCAAAAACTATCACAAAAGTTGCAAGACAAAGAATTGATCCAGTTTTACTTAATGAAGTCATTTTGCTTTAATTTATGACAAAACTGATTGGCAACTGATGGATAGTTTCGAACCCAACCGTGCATGTCAACTCACTGAAAATATGGCTAAAATTCCTTAAATATGTCCTCGATTGAGATTTTTTTGAATGTGATAAAAATTGTTATTATTTCTCATTACGCAAAGAGCAATATCCATACGACGGATATAAAACCCATCAATTATTTTAATGAATTTCTCATTTTTATCATCCGGAACTGCCTCTGTTTGCATGATGAATGGTATGTGCAGGAATGTACGTATACGTATATCAGCAATTTGATGATTCGTAACTGCAATTTTTGTGCAAATGCATTTGAAACAATTATATTTCAATGTCCTATAAAATGAAATAAATCTTTTTGGCAGCTTGTGACAAATGGTGTTAAATTATAGTTTGCATTGATACTATAGTATACATATATTCGTCCATTGCATTGTAGTTGCACTAATGCACTCTATCACATATAAAAATTGTATGTGTATATCGATGGGCAATGCCACGTGTATTTTTAAGGTTTTATAAGCAGTTGAGGTGGGATTAAGTCATTTTATCCTAAATTATTGTAATTTCAAATACTGGTCTGAACAAAAAACGAGAATGAACGAGTATATGTACACATATTGAGAAAGGCCACGACGACACATCAATGAATATTTGCATGCATGAATGAATAAAAAGTCGACGATCAGATACAGTTTTTCCTAAAGCTGCATCCTATAAAATACCCACAATTGTGTGAATTCCTTTCTGAACATGCCCAACGACATCCAACTAATTTGATCAAATACTTGAATGAGAATAGTGGCAAAAGTTGTTTCCTAAATTATCTAGTTTCTTGAATTAGACGTAAGGAATCTACAATTGAAATTTTCCGTAAATGAGTTTGTCACAACGAGATTAAACATTTGGGCATAACTAATAATTCAAAAAGACGAAACCTTGGGAAAGTAATAAATAAATCTCAATATCGCTCAATATTACGATAAAGAAAAGGTGACAGGGATTTGTAAAAGTTTCTAATCATAGAAGATGAGATTCATGGAAAAACATCACAAGATTTATTTATGATTTTATGATGCATTGCACATAAAGCTGTCTTTATTTTACTTGCTTAATAACAACGATTAAATATTTAGATTTTGCTGACCATTAATTAAAAGCACATATAGATATAGTGATTAGAATATACTTATGGATCTCAATCGATAACTGACGTGATTGAAGAAATAACTGCATTTAAGAAGATGCAAGAAGTTTAAATGTTCATTATTAGTTGTGTTCAATATATGTAGGTTCAGTAGATTGACTAAAACGAACCATCCATTTTTGATATATTCGGGGACGGATATTTTTAGTCAATATAATGAATAGTATAGACATCCTGCAGTTAAACAGTTCTGGCTGCTGAACTGATTATCTGCAGGAATAGCAAACAACAACTCGTTCTACTCCTGATCAATCGTGGCGATTGTGAAAAATCTGATTCGCCAAAAACTCTTGTGCAGGAGTTTGTTCTTGTTGATTGCCAACATTGGCCAAGAGCTCTTTCTCTACCTCGACCGGAGACGTGAGGAAGCATTCCTCGTTAGGATCAAAAGCTGGGGGCAAAGTTGGAAACGGAGGTTGTGCCATGGCGTCCCACGAGCCTGTGATCACAAGATTCATGCAACAATGTAACAAACAATTAGTTTAAATTCATATTGGTTTAAATGAAATAAAAAGAACCACAAATAAATAAGGAATAATAATAGAATCCACAAGCACTAACCCATGAATCTCGAACCATCACTCTGATTACACTGTGTGTGCATGTGGAACAAAGATATTAATGCTGATCAAAATTCTATTAAGGATAAGAGTGACTAATTTGGAACTAAAACAAGAGCAAATAATCGAACCTGCATGTCTACTGGTGACCTGTTGTAAAAGTCAGAGAGTAATTTTGCTCGGAAAGGGGTCCATTCAATTCCTTTGTACGCCGATGAGATTGGCCCATCCGGGCTGATTTTCTGGCCCTCCATCCTAAATTACAAACTTTGCTGAACAAGGTTCATGGGATGTGAGCAGAATGAATAATTGTGTTATGTATTTACTCTGCCATGAAGTGAAAGTATTCACGAAGTGACTTCATTGAAACGGAGCTCTTACAAACCTACATATACAACAATCAATTTGGTCGTTATAGATTATGAAATATCTAACAAGTAAAGGATAAGAATAGGAATAAAACTTGTCCTGGAGCACATCTTTGCGAATAATAGCAAATGTACCTCCAACTTGCTCTTTGGATAGTAGTGGACGTAGTTGACACACATTTCATCACTAATGGCAAACCCTCCAAGGGTTGGCCCTTTTCTATCTCTCGTTTGGAATTGGCATGTTGTCAGCAATACATCGCCCTACGGTTTCAAACAGTAAAACCTCGCGGTATGTGAAAAAATAACTAATTTGTAACATTGTTATTCATACTGGCATAATCCTTCGGGGCAGCTTGGAAAAAGAAGTTAAATGCAAGATAAGGGCTCAATATATACGAAACAACGAGAGGTGGACGGTGTTATCATACCTTGAGTTGGCGAATCTCCTGATAGTGCGTAGAATAATGGTTGTCCCAGTTGAGATATGGAAGTTCCAGATAATCGTCGTTTGGCTCATTTGGGTCCATGTTGGGTCTGTAGTGTCGTGTGACTACCCGAGTTCCTGAAAATATGTCCATGCCAATAAACGGTCCCGTTATTGCACGTTTGCATTTGGTCATAAGCAGTGAGGGAACGTTTTTGTTGCCTACCAGTCAAATGGGTGTGAAGCTGGGAAGCAAAGATGACGATTCCTTTTTTTGGAAGACCCACTGATGTGCACTCCTCGTTGCAGATGCCGGTCAACAAAAACCCTTCTTGAGAGGGTGGGATAGCCATTTTGTCCGTGTACTCCAAACCCAGCTCTATAACACCAGCATCATACTTTCGAAGTTTCTCCGTGACCTATGAGAGTTTTTGTTAGAATTAGTTAGTAAACTTTTCCCGCAATCCTGTGGTGCTAAATTTGATCATTCCAAGGATAAATACTTGCAGTTTGTAGAAATGAAATATTTCTAGTATTACATGTACTAAATTATTATGGAACTGGCGTAATGAATTCCGTAGGATAAAGGAACATACATAGAAAGGAATCATTTCGCCTTAGGATTAGTAAGATCTTGGGCGTGGTTATGCTAGTAACATTTTCCATTTTGAAAAGCTTGTTTAAATTGATATTTTAATGAATTAAAGAAACGATGAATTGCTCACCCAAAATTCCATTCCACTAGAATCGATCCAATCTATGCAAATTATTGGTTTGTGAGTGTGGTCACTAGATTAAATTTTTGCGAATGCATCAATGCCCGAGATTCTGCAATGGTCCTCGAAAGTTACGACTGTTACGAGTCGTAAATTACTACTTGTAATCCATTATTTCCAAGGTCGATAAAAAGATTCATACTGATTTATCAAAAATGTCGTTCATTTAAAAAATCTCAGCTTGCAGTTTTGAGACAATATATTGGTGAGTTGTTATTATAAACGTTCAGAGTTTATTATAAAAATTCTTGTGTCCGACCCCAATTTACGTACATTCCCTTATTTTCATAAGCTTTAGGTTACCTTCAGAAAATTTTAGTAGACACGATTTGAAATGCACAGTATTTTTTACTTTAAAATACTTCTCACGCAAAAGAACTTTGTTATTTTTGAAAATTTTATTCCCTCGATAGTGGGTTCCACTGTATGGATAAGTGTGGGTGACGATATGAGTAAAAAAACACATATATATTACTAATATCTACGTAAAATGTATATGTACATATATAAAACACTTGAAAAGGGAATCTAAATTACCTCTGGGTTTTCTAGAATCTCAGCCAACTACTTTGCATCCACTGATCTCATCTCATCAGTTTAAATTTAAAATAAATCCAGCAGGCAATCCCTGCCAACGACATGTGTATGGAGCGACTGAGGCGGAGAAAGTTGGGGAGAAAGAGAGTATAATAAAGCGAGAAGCGAGAGAGATAAAGTCGGCAACTTTTCTCACCACTTTTCAGAGCAGGATTATTGTAATGCATTTCCAACCTGACGTAGGGATTAAAGTCGGTGCCTCCAATGGGATAGCCTGCTTCCTTGGGGTAAGTGAGAGGCTCGGCTCCCATCTGACATAAACAAAGACCAAAATGTGCTACCTACTTCAACTCAACCCAGGGCGCATAAACTTTTTGTTGTCCGTGGTTTCTCTTAAGGGGGTGATGCAGGGATGAGCATTTTTTCAAAAAAATTAAAAAATTAAAAGTTCGGGAATTGCATGCAATTTTTCCATGAATTTGGTTGTCAACCACATATTAGAAACGAAATAAATAATTCTTGTCTTGGTCTTCATCTCTGAAGATGAGGAATAATGTTCGACAATTGATAAGATCCGTCAAGTGGATGACCAGTGGGGGCCATATGGGTCGGGTGAAGCCCGTGGTGCAGAATATTATCATTTGTAAAATTTGGTTGACAACCAAATTCATGGAAAAATTGCATGCAATTCCCGAACTTTTAATTTTTTAATTTTTTAGAAAAAATGCTCATCCCTGCATCACCCCCTTAAGAGAAACCACGGACAACAAAAAGTTTATGCGCCCTGAACTCAACCAGAAGCCTTTCGTACCGCCCAAGCTCCGATGACTTTGCTGCAAACCCGGATTTCCTTCGGGGACTGGTCGCAAGGCCCAGCGTAGAGTGGGATTTCCACGTTGACATCGGCGAGACAATGAAAAACTTCCATGTGGTGTACCAGCTCCTCATTCCCTTTTTGAACATGTGAACCAAACTGGACAACGTGGAACTTCGTTTTTAGCAGAGCTTCGGGTAGCCTCACAACTTGACACCAATACGTCGTCTCCACTGGACCTATTTTGACCTGCCATTTATCATAGTAAAAGAAATGCAAGTTAATCACAAAACTCAAAAGGATGGAAATTGCTTGCTCAAAATTATCCTAAAAGCATGTGCACCTTGTTATTCAACACTTTGAAACTCCAGTCCTCCGCCGGGTTGACGGGAGGAGGTTGGATTGTGTTTTTAAGAAAACGAATCCTCTTGAACCCCGAATCTTTGGCAGCGCTGATGTCTACCCCACGAATGTCAAACAGAGGACCGGCACCCTTGGCCCAGTGCAAATGCGTGGTTCCCTCCTGCAGGGAAAGAGAGATCAAAAGTTAATGTGGGCTGGTAATTGCCTTTCCTCGTATTTGCTTTGTTTTCGTTTGTAATAATAACTATAAAGGAAAACAAAAGGTTGTGGGTCTCTTTTTCAGAGCAAATTGAATAGTTGCCTTCTGGCATTATTCATAATTGGATAACCTTACGTATTGCGAATGTTATCCGCAATACGCAGTTTTTTATCATGTTCTCGATTCTCTCATGCTCTTGGTCTGCATAATTTCAAATGGCGTACTTAGGACACCTTCAGACTGATTATGTAATACAATATTCTAATAAGTACGTAAGTATGTATATTAAGTGAAACGTGTTTAGAAATAATGTGCAATACCTCGAGAGGATAGTCATGTTTTTCATCGCACGTGACAAACTTTCTCCGAAATGACCATTTTAGTGTCCCATTATTTATTGCAAACTGGAAGTCTTTGCAATCCTGCTGTGGATCAATGTCAACTTGAGTGGTTCCATTTTTTACAAAAACATCCGTGAGCTCCAGCGGTTTGTTAGAGTAAGCTTGTAAATGACTCTTCCAAATGATGCCTAAAGACATGAAAATGGCGTCATTGCAGTGTTCAGTAGGGGCAGTTCACCAGAAATCAATTAAATTATTTGTTTTTTTATAAAGGTGTACTAAATCTTGTACATATATTTTGATAGTTTATAATTTTAACAAGAAAATCATCTCACAGAATATGAGTCATTTTTTAAAAATATTATCACATACATGCAAACTATGAACCGTATTTTATTATTCACACATACAAATTTTAGAAAACTCACAAAAATCACCAGAACCGTCAGAAATGTTGCCCGCGTTTGAAAAACCAATTCCGACCCAACCAATGTTCGAGTCTATCTCGTTTGTATGAATTTCTGCCATGAATTCCTCTGAAAAATGAAAAGTCTTAAGTCGCCTCATTTCGAGTTGATGTACATAAATGGCAGAAGCTATTTATATTGTGTGACAAAGATAAAACACTTCTACTCACCGGTGGAATAGTCCAATTGCCAGAATAGAGTTGTGTCCTCCCCCAACTTGAGATTAAAGATAGCTTCTGCTACAGCCCACAACAGGCTAAGCCTCAAAAGTAGGCGAAACATATTTACTACAGAACTAAAACCTTATGCTTCTAAATATGTGGTGTGAACGCCTTGGATGACCAAGTGGTTTTTATCTGATAAGTAAGGATGGGATAAGTATATGGTCCCGCAACCTTTATTGTTTCAACTTAGCAGGTAGAAACTACATGACGCCGACGATGCCGAAGCCCCGTGTTTGGTGGGTAGCAGGTCTGTGACGGAAGACCACCACCATCGCACTGAGAAGACGGAGAAAGTGAACAGACGGAGAAAGTGGAAGTTTTCACCAAGTTAACGCGTTTGTGAAATTGAGATCTGGGAAGGTATGCCGACAGAGCCGCTGAATTCCGGCACGTTCACCATTGCGATTACCAGAAAAAAAATATATGAGAAAACCAGCCAAGAAAGCCTCCTCGGAATTTCTCATAAGCTAATCTGCCAGAGGAAACGACTCTCTCTAGACTTTCTCCGGTGTATGAGAGAGGAATTTGTTCCAATTTTACTTATTTACTCAATCCTCATGAATAATGACGCATCTAGAAAATAAATCGGCACTGGCAAACATAAAATACGATGCTCGCGAAACTTAGTTGACAAATTCTAGATAAAATTTATTGAAAGCATTCGTCGTAAAATATCATTCAAATTCATAAAATAAATGATTAAATTGATAACAAATTTAGCCTTCGAATTTAGTAATCAAAACATATTTATAGAAGGAATTATAGCATTCATACTTAATTATAATGAAATAGGGACAGGTTATAGTACTTGGTTATTTAACCCACAGGTATGTAGTTTATGTAATGTTACATATAACACATACCCATGCATATTTATTATTAGTTTATATGAACTACATATCTGTGATTTAACCTTAGAAAAACTGCCTAAAAGTCTGGACCGGACACATGTCGAAGTCTAGTGACCTCACCACTGGGGTACCACCCTTAAGGGCGGTGGTGTGACTATGAGCGTTTATAAAAAAGTAGCCCATGTTCCATGAGCATAAGGTAAAATATGATTCCATTTGGTCCACCAAGTTATTTTTTTCCATGAGCTTTATCTCAGCCTTTAAAGCTGATTCAATGAACTCCTAGAGTTCATTTATTTCTGGAGATGAGTTGCAAAATAAATTTTTGAACTTTGTGCAGTAATTAACCTATTTACAAGATGTCAATATTCTGATTCGTCCACATATGCTGCATATATTGTCAGCACGTCACAAAAAGCTAAACTATATCTGTTCCGGACATTACTGACCGGATATGCAAGTGACACCTATACACATAGACGGTTTTGGAAGTAGATATAATTCTATACTGTTGCTTATCATCCGACCAACTGGTCAATTCTCTAGAGGGGATGTAATTTCATCTCCGTCATCATATCCTCATGTTCTAAAGCCGTTATTAATAAAATTACATACAAACAGAATTGAGGTGAGAAACACCGTAATTTTTATACTCTGCAATTATTAGACATCCTCTCAATAGTCCAAAATGGGAGAAATTGTCAGGATTTGGTTAGTTTTTCTGGAACTTTTTATCATACAACAGCAGATACTTCAACTGTCCACTACTTATAGACCAGTTGTTCAGCTGAATTCAAATTAGAAAATGAAGCGAGACTGTAGCTTGGTGATTTTGTTCGGCGTGGGAGTAGTGATTTTCGGGGGAGTGGTTAATGTGGTAAGTAGTTTGTGGTGCAATTGGAAATATTTTTAAATCATAAAAATTCTGTCGTACAAAAATGTGTGTATTTTTTTGCAGAATGGCGACGATGCCTCCGACAAGACGACGTGCGTTTTGAAGAGTAAGCAAATGCTGAAAAGCGTGATGAAATCGTTCAGCACCTGTAACAAGGAAATGGGAATGATGAACAAGACTGCTCAAGAGTATCACGATTCTTTAGGGGTTGGTTTCTTGAATAAGGATTACAAAATTTGGAGGCAATGTGGTTTAATATTTAATATTCCCCTTATTTAATTGCAGTGCATTATCAAGTGTGTCATGAAGAAGTTTGAAGTGGTAGGTATAAAAAAATGAAAGTGTTTTGCACACATGCAAATAAATGACATTTTCTGTCTTAGCTGGACAAAGATGACCTAATCACAGAAGCCATGGTTAAAGATCACGTAGAAAAACGAATTCCACAAAGTCAACAGAAACACGCACACGAAGGACTTATGAAATGTGTTAAACTGCACGGTAAATCGCTTTCAATTTTTATACAGTCAGTAAATAATTGACATGCGAAAATAGTACTTGCTACAAATTTTTGCCCGTTTAATTTTCAGACGATTTGGATCCCAAAGATCCCAAATGCAAAGTTTACCAAAAGCTGGGAAATTGTATGCAGGATGCTCTAACAGATGTAAGATAATTCGAACGCTTTTTTGATTAAAATTTTTACACAATTGGATTACCTATTTTCAGTTATGCGGAGTTATGCCTCTAATTTAAAAAGTACTCACGAGTGGATCCTCGATTTCTTGTTGAAGTTTTTGTAATTTTTGAAATGTGAACCCTTCACTTCTATATATTGACATGTATTCATCTTATAAATCTGGCATATTTTAAATTTTCTATCAATAAATATGATTAGTGCATCTAATTTTCATTCATTTATTTTTTACATGAAAAAATTAACAAAAACAAGTGGTATTCGTGTATGTACATATAATAACAAGAACGGGCTAACAGCATATCTAGAACGTACTTGAATCAACTTTAGTAGTCTCCATAATCGTAGAGATTGTATCGATTATTGCTTCCCGACGCACCACTTCTGCTACCACTTGGTCCACCCGAGCTGCCGTATCCTCTGCCGCTATCGTCCCCAATGGAATCATCTGAATCTGGACCTTCGTTCTGATGAGATTGTTGATGTTGTGGTCCATATCCTCGGTCTCCGTCATCGCTGAAATAACCAGCCTCGGGATTTTGTTCATTCTCATCAGTCCCGTCTGCATCGTTTGTATCTCCATCAAACAACCCTCCATATCCTCTCTCCAAACCACCATCATCGCCATGCTCAATTCCAGTGAGAAAATCACGCGAAGGAGGAACAGGAATAAACTGAATATCTTCTTGGTCGTCGGAATCGTCGTCAGGATTGCTACTGGACATCTCAGGCCTTCTATTGTTCTTGTTTCCGTGTGGCTTACTGTGTTCGGAAGAGTACCCGGCGGGTCCCACACTCATTCCGACGGAAGAGATGTCCTCCTCAGGCCCTGGTCCGCCTGTACACGTTCAAAATAATTAAAGTATTACTGTCTAATAATAAATGAATAACGAGCAAAAAGAGTCTCCCCTGTTCATTACCAATCAATGGCCGATTAGCAAAGCTCGGATTTTGCGATGGTAGTGGAGGAAAAAACCCGCCCACTCCTGGTTCTGGATAATCTTCAGGATTACTGCCGCCATCGCTATGTGAATTTTCGAGATTATTGTCGGATTGGTGTCTGTGTGACGGGCTATTGAATCCGATCTCATCGGAAGATTGAGAATTACTGTTTACGTCGGGGTAGCTGGGTTTAAATGCCACACTCATGTCGTCAGTTGCTGCAACAGTCTGTTCATGGTAGGACGAAGGAGAGTTTCGGTGTCGAATATCCTTCTCCGTGGACAGAATTGTGGTGGCGACGGTAGGGGAACGCTGCTCTAACCGTAATTTGCTAAAGTCTCGCATTGCTGCTTCCGTTTCATGCGAAATGCAATCACAACATTTGAGACAGAGTACCTGAATAATTAGCCCAGTCAATTTCAAAGATCAAACACGCTATTTTACTGAAAAAGTGATGAATTTTGACTTACAAAAATTATTTGACAAAATATAAAATCCAATCTGTTGCGATTTGCGCGAAATGACCTGCTTGACCACAATTCTCTATCCATATTAAATCAATCTAGCAATGTATATGCTTATAACTGGTTAAAATAATGCCGCACATGAGTTGATGTGCCGTATATTTAGGGAAATGAAAAGACGAGAAAGTGTGCGTCTTCATTTTATATGGATTCACTCCCCCAATAAACTTATTTTAAAGCTTCTCTGCATGCATTCCTGAATGAAATGAAATAATTTGACGAGAACAATTAGTAAATTAAAGTTACGCTATTTAATGAATCAAGTTTTATAAAGGAAAGGGAAACTATTTTCCTCGCAAATGAAAGGGCCGATGTGGGTGTGTGTGCATGGAAAGTGAGCGATGCTTTGTCATCAATTTTGTCAATGAGTCACGATACCATTCTTACAACAATTGTTAAGAAGGGCAGATGTCAGGTAAAACTATTGTATGCATTCCTACATATGCCAAGTACCAGTACCACTTTGTCAGTCTATATACGCACGCACAAAGTGTTACTTGGATACTAAAAGTCAATATTGATCCAAGTTCAACTGCCAAGGCGTCTGTAAAAATGCTCGCAATACGGCTAAATGAATCAACGGTAAGTATTTGGCTTCTGATACTCATGACCCTTTAATTAGTTATGCATATTTAATGTCACTGAAATGGTTTATATTCATACGATAGCTGTAAATCATGTCTAGAGGTGAGTGCCTTTATTTTGTACTTTATACATGTGTTGGTGTTAATAAATTCTATGCATAAAGAAATCAACCAGTGTCTTTACAATGTATACGTTGAATCTCAAACGATTCTGCTGGTGCATTTCATGATAATTTATATTACAAAATTATTAACTTTGCAGAAAATAAAGTGTATCCTGAAAATTATCAAAGAAATAAAACCTCGTCATCGTCGTCAACAGATTCGGAGGTGTTGTCACATCACCACCAGCATCAACATCGCCACTCCCACGACCGAGGACATCGGCATCATCATCATGACCACCGCGATAAGACTCTTCCTGATCTTGCACAAAATTTGCCAGCCTGCACGCAAACTTCATGTCCAACCTCTAGACCTGCATCAAAACCAGAACTTGGAGCTGAACTATCGGTACAGACCACGACGACAAGTTTAGATTCAAAGTCTATCGTTTCAGAATTTCCTCCTCCATATTGGGAGGATAAGCTAGCAAAGAACACCGAGTTGTTTATCGAACTAAATAGAATTCCCAATATGAAGCAGTTCCTTCAGGGCAACATAATGATTGTGGAACAGTTTATGAAGTATCCCGATATTGCGATGGTACGATAGCAGTTTAAATTATTTATTAGGAAAAACATAAGTGATGTATTTACACGACTCACAGGCAGTGGCACGGGACAGAACATTGGCTATGAAGGTCATGGATCAACTCAGCTCTTACAATCCTTGCATTCCTATATTATTTCATTAAACATTTTATGGGTTGAACAGGTCATGGATCGACCTCTGCTAGTTCAGGAAATGATTGACGTCAGCCCTCTTTTGGATCCTTTGGGGAAGAGAAAAGGGTCGCACGATGGTGGTTTCAAAAGGAACTCGATTAATCCAGACGAGTATTATTATCACCAGATGATTCACCCCACTGATGACGACAAAGGCAGGCATTCAAGAAAAGATAACTTTAAAAGTAGAGAACCCGAGCTCGTTGTCAATAATGTTAAGTTGAGGAAGGGGAGTGCCCACTCAATGTCCAGCTTAAGCAGCACAGACCTCGGTATTGTGGACGATGAGAGAGGCAAAGGGGCGACGTCAATCGAAGCCAACTCTTCCGATATGACACTCGAATCTAGGGCTACTTTTCCTTTCGACGGTGCATTTTTCAAAATCAATGACTATCGCCATAATTTAAAATATGTAAATACTTTGTTGTGACTATCCAATGAATACAGCCAAAATTGCGCAAAACACTCCACCTGCAATAAAATATTTAGCGGACAGCGACAGGATTTTTTTGACCCACCATATCGAGATATTGGATGGAACCAGTGAGTATATTCTCAAAATGATCGATGCGTTAATAGTATCTTTGGAATTAATATTTAGTAAATATTAAGCCATAATAAGTCATAATATTCCGTTAGTGTAGCCGCATGTTGCGATAAGCAGAAAATTTATTACGATATTTTGGATGCGTATGGACGGCTCCTTTACCGGGCGTACGAGGGACCTCCTCGTCATTGTAACAAGCCGTCAGATATTGTTATTCGAGAACCTGATGGAACTGAACTGATTGTTATGAAAGCTAATTTCGGCATATTCAAAAAGGTAGGACAAAACATGTTGTAACAAATACAATGATTGGAGGAATTATTAGTAAATTTCTGTAGAAAATTGACATCTTCTGTCCACCAGGCAGCTATATTGGTTGCGTAGAAAAAAAGTCCAGCTTATGCTCTACATCAACCTTCAACATTAAGAACGTCGAGGGTGACACAACACTGATAATGCGAACGAACAAACGTTATTATACCAAAAGCTATCGAACAGAATTTGAGGTGAGAGTCGTGTTCTGCTTTCTAACTGTGCGAATAACAAAAATTGTGTTTCCGAGTGAGACGAAACTTTGTTTATATGCACAGTTACGGACATTTGGAGATCATAACACGATTGGTCGTATAACTGGAGAATGGTTGGACCTTCCTCCTGGATGCTTCACGTCTAATCTCGTATACGGCGTTAACTATCCAAAAGAGCTAAACTATAACATAAAAATTGGCGTGAGTATTTTATTCCATAAAGTTTTAATTCTATCTAAAATTCTATCTGTATCTAAACATTTACATTTTACTGCTTCAAGGTGATGACGGCCTGGTTCCTAATTGTATGAAACTTAGCACATGTATTACTTTTATAAGTAGTGGGACCCACAACTTTTGAGCCTTATTTATTTACAGTACAAGTTGTACTACGATGGATCCCTGCGCCGCGAAATCCGACACGACCTCACCAAGTCGGAAAAGGACATGATTCGCTATGTGGAAAATACCTCAATGTTGGATGAGCAAGGAGGGGGCCGGAAGAAGGACGATTTTTTTTTCTAGAAAGTCCTCTTCCCTCGTCGCTCAAGACAATATTGCTCGTCGAGGACCACATAACTTGTTCCAATGACAAGATTCAACGTTTGCAAGTAGTGTTACCGACATATTTTAGGAGTTAGTTGGATGAGTATATTAAGCAAAAATTAGATGTACTGCTTTTATATGTAAATACATACGGCGTGTTAATTTTTACCAGGAATAAACACAAAATTGTTTTGCTTATCCGTCTCTTTTTTGCACAACAAAAGTTCTCGAGAAAAATGAGAAAGTCTCAATTTGCTCGCGTTGAAGTGAAACGAAGAGAACTGGGAATGTGAGACTTGTTGCAAGTTGGTGGGAGTAGATTTTCATCGTCTTTCGTTCGCCCACTTGTTTACGTTGCCGGCTCAATGCAACTGCAGAGGCTTTCATTTCACACTCTCTTCTAATTTTCCTGGAATTTAAACAGTTTCTAGTTTTTTTTCTCGTTCGATTTCGTCAACGACGTGATGGAGTCGACGGAGGAAGGGACTCAGTCCAACAACAAAGTGTCGCTGACGATTAAACATCGGAGGTGGGGTCGTCAACCGCAGTCTGAACCTCCTGCAAAATATTTGAAAACAAATTTTAGCCGCAGTTCCACCCTTGCTCCTGTGAATAGCTCGTCAGCCGCAGCAACTTGCAATGAAGTTCATCAAAACACGGGGGAACATGTTTTGTCGACTTTCGACAGAATGATGACAGAATCTCTTGGTGGGTACATATTTTGTAAATTATGGGATTTTCATTCATTTTGTATGCAATTCAGTCTGAAATATTCTTATCATTATCAACAGATAATGGTAACCCATATCACGATTTTTTGGAGACTTCTTCTTCTGAAGATGAGTTGGCAAGTAGTTTAGTCAGCCCTGTAAAAATTCAACGCGAAGAAGCCGTCAGTATATCCCAAAAGCTAAGCATTCCCCAGGACAAGGTTAGAATGGAAATCCGTTCCCCACAAGGATGGAATCAAAGGACAATGCTGATCTCGAAGAGGAAAGTATTGGGATCTCCAATCGATAGGGAGAAACTAGTCAAGCAATTTTCATCTTCAGAAGTGAATGAGTGTGGTGATATGGATGATAGCGAAATTGAACCTAAAATCGAAAAAGATGAATGTGATGATGAAAAAACGTAATACCAAACACAATTTTTAAAAATTACCATAATCGTAAAGTTAATATATGTAATTAATATAGATTGATTTAATGCTATGTCCAGATTTTATGCAGTCATGTTTTCTAAACCATCGATGAAGAAACATAAAACTTGGGACGAGGATGGATTCATGGTCACCGACGGAATTAATTTTGTTCTAAAGGTGAACTTGGAACATGACATTTGGTGTCAAATTTTTTCTTAAGCTGTTTTATTTAATCATTTATGATATGTAGGATAGTAATGGTGAAGTTATTGAACGCAGCTCAAAGATTAAATTAACTGAAGAAATGCTCTCAGAATATAAACCGTTCAGATTTGGAGGCAAAGAAGTTCAGGTATTACTGGCACTGGACAAATTGTCTTTATTGTTTAAATCATGCTCACATTATTCTATTACTATTTTTAGATCCAGGAACAACTTTCCGAAAATCCTTTTTGTGGTGCTCGAAGTTCTCCTTTATCAGCTTTGAATGCCGGTTCAGTTTGCATTCAGGGGCATGAAAATAACGAAGAATTTGTGGGAAGAACGACGGGATCTGATGGTAATTATTTATTTTAATTATTTACAATGAGACACCGCACAAAGTAGGACTGGGGCTACATATATCTCAGGGAAAGGGTTACATTTTATTGCATGTTTTGATTAATGATTAATGATTACTCCCCAAGAAAAATATATAAATCTTGCCCATAACTGTTAGTTGACCATACATTTTTGTTGTTTTATTATCATGGAGAATATGACACACCATACGAACAAGTTTTTGAGAATTCCTCTGTACCTCAACATGGACCGACAAAAATTTACTCGTCCGATGTTGTTGATGAAGATGATGTTGAGGAGATTCATCTCGAAAGGTGAGAGAACAATCATTTTTCATTTCGGAAAGTTAGAACGAACGGCATACCCTGGTCAACAATCTGGTTTGATTATGTATTCCAGATTTTACTCAGCCATGTTTTCTAAACCATCCACGAAGAAACACAAAACTTGGGACGAGGATGGATTCATTGTCACCGACGGAACTAATGTTATTTTAAAGGTATTTTAAATTTTGCTGTGAGACTATTTTCATGTTGTAACTTATTGGTAACCTTCCAGAATATAAACGGAGGAATTGTAGGAAGTTCCAAGTTTCAATTAACAGAAGAGATGCTGTCAGAATGTAAACCATTCAAACTTGGAAGTAAAGAAGTACAGGTATTTTTCACCGCTCGGACGACGAACAAACAAAGCTTGGTTTTCAATCAAACTTTTTATTTCAGATTCAAGAACAACTTCCGTATAACCCTTTCCCAGAAAAATTGTGCGAATCCGAGTCTTACTAACCTAACCAGAGTCTTTTTGAAATATCTATTTAAAGTGTGAATATAATCAATACTACATACAACATACACAAGTATGTCATTCATTTCTTTTCAACTGTTTTGATCTCCACTGTAAAACAAACATATCTTCGTAATATATTATCAGTTGTTGGTTTTCCAATTACCACCATAAATTATTGAATGTTCTAATAATAAAATTTCAACATATAACTTAACAATCGTAACTAGAGTTGTTTTCATATGATAGCGTACAGGGACCGATTATTGCACGTTGCCCACACACAATGTATCTGATCAGTCAAATTCGAATCCTGTAGAAATTAATTGAAAAACAAATCCTAGCCGGCTCAAGTTTACTTTGTTATGATTTCATAATATCTAAATTTTAGGAAATCTTATTTCTTACTTATAATTACCAAAATGGTGATTCGATCGTATGAAGATGAACAAAAATATTTGGAGAGAATCTCTGAGAATTCATGGAGAATCAAAAAAGGTTTCCAGCCAAACATGAATGTAAGTTCGATCAATTGAAGTTAGAGTTTAAATTTATAAGCATCACCATTCTTTTGCGTTGTTGCAGGTGGAAGGAATTTTCTATGTGAATAAACCGCTTGAAAAGCTAATGTTTGAGGAACTTCGAAATTCTTGTCGACCAGGCGCCGTGGGGGGATTTCTTCCAGGAATGAAGCAGATTGCGAATGTCGCAGCCCTACCTGGGATCGTGGGGAAGTCGGTACTATGATATTATGAATCTCATTTCATTACCATTATGGTTAGGATCATAATTGGCTTGCTATATCACATTAGAATCTTTGGTGGTTATATTAGAAAAGTCAGAGTCAAGGAGTAGTAAACTCGCAATTGCAACGCAGCAGAGCCAACAGATTATAAATGAAAGTGTCTTTTTAGGTCGGGCTTCCAGACGTCCACTCTGGATATGGATTTGCCATTGGGAACATGGCAGCCTTCGACTATGACGATCCCAATTCCATTGTTTCTCCAGGCGGTGTGGGATTTGATATCAATTGTGGGGTTCGGTTACTCAGGACCAACTTGTTTGCCAAAGATGTTATTCCTGTCAAGGTTAGTACATAGAACACCAAATTTAAATCATATAATCGAAATTGTGTCATTTTAGGAACAAATAGCTCAATCCCTGTTTGACCATATTCCGGTTGGGGTCGGATCAAAGGGAATTATTCCAATGACGGCAAAGGACATGGAAGAAGCGTTGGAAATGGGAATGGACTGGTCTCTTAGGTTGGTTTTTCCATTTTGCCAAATTATGTTACAAATTGTAAAACGTACCATTGCTTGTGCATTTCACCAGAGAAGGATACGTCTGGGCAGAGGACAAAGAACATTGCGAGGAATATGGGAGAATGCTTCAAGGTAGGTTTAACTTGATCTATACCTAATTTTTATAAATTTTCTTGGATTTAGATTTAACATTGTCTGATTGTTCATTAAACTATAAAAATAATATCTTCTCTACATTGTTAAAGCTGATCCTAGCAAAGTGTCGAGTCGTGCAAAGAAAAGGGGACTTCCCCAGGTTTGGCGCAATATATTTAATGTTTCAATTCTGATTATGAATATGCATAAGGAATATTTAAAATATTGCAGTTAGGAACCTTGGGGGCAGGCAATCACTACGCTGAAATTCAAGTAGTTTCAGAAATCTACGATGTCTGGGCTGCAAGAAAGATGGGGATTGAGGAAAAGGTTTGATTTGTACATGTATTTTCATGCTGATCAAGCGTTGAACTGATATGTGCAATTTATTTATCCTATAATTATTTAAAATTTTATTTTGTTTGTTGTATTGGTCAGGGACAAGTTTGTGTGATGATTCACTCGGGATCTAGAGGATTTGGGCATCAAGTGGCAACTGATGCATTGTTATCAATGGAGAAAGCAATGAAACGTGATAACATTGAAACGAATGACAGGCAACTTGCTTGTGCTAGAATTAGGTCGCAGGTTTGAAAATTGAATACATATTAATATGCTTATATTTAACTAATATTAAGTTAATAGTATTAACTGAGTTGCGTTAATCAATTACAGGAAGGCCAGGACTATCTAAAGGCAATGGCAGCTGGTAAGTACAAGTACAGATACTAGTACAAATTATTTCAACTTTTCTAAAAACCTATTACAATTTGGAATCCAAGTCTTTTTAAATGTGACATCATATTATTTTTTCACGGTTATACCATGTATCGCCGCAATCACACAAAAAATGCAAAATTTATCAAAATTCCTTACCAGTAGATATTAAAAATCAGTATTCTTATAAATAACAACTTTATTTTTTTTCAGCTGCAAATTTTGCTTGGGTTAACCGTTCTTCCATGACGTTTCTTACCAGACAAGCCTTTTCTAAACAGTTTAACATGTCTGCTGATGACTTGGATATGCACGTTATTTATGATGTATCGCACAATATTGCAAAAATCGAGCAGCATGTTGTGGATGGGAAATTAAAGACACTTTTGGTGCATCGAAAGGTATAGTTTATTGCTTCTGGCATTTGATACAAGATACAATACAGGGAGAAAGAATAGATGATTAATTGGTGGTGTACCAAACCAACCTATTAATAATTTCACGTCGTCTAGGGTTCCACCCGAGCCTTCCCTCCACATCATCCACTAATTCCAGTAGATTACCAACTTACCGGTCAGCCCGTTTTAATTGGTGGAACAATGGGTACTTGCTCCTACGTGTTAACTGGAACTGAGCAAGGAATGCAAGAAACATTCGGGAGTACTTGCCACGGAGCAGTATGTTTGCCAATTTACGTTAATTTGTTTACTGGCGGATTATCAATTGTTGACCAAAGCACTTTTGTTATTTACCTACAGGGTCGAGCTTTATCGCGAGCAAAATCAAGGCGGAACATTGATTTTAAAGATGTGCTCGCCAAACTGCAAAACCAAGGTATCAGCATACGCGTGGCGTCTCCGAAATTAGTGATGGAAGAAAGTCCAGAAAGTTATAAGAATGTGACTGATGTCGTTGACACGTGTCACGCTGCTGGAATCTCCAAAAAATGTATTCAGTTAAAACCTATTGCTGTTATAAAGGGCTGAATGTAATTTGTTCTGTGATAAGTCTTATTATTAATACTCGCATATTAAGTACAGCGACAACATGTTACTAATTTAATAATATTTGTTATTTTTATAATTAGTTTTGAATTCGGAGTACTACCATTTCCACAAAAACCAATTTTTAACAAAAATAGCTCATTATAACTTCGTCCTGGCTGTGAAATTGTAGTCATACACTATTTATTTTATTGATTTAATACTAATGCTGCAAACTGATTTATTTACTTGTTTCATACAACGAAGTGGAAAACCATCACAAAGATAAATATTTGGCATCAACTCAACTCATGTCAATTATTATCGTTATTTATCAATTCATTGTGTTTCCTTAAAGATTATTCAATATAGGCAGAAAGCACTGCACGTTTGACGTTTGCATATGCAGTGTTGATTCTACAAGTGCACTTGCAGTAGGTGTATTATTGAATCAAAAACCCGGCATAAAGGAAAATCCATACAGAAAATGTATTCTCATTGAAATAACTTTTTTCGTTCCATAAATTGCATTCCGTTTAAGCTGACTATTTAGGTGATAATAATGTCTTTTTGTGAAGAAATTGAGATTGAGGGATACGAAACCTTCCAGACCAAAATGTGAGTACTTTAAAATACTGCATCCTCAAATTGAGATACAGAGTGGTGAGACATGAGATGAGAATAAATGTTCGAAAAAATTTTGCAGAAAAGAATGGGAAGCCGACAAGTCGAAACATCCATTGTTCATTCTTTTTACTGGAAGTAATGGTTCCGACGGCCAGAGTTGGTGTCCAGATTGTGTCCAATGTAAGATATTCGATTGTTTATTCGATGTTTAATCTCTTTCCATCCACTAATAGTTGATAGTGGACCACTATGCATGAGTAATTGGAATTTGGAATAATACATTACACGGAAGCTTGTGAAAATTGGAAGCAAAGTTTTTGTCCAGCTCTCGAGTGTGAAGCTACACTCATTTTTCATCTAAATAGATGATGAAAAACATAAAAATATTTTTTGTCTTGTTTTGTAGTTGAAGGAATGTGGGAGACATTAAAAAAGTCATTTACCCCATCTGAAGGATCCTTAATCCGAGTAAAAGTTGGATCACGAGATTATTGGAAGGACAAAAATTGTCCATTCCGGACGGACAAGAAAACTGGTCTGTCTTCTGTGCCAACTCTTGTACAATGGGGAAGTCCAAAACGACTCTCTGATGATGCCATTCAAAATCCAGAAAATGTGCAGATGCTGATGGAAGATGAATAAATTGGTGCATCATAATCATGTGATGATGATAATCAATGTTTAACATTTGCTTGAATGTTGTATATTAAACACTATTTATTGTCTTTGTTTTGGCAATCAGAAACAACTGAATAAAATTATTTCATGAATGGGAATGATAACTTTGCTAATCTTTCAGTCGACGAACGCTGGGAACATTTGTTCAAATTCAAATCTACCACAAGCAATCCGTTTCTGTCCAGTGATATGCCCTTATTAAATATACAAATATCTATGTTAAATGGGAATTAAGCATGTTTACATATAACGGCTGAACTGAAATTAACTAACCGGAGTTTTAGACCCATCAGGTCCTGAGACATAGGACGATCCGTAAAATGATGACATTCCCTGCGAATCTGACGATGAGTCAAATTGTTCTTGTCCCACCCGATTTATAGCACCGACATAAAATTCGTTTTGAAATGCAGCGTCTCTCGCCTCAATCGGCCACAACGATTCGCTAAAACTTTTTACGGTCGCACTTGGATTGAAAACGATTTCGGCAGAGTTTAGAGCATAGCTAAAGAAACATTGAGGATGGTGTCGTTCGTAGCAAATGCAAACGCCAATGCGGCCAAATTCGGTCTGAAACACAGGATGTCCCAGTTCTGAAGGGTTGTAATAGTAGGACTCGCCAAATCGTCCAGATATTGGAATGTGATTTTTCCTCGAAATTCCCAACACTTTGCCATTGTTATCAATTACTACGGCCGTGTTCCACAAACAGTCTTCGTCATTGTCTCGTTCCAGAATTGGAGACACTATCACCATGTTGTGTAACTTGGCTAGCTATGAGTACATACTTCAATTGTTTTTGACTCATTCATGATATGATAGACCAGACCATACTGCTAACTAAGTGCTATGATAAAGTGGATATCGTACCTCGCAAAGCATTAAAGTTGTTGGACCTTTGTAAGCATCTTGCGCGAATTCAACCCAAGGAAGTTTCTTTTGCGTGCAAAATATTATTGGCATGTCTAACAATAAGTACTCAAGATTTAAATGAAGTATTTTAAGGTGGTAAAATAGGCGTATTAAAAACTAATTACCCCAACACTCTTGAAAGCAGAATATTTGGACACCACATTTTGCAGCGAGGTTGATGGCTCTTTTTCCCAAATCTAATAGTGCATCTCTTTGTTTCGATATGGAAGCTGTGGTTTTCTCAACAATTGCATTTTGAAACAGTGCAATTCTCACGACTCGTGGCGTTTTGGAACTTGAATTATCCAAAAATGAGTAACCCTTTACTTCTGCAATGTCTTGCAAGTCCTCGGCCGAATATTCCAAATGAAGTTCTCTGCAACAGGTCCACGGTAAATAAAGGAATGATTGATTATATAATTGTAAGCCAAAATTTGTGGGTGATTACTACTGATTACACCGACCGTGGTATATTCGGGCCAAATAGCAAATGATTTGCAAACTTCAATTCTTCACCGGATAAATTGCTTTGTAAAATTGACTCAAGTGTTTGATATTCCATGTTGACTATATTAATTAGTTTATAAGCTCATATGCGCCAACTATACCGCCACGCAAGTTAATTAAAAGAACCGAAGCATAGTGCTGTGTCCACAGTAAATAGGACATACATTCGCTTTATGAAAATCATGAATACAGATAGTATACAATTTGTTTTGTATTTATTATTTCTTGATTTAAATCAAAGCAATCAATAAGAACATCGAATTCAGTAGACTATATACTCCTTGCTATTATTTTTACTGTACATTGTGAACAACTACATCTTTGGACACGAAGAGAGAATATCTAATCCTGGTTTTCTTATTAATTTAAAATTTAGAGTTGACTTTTGTTGAAAATTATTGACTCAATTTACAATCGCACCCAGTACATTGAAGAACGAAGACGATTGTAGTCTGGGAGCTGCTCAACGGGACCAACAGATGCGACTGCAGGGCATCTGTCGTAGACGTAGTGGGTGCAAACGTCGCGGATAGTTGAAGCGTCAACGGCCTGAAATTAAAATCATATTTTAATTTTATGTGTAGTTTAAAGGCTATCTTACTTAATAAGCTAATAAAACTCTTGTAAATACTTACATTAATTCGAGCTTCTAATTCACTGATTGGAATTCGTCGATCATAGCACAGCAGATGACGACCAATATCTTCACAAATTGGGGTAGTGCCATCTAATTGAAGGAGCATGTTGGTTCGAAGAAGGTTCTTTGCGCGGTCGACTTCAGATTCCGTTACCTATAAGTAAGATAAGCTCAGATATCACAAATTAATGCAAAACTATTTGAGCACATCATCGGTTGATATTTCATACTTACGTTGGAGCAAAGTCGCATCCACTCGCTTTGTAAATTGAAGACAAAGTCCTACATATTACCAAACAGATCAGAGTTACATTATACTCTATTGCCTTATAATTTCATTATTGGGATGACTGTTGTTACTGTTACCTCAATAGTCAAAGGATCACAAACAAAATACACTCCCCATAAACCGGTATCTTTATAACAAGTGTGGAAAGCCTGAAATCCATGGGCGAGACCAAGTTTTCCAGCAGCTTCAGCTAAAAATGAACCACTATTGCTCCCAGAGGCCTGTAAATGTTTATACACATTATTTATTTATGTTCATATTGGTTTAAGAAATTGAATTTTGCTTAATATTTCTACCATTGTTCTGTCCCACGAGCCAATGATAGTGTTTGCAACCATGAGTGGGATGTTGTCAGGATCCTTCCAACCACAACCTTCAACGGCCATTGCAACCTTTAAAACAAACAAAGAATTCTTTAATTATATTACAAAAAATCCTAAGTTTGCTGAGTACAAGTTTTACTTCAAATTAGCCATTCAATTTGATCAATCTATTTGCAAAAAATAAGTCATTTTGCTTACGTGAGCCAAAGGAAGGGAGTCCTCTCGGACCTTGATTTCAGAGCCAGTGTATCTGCATGGAGCTGGAAGATCTGGAATTTCGCTCTTGTCATACTTGAATCCCATCTTGCCAAAGTGATCGTTTGCCAATTTCACTAATTGATCATGAGGAACGCCACCCGAACCAGCAATCACTAAATTCAGAAATAAGTTATGATATGATACACCAAATGCAATAAACAAACCCTTGTATATTTTTATGACATTACCGAAACGAGGTCCCTTATAATGCGTGTTAATGTATTCCGTCAGGTCAGCTCTGCCAATTTTTTTAATATTTTCAGTGGGTCCAAGGATTGTCCTTCCCAAAGGTGTTCCCTACATGAAATTAAATTACAAATTATATATGACATCATATAATAATCTGTATATCGTGTGACATAAATAAAATCAATCATGTACCTGATAGGCAGTGGCATGCAGATGGTCGAATACGACCTCTTGCAGATTTTGTTCAACTTCTTGCATTTCCCTCAAAATAACACCACGTTCACGTTCAATTTGTGCTTCTTCAAATCTGGAATTAATATATCTCTCAAGTAAAGCCATGTTCAAGCATCCAACTAAAGAAATGGCAAAAATAAAAATAAATCATACTTCGAGTTGGTAAGGATATCAGACAAAATTTCAAGTGCTTGTCCAACGTCTTTTGATAAACATTTTGCATAGTAAACAGTCTGTTCCCGAGAAGTATAGGCATTTAAATGTGCTCCCATGTTTTCGATTTCCAACTCGAGTTGTTGTTGAGTTCGTTTGTTCGTACCCTAACCAAACTCAAAATTACTACCATCATTCAATTATGCGCTTCACCTTTATTTTTATTACCTTGAAAGCCATGTGTTCCAAGAAATGAGCGACACCATTGTTGGCCTCATTCTCATATCTAGATCCAGCATCAATCCAAACTCCAACCGTGGCTGTGGGTGCTCCAGTGTCCTCCGTCGCCACCCTTACGCCATTGTCCAACGTTGTGACTCGAGTAGGTGGGGCGTTGAGAAGCGCACTTTTGTAACTCAGTGCTGACAAAGGTCGACCAGAGTGAAGAGATTTTCGTGCCTGTGAAATGATAACATGATTCAAGTCATATCATAGCACAAAATGTGCAAATTATATATCTTTCACAAATTCACAATTTTCTCACCTGAGCAAAGACGGATGTTGCAGATTTCTTCGGCGTCTGCAGCACCATACGAGCGACCCTAAATGCCATTTTGAGGAAGATTTTTAAATAAATTTCCCAATTTTTTGAACAAAGCCGACCACCGGAGGAAGGATAATTTTTTTCTCTTCTGCTGCAACTTTTTTGGGACTGGCAATGGTTGAACTGGGAGCGGGACTTTGATCTCATCGTCTCATTTTGACCCTCTGAAATGTTTTTTTTTAGATTATGAACAAAGAACAAACGACAAGCGTCCACTTTTTCCATGAGTGTCTACACTTTTTTATTATTAATTCTAATTATTAGGTCACAAAAACTATAATTACACGCAATTTAAACAAACAACTGGAACGATCAATTATTCTACAAATTACATATCCACCTATTCCTCCTTCTCCTTCTGCTTCTTTATGCATTTGATGAACTCCTTCAGCTCTTTTCTCAATTCTTTGTCAAAATATAGCTTGTACTGGAATAGGCATACCAGGAAATGCAGATAAGATTTTCAGAGAGCTAATAAGATAATGAGCTTACACTGACTTACTATGAGTATCCAAGCTGCTGTGATTAAAAGTTTGATGTGTAAATTCAAGTCTTTCGGGTACTTAACTTGGTAATGATATTCGCCAGGTGATTTATTTGACGATGGCGCAACGTACTTGCCAATGATGGCTCCAATCGCCGTGTCTGTGTCAATGCTAAAGAGCTAAAAATCGTTGTCAGTGCTCATGATCTCCTTGATTTACTAATAATAATTTTTTGTTATTAGTAATGCGTACCTTAAACTCGGATAGTTTCTCCCTATCAAATGGGCATTGCGAGACCATGATTTTAATCATGTCATGCCCAATTTTATCTGTCAAAATAAATGTGGCCTTTTCCTCACTCTTCCAAGTTTGATTAACCTTTCCGATATAAGATCCAGGCGGGCTGAAAACTTTGATGTACTACGAGTTAAAAGTTGACAAATATTTAGCATATACCTTTAATTAAGGGACCTAATATCAACTCGTATAGTTTTTACCCTTTTAGCACTAAAATAGTGAAATCTTTTTTCCATGATGACCAAATCTTCGTCCATGTCGTCTCCATCTTCGATTTCCGTAATGCTGATGGAATAGGCTGGACAAATCGCGTTACAATAGGTTTCAGAACCTTCTAAAGCACGATACATTTTCTTTCCATTTGTGTCAAGAATCTCAAAATAGTTTGACACTTTGCCACAAACCAGAACTGCGATAATGCATTTTAAAATATTTAGAATGCTATATCAATGATACATATAAATTTTATAGAAGTAAGTGAACATAAATACATTTGTCGTTGGGTTCTATGTGACGCCGAAGGTATAAATAGCCAGAATTTGACATTTGTTTCAAAGCAGCCGGAGCATTGGGTGGAAGCACACCTTCTCCGTCGTAGGGATAAGCAAGGCTGAGTCTCCTGGTGGTCGTTGACGCCACCGAAGTGTTCTCTGTCGTGGATTTCATGTACATCGAGCTGCGAGAACTGGGAGCGTATACCTGAAAAATTAAGTAGCACCTTGTGTCATACAGAGAAAAACGACAAAGGGCACGCAATACACGGCATAATAATTTTACTCATACACGGCTGTTCCGAATTGGCAGATTGCGACTGGGTGCAATTGATAGGTGACGAGTTGTTGTTGAAGGATCATGATTATGCTTATCAGGGTTTTGTCCTGGAAATGCAGAAGTTCTATGGCCATGTTTTGTGACAGCAAATGACCGATGTTCACGTCGATGACCAGCTGAATCGCGCGATGTTCGATGTTCATGGCGATGACCAGCTGAATCGCGCGATGTTCGATGTTCATGGTGACCATGTGACGTTACAGCGGAAGGTCCGGAATGACGGTGGTGTTGTTGGACTGCGAGAGATTTTCTAGACTTTCTCTGGTTACGGTTCTCTTGCTCCTTTGAAGAAAGCAAATTCTTCCAGACCGTTCTATCTGCCATTATGCTTTTTGCCAGCTCCTTATCTTGGGATACAGCCTGGAGTTGAAAAAGTGCTATAGCCAACAACCAAAACTCTCAACCTTTACTGGAGCTATTTATTATCTATCACTTCAATATTACATAAGCAAGATCTAAGTGTTGCATGAACTCTTGCATAAGGTCTTCATTTTGATGAAGAAAAGGTCCCATCTTTGGAATCTTATTGAGATCCATAAAGACTTGAAGGCTTTGTGTAGCTGGATCAAAACCAGGAGGTGGCTGGGCGAGGGACGAGGACGCTCTCGAAGCATCATTTGTAGTACTGGCAAGTGTACGTCGCTGATTGTGCGCTGTACACGACGAGTCATTCTATTATTAATTCCTAGAATATGAAATGCTCATAAAAATTGCAGAAAAAAGTAACAAATCTATACATCTTCCTGTATGATGATGTGAACTCTCTTCTCCGTGATGAGTACTAGTTGGATGCCCATGAGTACTTAGGGAAGTCTTGGCTTTGTGACTAGATTGAGGGTCTGAATGTCGGTGGTGAGTACCGCCGTGTTTGTGATCGTGGTGAGCGTTTGGTAGCTGGGTCATTTCATACAATGCTTCGGTAAAGTCTGGGAGGTGTTTGTTACTCTGAAATTGACGAAGTTCGGGATGTTCTTTACTTACTTCGTTTTTCGTCTTCTTTGTAGGATCTGACGAGAAGCTACTTCTGTGTCCGGCATCTGTCTGGGTAAAACAGAATCGTCAGGTAAAAAATAGGTCAGTGTTAACTTATTGATGGTAGAATATAATTGCTTAACCCTTTGAGTTGTTATTCATAATTCACGTTGCCGGATACATATATATCGGATATATAAATATGCAGACAGCACGGATTGCGATTGACGGACTCCAAAATCGAGTCAATCGGGATTGCTATTAGAGCTTGATGCCTCTTGGCAACCTTAATTTAGGAAGAAAATGTTTGGTAAATAATGGAACGGAAGTACGCAAGGGCGTTACAATTTTATGATCACCTATTAAATCTATGTACAACTTGAATCCAATGCAATTTGCATAGGAAACTGTTCACGATGAAGACCACTAAACCATTAGATGATAATATTGCAAACCTGGGATCAAAAGATGATGCGACTCTGGACGATCTTTCTTCAAAAAGGGGAACGGTTGTAGTCACAATGAAAAGCGAGACTTCTATCGACAATAACCGTATTCAGAGATAAATATTAAATTATTTGAATATTAGGATCATCATCTTGCCCATGTATGACTTGCCATGTTTTTGACACACTCGAATTTTAGTGCTAGTTCCAGAATTATCTGCAAGGTCACGTGCCAGATCCGTGTCGCGGTCAGTTTCAACAACTTCCTCCCTTGGATTGAGTCAGTAACTGACTGAGTATATTTATTTTCGATTTGTGCATAAATGCATGTAGTTTATATAACATGTTCTTACTTTGCTCAGGCTCGTGGTACCCAGGTCAAAAATTCATGGAAAAGGGACGATCAAAATGGCCATCTCACATTGACTCCTTATTGGCAAGTATTGGGACTGCTGTTGGTCTTTCCAACATTTATGGATTCCCAATCTTGGCTTATCGGGTTAATAGTTATAAGAAATACTCACTGTCACAGTGCGGATGTAATTCATATTTCAAAATCAGGTTAATTTTACTTTGGTCAGAACGGGGGCGTATTATTCTTCATCCCCTACTTGATTTGCACAGCTATCTTAGCCTTTCCCATACTTTACCAGGATTTAATCTTGGGGCAGTTTGTTCAACAGGGGTCTATCTCAGTCTGGAAAATTGTACCAATTTTTAAAGGTGCACTTAAACTATAGTTGGTCAATTTTCTATTCTTGTACAATGGCCAGTATCACTGAGATGACCTAATTACGCACTTGCAGGCGTTGGCCACGCAATTCATTTAGTTGGTATGATGACGTTGTGGTACTATCCGACTGCATTGACCTGGTCCATGGTTTACCTATTCGAGAGCTTAAACACCACGCTCAGCTACACAAGATGTGACAACGAATGGAACACTCGGAACTGCATTGTTCCGTCGTTGGCAAATTATAACACGAAGGGGAACAATACAAATTATGTGTCAGCAGGGACAGAGTACTTTAGGTGTCGTATTTCTAATTACGTTTTATTTTGTGCGGTCCAAGATTATCTCGTTTGTTGCAGAGGACGAGTTCTACGCCTTTGGCCAAGTAAATATTCGGATGGTGACGCTGAAGATGACGTTCTCATCGATATAGACACAGGAGTAATAAACCACACCATATTTGGATTTAATACAAAGTTGGGCAGCCCCATTTGGGATCTTTCTGTGTGCATGTTCCTCATATATTGTGGCTACTTTCTAGTCATCATCTATGGAATCAGGCTTAGTCGTATGGCAAAAATTAATTTGATCGATAAAATACTTCAGAATTATCCAAATTATGAAAGAACCAATATTTGTGTTTAAAATTAAGGAAGAATCTCGTGGGTTTGTATCCTCCCTCCGTACATAGTGCTGCCAATTCTGTTGGTAAGCTGAGTAAAATATTGATTCGTTAACCTCAGTCTCAAATTTCATCATTTCCACAGTTTCGAGGTATCACGCTTACTGGGGCAAGGACTGGGCTGGCAGCGTTCGGCACCCAGCACTTTTCTGTTTTAGCCACTCCTGAAGTAAGAAGACTTACATATTCGGCTACCATAAGCTGAGCTATTGTCGTAGGCATAAAATGATTAAAATATTGATAGCCATGGATTTATGCAGCAGTGCAATGTCTCTTTTCAACTGGGGCTGGAACAGGGTACCATGTAACAATTGGGAGTCACAATAATTTCAAACAGGTACGATTGGTTTTTATGAATCAATTTATGTGGCACGAGGTTTCAGGAGTTAAAGTATAGACTTCTTGGTGCCGGAAAATGCTACAAAAAATATTGCAAGTTACTAGAGATTAACAATATTTTTGTCTTTTTGAAACCCCTGTTCAAATAGGACTGTTTCAGGTACAGTTCACAAATTGCATAATTATTATAGTGGTTTCAACTTAAATAATTAAAATAATTAAACTCTAAAGAGACGCACTGTGGACCTGCATTGTCGATACATTTGTCAGTATGATGGCGACCGCTGTTATGTTCTGGTGAATATATACAAGATATAATAATATATTTTGTATGTACAATAAGCCAAATGTGTATTCATGATATGTATGTTTATCCAAGTTATATTGGCGAAGCAGCTAATATTCAAAGCGTCAGCGTGAAAGATGTCGTCGGAAATCTAACGGATGGTCAGAAATTCACGTAGAGTTTTTTCACCTGAATTCTAATATTTCTTTTTATCTATATTTCGCGAATTTTCCAGGGTCTGACCTACTTTTTGAGCTGTTTCCAGACGTGGTGGGAAGCTTGTCTGGAGGAAGATTTTTTCTTATCTTGTGCTGAAAATTAACACATTCCCGTCTAATCAGTTGAAAATTTACACTTTTTATTAATTGTCTTAAGGTTTTTTCTGATGATTCTTCTTATGGGCTACAACACTACGGTGCTACTATCTTAAATATGTCTATTTCTTAACCAGAAATAAAAACATGCTAAACCATCCCTGTTTCCGGGTTACGCAGGTTCCGTTATACCAATCTGTAACAATGGGATACTCTGACGAACTTACAAAATGGTTCCCATCTAACACCAACAGTGAGCAAATCTTGAATTTCGCTCTAACCGCTTGGTCATTCGTATTCAGCTTAATTTGTTGCACAAGGGTACACACGAATCGTTTCCGTAAAAAATTGTGGATAACATTTATATGAAACTTGTGACATCGCAGGGTGGCATCTGGGTGTACAAGTTCATGAAAATATATTCAGGCGGAGTGTCTCTAGTATTGTCCGTATTTGCGGAACTCTTGGTGGTATCTTGGATTTGGGGTCAGATGGCTTATCTCACTCTGTCAATAATTTGGTGTGCACTATAACTGCATTTTTTCTGTAACATTAGGGTTGGAAGACTTGTGCAATGCGGCAGAGGCAATGACGGGCAGAAAACCAGGCTTGTTCTTACGTCTCTGTTGGAAAATATTTTCTCCACTTTCACTAATGGTTGGTGGGTAATCAATGGAGCGTGGTAGTTGGGGAATGGAGAAAATAATTCCAGATTTTCATACATTTTTCACAGGGTATTGCTTCCCTCTTGTACATAGACATCACGAAGTCGGAAATGAAATACAACGGTGAAATTGCGCCCAAGTCTGTGCACGTTGCTGGAAATATCCTTACCTGCATCCCCCTAATTATTATTCCAATTTATGTAATTTATCAACTCTTCTATTCAAAAGCAGATACATTTGCTCTGGTTAGTCTGAAAATAAAATTGGGTTTGGAAAGTTTGGAACATTGTATCTTTGTATTTCTGTCGCAGAAAATGCGGCTATTGTTCTATCCAGAAAATGAACATCACGATATACGAAGAGGTCGATTTCCCACCGAACGATACACATCGGGTCATATATTTTATATTGGCTGGAATGTCGTGTGTCGGAAAAAAAGAACTACCAAGCCGAAAATTCATCCTGCTGATCCTGCGATCATTGTGACAGAGTAGGGGCTAATTAGTTGAAATCCATTATATCGCATTTATACCGTAATCAAATTAATTCATACATTCATTAATTCTAGAACAAGTAAATCACTTTTTGACACTCAGAAAATTGATTCCAATGAGAATACCAACGACAATCCTGGCACTGACACCGATAAATCAAAATCAGAACCCCCAGTTCAAGACAAATTTGAAACGGTTGAGGTCCCTGTCACTGAAAAGAAAATTACTTCAAAACATGTATCCAACAAACAACCTCGCCCTTCGACTGATCCAGGTTCAGAGATAGTACCCGAAAATAATGGCGAAAATCCTATCAAAGTTTCCAGAAAGAGTGGCACCATCAAGAAGAAACCAAAATCCCACCCACGATAACTTCATAACACTGTTTACATATGTATATATATGCGTTGCATAATAATTAATCGTACATAAATATTTTATGCAGTATCGTTTGAAGATTTTCTTATTTTAGTGTCAATTGATGTCATTTCGATTTCCTCTCATAAACATCAATGATATTAGTTTTTCATCCTTTGTGTCACATAATTTGCAACTAACTAAACTCTGTTAGTTTACGCCTGCTGAAATTATCGTTGGATTATCTCGATGTCATACTCAATGTAAAATAAAAAGTTTCCCACTGAGCGCAGAAAGAAAAAAAAGTTAATCCACAAGAATTCTTGGATGTATTTATTTGTTCAACGGTATTTCCACCCTGTAGTCATTTTGTCCTCTCATAACATCATAAATGATAACAATAAAATTTTCGGTTGAAGGATTCCCAGTTTTTATTTATTCTTGAGACAGTCAAAACCAAGTACAATCGTTTGTTATACAAAAGCCTTCGTTTGATTAATACTTTTATAACTGTTTCTATTTCCTCATTGTCGATATACACACTTGACAAATTGATGTTTTCTTTCGTGGGAAATTGCAATCTTTTTTTGTAAAAACATAAATTCGTGTTAGCTCCAGTTTTTCTGTGTGAATGTTCCTTACGTCTACTACAAAATCGTTTCAGTATTCCTAATCAAAGAGCAAACATCGAAAACTTCTGTAGTGAACGAAATGAGATTTAATCGGAAGAAAATGCAATTATTGGCAATTAATTGGACAGGCTGTGCAATTCTTACTACTTGCATTTTGTTGGCTCCCTTTCCCTTTCTTGATTCGAATGTCCAAAAGAGTCAGTTTCCACCTTGTGCATACCATTCGTTCTTGCAATGTTGGCTTTTATGGGCTCCCGTTGCAAGAATATTAGGTCCTAAGAATCTTGTGTCGAGGGGTGTGAGGCGAGATGAGATTTGAGATTGCTAGCCTGCCTATTGCCTTTCTTGTTTAGTTGCTTCTCAAGTGTCTCAAGTGGAGGTCTGTGCTCTTCCCGTTCTATTTGTTTGTCACACACGAGTGTTGAGACGATCGAAACACTTTGAGTGAAGTTTAAACAAAGGTAAACCCTCCTGAAAAGTAAGTCAAATGTTTTGTTGTTTTGCAATATGTTATTTAATCTTAACGTACTAAAAATAGACGTTAGTAGAAAACTCCTGAAGATAATTCTAATGCACCGTTAGTTATAAACCCTGAATTATGCAATTATGCAATCGATATCAGAATAATTCAAATTCAAGTTCAATTAGTAACCGGTCGTTTCATTGAATATTCATTTTTAAGGAGTTGCGCCGTGTGGGGTTGTAATATCATAGATAGAAGTTTGCATGCATAAAAATCCAACAATGCATGAATTCAAATGACTGAATTGGATTTTAAGTTGTCCAGAATTGTAGTCATCCATGTGTCCATTCCATTGTTGGATAAAGCCGGGTGGTTCAACTTTTGCTAGATAAAGCACCGAATGACATATTTATAACGTGCACACGTTGGGCATACTAATGCAGCTCCAAATATGGGAAAGGTATGAATGCATTCACTATTCAATTATGAAAGGCTCGGGTAGCTTTGAAGGATTATAAACCCTTATTGTCTCCATTCATTCGCCTCTGTCAACAAAAGATGCACTTACGCAATCACAATCATGCATATGCATTCATGCAGAGAATGTATAGACAAATGACAATCAGGTCGTATTTTTTTAATTATTTCTGATCACGGGGCCATATTACAAGTAAATACATTAGAGAAATTCATCCCGGTCCTAAATTCAGACTATGACGAGTCGAGATATATATGTCGGTTAAAAGTTTATATATTGGATAATGCACATAATTAGGTAAATCTCTTGCTAATTGTAGTTAACAAAATTAATACGCAATATGACTCAAATTGCTTAAATCAATTTATCATCTGCGTACTGGTCTAATTGTGTACAAAATTCAGTATCGAACAGCAGATAAGTACGTGGCGTGAGAACGTAGTTCTTTAATTGTTCTTATGGGGCTAATCGACAATTTTTATGAAAACTAATTTACTGCTCCGTGGCGTGGAATCAAACAATGCAAACAATACGAACCCTATTCATACCCACAGCGCATAGAAGTATCAGTTGAATCTTTTTATTTGGTTGGAAATTAAAAAGTGCATTTAGATGCCTTGGCACGTTCGAAACTTTTAAAAAATGCAACTGCACTGAAACCGAGGGTTGAGGTGGATTCAGTTACTGGTTGCTTTTCTTTTTTGGTTAGGATTGAGCCTTGTAAGGAAATCTTTTAGTGTAATCTGAATCTGAGAATGAAATTAAGACAGAAATGAAGGATTGCATTTTATGTATGCGCCATGCAAGGTATACACGTGGAGTTTCCATCCGGTTTTTTCCCATCCACCTCTATAAATGCCATCGCCAAATAGAGAGCATGCAGCAAAGGCATGAAGACACAGACACAGGCTAAGAGACGTTAATTATCTCAAGCCGGAGATTTAATCTTCCCGATTATTTATAATCCCCTATTAAGTCTAGGATTAAAAATAATTGGGCACTGGTTCAACATTATTTGTGAATATTTTCAAAATAATTTCAATATGCTTTAATTTTCACAGTTTTCACTTCACCAGTCAAAAAACATAGAACAACTATTCTATATTTGCACCAGTGCCAGCGTATACTTTCTAGGACAAACCAATATTACGTAAATAAATGGTAACGGTTCAAATAGACATGAATGAAAGAAATGATATGACTTTGGGATTTTGACGGTGTAAACACCTGACGAGCCAACCCCACCCTCTTCGTGTCGAACAAATAGAAACACGCAATAAACATAAATATCAACGAATAAACCCAAGTCGAACAATGGAATTGGAAATAAAACGGTTCTTTCCAATTTGCAGGAGGACAGGAAATATGGCAACCCACCCCACACAGCAACTTCCTCAATGAACAGTCAATCCCACGAAGGCATCGTTACTTCAACATGTAACATGTGTACGTACGATGGTAACAGTTTCACCTCAACCCTTAAGGGTCCCTCCAATTTTAGCTCTCACAACAATAATAATCGTCATCCCAGAGTATACGCATGTATCCAGTAATGAATGAAGCCAACGACCGGATTCAGTCGGATGGATGCAAGATTGAGTATTGTGATGTGATGTGAGCCCTTGGTAAGGAAGCGTGACAAACAAAATAAAAACATCCCCCTCGTCTACCTCATCATTCATTCCTCCACAAATGCACATTGAGGGAAGAACAAATCCAAATAAAATACAGTGCATAGCGTCATAACAAGTAAGTCCGTGGTGAAGAGGGTGAAAATTTTTTAAATAAGTGGACATGTGCTTCCTCTCTTCTTCCCTTTCGAAAAGGCCAGCCAGACATTCAATTCAGCTACCCAAAACTGCTACATAATCGTCGTCGTAATACTCCTGCTAATAAAGGTGCTCGTACTGCATACACTTACCTAAGAACTGATTGTGATATGGAACGTTATGCAACACAACCATTCAACGGCCGTTTCTCTTGCCTTGGCTCCGAACCTTCATTGCGACATCGTCGTCATAAAAATATTCCTGGATCAGTGTGACAAATACCAAATATGATTTTTTGCAGTGAAAGGGTACTGTCGCTTAATATCAGCACCCTGTTGGATTTGTGTTGGACGGTTAGTTGACTGTGATCAGTGGTAGGAGTAAGAAGTGAAGAAGTGAATACTTGAGCAGTGTTGCTAATTAAGCTTGATTATTTGGATCAAATTCAAGATGGATTTGGAATCTCAAGGGTTTCACTATTTCTGATAATCAGTTGAGAAAATCGTGTGGATAATTGCTCTCATGAACGAATACATAGGAACGACTAGAGTAGAGTTGTTTCTGTGTTTTCATCATTCTGGAAATAGTGCTTACGAGTTTCGTGTTTCAAATAGTGTATACGAATCCCATGCTTGAACTTGGCAGACCTACCGGCCACACACAACAATCAGAAAAGACAATAGAATCTGAGTGAGAGTGATTGAGAAAAGCGTATCTAGTTTCACAGACCAAAGTCAGCAAGTCATGGGAAATTGTGCAACACAAAACTTAACGGCATGAAATGAACCACCATCGTCACTGTGCTGCTAGGTGAGTGATCATAGTAATGATTTTCCCTGAGATAAGCCAACCTTGCTCACTCATGACTTGCGAGTTGAGGTCTGGACGCTGGAGGAGTGTGTGGGAAAATGCTATGGTCGGCGTGACGTTCTTTGGGTCTTCGGGAAAAATTTCATCGTGTGCTATTACCAGCTCAAGTTTTATTACTCGTCTTGTGAAAACTGGCAGTGCATAAGATCCAGCGAGGATGAAATACAAAAGTTAAAATAAGTTTCAAGTTTTTAAACCAAAAAATCAGTGGTACTTTGGACAGCTCGCTAAAACTTATTAAAAGGATAAACGACCAACAGATTTGTGAACCAATGTTGAGCTAAAACTGGAGCAAGGAGAGAACGACTATAAATATTACCATCTCATTTCAATTCTGTATACACATAACCCACTGTGCAAGCTACCGTGCATAGAGAAGTGGTGAATTTCGATACTAAAAATAGCGAAAATTACTTGCTTGCACTAACTGCTTAAAGTGGACTGAACTTATAAAATAGCTATAAAAGTGGCAACCAGCGCAATATTTATTATCTGAAGCAGGTTGGTTACTAAAGATCTTGTGAGATTGCATCTAGATATTCCATCACTTCTAAAATACTTTAAGTGAAAAAATCAAGTCAAAATGTCAAGCACATCCGATGAGTCCGAAAATTCCATGTGCAGTATCAGCATCAGCGTGGACAATGGAAGTAGCACTGGAAGTGTCATCAACAATAATTCTGTGAAAAGTGGAGTTGTTGTGAATAACTCGTCAGTTCCACAAACTGCAGCTACCAACAATAACAATAATAATAGAGGCCCTTATAAACCAAGGGATTTGTTTGGAGTCCAATTAGAGGTATGCAGAAAAACATACTTTTACTCTTGAAAATTAATAGCTGATAAAAACATACACGTATAAAATTCCTCATCCATACGATTTCATGCAAAATGCAACATTATTTCATTATTTTATTTGTTCCATGTAAAATTGAATTTTGATTATGACAAAGAGTGAATTATTATTATACTCAACTTGAAAATGACAGGATCAAACAAATGC